AGGGCGGCGGGGTGGGCTGAGCGCAGCGACGGAGGTGCGTGCGGCCTCGCGGAGGACAGGGTGCGCTTCCCCGTTGGGGTGCTCAGCTCTGAGACAGCGACCTGTGCTCGGCGGCGCAGCGGCAGGCAGCGTCTGAGGCTAGGCTTTTCATTACCGTCTCTGGGCTTTGAAGATGCAGAATTTAGAACTTGCCCTTGGGGGCATTTCATTCAATTCAGCAAACCGCTCACTAGATGGGGCTGCTGAAGGGAGTGGGGTGGGGCCGCTGGACCCAAAGGGGACCCGTTTGGTGGCTGCGGTGGCTTCTCATCCACACGAGCCTGCCACGCCCATGGATGGCGGCGACTTTGTCATGATAGTGAAAACGTCTTCCGTACAAGAGCGAGGCCTCGGGGGAAGCAGCGAGCGCATAGCACGTGCGTGTCGTCTGCCGTGGGGCGATCTCACGGGACCGTGGGCCCTTTCCTGGTGGGCCGTGACTTCTTCGCCACTGGCTGTGAGTTGGCAAAGGGACGCTGCCGTTCTGCTGTCTTCCGGGAGAATGGAAAGGAAACCACAGAGCTTTGCGGGAGGCTGTTCACAAGGAAACAGTGACTGAAAAGGGAGGCCTCGCGCGTTGGGCAAGTGGGGGCCTCCAGACCCGCCGAGCCCGCGACGTGGCCTCGCGCCTTGTGTGGGAAGAGCCTGGGCATCCGTACGCTCCCGCGTGTCCTGCACGGCCTTGTTCTCCGGAACCCAGGAGTCGAGGCCGGAGAGATCGAAAGGCCATGGGCCTTACATCGGGGTGGAGGGGGAGCGGCGTGTCCGTCCTCGAGGAAACAGCCGACGGAAATGAAGCTTCAGGGACGTTAGTTCTGTCGGGTTCAAGGCCAAGGCACTGAGCCCGGGCAGTGGCGTCACGTTCCCCCTTTAAAGGCGGTTTCCCCACTCTCCGACGGCGGGCATGACCACAGCGCGAAACAAGGGGCGCGGCCGCAGGGAGGGGCTCCGCGGCTCCTGGCTGGGGACGTCCGCCCCCGGGGCTGCGGCGCCCCTGTGCCCATGTCCGCAGAGTGCCCGGGGTGCGCCCCGCGCTGCTCTCCCGCCCGGGGGGGCTCTGCCTGCGGGGATCCATGGGCCTCATCCAGGAGATGCGGGCGGGCCTCCGTGTCTCACGTGGAGCCTGCTATGGACTGAGTGTTTGGGTCATGGGTGAAGCCCCGTAGCTTTGGGAGGAGGCGCCTGGGCGCAGTGATTAGGTTGTGGGCTGAGGCCCTGCTCAGGGGTTGGACGCCCCGCCAGAAGGCAGCGGACAGCTGGCTCGCTCGCTCTGCCGGGTGACGCCCCGGCAGCAAGCCGGGGGCTCGTCTCAGGAACCGGACCGTGGCCTCGCACGTGCCGACCTCGGGCACCACGAGCAGCGCACGGTCGCCCCTGGGACTTGCCCTGCAGCCCCGGCCGACGGGCCAGGGTCCACGGGCCACGTTCGGAGGAATCGGCCCTCGACCTGAAGCGAGATGTTTAAAACGCACGGTACTGCCTCGTCTATGTTTTTTAGAACTTTGAGTCCTTACGTTTTTGTAGTGTTAGCTGCTTAAGCACGAGTCAGATTGGAAGTAGTCAGTCACCTTGAAGCCTCAAGAGGAGTAATTGCTGGGGCTGAGCCCGGCGTTTCCTCTCTGGAGGCTGAGCTGCGAGGCCTGGGGTGGGGAGCCCCTGAGTCAGCGCAAGAAGAGGGACGGGTCCCGTGCGTGCCCGGCGACCACAGCCAATTACGTGGGGAAGGCAAGCGAGCGCTCGCTCGGGGCGGCCGCGGCCAGGTCCCCGGGCCGGCGCTGCGCTGCGGCTCCTGCTAATTACGGGAGGACGCGCACTCAGCAGAAGGCGCCCCGGGAACGGAGACTCAGCAGCAGACGTCTGAGCCTGCCGCGGGGGCCGGCCCCTCCGCGGGACCAGACAGCGCGTTGGGCTGCTGCGGGCAGCACCCTGCTCACCTGGGACCCCCGGGGGCGCCTTAGCTTCCCTGCGATTTCTCTGGTGGGCGTGGCGAGTCCAAAAAAGAAAAGAAAAAAAAAAGGAAAGAATGAAATACTGCACACCAACGCTACCTACTTGGAAATGTCTTCCTGGTTACAGATTTATTCCCTTTTGCCTTAGCAGCGGAAAATAATCTGAGGCAATGTCGCCAAGATTGTTTACTTCATCTCTTTTCATTCTTTCGCCTAAACTTACCAACACGTCCCCCCAAAGTGCAAATTAAAATTGCAGCGGGGCACGGGCTCGTGCAGGTGCCTCCCGTCAGCGTGCGGGGATGCGCGTCTGCACGTCGCGGCCTTGGGGGCCGTCGCGTTAAGAATTTGCCCCCCCCCCGGGCGGGCGAGCCGAGCCAGGGGCCCTGTGACGCCCTGTGAGCGCGGACCCGACGGCGACGGAAGAACTGCTCTCGGTCAAGAACAAGGCACCTTCCATGGTCGACCTTTGGTGCACTGAAAATTTGGACACCCCTTGCTCCAGGCTCATGGGCTTCTTGGGACCGGCAGAGGCTCTGTGAAGATGAGAGTTACTGGGCTGACAGGGGCGAACACGTTGTACAAACTCCACGTGCGCCGTTCTCTCACGTGGCGCCTGCCTACCGCGTTGCGTGGGCACCCCCCCCCCCCCCAGTGCTCGTCTCCTTCCTTCGCCATGTAGTTCGCCCCTCACCCTCTTCAGCCTCCCCCCCGCCCCCCCTCTGGTCGTCACCGAGCTGTCGTCTGCGTTTCTGAGTTTGCGTGTTCCTTTACTGCTTTCTGTTTTCTGTCCCACATGTGCGCGAGATCCTAGGGTCCTGGCCGTTCCCCCGGCCTTATTTCGCTTCACCTGACGCGCTCAGGATGCATTCTGTTGCCGTGACTGGTGGCGCCTCACCCTTCCTTGTAGGCGAGGAGCCTTCCGCCAGAGACAGGCGCCATGACTCCTCTACCCAGGCGTGCGCTGAAGGGCACGCGGGCTGAGCGTGCGTGCGCGGCCCGTGGGCATGCAGACGGGTGCAGCCGCTGTGGGAAACGGTACGGAGGCTCCTCCAAAAATCAGGACAGAGTCACCGTATCACCCAGAAACCCCTCTTCAGGGTAGCTACCTGACGCATTGGAAAACATATTTTTCTAAAGATATATGTGCGCCACGTTCACTGTAGCGTTATTCACAGCAGCCAAGACAAGGCTGAGGCTTTTTAAATTAAAAAAAAAAAAAAAATCCCAGTTAGGCTGTTTCCGGTTGCTCTGCGCAGCGTCCACTCCGCTCCGCCCGGCCGTGGGAGCGCCGCCGGGGACGCCCCCTTACCCCCCGCTGGGGCTGCGTCCCAATAAAAGCTTATTTATAGAAACAGGTGGCTGGTCCCCGGCAGGCCTTCCCACTCATGACACAGGTGCGTGAGAAGGGTGGTGGCCCAGTTTTCCACGGAATTGGGGGCCAGAGACCACACGAAAACGAGGCGTTGTTTCGTGTGGGAGGATGCAGAGCACCGGGAGCTTTCCCGTGTGACGTGCCCTGGACTGGCTAGGAGCACTGTGTGTGTGTGTGTGTGTGTGTGTGTGTGTGTGAGAGAGAGAGAGAGAGTCTGCGTGCGCATGTGAGTGTGGACATGTGTGTGTGCATGCGTGTGCATGCACGTGGAGTGAGTGTGTGCACGTGAGGCCGTGTGTGTATGTGCTTTCAGCCGCTCCCCCCACCCCGATCCGAGGCCAGCAGCCAGGCGGGGGCGGGGAGGGGGTTCTTCGGGACCCACCAAGCGTGTAGCCCTGTGTCAGCTCCCGCCCCCCTGCGCGCAGAGCGACGAGGAGGCACAGCTCTCAGCGCGTCAGTGGGTGGGGTTTTTCACTCCTGCGTCCACGTGCGGCTGTACAGCTGTGCCCACAGTGGCCACCGTCGCGGGAAGGGCTGGGGCCCTGGGGTCCCACCTTCCCGCCACGCCCCCTTCCAAACTCCCCGAGAACAGCCCCGGCGCCCCTGGGGCCAGCTGCCCTCCGGAACCGGGGCCCTGCCTTCGCAGCCTGGGCCCCTCACGATGCTTTCTCTTCAAGCCCATAATTTTGGCCCGTGTCCCACTTGTGAGGGACGCCGTGCGCTGAGCGTGCCTTGGAAATACTTTTACAGGGAGGGGGTTGGCACACGGGCCGCCGGTAGGGCAGACGGGAGCGTTAGGGCATCACATACCTGCGCATGGTCAGGGAGTTGCTCTTCGCTCGGAAGGTGAACCGCGTGGACAACCTGGAGTTGGTCGTCTCTTCCTGGCCACTTCGTGCCCACTTGGTCAGAGGCCCCTCGGGGGCCGCAGTTTGACTGTTCGGGACAGGGCTGGTCCTGTGGGGGGCGCTGCTCCCCAGGGACACGGCTGCAGGGTGGAAGGCCAGCTGCCCTGCGCCCCCGTTCGTGGCCGGGGCCAGCTGTTTGGGTGCCTGTTTAGAGATTCGCTTTCAGGGTTTATTAGAGTGTGCGGGGCGCCTTGCGATCACTGAACTGCCGATGTTATAGCTGGTGCTATAACATCCGAAGCTGTCTGTCGTTTTTGTCACATTTTGTTCGAGTGTCTCTGTGACTTTGTTGCAAATGAAACACCCTCCGCAAGGCAGTGTTTCTCCTGTGACCGGCGTCTGTTGTGCTACCAGCGTCAATGGCCTGCAGGCTGTCACGCGATGAGCGCAGAGGATGCTGGGAAAGGGGGGCCGAGCCCAGGCAGGGGCTCCAGAGGGAAGGGGATGAGGGGACCGTGGGGCCCGGTGGGGGCAGTGGCAGCGATGGCAGCGAGGAGGGCGGAGGGGACGGTGGGGCAGGTGAGGGGAGACGCGGAGTCCGGCAGACAGACACGAAGCGGGAGCGCAGAGAGGGGCGGAGGCCAACACGTGAGGGGGAGAGGCAGGCACAGACGGACGGGCAGGCCAGGAGGGACGGGTCCTGCTGCGCACGACGCCCCCATCGGGCCCCGTGGGTGGCAGAGCCCCGCAGGCCGACCGCGCCCTCACGCTGCTGCTTCTGTCTTCCAGGTGCTCACGTCATGCCGTGCCTTCCTCCTCACAGCGCGGGTCCCCACCAAGGTAAGTGCTGGCGCGGGCCTGCCTTCTGGCGTGTGCACACGCATGTGCACACCGCACCACATGCACACGTGCACACACGGAGCACCACACAAGCACACACATACATGTATGCACCATGCTCACATGTACCGACGTGCACACATAGTACAGTGCACACATGCATGCACAGCGCACCACACTCACAAACGTGTGGGCACACACATACAGCACCACACAAGCACACACGGTTACGCACACACCATACACAGATATGTGCACACAGTACAGCGCGCACACATGAGCACACATGCATGCACACCACACTATGCGTGCACACACTGCACCACACCCACAAACATGTGCACACACACGTCGCACTACATAGAGCACACACTTGCATATGTGCAGGTACATGCGCACATGCTGTGGCACAGCACACAACATGCACACACACTGCGCCCCCACATGCATACCCACACACATGTGCGCGCACACACACACACATGTGCACTGTGCACACCATTGCAGGATCTTTGCTGAGCGTGGCAAAGGGGGCGCACTGTTTGCCAGTCGAAGGCGTAGGTCCCCGAGGCCTATGTTCTCTGATGACAGAAACGCCACATTTTATGACGTTTCCCTGAGAGGGAGACGCAGGCCCAGCCCCCTTCGATGATGCAAGGAGAGCCTGCGTGTCGTAAGTGAAGTCAGTGGCTGGGCGAGTGACGTTGAACCGCGTCACCTGTTGTCAGCGCTCCCGGGGCTGGAGAGAAGGAAGTGCCCTGACCGTCCCCCGGGGACGAGTCGGCGGCAGAAGGGGATGTCACGGGCTTGAGAAAACGGCCCGGCAGCCTTGTGAGCAGGAGGCTCCCGGATACGGCGCCACCTTAAATCACAACGCTGTCGCACGGTGGCAGGTGTGTTTCCTGTCGGGGGGTCACCTGCCTGCCGCGCGAAAGCCCGGCTCAGCCTGGCCGTGTTGGAGGTTTCCCTCGGCCTGGCTGGGGCACTGGGACGTGTGCTCTGAGTCCTGATACCGCCCGCCTCACAAGGTGACGTGCGTGTGGGTCCCGTCCCCGCCCCACGTGCCGCGGTCCCCGGGGCCGGGCGCAAACCAGCCAGTGACGCTCGCTTTCTGGGGAAATGATTATATTCAGAACAGCCGTGTGCCACCGGCACTGATGCGGGAGGGCACGGGTTTCTTTTTTCTCTGGGGGCTGAATAATTAAACACGTTTTCTTTTCTCTTTTTGTCGCTGAGCGTGCCCCCTCCCCCCACCCCGTGCGGTTGAACGCCTGGAGTAGAGGCGTCTGTCTCAGAGTTTAATCACAAAGCAGGGAGCTCCGCAGCCGCAGCCGGCGAAGGGACAGAACTTTGCCGCCCCCCGGGAGGCCCGACTCTGCCAGGGGTCGGGAGACAGGATGGGGGGGCCGGTAGGCCAGAGGGGTCTGCAGAGACGCTGGGTGGAGGGATACCCACCCCCCATTGTCAGCCAGGGAAAGGGCTGCCGCTGCTTGCAGGTTTGCCGGTGAAACTGCACAGGGCTCCCCGCGAGGAGCTGGGGGCCCAGGGTGTGCAGAGCATGTGTGCGCGAGTGTGTGGCCGGGGGGCGGGGCCGGAAAGTTCTCTGGGCCCGGGCCGGTGCGGAGCATGAGACAGCCAGGTGGTGGCGTGTGGATTTGCTGTCCTGCCAGTGGGATGGGACGGTCTAGCTAGCGGTGGGGATGGTTTGCGCAAACTCCTTCCTCTCTTCTACCCAATCACCAGTGGCCGTGGTTCTGCCTCTCAATCATCCCCGGGGTCCCAGCCGCCTGCGCGTCCCAGCCTCTCAGCGGCGCCTGCCTCCCCCCGCCTGGCGACGGCCTGCGAGCTGTCTCCGGGGTGGGTGCGGGGCCCCGAGAGCGAAGGCCTGGTCAAAACCGCCGTGGACGGGCCGAGAGCGGGCTCAGCCTTGCCGCCGCCAGGTGTCTGGGGTCCCCTCCCGCTCGGCCAGCAGCGACAGCGCTCACAAGGCCTCGGGGCCTTTGCCAAGGCTCTTCCTTCCGTCCCAATTGCCTTCCTACCCCGTCTTTGCTTGACGGACCGGAAGCCTGTGAGGCTGGGCTGGATGTCACAATGCATCCCCGGCTCCGGGCACTTTGCTGGTCCCAGAGACAGCCCTCAGGCCAGGGGAGCCTCTTAGCTGACCCCCAGCGGCCCTCCCCCGCCACGCCGGCCAGAGCTGTCCACGCGAGACGGTGCTGACGGCGCCAGCGGCCTGTCACGGCTGCGGGGTTGGGAGGGCGTGCCCGCTCACGCCCGCTCACGCCCGCTCACGCCCGCTCACGCCTGCCCAGTGGGATGCGTTCCCACACCTAATCAGAGCCCTTCTAATTGTGCTGCAATGTGTATCTCATCAAGGACATCTCACGGAGCCATGGATCATGGCTTCTAAAGGGGACAGGTCTCCGAAAGACTGAGCGTTGATAGGAGTGAACTTCAAAAACCATGGTCTGCTGAAGGCCGCGCAGTGGGTCGCGGCCGAGGGGCTGGGGAACGTGGCCGTGGAATGGGCGCCGGCCCCGAGGGCCCGGCCAGGCCTTGGGGTTCGCCCCGGTTGTCAGGGACGGACGGGAAGCCGGGTGCGCTGCGTTTCTCTGCGGCTCCAGGTGCCAGTGCCGGCGGGCGCGGGGCGTGCCAGCCATGGGCTCAACCCAAGCAGCAGCTTTGGCACGAAACCAAAGGCCGGCACACGAGGTTGTACGTGCACGTTGTAGATAGAAACAAATGAAGGCAGACGCGTGCACTCTTCAGAAAATGGCCCCCTGCTTTAAATGACCTCTGAGGACCCAAAGGTCTAGGTCCGATGCCTCTGGGCGAGGAACTCTCTGCTCTACTCGTCACGTGCGCGGCCAGCGCGGCGCTTGACTCTCGAGGGTGGGCAGGCGCCTCCCGGCCGTGTGCGCCCAGCCCCGGGCACCGTGGGCCTCCCCGCGCCGGCTGGCCGTCCGGGTCACGGGGACGGGCCTGCCCTCCGCCTCCTGTCCCCAGCGCTGTGCTCAGAGCCCTGGACCCGGGCAGCCAGGGCCCCCTTCTCGGGTGCACCCCGCACACGCGTGACGGGGCGGCCCCACCCCCAGGAGCAGAGCAGAGGGCCCGTGGGCTGGTTCCGGGCGGTCTTCTCCCATTGCATTTCTGGGTGGAAGGTGAGGACAAAGAGTCGGTCCCCACTCCGTCCCCGTGGCCTGTAGGCGAAAGGCTGCAGGACCGGGCGAGAGATTAGTGGCCGCCGTCCAGGAAAAGCAGGCGTAAAGTGCGAGGCTGGACGTAGTTTGAAGAAAATTAATGCCAGTCACAGGAGAAGAGTGGAAGAAACCTTTATTACTGAACTAAAAAGGAAATAAGTCATTTACCTACATGCAGAGAGAGCAAAGACTTTTATTCAACTCTGTGTTTCGTTTAAACATGGCTGAAAATTCCTAAATACGGTATTTGTCTAAACCCATTTAAAATACGCGTCTTTATGGAAGCTGGTGGAGGGAGGGGTGACCCCAGGCAGGGGTCAGAGTGTGCCCGGTGAGGCCGGGGTCGGCCAGGAGGGAGACGGACGCCGACGACACCGTGACGTGACTGAAGCAGAGGTTTGAGGTAAAAGAAACACGTGTGTTTAGAAGGCTCACGTGACACTTTCATTTCTAAATGAGTAAAACACCCGAGCAGAAATAGAGAACCTTTCCCCGTGTTTGTCTCAGGATGACATTTAAGAAGCCGGACACGCGCTGTCCCGTTGGGGATGCGCCGAAGGGACAGCAGGCCCGCCCGCCTTCGGCCGCGGCGGCCTTTCTCATGGCAGTGTTTTTACCTTGAATTGTGCTCTGAAATCCTCACGGCAGGTCTTTGTCTCCTCTCCTCCCCCAACTGCAGCTCGAGCTGAGCTTCAGCTACTTGGACATTCACGGCATCACCTGCAGCAGGCCCGCCCAGGTGAGTGCGCCCCGGAGCCTGGCCGCCGCGCCCGCAGGGCTGCGGACGCAGGGCGGGGAGGTTCTGAGCCGGCTGTGCGGGCGGGTCAGCGGGCTCTGAGACGGAAACCTTCTCCGCCGCTGCCGGGGGCGGGGGGCCCCTCAGCGCCCCGCCGGCGGCCTCCCCTGAGAGCGCCCCTCCCGAGGGGCTTCCTACGAGCCGCGGCACCGGAGCGTCCTGGCTGCCACGCCAGGACTGTGCCAGGGCTTCCCGGGGGCCTGGGTGCGTTTTCGGTCTGCGTGGGAGGTAGGCTTCTGCAGCCGGCTTTACGCAGCCAGAAGGAACCCGCAGGCACTGAAGCGGCAGAGGGGTAGGTTTGACACACGGGTCCCCACGAAACCGTTCCCGCGATCAGCGCCCTGAACACGGCCGTCCCCGCAAAGCCTCTCGGACGCCTGCCCGCCCTCCCTCCTGCCCTCCTCAGCGGCAGGCCCCTGCTCCCAGCTGATCCAGAGGAGGTTTCCTTTTCGAGAAGTTTCCGAGAATGGAATCTACAGTGTGCACCCTTTCGGTCTGCCTCCCTCCTCGGCGACCCCGGGGCGAGGCCGCATTCCCCGGCCGCACGTCCGTCGTGCGCTCCTCTCCGCGGCCGCGTGGCGCCGTCGGCGGGCTCTCTCGCCGGGCTCTCTCGCCGCTTGCCCGCCGGCCCCCCCCCCCCCGCTCACAGGCCCCCGGGTTGCCTCTGGTCTTGGGCTCTGAGTAAGGCCGCTGTGAACACCAACGTGCATGTCTGACTGGACACGGGCCCTCGTCCCCTGTGGGTGATGTCTAGGCATGTGGCCGCTGCAGCGGACAACAGACGCGTGCTTGGCCTTTCAAGAGGCTGCCATGCCGCCTTCCAGGGCAGCCCTGTTGTTGTCCGTCCTCGCCGGCGGGGAGAGAGGCCCCGTCCCTGCCACCGACCCCAGTGCTGGTGTGTCCCCTGCACCCTGCGATCTGCTCTCTTGGGCGTGTGGCTCCCTGTTGGGGTTTCCTTCCGTGTTTCCCATGTCGCGGAAGGTGCTGAGCGTCGTTTTGTGGCTTGTTGGCCATCGGGTGTCCGATCAGGGATTGGTTCACACCTCTTGCTGTTTCTAAGTCGAGGTCCTTGTTTTCTTACAGTTGTAAGAGCGCGTTGTCCGCTCGGAATCCGGGGGTTTATCAGATGATTTACTCCTATTTTCTGTCAGTCTCGGCTTCGCTTTCCATTCTCCTTACGGTGCCTTTCCAAGAGCAGACGTTTCAAATTCTGATGAAGTCTAATATCTCAATATTTTCTTCTACGGGTGGCGCTTTTTTATTTTTTTATTTTATTTTATTTTTTTTATGTCAGAGTGAATAAATCTTTGCGTGACCCAAGGTCACAGAATGTTTTATGGTGAGTTTCGTAGTTTTAGGTTACACGTTTCGGTCTACGGTCCGTTTTGGTGTAATTTTCATATACACATCAAGCGCCGTGGGGCTGCATCGGCGCTCGGTTCTGCTCTTCTCTGTGCGCGTGTCTGGGACGTCCACGTATCCGGTGCCATTCGTGGGGAGGACTGTTGTTTCGCCCCAAACGGGCTTGCGCTTTCCGCGAAGGTCAGCTGTTCCTGCAAACGCTGGCCTGTGCGTGGACTCGGAGCCCTGTCCCTCCGGTGTTTGTCTGCCTCTGTGACCCGTGACGCTGCCTGGATCACTGCAGCGTCACAGGGGGACTTGAAATCAGAAGGCGTCGGCCCTTCGGCGTGGCTCTGCCCGCGCAGAGCGGTTGCGGTGACTTGGCCCCGGGACGCGGGGCAGGAGTAGGACTCGGGTTACTTTGTCCCCACGGGGCCGCCCCGGGGGAACGGGCACCCGGCCCCGGAGGCGGCCCCGCCCCGCTGCGCAGGCCCCGGTGGCTCGGTCGTGTCCTGGGCAGCTTTCAGGGCACAGGTCACACACACCCTTTGACAGGTGGGTTCCTGCGTCTCCCCTGTTTCGGATGCTATCGTAAGTGGCACTGACTTGAAAATTCAGTTTCCCACGTCTCTCACGGGCATCGGACTGCGGCTGAGCGCTGCGCGGCGCCCCTGCTCCCGGCCACGCTCCCGCGCCGCCTCTCACCTGTCCGTCCCGGGGGCATTTTGATAGCGAGCCCCCCGTTCCCACGGACGGCGTGTCCTGTGTGAGGCACACACTGCTGCTCCCTCCCTCTCCGTAGGGACGCGGTTTACTCCTCTCCTCGCCCGGCTGCAGTGGGGGACGGTCCTCGCAGGTCTCTCAGCTCCCGCCCGCCCGCCTGTCTGTCTGTCTGTCTGGGTGTGAATCCATGTGCGTCCTCAGGGCCACGAGAGCAGTGGGCAGGCCCCAGAGGTGAGGCAGTGCTTCCCTCCGAACACCCGCACGGACCGTTGACCGCGGGGGCAGGACCTCTGCAAGCTCGTGGCTCCTTCCCCATAAGCAGCCGGCTGCGTGCGGGCCTCGGCCTGAGCCGGCCACGTCCCCGGTGGGGCGCGGGGGACGGCGGCGTCCTTGCGGGCACGATGCCTCTGCTGTGCCATCGATAGCCAAGTGCTGGGTCTGCCAGCGTCTGTGAAACAGCGACCGGCCGGCTCCCGGCGTGTCCGCAGGTGACCGCACGCCTCAGCCCGTCACCTTGCGCGGGCAGCAGCCGGCACGAGGCTGAGGAGAGGCGATGGGGACGGATGTCCCTTCTGTCCTCACCTGCAGGGAGCTTTCCGGACCTTTCCCATGAGGTGCGGTCGTAGCTGCGGGTTTTTCGTAGGTGCCTTGTGTCTGGTTGAGGGTGTTCAATTCCTACTTTGCTGAGAGTTTTTGTCAGGAATCGGTGTTGGATTTTACCAGAGGGTTTTTTTTTCTGTCTGCTGGAGATTATTGTGTTTTTAAAAAAATGTTTGTTAATGTGATGATTTACATTGATCGATTTTCAAATGTTAAATCGACCTTTCATTTTGGGGTTCACTCCATGTGGTTAGTCGCGTGCTACGCTCGTTCCCCCAGTGCGGTTTTGGACAAATTAAGTCCCAAGAGGAAGTAACAGTGCGACAGTCTTCTGAGGCAGTAAAGACCCACGGGGAGCGCATTTTGTGTGAATATTTTTGAGCTCCTCGACAGTATTTTATTTTTCAGTGATGGAGGTTGACCCTTTTTATTTGAAATGTGTCCGTAATCAGACTTGTCTCTTTCACAACCTGCTTCCTGTCTCGGGGGGAGGCGGGTCTCCCCGCCTCGCTGGGCCAGCGCTGCGGCCGCGGCCCTGGCGGGGCAACCCGGGCGAGCCCGCCGTAACTCCGCAGCGGTGGCGTGTGCCGGCTCGCGCGCGCTGCACCGCACAGGCCTCTAGTACCTGCTGCCGCTAGCACAGCCCTTTCCGGGGTCCCCTCGCGGGATAAGGGGAGCTTTTATACGCGTTGGATTGCTGCTTTGTTACCAGGCTAAAGCTTTTACCGTTTCACTTAGATATGTCATAAGGTTTGTTGTTCTGAAACAAGTGTAAAAAGCGAACAAGGTCCCCGCCAGGTTGCCTGAGGCGCCCACGGAGGGGGCTTCTCGCTCGCTCTGGGCGGCGGGGCTGGCCCGGCGCCCCCTCCACACAAAACCTCGGTGAAAAGGGGTCGTGTGTGACTGTGGAACTTGACCCCGAGTCGCGCGGCGCGGGGTGGGGCGGGGCAGGGCGGGCTCTCAATCCGCAGCTGGGCCCCGTCGTGCCACCTGCTTCGATGCTGGGGCACCTCCGACCACCTGTCCGCCCTGGACCCCCACAGCCCGGTGACTCCGCAGCGGCTGGCGCTGTTTCAGGAAAGCACCCAGAGACGCGGGGCTTGTGTTAGTGGGCCCAGTGTGAGCACAGCGCGCGCTCGTACGGCGACAAATCACAGCGACGGGTCCTGACTTAGCGCTGCCCCCCCCGCCCCCCGCTCTTGCAGATGGTTGTGGAAACCGAGAAGTACAGCCTGTCCCTGCGGATGGCGTCGCCCGAGGACGTGAGTGAGGTGCTGGCGCACGTGGGCTCCTGCCTGCGGAGGACGTTTCCCGGCCTGTCGCCTGTGTGAGTCCCGGGGCGGCGGGCGGCCTCCCTGCCTCGGCCCGTGTCCCCGTCTGAGGGGGGACTCGCGCCCCACCCCCCACTGCCCGTGCGAGCTCTGCGCCCAGCTCTCCGCAGGCGCGGGGCCGAGAGCTGGGTGCATGGCTGTCGCCTGCAGTCCGAACAGGGACCGAGCTTCGTTTCCCTTGGTTTCATTTTCCGATCACTGAGAGGAAACCTAAATAGAAAAAAAACAAAACAAAGACTAAGCCTAATAATTAGCCTCTTTCCCTTTTCTCTCAGTCCTCTGAGGCACACCTGGGCGGTTTTGGCGATCGCGCTTTGTTTCTGTGTGTGAGGTGTTTGAACTCGGGATGGCGGGTGCGGGTTTGGGCAGGGCAGCGAGCCCTCTCCCCGAGGCGGGGGGCCTGGCCGCCTGCAGTGCAGGGCGGGTGTGTGGGGAGGGGGAGTGAGCCTCAGCCGTGTGCGCCGGGAACGCCGGACTTGACATCTGGCTCATCCAGCGGGGGACATCAGGTAGCAGCCGGGGGCGAGGCTGGGGCTCAGACGGAAGGCCCAGGTCTGGGGGTGCAGCGCCTGTGACAGCCGCAGTGTCAGCCTGGGCCGATGCCTGGCGGTGACGTGGTGCCCCTAGAAGGGGGAGCGTCTAGACGGGGAGTCCAAGATTTGGAGGTCGCGTGAGGGAGAGGAGCTGCAGAGCGAGCCGGGGAAGGGTCCCCGTGGAAACCCAGAGCCCGGGGACCCTGCTCCGTGGTGCTGGGCGCTGGGCGTGCCGAGGGCAGAGGCTGTCCAGCGGGTGGTGCTGTGCAGGGCACAGGTGGCTGTGACCCAAGGCGCAGGGCTGGGCAGGGCGAGGCGGGCACCTGGTTGTGGAGGGACAGGTGGGTGTGGCTCCCCGGGAACCGGGAGGCCAGATGCAGCAAAGGTGTTTGAGGAATTGCAGGGCTTCCTGTTTGCATCCGGAACGGGAGGCAGCAGAGCACGTGGCTGTGATGGGGGAACGGGAAAGAGGGGTGGTCGCCGGGCCGGGGCAGTGAGCCAGCAGCATCCTGTGGTTGGATGGCCGCGGCAATGTGACTGGGAGCGCAGAGCGAGGGCAGGCGCAGCTGCAGCTGCGTTGGGGGCCGGCCACAGCCCAGCCCAGCAGACACGACTGGCGACAAGGCTGAGGTCCAACTGCAGAGGCACTAGGGAGCCAGGGAGGGCTTCTGACCTTTAGAAGAAGGTAGATTCCGTCCCACAGCCCTGCGTCCTGGACGTTACGAGGGCCTCGAGGTCGGACTGGCGGCTGTGAGACGGGCCGGATCCTCCAGGGGTGAGACTCTCGGCAATAAACTCACTTCTCGATGCCTCAGTGTCCCCAGCTGTGGAAGGAGAACACTGCTGTGAGTGCAGCTTTGTGAGGATTCGGTTAACTCTGGAAACTGCTTGAGGGCTGCCCTGGAAGCCTCACGGGAGACCCGGGCCGCCGGCCACCCGGCCGCGTCAGAACAAACGCCCACGCTGCCAGCCGGGAAGACGGAGATGTGGGCGGGATTGCTTTCAAGTTGATGATTTTGACTCTTATATGTTTACATGGGAGTTGATTGCATTGCTGTAATTAGATTTTTTTTTTTTGGCTGTTGTTAAATGGGATAATAACACCTTTTCAGGTGACAGAATATCACCTTCTCACATGACTCTTTCATGCTTCGTTGTTCTTCGCTCTGCGGCGTGTGAAGGTCGGCTGGCCATGAGCACGGGTGTGGTAGGTCAGTGTGTCGTTACTGCTGGCGCAGAAGTGGCTCGGGGAGTCCCGCCGGGGAGTCAGAAGCCGACTGAAGTATGAAACGGCGAGGCTATTGTGAAGACAGGGGCGAAATAGGGGTTTGTGGGAAGCAGGCGGTGGCAGCCCCTCCCTTTTGACGGCGGCAGGGGGCGCTGTGGCGTGGCGTGGCATGGCGTGGCGTGGCGTGGCGTGGCGTGGCCCGCACCTTGGAAGCAGGGGCTGCTCTGGGGCCCGCGGCTGGGTGACACTAGACGCGCCTTGGGAGTGAATTTTAAATAAATCAGTTCGTGTAAATGGATTTAAAGGACTCAGACTTTTTCGTGTGAGCAGTTGGGCCTGAGGTCGGGTCGCGAGCTGTGTGCGCGGCCCCTGGGCCGCTGGTCCCCCCGGTTTCCTGCGTCTGGTGCGGATTTGACGCCCCCGGGGTGGGCGTGGCTCCGCTGGGCGGGGCGGGGCCGTGGGCCCGCAGGGACTCGGCTTTCCCGGTCCCGGCGCTGAGGCTCCCTGCAGCCACGCCGCGTTTGTTTCTAAAAGAGGCCTCTCCCGGGACCGATTTCTACGAAACCGTGGCGGGTGGTGGGTGGCGGGTGACGGGCTCTGTTGTCGCTGCCGCTCTTGCAGGAGGATCCTGAAGAGAGTGTCCATGGAGCCGGCGGAGCGCCTGGCCAGCCTGCAGGCCCGGTGGGACAGCCAGCCCGCGCCCGAGCAGGGCCCCTGCGGTGAGCCCACGTCTTCAAGCCAAATGGAGGCGGCTGCCGGGGGTCGCCAGCCGGGAGGCGCAGCCCGTTCCTAGCGTGTCCCCGCAACGGCGCGGCTGGTTCGGAGGGGTAATTAGCACGGCCAGAGCGGCCGGCGGGGCGCCCCACGTTTAAGCGCCGCTGCGTCCCGCCGCGCGCCCGCCGGCATCGGCCCTGCCGGGGCTTTCAAGCTGAGCCTCCAAACCCCGTCCCCGAAACCCCGTCACAGGTCTGTTTCTGTTCCAGGCGGGTTTTCTCAGATGTACGCCTGCGTTTGCGACTGGCTGGGGCTCCCGTACAGGGAGGAAGTGCAGTGGGTGAGTGCGCCTGTGAGCGCGTGTGCACACGCTCTCACACACACGTGCACGCGCACACATGTGCTCACACATGCACAAATACTCATGCACATGCGTGCACACTCACACACGCTCACACACACACGTGCTCACAGACTCTTGCTTTTTGTCTTGTTTCTTTCTCTTTGTCCCTGCCTTTCACTTTTGCTGACCACCTCCCTGGCTCGGTGACCGTTGCCTGGGTCACTGTCTGATGCCCCCACACCCCCCGTGCTGCCTGGTCATTGGCCTGGGCTGTTTACGTGACTGAATTGTATTTCCAATAGGACGTGGATACAATCTACCTGACACAGGACACGCGGGAGCTGAACTTGCAGGACTTCAGCCACCTGGACCACAGGTGGGCGCCCCCTCCTTGCCCTCCCCCTCTCCAGCTGGGCCTCCGGTCCCCTGTCCTGCTGATCCCTAGGGGCCCCGTCTCCAGAGAGCCCTTTACAAGGGGGAATCAGGAGCATCTAAGCCTCTCCGGGCTCTGCCTTTCAACGGGCAGTTTCAAGTGTGTGTGTGTCACTGTGAATGCTTTGGGGCAGGGACGCCTGTGCGGGCCTGCGCGTGCAGTCCGAGAACGCGCCGGCGTCGACTGCGGAAACAATCTAATGCTCAGGTTCCTAGACCAGCTCCCCAGGCCGATGTAATGGAGCCGGTGTGTAAAAGGTACTTCTCTTTTAACTGATTTTTTCCTAGGAGAAAATTTTATGCTGAAATCCTAACAAACGACTTCGTTCATAGTTTCTTTATGGATCTGGAATCCACATGCCTGTGGAAATCGTAGCCGCCTCCGGCCTCACTGATAGTGAAATAAAACCGCAACCCCTGGGACCAGGCCCCTGAGGGACGCTTGGCGTTGTGACCTTGACGTAAATAAATTCAAGGCCGAGGCCAGTGCGCCCAGGCTCCAGAGAGGAGCTCTGCTGGGTCCGGGCGGGAGACCTGGCCTAAAACTCACCACTGGAGACAGTAAATGCCTATGATGTCATAACTGATCCGAAAGATGCCATGAGAACGGCCAATTGGGTAGATGGCCCAGAATCTAGAGTAGCAAAGAATTTGACAAGCAATTTAGACTTTTTTGTTTTGGCATTTTACCTTTTCGAAATGGTCCCCGAAGAGTAGCTGTTTGTTTTCGATGTCCGAAGCAACAAGAGCGTTCCCAGCATCTGAGGAATCATTCCGAATGCGGCCTCCTGGGTCGGTCTGAGGCATCGGCGACGCGATCCAGGCCAGGGCCCGGCCCCCTGAAGCTGCGGCATAACGTTGCGTTTCCAGTCGCCTTTCTTTCCGCCTTTCTCTGCGGTTTCAGTAAAAGTTTGAGTCTTGGCTGCTTGTCACGCCCTGAGCGCAAAACTGATGACGGCCCCACCGAAGCCACAGAACTGAAATGAGGGAGACTTGGTTTTCAAAGGACATGAACCTGGGGTGGCGGGGGACGGAGGTTGGGGTAGCAAAGGGTCATCCAAGACAGTAAGACGGATGTGGAATAGAGATGCAGGCCGTGTGCTGGCCGGGGGGCCTGGGGCCCGTGCGCAGGGCAGTCTGGGATGCGGGTGCTGGCCGACGCGTGGGTTTTCGTAGCCGGACACGGCAGAGATGGGTCATTCAAGGAGTGAATGTGCTTCTGTGTGGCGAGTGGAGAGCAGTGGCCTTTTTGGCTGCAGGCTGAGTGAGGGACATGGTGACCGGAGATCAGGCTGGAAAGCCAGGTGGTAGCAGGTGTCGGAGGCAAAGACGCCCTTCGGGGCTGGAGAGCGAGTGTGAATCCCAAGAGCACGTGCACCTGGCCTGTCCCTTCCACACAGTCAGGTTCCGAGGACCGCAAGGGGGTGCCCGGCAGCGTTAGGGCGCTTGCTAAGCTCCGGGAGCCATCCGCCGTCACTCTGTCAGCCGGGGCACGGGCCTTGCAGACAAATCCTCTGACGAGAGGACACAGGACACACGTGGTGGTTAAAGCTCACGACGAGCGACCCGAGGACCCCCGTGAGGAGTTAGACGTGCGGCTGCTCTGAGAGCGGGCAGGCCGTGCAGGCAGACACCGCTGCCAGCCTCTCCGCTCTGGAAACAGGAAGGAGAGTCCCCACACTTAACTTCGGCTTTCAGGAATTCTGCTTACATCACACAGAATTTAACGGCTGTCCAGCGGCTGAAATAGTTTTAGCCGATGTTGTGTTTGAATGGGAATAATGGACGTTGGCAGGTGACCTTGGGGTCAGGACCGCGGCTGCTGTCGGAGCCCGGGCTCACGTGTTCTGTTGCTCCTGCCCCTAGGGACCTAATCCCCATCATCGCGGCCCTGGAGTACAACCAGTGGTTCACGAAGCTGTCTGCCAAGGACCTGAAGCTGGTGAGTGCCTGACGCCGCCGCGTGCGGCACTCGGCGAGGCTGGATCTCAACCACCTGGCAATTATACCAAATATACATTTGTTTGTCTACCGTACTGGTGAGCTGCGTGCACTGTATTTCTTGGGGAGATGTTTTCCTATAAGCGCTCTTGCTAACATTTCCTGAGCTGTGCAACACGAGACGCTTTAGAGAAGCACTTCGTGTTTTCAGCTGCCTCAGGCAATTCTGCTGACGACTGGAAAGACCCGGTGCGCGGGCTTTGCGCCCATGCCTTCTGTTGGCACAAGGTTTGAGTCAGGCCTGCCCAGCTGCAGGAAGCAGATGTTAGGTTCCTGGTTTGCATCCCCCGCCACGGAGCTTCCCCTCCTAAGCATTTAGGAAACGGTTACCAGGCAGACTTACGATAGCAGCGCTGAGTTTTCAGATGAGCTTGGGCACCTGTTGACGTGTAAGCAGGAGGAAATCAAAGTAGAATCGGTTAGTTTTCGTAAGTGTGGGGGAGCCCAGGGCTCGGCCTGTTTTGCTGGTGAGGCTAAGGGCCTGCGAGAGCTCCTGTGCGGGTTCAGGGCCGCTGCGTGGGCGCGCGCTCGCCCGAGCATTGGCTTCCTCTGCTCCACTTTCGGACGAGGGGCGTCAGAGGGTTTTTGGGGGGCTCTTGCATTCAAGCCGCCAGCTCTCAGCGGGCACAGAGATGGGCAGTTTAAGTGTATCGTGGGGAAGAGGTGGAGCTGGGGCTCAGACGTACATCGGGGGACTGTGAGGGCTTGCCCTTGGCTGGGGCACGGGCCACGGGTCCCTGGGGAGAGTGACCTAAGGCGCTGCCCGTAGGGCTCGGGGCTGAGCCGACGGGGCCCATCACACGCCAGCGAGGTGGGAGGAAGGGGCGTGGGCTTGGAGACAGACACCGGGTTCAGATTCTGACTCTTGGTACAAGGCCGTGCGACCGCAGGTCAGTCACGGGGCCGTCAAGGCCTCAGCTTCCTGCGCAGCTGTTACTGGGAGAGAGCGGGAGCTCCTGTCTCGTTCATTGGTAGCCGGGGCTGGCGGTTGTGTGGCTCGTAATAGCTACTCAGTAAAAGTTGGTTTATGGAAGGGGTGCCAGGCTAGTGTGCTGAATGAATGAGCGGGCGGCGCGGTGTAACTGCTTGGCGGGTTACTGAGACCCGTATGGGAAGCGAATGGACATTCTCACGGTCACCGCCATCACCGCCATCACCGCCATCACCGCCGTTGCTGCCTTGTAGTCTTTCTTCTCCGTCTCGCTCGTCCCTTCCTTTGGGAATTCCCTTTGGTTCCCCCAGGACTGGGTGCGGTGCGGCTCTGGGCGCCCAGAGCATCGCCCAAAGGACCTGATTGTTCCGTCCTCCACGGAGTGTTTTCTTCTCTGGTTCCCCTGCTGGATGGCACGTTCTGGACGGCAGGGACGGGTCCTTCCTGTCATTGTGCCCCCGCGACCCCCGTCATGAGGGTGCATCCTGGCGGGTGCCGAGTCGGGGTTTGATGGGTGGACGGACGCGTGATTGACTGATGGGACCGCAGCGTGGCGGCTGCGTAGGTTGTGGCGATGACGTGAGCTTGGTTTCGGCGGACGCACGGCCCGGTCAACAAACGTGTTCTCTTGCAGTCCGCGGACGTCTGCGAACACATCTTGCGGGTGGTGAGCAGGTCCAGTCGACTGGAAGAGCTGGTGTTGGAAAACGCTGGACTTAGAGCGTGAGTATTTTCCTGCACGTGTGAATGTGTCGCTTTAGAACTTTTTGCCATTTTCCCTACAGTTAATATACAGGTAAAGAAAAGTAGGCTCCTCACATAGAGACTGTCATGTTTTCTAAGGGAAAGTCCCTGGAACCCCCATCCTGACCACAGAGGGGCGGATTTGACACCACTGTTTGCTGTTGCGTCACAGGATATTTCGGGCCATGCGTGGTGTAGCGGTCAAGGGCCCGGGCCCCTGAGCCAGACGCCCCGTGGCCTCGGCCAGGCTGTTTCAGATCTTTGTGCCTCCGTCTCGTCAGCTTTGAAACAGAGATAACGTTAGCACCTTCCTTCTAAAATGACAGCTCTGAGAATAAACGAGTTCGCGTACGCAAAGTGCTTAGAAGAGTATCCTTCCTATTCTAGCTGCTGCGTTAACCTGTTTCAGCAGTTGCCGCAGGACCTGCTGCATGTAGTTTCACGCCTTCGCTGCGGTCCCTGCCGGCTGCCTGCCTCCCTCCCGGACCTGCACTTGCGCTGTCTTCGCCTCGTGGTTCTGCGGTTGCTGCCCCAGCCCGTGTGGGGCGCAGCAGAGCTCGGGTCTGAGGACAAAGACTTTGGGGCTCCTCAGCGGGGAGGCTGGCAGCGTCCTTGTCACAGCGCTCAGGGTGTTGCTTTCAGTTAAGCAGCCCTGAGGCCGCCACTCTGATTTCTGCGAGAACGTGGTGCCAGCAGTTGCGGCCGTTAAACTCGATGGCCAGAGCGGTTGGTTTGCGTCCACCGGCGCTGCTCTCAGCCATGCAGGGGCCCATGGGGGCTGTTCAGAGCACCCAGAAATGCGTCTTAACGGGGCAGTTACCCATTTTCTTCTTGAGTCGGAATGTGGGTTCGGCCCATCACAACGAACCGTGTTGGGCTGTGACTTTGCCGATTCTCAGACGAGGTCTTACACTCACGCAGCGCAGAGTGGGTGCCAGCAAACAGGCGCCGCGCAGGCCAGTGCTCAGAAGGGAGCGTCTCTCGTTGCCGATCCCCCTTCAGCGGCTCTGGCTGCGGGTGTCGGCGCGTGGCGAGCCGTGCGACTTCATCTCGCTGTGCTTTCCTTGCAGAGACTTTGCACAGAAGCTGGCCAGCGCGCTGGCGCACAACCCCAGCTCAGGACTGCACACCATCAACCTTGCTGGCAACGCACTGGAGGACCGAGGTACCGTGGCGTCAGGCTTCGCGTGAGCCGGGCCGGGGGGCAGGGTGGCTGGGCTGTCGTGACGTGGTAACTGCTGGTTCGCTCTTGTTGGCTCTGGTCCCTTCCAGCCCTGGTGGACGCGCTCACGCCGACATTCTGGAGTGACACCAACAGAGGAAGATAGTGTTTTCGCACTATTGTATTAGGTCTTTATCACTGCGTAGCACACGCCCACCAAGCCGGCAGCCTACGGCGACTCCGGGGCACCATCCCCCTGACGGCCCCTGGCCCAGGTTGGCGGGCCCGCTGCTCAGTCTCGCGAGGCTGCCACACAGTTGCCAGCCAGGCTGTGACCTCCTGGTGACCTGGGGTCCCCCTCAAGCTCACCGGTAGGGGAGTCCCCTTCAGGCTCCAGGAAAGAGGGCCCTGTGTGCTGGCTGGTGTCCGGCTGGGCCCGGGACCCCTCCCAGGCCTCACCATGGGGCCCATTCTGCCCCGGCACGGGCTGACTGCGGTCCCCCGGCCGCCGGGAGCGCACCCCACTTTTTAGACAGAGCGGCTGGTTGGGTCAGGCCCACGTAGGACACGCTATCTTTTGATGAACTCGCGGCCAACTGCTGGGTAACCGAGTCGTGCTGGTGACACTCCATCACAGTCCTCAGATCCCCTGCCCCTCGGGGACGTCCTCTAGGGCGCGCGTGACCGGGGCAGGCGTCTTGGGGAGCTTCGTACACATCTGCCAACTGCAGACGCCTTCTGATACGTCACGAGATTTGAAAGTGAGATTCGGGAGGCGGCGCAGGGCGCGCACTCAGGGCGCGGTCGGGGTCTCGCCGACGGCGCCCACCGGGAGGGGCCCGCGGGCGAGCGCAGCTGGGCAGGCTGAGCGGGCAAACAGCTTCATCTCCGCAGCACTTCCTGATTTCATGGCCTGTCGCTAACGTTTCCCAGCCAAGTGGAGACAGGGCTTTTCCTCTTGGAATGTTGTGTATTTGATGAGGATGAATTATTAAACTGAGCCGCAGATGCTGGTAGAGACACTCCATCTGCTTTCTGCTTCTGACATAGACTTGGCTTTTCCCTGAAAAGATAGCCGTGCGGCGTCGGAGCAGCTGTTTCATGAGCCACGTCCCAGCCCCTTGGAGAGAGTCTAAGGGGAGGCTGGGCAGAACGCTGGACCCCACGGGGCGGGGTGCGGGGCAGCTCCTGGGCTGGGCCGCGGCCGGGGCCACAGTGATGCAGCCCCGGTGATGCAGCCCCGGTGCAGCGCGTCCCTGGGCAGAGCCACGCCGTTAGGAAAACCCACACAGTGGAGACGGTGACAGCGTGGGGACCGCGGGCCGCCTTCCCAGGGGCCGCCTCGGTTTTGTTTTCGTGACGAGAGGGACTCACAGTCAGCGTCTGCCAACAAGGCAGGATCGGGTCCCGGGGCCCATGACACCCAGGCGAGCGTGAACACGGGTCGCAAAGGATGGGAAACGCCAGGGAGCTCGGGTGCTCGCCGCCCGCGAGCTGGTTGTGGCGCGAGGATCCTGCTCACCGCGCCAGCTCTGCTCCTTCCCGGGGCCGTGGCGGCAGCGGCGGCTGGGACGGGCCGCGTGGCTGCACCTGCCTCCGCGAGGCCCGCGGCTGCGCGCGGCCTGGCTCTGGCTCGCCTGCTGGCCGCGGGCCTGGGGGGTCTGGCCCTGCTCCGTGGGCCGGGGCCGGGCGAGCATCTCCAGGGCGGTCGCTCTGCCCGGTTCACACGCCACGCCCCCAAGTGCTGCCCCCGCACGCTGTGTTTTCATGGCATTTTCATGACCTCGGCCTTCTCAGGAATGTCTGTCCTTTCTCCTCCCCTCCCTTTGTTCTAAATTTGATTATTTTGTTTGGAGATGATTTAGAATCCTGCCTCTGAGTGTTTTTCTTGGGCAAATGTTGACCTGAAGTACCCACATGTTTTTCTCGGGGCCGGCAGCGGGTGGCTCTGATTTTATCTTCCAAATAAGACGCGAAAAACAGATTCGGGAGCTGCCGCCTACAGCTTCCTGTCGACCTCGGAGTGCCCGCCGGGGGTCTGCAGCCGAAATCAGTGGGCTGTGTTCGGGGCTTTGCCACGTTCCTGCTGGGCTTCCTTGGACAAGTTACCTAACATCTCTGTGTCGCAGTTTGCTTGTCTCTAAAACAGATAATAATAGCCCCTGTCCCCTGGCGTGCCTGAGAATTGAGTGAGAAAAGGGCCCGTCAGGGGTACGAATAGGCTGTCACCAGGCGCGTGCGTGAGGTGCGGTCGCTTTCCCGACCTCGTTCGATTCCTGAAATAGCCCCGTGAACCGAGACAGCGCGGACAATGTCGTTCCCTCTCATGGGTGGAGAAAGCGCGTGTTTCCGTGACGTGCAGAGCCTGTGGAGTCGCGCCCACGGCCACTCGTCAGAGGCCGCCCCCCCCGTCCCCCCGCCGTCGGGGGGTTTTCCGAGGAGTCCGTCAGCCAGGCCGTTGGGGCTCCGACGGTGGCCGCGGGGCCCGACCTCCTCGGCACGTGAGGGCCGAGACGTCGGGCCCCATGACAGCCCCCGGCTTCTCCGGAGCCCGTCAACGCGTTTTCTTGTTGAGTCGCCTCACTAGTTAAAGACGCCAGGTTTGGTGACAGTTACAGCACAGGAAGTTGTTCTCTTCAGATTCGTGACAGCAGACATAGTTCACGGACACTTTTATGGCCACGCAAGGGAAAGCGTGATTGTAACAGCGGCCCGGGTGTGGATCTCGGGGCGTCGGGCAGGCGGGCGCACTGACTCCACTTTCTCCGCGGCTCTTTTATTCCTCAAGTCCTTGTTCTTGGACCTCGTTCTCGCAGCCTTTGTTTTGAAATGGAAATACTTCCCTGCATTTTATTTATTCCCTCGCTCCTCTTAGTGTTTCTGGGCGCGGCAGAGAAGCCACGGGAACTGGTCGGGACCTGAACGGCTCACACCCGCCGCCTGACGTGGGCCTGTTCCAATCTATAGTCTTCCTACCAGAGGAGAAAGAAGCCTGTTGTTCCCCGTCGCATGTTGCTAGAACCCCACAGGCAGGATTCTGTTCAGTTATTACTATTGGTGCTTTCCGTGAACACAGGCCTTCTTAAGCCTGCTTCCTACCGGGTGGGATCACTCTGATTCCAGAATGTCCGCTGCGAGAATGGGCTATGGTGCCGCGACAGGTTTCTCAGTGCGTGCATGATTAACAGTTAAATCCGCGATGTCGCATTTAATTTCCTGTGTTTATAAGTTAATAACAGTGGATGGCAAATTGCAGCACTAAACATTTCATAATTACTTTTTGAGTCGGTATGCATATTTCAAAGCAGAGGGAGCTGTAATTGTTTTGTTCTGAAAGGAGAAATAAAAACGAGAACATTTTTCTCTCCCAAGGTTGACACAGACTGCAAAAATAAGTCACCAAAGGGTAATCCAACCCGGAAAGTCTCCCAACAGAAGCTTTTAGTGGTAAACTTAGTCCTAATTCCCAGCACAGGTGGCTATGTTTCGCTTTATTTTGGGGGACAACGTGGAATAGCTTGGGCTGAACAGTGGCAACCCTTTCCTGTTGCCTCTTTGTGGGGAACGCATCCTAGCTGGCGGGTCCCCGCGCGGCTCTGTCCGGCGGTCCCGCAAGCACGCCGGGCGCGGCAGCGCGGGGCCGCTGGTTTCGTTTTTCCCGAGGGTCTCGCTGCCAGCGCCTCTCAACGGGGTCACGTTGCCAAGATCCCGAAAAAGAAGTCGGCCAAAGTGGGGACCCTCTGTGTAATAGTGTTACCTCTTTTTCGTGGGTCAGTTCTCTTTTAAAACAAAAAATCGACAGTGCGGAGCCGGTGAGGCCTCCATTCCGCTGGCCCTTTGCCTGGGTGTTTCTTTAGAGAAGGAACACAACAGGGCAGTGGCGTGCAGATACCTGGGGACTGAACACATTTATCAAGAAAGAAGCTAGTGACGTAGCCTGCCATTGGACAAAAACTACCTGAACCAGCGAATCTTGTACCTGCGCCTTTAGTCTCCTTCACCTTGAGTCCTGTTTACCTAAAGCAGGTAAAGTTTCCAGCTTTAGGAAGCGTTCAGTCGGGTGTGCCCCGCACAAAAGGATTTACGACGGTCACGTCCTCAAAGAACAAAGCAAAACCACTCCCGCCAGCCCGAGTGCCGTCCGCCCGCGGGCCTGAAGGTGAGCGAAAAGTCTCAACTGCGCTCCGACTGCGAGGCTTTCAGAGCCGTTCGAAGGTGTGCAGCTGGGCTTGGGAGAATTTTTTAAACATGGTTAAGCATAAAAATACATAAAAGAATTAGTCACAAGGAGGCAGCGATGACTTTGATGAAAACTAGGAAGTGAGACTCCGGCATCTAAGACCACAGCCAGGTTGAGAGGGAGGCACGGAGATTTCCCACCTACCCCCTGTCCCCACCGTGCCCAGCCTCCCCGTCACCAGCACCCCCGCCAGAGGTCACACTGGTCACGGCGGGGGACCCTGCAGGGACCCATGGTCGCCACGCGGAGTCCGTGGTTTACATTAGGGCGCCCCCTTGGAGCTGCGCGCTCTGTGGGCTTGTCCGAGTTGATAAAGGCGTGTTGGTTGCTACAGGGTCGCACGGAGCGTTTCCACCGCCCCAAAATCCTCTGTGTGTCCCGTTCATGCCCCGCCCACCCACCCCCACCCACGCTCCCTGGCACCCGCTGATCTTTGCACCGTCTCCGTAGTTTTGCCTTTCCCAGAAGGCCATGTAGTTTGGGGGGTAAATACCAAGGTGCGTATGTTGAGAGTGTGTTTAGTTTCATAACAAATGAAACGCCAAGCTGTCCCGCTCAGTGGCCGCGCCGCCTGCACACCCCGCAGCGGGGACGGGCGCTCCTGCCGCCGCACGGCCTCCCGATGTGGCGGCGGCGCGGCCCCAGCTCCTGGCCCTTCCGATGGCTGTGCCGTGGTGCCGCGCTGCTGTTTCCGTTCGCATTTTCCTGATGGCAGATGGTGTGGAGCATCTTTCATTTGCATCCTTGCCGTCTGCACCTCTTCTCTTTGGTGAGGTGTTTATTAAGGTCTTGGCTCATTTTTCAATCGGGTTGTTTGTCTCATTGTTGAGTCCTGAGAGGTCTTTGTATATCGCGGGTAGCGTCCGTGACCAGATGTGTCTGCGGCAAATATTTTCTCCCAGGCCCAGGTCTGTCTCCTCGTTCTCCTGACGTTGCCTTCCACAGAGCAGGGTGTTTTCACTGGGGTGAAGTTCAGCGGGTCAGTTATTCCTTTCAGGGATCGTGTCCTTGGCGTTGTATCTGAAAAGCCATCGCCAAACCCAAGGCCGTCTGTAGTCCCCCCTGCTAGTTTCCACACCAAACTTCGAAATGAAATTTGTCAGTGAAGCATAATGTGCATTCAGAGACGTCCACGAACCCCAAGTTTACATCTTAATGAATTTTAAAAAACGGCGTGCTCCCCCGCAGTGACGGCCAAGATCGGGAGCTAGAACGTGGCCAAGGCCCCACGGTGTCCCTTCGTCACCCAGAAAACACAACCCTCTTCTGGTCGTGTGGGGGTAGACCAGCCTCGTTGGTTCTCAAACGTCCTAGGTACAGAATCGTAGGCTACGTGCTCTTTCATACTGGGTTTCTTTTGCTGGTCCTCGTGGAGCGGTTTGTAACAACGGGCTTGTTTTCTGGAGTACCTCGAGGACCGTTGGGATGATCTCTTCCTTCTTCCGTCGGCCTGGCCTTTGGAGGAACGGCGTTCTGACAACCACTCCAGCTCCCCTGCCCCTGCTGTCACCTTGTTAGTTATTAATTCTTTTACAAGAACGTATCCACTAAATCTCAGGCCTGCCCACGCTTTGCAATTAATAATATGGATTAGCATATTCACATCTGTAGAATCATTCAGATAAAAAATCTGTTTCTAACATTATTTAATCCAGTGATTGTCAATGGATTTGATGGTGCAACTCCAGAGAGATGGGCCGGAGCTCCTAGGACACCCGCCGCCTCTGGGGGACCCACCCAGGTCCCTGGCCAAGCCGCACGGTCTTTGGTTATTCTTGGTGAACTTCGGCAGAACCTGCGGGGCACCGGGGTGACGGGTCGGGGGGGGCACACCTGCGCAGGGGTCCCCAGCGCTGGCTACTCTTCTGCAGCAGGTGGGCACAGGCACGCTCACACTCACACTCACGCGTGCAACTTCTTCCGCCCGGGAAGCGGTACGTTCGTGGCCGCCCGTGGATGAGAAATAACAAAAGGTCGCGTAGCTGTTAAATCTAGAGACTGCCTGGCTGTCCGTACCGTCAACTCCCCGGGAGCTCAAGTTACGAAACCGGCCTCGGGGACGTCGCGACACGCTCAGAAGCCTTGTCTGAGGTGGTTCGCCGGACGCCAGTTTAAGCATGGGAATCCATCCGCTAAGGCAGAGCTGTTCTCCGAACGCTTTGGAGCCCGCTGGTTTTCTGGGCAGCAGTTACGTGGCGGGCGTGCGTGTGCGGCCCCGGGGCCCGGCGGGCGCACCCAGATACGGGTCCCGGGGAGGAGGGGGCGACGACACCGCTCCTCCCGAGAGGGTTTGCCCTGGAGACAGGGCTGTGAGGGGAGCGTGCGCTTGGTCCAAAGAAAACCGTCTCTGATGGAAAAGTTCTGATGTTGTTGCCCTTAATGAGGTGCCCTCCCTTCTCTCCAGCCCGATAGGACAGAAAGAGGAGGCGGCGGGGCGGTCGATGGTTCTCAAACGAGGTCTGACATCAGAAAGCAAAAGTGACCCCTCACATTGGAATCGGGTCTGGGTCTGATTTTCGGGCCTCGGGGAACCGCGGCCGTTGCGGGAACGTGAAGACCCTCATCACCTCTTTTTCTCTTCCTCAGGTGTGTCCTCTTTAAGTGTTCAATTTGCCAAACTCCCGAAGGGACTAAAGCATTTAAATTTATCTAAAACCTCATTGTCGCCTAAAGGTACAGTATCTCTTATTTATTTAACTTTACGTCTGTGATCGTTCTGCTACCTGTGCTACCTTAAGTAGATTCATGGCTCGGTTACGTGCCTGCCTTTAAAATACACGTTTTACCACATTCTCGTAGTTTTAAGATGCAGTTCTGTGATTGGAATTGTGTTTAATGGTCTAAAGTTAAGTGCTTTCAGAGTCCAGAGTAACTGGGAAATACACGTGCAGTCTTTAGCTTTTTCACAGGAGTCACGGAATGCGTCTCCGCTTCCCCTGCGCCCCCCACCCTCCTGCCGCGGCCCCCTCCGGCCCGCGCCCCGGCCCCCGGCACCCGCTTTCCTGCTCTTGGGTCGCCCTTCCCCCAGGTCTCTCCTGACGCCCGCCCTCCCCTCACGTGTCCTGAGGCTCCTCAGGCCCCGTGCTTGCTTTCTGTGTCGCTTCCGCAGCCCGCGGTGAGGGCGGACGTCTCGCTGTGCGCACGCGCCTCGGCACGAGCCTTCCAGTGTGTGAAAGTTCTCTTTCCTCCTGTGCACAGACAACGCCCTCTCCTCCCGCGTGCCCCTTCCCTGCGTGTCTCCTCTTCTCCCCACGCCCCATGCCGCGCTCGGGTCCTGGTCCCCAGACGGGCGCCCCGCACCCGCCCGCCCTTGACGCCAGCCGTGTCATCGGCTCGGCTCTGACGCCGTCGGCAGGTGATGGCGTCGGGGCCGTGGCTGAGGGCTCAGCCCCGCTGGCTGCCGCCCCTTGTCCTGCTGCTGACGTCCAGTCGAGGCCGGGTGACCGGAGGGTCCGAGGACCCCGGCCTCGATTTGGCGAACTGGCGGGAGCGGCCCACGTTGCTCAGGGAAACCCCTCCTTACGTTTCCCAGTCTGCTGACGGGTGTGGCGCGGGACACAGATGAGCAGCCACCTGAGGGGACGCACAGGGCAAGGGCTGGGCGGTCGCCCGCGGGTGTGGACGCGGTCACCGGCCTGGGAGCTCCCAGAGCCCCCTGCTGCTGGGACGTAATGGGGGCTTCCTCTCCTCGGCACGATTAATCATTAACCCCATTTCCAGCCCCTCTCCCGCTCTCGGGAGGAGGAGGAGGCTGCCAGGGCCTGGGGAGCCGCGTGCTGGGACCGGCAGCGGGGACAGCCGCACGCGCCTTCTGTGGTCTCGTGCGCCCCGGGACCTTGGAGGACTTCAGCTATTTTATAGAACCTTCTCGGGTGACCCGCCCTCTGAGGCGGGCTCCCCCCGCGGGGAGCAGCAGCTTCATTGCTCCTGCCGTTGCGTTCGTTCTGGACCACGTGTTGGGGCGCGAACGTGGCGTCTTCCCGCGCGAGGGGCTCACGTCCGCAGCCCCGGCCCCATCCCTGCCGCAGGCCCCGCCGCTGTGCCTGCTCGATGAGAGTCTGCGCATGAGCGGCTTGCCGCCTCGTGCACCTGCCGCAGTCTCACGAGGGCAGCGGACGCACTGAGTGAGCGTCAGTCACACGCAGACGGACCGAGCCGAGCCCGGGCTCTTCCACTCGCTGTGAAGGTGCCTCACCGCCTCGGGGGTCCTCGGGCACCTCAGGCGGATGCAAGTGTCTGCTTCATCGCAGGGGCGGGGCTATGTGGGCCGATTTGCATACGGTGCAGTTTTTGGCACAAAGGGCCACTGTCACCACCACCACCATCCTCACCACCATCATCATCCTCACCATCCTCATCATCATCACCACCATCATCATCCTCACCATCACCATCCTCCTCCTCCTCACCGTCGCCACCATCACCATCATGTGCTCTCACAGTTTTTAGCTTTGCTTTCATCTTGGCCTGGGGCAGCCTCTGCGTCCCTTGGGGGCCTTGCCCCGCCCCCTGCCCCTGCGTCCCTTGGGGGCCTCCCCCGCGCCCCCCGCCCCCGGCGGCGCAGCTCTGTGGAGGTTCCTTCATTTCGGTGCGTTTCCCGCTGTGCCCTCCTGGCGTGCCCGCTCGGGAGGTCCTGCCGAGTCTGGGCGTTGCCTCGCTCCCCGCGGGCCCGGCTCGCTGTGGGCTCCCCCTGCAGGGGCCACGGGTGGGCGGTGAGACGGCGTGGCCCCTGGCGGCTCCACGTCCGCCCGGTCGTGCCCTGTGCGGACACACAGCCTCGCTAAGAGGGATCTGAAACAGGCTCAGTCCCGCGAGGCCCATGCCTTCATGACGCACATTCGCACACACGTGTTTAAACTCCAGGCATAGGAGTGAATTTCCGAAGGGGGAGGTTTCCCTGGAAATCAGCGTTTCTGTCCTGGTCCCCGAAGCCGTCGACAGGCCGAAGAGCCCGCCGGTCCCTTCACGTCACCACTGCTGAGTCTCAGCAAATCAGTTTTATGAGAACCCTTAATTTTTATGGTTTTTGATATTGAAGATTAACAATGCAGTGCATATTTGGGGGAAAGATTTAGAAGATACTCAAAAATATAAGGAATCAAAAATCACTTGTGACGTCAGCGCCAAACCTTCATGCGCTTCTTGCCGTTGACCGTTCGGTGCCCGTCCCTCCGCACGTTGTCACGTCTGTCATGGTTCCTTTACACACAGTCCGACACACACAGACACGCACACGCGTGCACGCTGTGTTTCACATGTCATGAACTTTCCCCGCATTTTATACATTGTGCTTGTTTCTGTCAACACACACGTGGTCACTTTCCGCGGCTGCACGATGTCCCAGCGTGTGGGAAACGGTCCATCATTCATTTACATGAGCTCTTACCGTTAATCCTTCCGTCACACAAACAGCTCACGTGGCCATATGTGAATTTCTTATTTGGCCTAAAAGCCTATAAGCAGAAGCACTAAATCCAAGAGTTCGCACATTTTGAAAGCTCTTTAAAAAGACATTTATCGTCACTGCGTCTCCTCCAAGGATTTTGCAGAAATCTCTTTGCCCTCCCCCTTCCCCGGTCAGTGTTCTTTTTGGTTTTTGGTGTTTCTCAGGCACAGAGGCGAAAGCATCGAGATGCTTCCATTTCGATCTGTTCGTTTGCGGCTTTGGCCTCGTTCCTCGCTGCTCCACATTCGTTCGCTTGCTTTTGGGGGGATGAGCTAGTTCCCATCTTTACTGACTTCCCTTACAGAGTTCATCATCTTTCTTAGTTTATTTTAGTTCTCCACATATTAAAAGTATCCATAATTGATCATGTGCTCCGTAGGCTTAACTCTGTTTAAGAGTGAGATTAAACATGGGTCCTATTTATTTAACTTATTTGTTCATCACTATAAAACAGACCAAGGGGTTCAGTGATTACTCACCCCGCTCCCCTGCCCACCAGGACGCGTCCTGGCTCAGAGCCACAGCGACGCCCCGCCGCGCACCCAAGGCCCGGTCCCTCCGCGTGCAGCAATGGCGGAGGGCCCCCCCGCTCCATGGGGAAGGAGGGTGCCCCCGCGCTCCCTGCACATCACAAATAAAGCCCCCGCGTCCCTCTCTTCCCTGCCGTGTGACACGTGCCGTGGGCATGAATATTGTTCATAACACGTGACCCCTGGAATTTTAAGTTGCCTCTTTCAGAACGTGCGCCTGGAAGTGCTGTTTTGCCGGAACGCGGGTTTCCGAAGCTGCCGCTGGGGCCTGGCCGCCTGCCGCGGAGCCGACGGTTTGCAGGCCCGGGCACGCAGGCTCCGTGTGGTTGTGAGCTCTTGATGAATTCGACTAGCGTTTCTATTCTCGTTGTCGGGAGACATTTATAGCCAGAGCTCCGGAATTCAGGGAGGGCTTTTTTAAATGTCCCCACGACACCCACACTGTCCCCAAACACGCTGCCTCCTCCTCAGATGTTCGCGAGGACCGTGCCCTGGGCTCCCAGTGGCCGCCCTGCTGGTGGCCGGGTGTGCGGGCTCAGGCCGTCTGCTCCGGCTGCTTCCAGCTGTGACCCTGCAGCAGGACCCGGCAGGGGTGGGCTGGGACAGTTCCCATCCTGCATTTTTGGGTTTTCTGCTGCTCCTGTGCCTCACTGAGCCCATGGATATGGGCCCGCGAGGGGGCGGGGGACCCTCATTCTGTTCAGGAGCAGGAGGCCAGGCGGCGGGTGGGACCCTCTCTGCCGGCGTCTGAGCCGGACTGGCCGGCTGCCGGGCACCGGCACAGTCAAGGGCGTGTGCGGCCGAGGCTTGTCCGACTTGCTGATTTCGGAATTTATTTACTGACGCTTGTTACACCCACTAATGAAACGGTTTTACAAATGATTGTCTTCATGAGAGCCTGGCATCAGCATGTGCCTGGGACTCGGGTCTTCCCTGATGGGACATGTCCACGGTGCCAGCGATGGGCAGGCCGGAGCAGCCGGACCCCTAGGCCCTCACAGAGGTTGCCCCCAGAAAACACGCGTCCTCCAGACCGCGCGGGCCTCTGCCTCAGACCCGGCCAGCCCGCTCGGGCTCTGCTCCCCATGCCTGCGGCTGTCTGACCACACGGCATCCCTCCGCGCCCGTGTCTCCTGGGTCCGGCCATCGGGGGGGGTGAGGTGGCCGCCCCCGGTCCCCGAGGTCCATGCTGGGCCCAGCAGGCTTCCCTCAAGGACCTGCTGCAGCGAGTGAGGGTTCCCTGTGTGCGCTGCCTTTCCACCCGGGAGTTTGTTTTCTTTGAACTTTTTTTGAGGACAAAGAACGGGTCCTCGTTACACAAACCCTGGTCCCCGGCCTTGCGTAAACATGTTATGAGCACTTAATAAAGGCTGAGTGGATATTAAGCGTCAGTGAAATATTTCCCGCTCCGCCCACCTCTCCGCTCCGCACGGCCTGGCCCCGGCGACCTGCTCGGCCGCACGCGGGGTCGCGTCGTGGCGCCCGCCTGCCCTTCGCTGGGAGGGCCCCTCGTCCCGGCGGAGCCGCTGCCCACCTGCGGGCAAAGCCCCCTTTCCTGTTTCTCTTCAGGGACAGCCTGGGATCCTCAGGAGTTTTACGGAAAACATCGAAGAACAAAATGATTTCTAAAAGTACGCTCAGTTTAGAAGGAGCCGTATTTCCCACACGCACAAGGAGAACTTGGCGCTTTAGCGAGAACACAAAGAGCTGGCAGTGCCCCCGCCCCGCCCCCCCGTCAGGTCAGGGACAAGGACTGTGGCCGCCCGCGTGGCCCCCGGGCCCTCCTGCAGCCTGCGCTTCCCACGGACACCGCTGTCCCGCGCAGGACTGGCCCCCGTCCCCGCCCCGTGTGTCCCCTCCTGGTTTCTGGGGCCGTGTTTCCCGTTTCGTTCCGCTGACTCTGCCGAGCGCTGGTGCCGGGACCGGCGTGGGCAGCGTGAGGAGTGCGGACGGACAGCGTCGCCGGGGCCGCTTGTTATGCTCTGGGGGTGCCCCTGCCCCCCGCCGGGTCCTGCCCCGAGCGCCCCGCGCCCGGTGGGGCGGCGCCCGCCCACGGCCCCACGCTTCAGGAGCTCGCGTGCCTGCATGGCCCGCATCCCCGATGCCGCACACGAGCCCCGGGGGGGCTGCCGGCAGGGAGGGTTTGGGGAAAGGGAGAAACGACTGGGTCACCCCTGTTCTCGGACTTCAGAGTAAAACCCGCTCTGTCCTCAGCAGAAAAAGCGACGCCGTGGCCCGTGTTTCTCCCGCTCGGAGGCTTGGCCGCTCCGTGACCGACCGGTCTTCCCCGGGACGGCGCGCGCGGCCCGCGCCAGCCCCGCAGCTGGACGGGGCTGCTGGGCGCTCTGTAGAAGCTCGCAGACCAGACCGATCGAGCCTCCTGGAGCGGAAGCTGAGCCGAATCTTCTCGCTGTTTCAGGGGTGAACAGCCTTTCCCAGTCACTCAGTGCCAACCCGCTGACCGCCACCTCCCTCACCCACCTCGACCTCTCAGGGAACACCCTCCGCGGAGATGACCTCTCGGTAGGTTCCCCCCTCGCTGAGCGGCCAAGTGGGGGTGGCTCCTACGCGTGGCTTTCTAGCGTCTGTCCCGGCACTTGGCTGTGAGCTTATGCAACGTCTTAGGGAAGAGTTTCAGGGACTTCCGTAATGAAACGTGGTCTATCACGTAGACTTTTTTTTCTCGTCCTCATTTTATGTTGCTGAAGTTTAGGTGCTTTTTGGAGCTCCTTTTTTTTTGAAGGTGTTTTTTTCTTGGTTTAAAAACATTGTTGCCCCTCTTGAAGTGGCCCCATAGGAAGGCTGGGACGCGTGATCGGAGCTTTTTCGTCACTGGACAAAACTGTTGGGGACACGCGTAGTTGGTGTGTGGTGGGCTGTTGACCGGGGCTGGGGGGTCCGGCGGAGACGGGGCCCTTGTACCGTCTGAGTCACAGGGGAGCTTCCCCGTAGGGACAGCGTCAGCCCCAGATGCGGTCGGTGGTCCCCTCTGGTCACCGTCACAGAACGTAGAAGGGGTGCCTCCTTACCAGCAGGGCCACCGGCGAGGGGGCGTCTTCGCGGGGCCTCCCTCTCCGGCGGGTGAACAGGGGGACGTCCCTTTTCACCTCCCTTTCGCATCCACTCCCCAGAGGGCAGGGCCCCCGGTGGCTCTGCCGTGTCCCTCCCACGTGACACCCTAGACAGCGCCCTCGGCCGGTGCCGCGCCTTCCCGGGCGCTGCCCAGTTTTCCTTGCGCCTTCACGGAGGCCTCATCCACCTGCTGCGCCCCAAGGTGACAGGGGTCCGATGCGGGGCCACCGACCCCCACAGCGGCCAGCGCGAGGCCTGGCCGAGGGCCGCTCCCCGCGGGGAGGGGCATCGCAGGCGCCGGGAGGCCTTGCCTGGCCCGAGCCTGAGTGTCCCCCACGCAGGGTCAGGTCACCACGCGAGGCGATGAGAGCTCCCCCCGCTGGTGGCCGGGAGTAACACCGCACGCCAGGCGACGCGGGAGAAGCCCAGGGAGGGCCTTCTGAGCACGTGCAACGCACGCTGTCGTGTGTCATCGGCGGACGCTGGCAGTGGCTGCTCGCACTGTAGAGAATTGGGCAACGAGGGGCTGGCAGAGCAGAGACTCGCTGATTTTACGGTGCCCATGACCTTGCGCAGGGATGGGGGCTTCAGGCCCGGGCCCCCCTCCCCCCCGAGCCCTGACGTGTCCTAGCCTCGTGCGGGGGAGCACACAGCGCACCGGGCAGCGCGGGCCCCCCTCCTCCTGCCAGGCCTTGGGAACGACTGACGGGAGGAGGAGCCTGAGCTGGGACACGGGCGTGGGGCCGAGCGTGACCTTCGTGGTTCAAATCCCCAGCAGTGGCTCTTCGGGTGCTTCCAAACGTGGGGGGCCTTTTCGTGGGGCGACCGCCATGCCGGGCTCTTCCGTCTTGGCGGTGAGAGGCCGTGGGCGCTGTTCCCAAGTTCTAGAAGCGGGGCCCAGTGGGGACGGTAGCACACGGGCAACGAGCGGGGAGTGTACAGCCAGCGGTCCATTCGGCCCTGTTTTTCCTTATATGTGATTTTTATTTTAACTACATTTAGGATTTTTTTGCTCTCCAGGAAGACACCCGAATGGCACAGGACCCTGCTCTTTCTCTTGGGAACACCGGAGGGCAGCGCGGGGAGGCCGGGGCGGCTTCATTCTGAGGCGGGGACCTGCCTTGTGTGTGCGCTTCTGAGCCCTGATGTGTTTGCTTTCTGTTTTTCGTTTCAAGCACATGTACAGCTTTTTGGCCCAGCCCAACGCCCTTGCTCACCTGGATTTATCCAACACCGAGTGCTCCCTGGACATGGTAATGTTTTTGTTTGCCCTGGGGGGCGGGGGTCCTCGCCAAGGAAGGGCCCCGCGGCCCCGAACGCCGCGGGAACAAGGCGCCTCCGTCTCCGCAGGTGTGCGGCGCGCTGCTCCGCGGGTGCCTCCAGTACCTGGCCGTGCTCCGCCTCTCGCGGGCCGTCTTCTCGCACCGGTACGGCGCTCCCCCAACCCCCGCCCCGCGGCCCTGTTGCGCGGGGGCCTCTCTCCGCCTCCTGGGGAGACCTGTCAGGTCCTGACAACAGAGTGTCAGAGGGTGGATGTTGTGCGTGGGAGGAGGGCTCGGTCTCGAGTGACCGGCGTCGCGGTGTTTGCCGTAGACCCTCGCCGCGTGCCGCGGCCGCTGCCGTGGCGCTGCGCTGTCGGACGCCATCCACGTCTTCCCACTGTGCCCGAAGGGGACGTGTGTGGAAGCCGTAGCCATTTCTTTGGGGAGTTTCGTCTTTCTTCTGATACTTGGTCAGGAAGGATTAGAGCTGTGGGCGGGACATCCGTGCCAGTGAGACCGTGTTGCCCCTCAGCTGCTGTCCGGCCACAGTCTGGTTGCGTCCAGAAACATTGCCAGGTGCAGCGGCCTAACCCCAGTATTTTCATCGACCTCCCGTTTCTTAAAAACCCAAGCACGGAGTTTTCTAAAGTTCTGATGCCTTTGAACTCAGCGAACGATGAGTTCATCGGCCGCAAAGAATAGGAATCAATTGTGTTCAGGACTTCACGGGACGTCTTAACTTCTCTTACCTCGTGCCTCTCGTTGGGCTGGACTAACTTACTTAGCTTTCGCACATTGTGTTTCCGTTTACCCTGACATTTCTACGGAAGGCGTCACTGATCTGGGGCTCGCGTCGCAGGGCGCGGACAAGCAGGGGGATGATTGGGGGGTGAGGGCGGCCGCCAGGCTGACGCTGGGCTTTGTTTTCCAGGAAAGGGAAGGAAGTGCCGCCGTCGTTCAAGCAGTTTTTCAGCAGCTCCCTGGCCCTGGTGCACATCAGCCTCTCGGGCACGAAGCTGCCCCCCGAGCCCCTGAAGTGAGTGAGCCGGGGTCGGGGTGTCCCTTTCCTCCTGCGAAAGCTCGGCTTGGGGTCACGAGTGCGCTCGAGGGGAGGGAGGGGATGTGCGGCCCCAAGACTGAGGCGTGGTTTTTATGGGCTTTGGGGCAGAAGGAGATCTGATTCTTCGGAGGGCGCTGTGCACGGTTGACGTGCTGGCCTCCTGGGTGGGCGATGAAGCCCCCCCCCCAACCCCCAGGGGCCCGGGGCAGAAGGCGCCCAGCAGCCGCGGGGGTCGTGTTCCCAGGGGCAAGTTCCTGTCGGTGAACCCCCGTTTAGTTCACTCCGGGTATATCCTCGCACGCGTGTGTTTTTAATCAATACCCTAAATATTCCTACCAGCAGTAATAATCAAACGCTACACACACGTGCACCCTCGTCGATTTCTAGGTGCTTTCAGGCGTCTCCGTGGTATTTAACGTGGCAGACGGCGCCTGTTTGGGGCTCACGCCTGCAGTGTGGGTGTCGCGCTGAAGTTCAACTTTTTAGCTAAATTAGGGTTCAAGAATAAATTATCATCCTTGACGTTGCTGCTCACCATTCCCAGAAATCATGCAAAGGGCTATAGAGCCAAGCGCTTTCTGAGTCTAAGGAGCGTGTCGGTAGGCACATGTGGATCTGCGTGGTCAGGCACGCTCCGGGGCTGTGCGCCCAGACCTCTCCCGCCTCAGCTGGCGCGCGAGTCAGCACTGAACTTTTCCCTCGTGACCTGTATGAAGAGTTTGAGTTGCGCCTGCTGTTTGTGGTGCTAGGACATTAATCTTCATCTAGCTTATGAACGGCCTTTTCTTTTTTCTTTCTGAGAGGCGAGGAATCCTGGGTTACCACCTGCCACACAGGTCCCTGTGGCTGAAACTTGGGCGCGTTTCCCTATAGCAGGTCCGGCAACGTGCTTAAGAAACAAGTCTGACGTTATCGCTGGCCCCTTCCTTTGCAACGCAGAATTGACCCATGAGAGGTCTCCAGGTGTGACTGCCGCAAACCCAGGCTGTTTGTGCAGACGTCAGGGAAGCCGCTGGAGCCGGTGTTCCGGGGGGCGCTGTGCTGTCCCCGGCGGGCGCAGGCGGGCCTCTCCTGGGCTGAGTGCCGCCTCTGTGCACACTGAGGGGTGCCCTGGGGCCGCTTGTCCTGGTGGGTTTGCAGCAGGAGGGTCCTGCCCCGTGTCAAACAGGAGCAGGTGACAGGGCCTCGTCCCCGTGCTGCGGAAGGCAGAGGCGCAGTTGGCAGATTGAAAAGGGAGGCAGGCGCTGGGGCCCCGTTTGGGCCTGCCCGTGCCTGCGCGGTGACCGGCGTCTCCTCCCCGCAGGGCGCTGCTGCTCAGCCTGGCCAGCAACCACAACCTGAAGGCGGTGTCCCTGGACCTCAGCGGCTGCGAGGTAAGGACGCCTGGGGAGGCACCCGGGGGGAGAGCGGCCTCACCTAGTTTGTCTTTGTTCCTGGAACTGCTGTGACTCGAGAGAGCGTCAGTGAAGCAGAGAAGGGCATCTGACGTTCGTGGTTTGTGGGTTTTGTCTCCAGACAGCCCCGGCTCCCCGTTCAGAAAGCATTCAAGTGTGTTTTTAATGATTTAGGGGAGGGAAGCCCCCATTCTTGGGGCCAGTTGCTGAAGTGTCTTTTGGTGAAACCTTGAGACACAAAGTGGATGAGACAGCGCCCCCAGCAGGGGACTGACGCGAACCACAAACCGGAATTTGTGAGGGAGAAAGCCTGTCTTGTCCCCAACTTCACTTCATAACGTCTTGATTCAAAACAGGAAAATTAAGATGCTTCTCCGAGCAGTTCCAGGCACTGCCTGTCAAAGACACAGAGCGTAGAATTGAGACTAAAGGTCTCTGTATTTTGAAGGTGCCTGAACGTGACCATCTGGAGACTTTTGTTTTGTGTGGGGAGTAATAAGAAAAGGCCCCGGGAACAAGCCGGCAGCCTCTTCAGAGCCGGCTCCCTCCAGCACGTCCAGGGCGGCCCCTCCTCGGCCTGGGGCAGAGCCTGTGCCGTCCCCGGGCCGGACGCCCCCCTCCCCAGCCTGCCCCCTCGAGGGTCTAGCCCAGGCCCAGTCTCCCCCGACCTGCGCATCTGTCCGAGCGTGGGCGGCGCCAGCTGTGTGCCCCGGCTCCGGCTTCCTGCCACATGCACACCCGTGTTCCTGGGGGATTTGCATCCCAAATTGGAGGCTGCACTCTTTTGCGTCTCTGAGGACCACGCGAACAGGCGGCGACGCGAACCTTTTATTCACAGACAACATCTGTACTCAGAGAAACAACTTCTGTGTTCCACTTTCTTCCCCCTTTTCCTTGGTCTTTCAGGACCGACGAGGAGTGATTTCTCTTCCCTGAGAAGCGTAGTCAGAGGGCGGGCACTTGGGACTCGGAAGGGCCCCTTTGACAGGGGCCCGGCCCCTGGCTCGTCAGGGGGCTCACCTTCCTCAGGCCTTGTTTCTCGCCCGTGGGGCCGAGGGCGCCAGTGCAGGGGTGGTGTCGGCACGTCGCGGAGCCCGGCAGCACGTGTGGGCCACTGTCCGGGGCGGGGGCGGGGGCGCTACAGAGAAGCCACACGTTTGTGTCAGTGGACGCTAACGCTGCCTTTCTCAAGACATCCGTGTACAAGCGTTGAAATGCTCCGTATTTATCGAGACAGCGTTTTGGGCATCGCCCACAAGCTATTTTCGATCTTTAAAGGAAAGTTAGTCTCAGCCCATATATCGTCACGGCTGCCATCGGACACAGAGCCGCCTTCGCCACCCCGCAGCAGCTCCTGGGTGGCACTCAGAGGGCTGGACCCGGCGTCTGTGCAAATGCCCCGGGGCCGGGGACGCAAGTGTGTCAGCCGTGGTGCATGGGGCGGCCGCGCCGGCGTTTGGGCGCTTCCCCCATGGACCGTCTCCTTGGAGGGAGGCGGCGGGTCCGGGCACATCAGCCTGTCTGTAAAAACCTTACCACGTGCAAGGGAAGAGGGGAGACCTGGGAGCAAATGGGATGCGGCCGAGGGGACCGGTCGCGGGCCTGGCGTGGGACTCGGCGCACACACTCGCAGGGGCTCCTGATGGTGAGCAGAAACAGAGCCCCAGAGGGCAGGCAGTCCCGTCCCTGGGGCAGGCATCCAGGCGGCTCTGAGGCCGGAACGGGGGTCGCATCCCCGCGCCCCTCGCGGGCCCTCCGGTGTGAGGCGCGAGGACGGCTCCCAGACAGGGTTCCGGCTCGGGGACCCATGCGGAACCGTGCGGCAAGGCAACTGGTCTCACCCCGGACGCGATCACGTACACGTGCTTTCCTTAGCTCCTACGTCGCCTTCTGACCTCGAACCCGGCCCACAAGCTCCACAGCAGGATCTTGCCAAACCAATTTTTGTCCTCAGAGAAACCTGTGAGAAAATTTCCCAGGATGACAATTATTATTATTATTTTTTTACCTTAAAACGGGAACTGGTAGAAGAAAAGTGATCATGTAGGGGGCTATTTTATATTTAAATTTATAATAGTTGCCACACCTTTTTAAAAGGCACAGGATCTTGAAGATGGAAAATGAATTTTGGGATGTTTTCTCTAGATTTTAGCGTCTTTGCTGCTCTTGTCCCCATTTTGAATGCTTGAGTGTTAAATGTCGCTGCTCACTGAGAACTAGGCGTAACCTCTGAAATATTCCAGCTTCCTTCATGGAGGGGACACTTTGGTCCCGAAAGAAATGTGATTGCATTTTTAACCGGCAAGCGGGCAGGGGTCAGCTGCACGCGCCCCTCCCGGACCTGCCTGCCTCCACACGCAGCTGCCTGCTGCCTGTCGGTTCCAAGAAGGGCCACCGAGAGAAACCAGCGGGCCTCTCGTTATGCAAATGTGTGCAAATAAGGTTCATTCTCAGCCTGGGAAAAGCTTGTACTGTTTGGGAAAAGCTTTCGCACTGGGGGAAGTGCAGGCATCGAATAACCTGTGAATTTAATCCAGTGCTCTTGGTAACTGACGATTATTTTCGTGTTTAAATTTTTGATTTTTTGTTTTGGGAGCAACTTTCAGTTGGAAGTGTTTCTTTTTCCCCCCTGCTGACTCTTTGCTGTTTTACATTGTGTATCGATAGAGACTTTAGCTTCCTTAGTCTTACTCTACTGACTGCCAATAACATTTTTGTTTTTTCCCCTTGGGCTTCCCTTAGCTTGGCCATTGTGTAAGTACTTCATGAACTGATCGACTGGTATATATTGATATACGTGATTATTTTTAACAATTGGAAGGGTTATTTTTATGGGTTATATGATACAAATATTATCCGTCCAGAGTTTTTATAAAATAAACCAAGTTGAGGGCTTTAACGTCATCTGTATTTTCCATAATTGTAAATGGAGTATTTTAGCTATACTTTATAATGACAGAAGATAGAGGGGTTTTGTAGAAAATTTATTTTTCAACAGAGAAATCACCAACAGCAAGCAATGAAATTGTAAAGACTCAGGCACTTTTGCTTATCTTCTCAAAAGCACATTTTTTGCATGGTCTGAAAATCAAATTATGTTTCTTTGAAGTGCTTGCCTAATTATCCTTGTTTTAACTACATGCACATTCATGTCAAGTACTAACAAGCCGTGACCCTGAGCCGTGCTTCTCAAAATTATTTGCAGAGAAGAACCTGATTTTTAATTTTTTTACGCTTCCAAACTATAATAAATCCATACTTTTGCAAAAATTTAAAGAGATGTAGAAAGGACAAGCCCTTCATTTTTATTGTGAGGCGTAACATACCTGAAATTATCATTACCAAGGTTTCTAAAATAATTATGGTCAACTTCTGTACCCTCTCGTCTGAGAGGCGGTGGCGTCTGAGACCCTCCTGGGGAGGGTCTCCAGGGGGCGGATGAGGTGGGGGCGGGAGCGCGGGGGGGGGGGGGAGCTGCGTGCTCCCGGGAGAACAGTACCCCACGCTGGCTGCTGACCCCAGAGAACAGGAAGCTGGAGGAACTGGAAGGTTTTTGTCCAGGGCACCCAAAAAATAGTGCTTCTAAGATAGTGAAATAAAGATTCTTTAAATTGTTACATCAGCACTGGAACAAGTAGAAAATAGCACCTTGTGTTATAAATTTGGTATAGCAGTTTATGTAAATTTTAATTTCCTCAAGTAAATAGAGAAACTGCCACAATCCTTGGTACGTAGGAGGTCCCCAATAAGTGACAGTTTCTTTCCCGTTAGACAGTGAGTTGGCTGAACACGGTGGCCGCCTGTTGGGAAGCTTTCGCCCAGCACAAGGCTTCCCACAAGTAGGAACTCAGAGACTTGCTGAAAGGAACATAAAAAGATATTCCAACCTCTGGAGACTATGCTTTTGGTTTCATGGAAAAAGATGAAAACGTGGGTTTTATAGGTTGTCCTTCTGTTTGGAATAAACTAGATTTTTGGAATAACCCACTCCTAGTTTTGGTGGAAGCCGCCCACAATGGTCATAATTTAGATGAAGAAAACAAACATCTTTTCTCCTGTGGCCCAATGCGCTGGCCCAGGCCCTCCTGTGACCGTATTCTGCCACACACTGGCCGCTGTGCCCCGTGGGCCCGCGCGCCGTTCCTGGGGAGCGGTTAGGGTCGCGTCCTCCCTGAACTGGTGGACGTTCGAAGTCAACCTTTCTTGTCCCCTTTGGTTGTTTGGCTGCAAGCTGGCGGGGAGTTATTCCTGAAATGTGTCATCAAATAAAACTGTAACACTTCCTTGTGTATAAAAAGGGTTCCTTAGATTTCCAAAAAATCAGAAGGGAAGAAAATTCTTGTGGGGTGATGGACGACGTCTTGCTGATGGTGACCCTGGGTTGTCTGTCACGTCTTTGCCTGCCTGATGACTTCCGGGCTGATGTGACGTGGGAGACAGCAGCCGTGCCTAGTGTTGGCTCTTGTCACCGACGGCCGCTTTGGGGAGCTTTTAAGTGTAGCTTTCCCTCTGGGACCCAGTGGCAGGCAGGTTAGGGTTAGGGGACCGCCCGCCTCTGCCGTTGGGTGGCGCCCCCAGCAGGCGCGAGCCTCACCTCCGTTTGTGTCCCCAGCTGAGGTCGGGCGGCGCGCAGGTGCTGGAAGGCTGCATCGCGGAAATCCACAACATCACCAGCCTGGACATCTCGGACAACGGTGAGCCGGCGGGGGGCGCGGGGGCGGGGGGCGCGGGGGCGTGCGAGGCAGGGGCAGGCAGGGACTCGCCTCCCAGCCCGGGCACCGCCCCTCCCGAAGGCGTCCCCTCTCGCCTTGTCTGCGAGGACCTGCACATCTAACCGTGGGGGCTCTTTGTAGAGCAAGTGTGTGTTTGTGGAATGAAGTCTTACTAAGTTGATTCCAGGGCCAGCAGTGCAAGGTCTAGGCAGTGCATCAAAGTCAGTTAAGGCATCGCGGGTACATCGGCGGAGCCCTGAGTCCGGCCTCTTGCGCCCTCGGTGGTGAGGAGGCTGGGCCCTGGTTTACCGATTCTGAAGCCTGTTCACGGATGCTGTTTCTGCCGATTGTCATAGCATGTGTGTGGGGACCTGTCACGTGTGCACAGACCCCTGCACTTCACCAGGGAGCCATGTGCCGGGGTCTCGGGCTGAGGGAGGCCTCCCGCCACTCTCTGCCCCAGTCCCCTGACTGCGCATGTGCGTGTGAGAGAGAGGGAGGGAGGGAGAGAGAGAGGAGGGTGAGTTTGCAGAGTTCATCCCTGCGCAGCGATGGGGCGGGAAAAGGGGCAGCCAGTTCCTTTGGAAAGAGAGGAGGCCCCCAGGCCCTGGGCCGGCCGCCTCGCTGCCCCGCGTGCCGCCGAGCGGCACAGGTTGTAGGCACCCTCATTCTCCCTCCCTCTCGTTCTTTCCAGGCTTGGAGTCTGACCTCTCTACCTTGATCGTGTGGCTCAGTAAAAACCGGTCCATACAACACCTGGCGTTAGGCAAAAATTTTAATAACATGAAATCCAAGTAAGAGTTTTGAAATTTTTTATACGACAGTGATGAAAATAACCAGCCACCTGACAACTTTTGATTTGATTCCTCTGCCCACGTCTTTGAAACCTCTCTAGAAATCTGACCCCCGTGTTGGACAACTTAGTGCAGATGATTCAAGATGAAGAATCGGTGAGTGTTGTTTTTAGAGCTTCTGCCTCTGGTCTTGTGTGTGTTGCCGCTCTTAGCAATTCCCCTGGGTTAACAGTGATAGGCTTCCAGGTGATTTTACCTGTGTACGCATTTTCTATTATCTTTTAAAAATGGAATGAATGGTTTAGAATAGAAGGCATTTAAAATGTGCTGACTCTTCACTTGATTCAACTCAAGGCTAATTAAACAAAGACTCTTAACTAATCGTTTACAGGAAATATGAACGGTCGCCCAAGCCCAGGTTTTACAAGCCTTGTCTGTTCTAACTTCACCTACTTCCCTGCTCGGCAGGCGTGGATTTTTCCCGTGCAGTTGACTTTGTAACCCTGTGTCCCGTGGAGAAGCTAATTTGCATTCTGCCTGGAAACTACACAGAGTTACAAGAGACAAAGGAAGTTGTCCTGGCCGCTCCTGGCCAAGACATGGTTCGGGGTGAAGAAATTTAATTTCAAATCGCATCCTGGGTGGCAGCCCTTTAAAATGCATTATTAAAAAGAAGGCGGTCTCTTGTGGGCGCAGCAGAGAGCCCTGCACCGGTAACGGCCCCGCGCCCGGGCCACTCCTGCGTCTGCCGGCGCGGCCGCTCTGCAGGGCCTGCCCCGCTCCCCGCCCGGCCCCGCGGGGCTGCCGGCCCGGCCTGCAGAGGCCCTGCGCTCCAAATCGGGGTGCGCTCCTCCCGCCCATTCACGTTTCGTGGGGCATAGGAGTGATTTCCTCTGTGGTTCACGAGAGAGACGTCACACGCTTAAAAAGTGTAACTGCCCTTTTGAATTCATACGGGGTAATGGCAACGTCTCTGAAGCCGCGAGCTGCCTTTCCTGGGGAGCCGAGGGCCCGGGGAGGCGGGGCTGGACGTGCTCTGCTTGTCCTGCTCGCCCTCTGGGCTGTGGGCCGCGGTGGGAGCGCAGGAGCCACCCCCGCCCCTCCTGCCCCGCACGGCGCGGGCGTGAGTCCCGCCCGGGGCTACGAGAGCAGCTCATCATTAGTTAGGGAACGCGGCACTTCTCCGTGTCCTCATTTGCTAATTATTCTCATATTTTGTTATTCTTAGTCTGGGTTATGAAAATTGGGGGCATAATTAGGATGTAATTTACGCTTTTCCGAACGTAGGCTGTTGGCATTGCCTACCTAACTTGAGCTGAAATGCACCGCCCCGCTGTCTTCGAGGCTCGCGTGGCCCAGGACCGGCCCCGTTGTAGAAACTGGGGGACGCGCTCACGTCGATGGGCTGCGATGCCGCGGGGGCCGGCGGGGGCCGGCTGTGACCGGCCTCGGCAGGCGTTGGGTTTGCAGTCCCTCTGCCCGCATGGGGAGGTGCCGTTTCATCTCGCATGAAAGCAAAACGGGCCCACAGGGACAGCGCGGCCACACTGAGGCTAGGTTTCGGTGCAGCGCTGTGCTTTTGTCACTGTACGGGAGAGCTGGCCGCGGCCATGCCCGGCGTCCCCCCGCGGCTGCCCACAGGGACAGGCAGCCGGCCCCGGGCCCCCGGCCCCCGGCCCCGCCTCCGCACCTGAGGCCAAGGCCCGTTTTGTGCCAGAACCGCAGGCCCCGTTCACCGGCGTCTTTTGGCCGTAAGCCTGCAAATGGGGCCCTTCGCGCGGCCGGTCCCCGCGGCGAGCCCGTGTCTGCGGTCCCTCCACAGCCTCTGCAGTCCCTGTCCCTGGCCGACTCCAAGCTCAAGACCGAGGTCACCATCCTCATCAATGCGCTGGGCAGCAACGCCTCACTGACGGCGGTGGACATCAGCGGCAACGCCATGGGCGACCTGGGCGCCCGGATGCTGGCCAAGGCGCTGCAGATCAACACGAAGCTCAGGTGCGCGGCCGCGCGGCCGGGGCGCTCGCTGCGGGGGTCGGGGAGGGCTTGCGGGGGGCCTGGCCGGCGAGCAGGGCTCGGCCTCCAGAGGCCGCGGCCCGGTCTGCCAGACACCGCAGGGTGTTCCCAGACATCAGCGTAGCGATCCCCTCGCCGGGAGGGGAGCCCTGCCCGAGGGGCCGTGGCTTCCTGGTCACGCTGGTGTTGGCGCTGGCCCAGGGGTGGGGACAGGCAGCGGCAGCGAGGCCCTTGGGGGCAGGGCCCCCCGCGCGGGGCCTGGATGGTGGCGGGAGTGACCTGGGTGAGAGCCCAGCGACCTGTCCTCCCCTCCCCTGTCCGACCGCCGTGGGGACTGAGCACCAGGGTGCCCGGAGCCCACAGGTTCAGGGCGAGTTCTCGCCGGGTGCCAACCGCTCTCTCCAGGGGTGTCCGCACGTAGCGTGGTTCTTCTTACGTGGCCCCCCACGCACTGACCTCTGTCCTTAAGGACCCGCCACGTGGTGTCCGTGCAGCGTCCGTCCTTCCGGGAGCCCGGGTTGCCGCAGCCCCGCAGCCCGGGCAGCGAAGCGCTGCCGCGCAGCCCTGTGTGGGGGCTCTTCCGCGAGGCTTCCTCGCTCCCCAGCCCGAGTCAGAGCCTGAACCTCTGTCTAACCTGAAGCCGGGAGCCCAGACCCGCAGCGGCGCCCCCGAGGCCCGCCTGGGGGTGGGGAGGCCTCGGCGCTGGGCGCGGAAGTGCCCGGAGCGGGTGGGCCTGGGGTCCTCCCGACAGATGGGAGCCCCGTCGACACCCTCTGCTCCCTCGGGAGTGTTCGCAGGCTGAGGGTGCAACAACACTCTTCTCCCCCGTTAGACCTTGTGTTTCGGAAGTAACAGCCTCCTGTGCTGGAGACTGAGGCCTCCCCCGCGGAGCAAGGTGGTTCCGGGACACCAACCGTGCCAGGCTGGGGCGGGGAGGGGGACGGGGGGGAGGGGAAACGTGGTGAGACCCCCTCTGGGTTAGATGGCGCCTCGGTGCCTGGAGTTCTGTATGTTGGATGTGGGACTGTGCAGTGTCTTCGCTGCATAGTTTCAGCCTGAGACACAAGTCCTAGGCTTCCGTTGGGAGAACACCAGAGAAACCCAGTTTCAGACTCTGGCGAGTCGAGCCTTCCTGGTAAAGTAGCGTGTGCGCTGCTCCCTCTAAGTGCTCCCCGCCCCCCACACTATTTGGGCAGAAAATGCGTTAGGAACATAACCCTGGAGAAATGCTCGTCCTTGCCCATGAAACCGGGTGGAACGTCTTCCTCGCTCGCACGACGCCGTTGTACGAAGACTCGGGGCCAGCGGTGCAGCTCCTGCGGGAGACTTGCTGCTTCCCCAGGGTCTGACATGCCTGCGATTTGGTTTCTGCACAGGACCGTGATCTGGGACAAGAACAACATCACCGCCCAAGGCTTTCAAGACATAGCTGTTGCTATGGAAAAGTAAGTGTTCGCGGGGACTCCCGCCCGGAGAGGCACAGAGTTCCGCCCACGCCTGGGGGCCCCGTGGGCTGGTGGTGTAGCGGCCCCCCGAGTCCCGGCCGACTCCGCTCCCCGCGTGGGGCTGGTGTGGGTCTGCTCTGTGAAGTGAGGCCCAGGGCGGGCGGGCGCCGGCTTCCCTCTGCTGTGGTTTCAGTCTCTTCCCAGTGGTGTCGCTTAGCTGCCCGTTTTGACAGCTTCGCGTCCAGTGGGGAGAGATCGGAAAACAAAAACGCGCTGCGTGGAAGGGCAGCCGGGGCTCAGGTGCCCCGTGTCGGCGAGAGGCTTGCTTTACGACGGCCTCAGCGGAGCACGGGCGCGGCTGTTGTTGGAGGCCGGGTTTGCCTTCCCAGCGCCCCGAACGGTGGGCGCCTGACACGCACATGGCCCGGAAAACGCTAGGAACCTGGTTCTCTCTGAGCTTCTGAGTCCTCCCATGGCAGCGAGATCCAAGCAGATTTATAGTAAAAGCAGCAGGTCACAGAGTGTGCGTGGAAACTAGGGGCCAGCGGTGTGGACGGCGGCCCCTGGTGGAGGGGCGGCTCCCCCGCGTGCCTGGGGCTTCCCGGCTGCCACCACGGCCACGCCTGCCGCCGCCGTCCCGACAGCACGGTCCCCTGTAATCATCCCGTCCACTCCCAGCCACTGCGTGGGGACACGTATGTGTTGGCAGCAGCTGCGTTTGGGTGCGAAGGGCCCAGCCGCCCCGGGGGACGCCGGGGCCTGCGGGGGGGGGGGGAGGCAGACACACGCTGGGGGTGGGAGGGCAGGCTGCCCCGCCCCGCGCAGAGTCCGCGTTGTCCCTGCGCACAGACGGTGGGCGTGGGGCTGGGACCGGAGGTTCCTCTGTGTCCCTCGCACGCAGGGACACCTGTGTGCTCTGTGTCTGAGCGGCTGGTCAGCCGCCTTGTGGCCACCTGGACAGACCTCCCCAGGGCTGTGTCTGGGGGCCGGGGCCTGGTGGCTCGGGCCGGGGATGGGAACAGCGGGGACCTGCGGGGCTCAGGGCGTCGGGCGGGGCTGGAAGCCGCTCCGGCCGCTTTTCTGAAGGCAGCCCCTGCCTCGGACTTGCGTGCACCACGGAGCCCTGAGCCTGGACAGACGGGTTTTGTGGAGGTGAACATCTTCGCTCTGCAAGCAAGCGCTTTGTTTTGAGTTTTCCTCCAACGGTTTGGGTCTGGCCGGCGCCCGTGGCCACCGGGCCGCTCCGGTCCACCCAGGGCCCGCGGCGCCGGCGGCCTGAGCCGCAGGTCCTGCAGCCCCTCGCTCCAGCCCCGGCCTGAGCGTCCCCTCCCGGCGGCACTGAGAGCTGAGCACGGCCACGTTCCCGACCCTTGTGTCCTCTTGTCGGGCGTCCTGCTGGGGCGAGGCCGCCTGGGGCAGCCGTGCGGGCAGACGCGGGCCTGCGGTCTGGGTCCCCGGGCGGGGGCCGCGCAGAAACTTGCTCATCGTTCTGCCCCTGCTCCCAGGGTTTCAAAGCAGCGCCGAGTGAAGGCGATAGGAGATGTTCGTGCGCCAACGCCCGCTCTCCCCCCTCCAGGAACTACACCCTGAGGTTCATGCCCGTCCCGATGCACGACGCCGCTCAGGCCCTCAAGGCGAGCCCTGAGAAGACAGAGGAGGCGCTGCAGAAGGTACCGGGGAGCCGCGGCCCCCCCGCAGCCAGCGCCCGTGGGCGCCGGATTGCGTTCCTGTTTCTGACCGCGCGAACGGTGCTTGGCGTTTTGTCGCAAAGCGGTTTCCTGTCCGCTCACGCCCTCAGGACAATGGCAGGAGGGAGGCAGGGGGTGGGGGGCGGGGGACAGGCTGGAGCTGGCAGTGCCCCTCACGCGGGTCAGGTATTGTCCTTGTGGCGTCCACGAGCGGAGCGCGCGCCGAGCTGGCGCCCTGTCGCGCTGTGGGCCGGGGCAGAGCCGAGGGTCAGCTGGCGCAACCCCTTGTCCTCCGTCCCCCTCCTTCCTCGGCAGGAAGGCTAGGCCACCCCGGCCCCGCCTCCGCCTGCAGGTGTCTGTGCACAGCTCAGCGGGGGCCGGACCGCCCCGGAGCGGGTGGGCCAGGAGGGCCCGGCTCAGGGCGGCCTGGGCGCCCCGCGGGTGTCACCTGCAGTAGCCCCCGGGTTCTGACAGCGCAGACTCGGGGCGATCCCGCATGGCTCAGGCAGGGAGGGGAAAAGTGGTTGTGACATGCTTTTGCCCCAGCCAAGGCCTCCCTCACGGCGAGGCCCCGCGGAGCCTCGTCTGGGTTGGGGGGAGCCAGTTGGGCAGCGGCAGCCCCCTCCAGCTCTCTGTCCCCAGCCCCTGGGACGCGGGGCCTCCATCCCAGGTCAGGAGCGGTGCCCGGAAGGGACGTTCACCCTGTTGATCCAAGACACAAATCCTTCCAGCAGTGACGTGCGCCCGGCGGATACTCGAGACGCTCAAACGTTGCCGTGCTTTTGGAAACGAGCTTAGAATCTTGTGGTTCCTAGAAGCCTCCCTGCAGGCGTGGTCTGGGCGGCGTGGCTGGTGAACTGGGGGGCCGTCTAGAAGCGCGTGGGCCTCTGAGAGAGCAGTGTGCTCCCAGGACTGGCCGCAGCCAGTGCGTCCCAAGGCCGAGTGTCAAAGGACAGATGTCAAAGCAGGAGGCCCGGGCGGGGGCGGGGGCACCCACCGCGCTGCAGGCGAGAGTCTTTGGAGCGAAAACGTTGTACGTTGGCGGTAACGTCACCTTGGAGAGAGACGGCTTTTTGGGGAGCCGCGAGAGAACATGTGCTATGATGTCACGTGTTTATGTGCCACGTTCGTGTGTCCCATGCCAGGGCTCCTTCCGTTTTTATGATTTCTTCACTTAGGGTTAGTTCGGAGCTGCACTTTGTTCCGCTCGGGGTCTCCAGCGATGGTAGTAATTACAATCTGAATTTTACTTGTTCCTGATTTGTATTTAATAGAAGTCCTTTTAGCACAAGGAAGATTAAAATGGAAGTGTAGTAGAAGGCCTCACAGTTACCAGAAGTTCCTAACCAAGGAACAACTGACAAATTAAAAGCTAAAGGGTTAAGTGCTGCTTTACAAACGAAATAACCAAAAAACATAGGTAGCACAATTCCCCCTTTCAGAGTATCCTTTGGAACTCGCCCTCCTCGGTGCCCACACGCCCAGGAGCTAACCCGACGCCCCGGCTTGGCACGGCCGTCGCGTACGGCCCTCACACGCCTTCTATCCGCGCATCACAGTTCGTGCATTTGCGCTTCCTGGAGGAAATGGACTTTGTAGAATTTACAGATTGTCAACCAACTTCCGGGTTTCTCATTTTCTGTGGAAACTCCTGTTTGTAGTTGCAGTAGTTTTGCCAGATCAGTCCTGTGTGTGGTGACGTATGGGAACCTGGTGGACCCCGGAAACCAGTGTCCCTGGGATGGGACCAGCCCGGGTTCCTCAGATGCTGCCACACCTGTTTTCTCCCTCTTCCCGTAACGAATTTTCCGAGTGCGGCTGGATGATGTCACGGCCTCCGTGCCCCACGGGGTCGCGCCCATGCTCCCTGGGGAAGTTCACGCGGCTGCTGAACCGCTTGGTGGTTACATACCGGGGGCACCGAACGCGCCACTGCGGTGCGGAGGCGGCGAGCAGTCGCTCCGTAGGGGGCGAGCCCGGGCCGGGGGCAGCCAGACGCCCGCCGAGCTCTGCCACCCGCTGAGTCCCATCGCAGCGGCCCGGCGCCCTGCCCGTTACACTTCTCCCTGCGAACACCCGCGGCGCCTCGCACTGGGGCCGGGCTCCTGACCCGGTGGTCTCAGGGGTCAGGGCGCGGGCGGGCGCGTGAGGCGACGCTCCGGGCTTAGGCGCAGCAGCCGCGTCGAGCCGTGGTCTTGAGAGACGTGTGCTTAATTTGCAGATCGAAAACTACCTGCTGCGGAACCACGAGACCAGGAAGTACCTGCAGGAGCAGGCCTACCGCCTGCAGCAGGGCATCGTGAGCAGCACCACGCAGCAGGTGAGGGCCCCGCCCGGACCGGCCGCACCGGGGGGTGGGGGGGCCGTAGGAACGGCACCCACGCTCGTGGGGGTGAGGGACGGCGCGCAGGGAGGAAGACGCAGGCTGATTCTAGTGCTAAATCCATTAAAAGGAAAGATTTTATTTATTTATTTTTAGAGGGGGGAAAAGGAAGAAGAGAAACATCCATGCATGGCTCCCTCGCACACGCCCCCTGCTGGGGACCTGGCCCGCAACCCGGGGCTGGGCCCTGACTGGGAATCGAACCAGCGACCCTTTTAATTGCAGGCCAGTGCTCAGCCCACTGAGCCGCACCAGCCGGGGCGAAAAGCATAATCTTACCCTCATGGGCTGTTTTTCATCTACAACAGTGGTCTACTGCGTCCCTTTGGGTTTTGTGCTTAAATCCGTGGAACAACTTAAAAAGATTCAGATGTAATCAACCTGGAGGAGGGACCTTCACAGATGTCATTAACTTTCTTACCACCTGTGTCAATAGGAGAAAACCTCAACTGGCCTTTCTTGGGTGGCTCTTAAGTTTTATAGAAAACTACCTGATATAACTGAATTCATCTTAAAAATACTGATTTCTAAATACCGAGGCCAGTGGGCCGCGGGCACTGTTCTGTCGTCCTCAGAAGGGCTCATCTCTCTGCCTCCTCAGGCCCTGGCACTGTGTGTGGCACTTAGAGGGGACGCGGTGAAGGTCACAGGCAGGGTCACCGTCTAGCACGGCGTCACTGAGTAGCCGTGAGACTTCCCGTCGCCACAAACCATTCACTTTGGTCTACGTGCCGCCTGTTGTAACCTGGAGAGGGGACCGGAGTCCCGCTGAGGTTTCCCTGGAGTTGCCGTTGCCCGAGGTTTCTTCTGTGAATAGAGTGATTAACAACGGGCCGTCAGCTGCCTTCTCGAAGGTTCCCGCGGGAAGACGTTTTCGTCCTCATTTGTTCTGTGTTTCCTTCCACGCGAACCCCGGCCGGGCTCCCGGGCGCTGGCGGTCCCTCCCATGCGTGGGCAGATGATCGATCGGATATGCGTGAAGGTCCAGGACCACCTCAACTCCCTGCGCAACTGCAGCGGGGACACCCTCCGGGAGGACGTGCGGGCTGCGGAGCAGCTCCTGCGGGACGCCAAGAACTCCAAGACGGTGGGTTTCCCTCCGCGCCGTGCAGGCGTCTTGCGAGATAAAAGGGTGTTTTAAACTTCAGTCTTGGAAACCAGTTCCAGCTTTCTCTACCTTTCTGCTGAAGTCAAGGTGACTCACGAGGGGCAGAGTGAGGGGGACCCTCTGGGCCTCTGCTCTGCGCCCCGAGCGGCCCAGAGAGGGATGTGACCTCAGCGGCCCCCTGTGGGGGCAGGGTCACCCAGGGCGGCTGTGCTTTGAAGGGTAGCGGCTCACTTGCCATTCTCCTCGCCTGCTGACTGGGAGACGCTCTCCTCTGTCACCTGGGAGAAGCCTCTCTCACCGTAGAATCTGTCCCCAAAGTGTGACCTGGTTCTGGCTCAGCTGTGGAATCACACACGCGGTGACTGTTCCGAGTAGCAGGGACCCTGGGGTTCCGTCAGTTGGACACGAGACACAGGCGAATGTGCTGTCCCTGTGGTTCCCACGCTGGGCCTCAGTTTACTAACCTGTCCAAAGGGCCTTTCATCAGAAACTGCCGTGCCTGATAATATCTCTCTGCCCTTTTTGCTGGCCCTGCAAGGACTTGGGTGCGTATGTAAATACCACGGAGAGGTTCCTTGTTATTCTTCTTACAGCTGTTACCAAACCTGTACCACGTGGGCAGCGCGTCGTGGGCGGGAGCCGGCGGCCTGCTGTCCAGCCCCATCCAGGAGACGCTGGAGTCCATGGCCGGAGAGGTGACGAGAGTGGTCGACGAGCAGCTCAAGGTTCGTGGCTTCCGTTGTTTTGGAACACGATGCGTCAGGCCTGCGCTGCGTAGAGTCGCACCTCATGCCGTGGCTTGCGTGCGTGTGCGTGTGCTCACCTGCACACGCCTGCATGGGCATCCAAAGGGAGCCCTGGGCCTTTTCCGGCTTCTTTTATAAGCTTTGGAATAACTTCTTCTATGACGAGATCAAGAAGACCCGTCGGGAGCCAGTTCACCCTCGATGGTAAATCTCTCAGTGGCCCTCACGGGGGCCAGGGGCCCCCGGCCAGAGAGTGATGGGTGTGTAGCCTGCGGCACGGGAGAGGGGATCCGCTCCCGGAAGCCCGTCTGTGCACTGCCAAGTGGAGGGGGGCAGCGGACAGGTGGATGGGGCGGCTGGGAGGCGGGGCGGGGTCGGAGCGGGGCCCCAGGCACCCGCAGTGGCAGAGAGAGGCCTGTCTGCCGGCCCCCCGCCCGAGGGCAGCCTCTGAGTTCCAGGCAGCAGGGCGGCGGGAGCCCAGCTTCCTCTTAGGGCAACTGCAGGGGACAGCCACGCCGGGGGAGCCCCACGCTCAGAAGGCTGGCGCCGTGTCTAATCTGCCCCCCCGAGGGCGCCTTGGAAAGCCCTAAGTTCCTAGCATCGTGCGGACTGTTTTGCTCGGCAAACAGCTGGCTGTGCGACTCAGTAGTAACTTTGCAGGGTGCCGATCGCTCCATAACTTCAACCAGCGAGGGAGAAAGTGCGGTGGGCTCTTCAGGCTGAAGCCCCGTCCCCCCATGCGTGTGGTGTGGAGGCTCCATGCGCCGCTCGTGCCTCCCGCAGTCCTGGCTGCTTTGAACCGTGCGGGGCGGACACAAGCCGTAGAGAAAGGACCGCGTGGCCAGCCCGGTTCCGCCAGGTCATTTCTCAGCTAATAGTGCTTGTTTTCTGTCCTCCGTGAGGGTGGAATATATAAGGATGCTTCCTACACAGGGCCGCCATGGTCCCTTACTTATTTTTGACTGTAAAATGAAAGTCCTTTGTGAAATACTTAAACAACAATAACAACAAGTGTATTTAAAGAAACAACCACCCCTTGCGATCCCAAACAGAGCGTCCTCCCGAGCACTCAGCGCGTCCGGTGTCCTGCGCCCGCCCGCGACTTGGCGTGGGCAGCGCGGCCGCACCGCACTGGCCCGGGAGCTCGGGACAGCCTCGGGAACGCGAGCCCAGAGCAGCGCGGCCTCATCGTCACTTGGTGGCGCCGCAGCATCCGTCGTGTGGGCGCCCCAGCGTGTTCCGGTCCTCAGTCCCCCTCCTGAGCGTCTCCTTTACTTTCTCACCAAACCCTTCGCTCTGACGCGCCAGCCACCAGGAGCGGCGGTGTCCCCGCCACGCCGTCACCTGCATGTGACCCCATTCTGGCACCGTCCCCCCGAGACAACGTCAGGTCCCACGGGGAGGGGCTCCGTCCCGCAAGGTTGTCCCCTTCAGGTGCCAGCACAAGTCCAGTGTCCCCTGTGCTTCTGACCAGTGGCTGTGGATCTGGTCAGATCTGGCTGTGGATCTGGCTGTGGGTCACGCGCTGCCTCAGGCTCGACTCATCGGCTGGAGCCGCTCACGGAGCCCACAGTTACCTGTTCGTTAGAGGACGCAGGTGACCGTCAGACACTTGCGATGCGCAGGGCAGGTGGGTGGGAGGGGCCTGAGCTCCCACGGCCTCTCTGGGGCCTCACCGCGGGCTCCCCGCCCGCCCGCACGCTCTCCGAACCCCGACTCCGGGATCCTGCACAGGCCTGTCTGTCACCTGCTCCATCGCAAAGCCCCTTTCCCTTCTCAAGGTCGGGGGCCGGGCCGAGCATTCCAGGTGTCGCGTGCTGGCTCAGTCTTTCCCGTGACCCGCCATCACCTGGGAGCCCCCCTGAGTCACGTTGTTACAGGAGACACCCCTGTCACCCAGGGAACGGCCAGCTTCAGGAGCCCCGTGGCCGGGGCGGTACGTCCGTGGCCTCAGAGACGGCGCAGCAATTTTCTCGTTTCTGCGAACCCTCCTGGGGGAATTAGTTCCCCGCGACGCATCAGTTGCTGGGTTGTCCATCTCTGTTTCTTCTTTTGTGAATCACGTGCTTGCGCGTATCGCCTGCTTGCCCCTGTGAAGCATTTGTGAGAACTGCTCTTATGAGACGGCTGGGCGAGCCTCGGACCCGCGCGGCCCGTGGCAGCGGGGACCCCCCGCCCGCGCCCCCTCTGCCCCGCGGACAGGTCCCCGCCGCGAGCTGTGCGCGCCCGTGGTCCGCCGCCTCGCGTGCCCTGGCGACCGGCTCTGGCTAGCGAGGCCCTGCTGGGAGGGAGCGGGAGAAGGCCTGGTTTTTCACAAGCCGGAAATGGTATAAATGTGTTTAGGACCCCGAATATCTTCCTGTGAACAGCCACCCCCACACGTTTGGATGCCCCGCTTCCCGCCCCAAGCCGGGGGCCCGCGTCCCCGCGCATCGGCGTCCTCACAGGCCGGGGCTCCCCTCTCCCGGGAGCCTCCGGGGTCCCAGCTCCCAAACGGCCCTTCCTTCTGTTCCTCACGCGCTTGGCTTCTCCACTCTCCGTCCTTTTGGGTTTCAGGCTCCTTGCCCTTTGCAGCAAATCTTCAGCCACAGCTTCTTAGGGAAATCTCACCAGCCAGTTTCCTTTTCCCTGGGCACCAGAAGGCTTTCAGGGGCCTGCAGCCAGCCTAGTCTGTTTCCTTTCAGTTGTTTTACTGGGTTTTTTTTTGGTAAGGTTTTATTTATTTACTTTTTAGAGAGGGAAAGGGAGGAAAGAGAGGGAGAGAAATATGCATGTGTGGTTGCCACTTGCATGCCCCCTGCTGGGGACCTGGCCCACGACCCAGGCCTGTGCCCTGGCTGGGAATCGAACCGGGGACCTTTTGGTTCATAGGCTGGTGCTCAATCCCCTGAGCCACACCAGCCGGGGCTGTTTTACTGTTTTTTTAAAATTTCAATTTGTCTCTTTATATAGCCTCCCAATGCCTTGGTTTTCTTCAGCTTATGTAGGAAACATGTATTTTTACTGCCATCAGTATTCAGTTTCTTATTAAACGACGAGGGTCCTTATTTATTTCACGGCTATTATCACATTTTTCTGGCTACAAGTGTGCTTTCGCTCTTTCCCAAATTCTCTCAACTTAACGTGTTACACTCTTGAACGCTGCCGTGGATGGAGTGTTTTTATAAAAACACACTGTTGTTATGGTGAGTTAGAAAACGGGACCCAGAGGCCCGGCCGCGGCCGCGGGTTTGCCGCTGCCCGCGGCCCCGCGCCGTTCCCCAGATGCTCAGGGCTCTCCCAGCTTTCATGCTGGTCGTCCTGCGCGAGGCCCAGCGGGAGGCCCTTCGCATAGGGCACAGGAATAATTTTAAATACCTCCTTGAGCCATCTTTCCAAAAGAAAAAATATTATTCCAAGAAAGAAAAAGAAATGGCCGGCGGGGCCCGCCCTCTTAGCAAACTTCCTGGGGAGGGAGCAGTCAGCCTGGAAAATTCGTCCTCTGAGAGGAGGTGATCTTTTCTCTGGACCGGCCTGTTTGAGGTATTTTAAAACAACTCTCGGTTTTTCCTTTTCTTGGTACTAACATGTGTTCCCGGGGCAATGGAGGAATCAGGGAGATTTGAACGTTTTAACATAAAAGAAACATTTATTTTTCCCTCCTGGACTGAAATTTTAACAGTGCTTGTGTTGGCCTTGGAAATTCTTGATTTCACTCAGGGCTGAAACGGTGAAACACTTCGCTGGTCAGTTTCGGTTGAGTCAGGAAATGAGGCCCGAGGGGCGTAGGCTGGAATTTGGCCGGGTTCGCCCTGTCTGGCCGGAAGACGGCCCTGACTGTTCTCAGTTTCCTGCACACGGTGTTTCCCAAGCACAAGGAAGAGCGATTTCAGAGCTTTGGTGTGGACATGGAATTTGTCAACCTCGAGGGAGGCTGCTGTGCTAAGGGTATTAATCCTCTTTATCTGATCAACCTATGGAGCAACAACAGTAACACCTATTTTGTGCCGTAAAATTAAAAAGAAATGCAAATGAAATACTAGGCGTGGTTGTTTATGTTGGCGAGCAGCAGCAGGTGACAGCCTGGCTTTATCCCGGTTGGTCGACAGGAGACCTGTGTTGTTGGTCTGATGGTGACCAGACCTGTGCTCATTTAAATTTAAGTCGATTAAACAAAACCCAGGGTTCGGTCTCTCTGTGGCGCAGGCCGCGTTGGGAGCACTCGATGGCCCCGTGTGGCCGGCAGGCCGCGCTGACGGCCCATCTTCTCAGCTCTGAGTGCGGCGCCGCCTTGGATGTGCCGCCCACGCGTGAAGCTTCCGGTGTGAGCGCTGCAGCTGGGGCGGCCGGCCGGGGTCGGCCCACGCGCTGGCGGGGCGTTAGGGAGTGGTTGGCGTTGTTTTGGGTTTTCCCAGCAGCCCCAGGGGCAGGGGACCGTGATCTGGACTGTCCTGCCGTGCCAGGCTTGGTCCACGCCCGGAGGCACGCTCCCGCCCGTAGACAGGAGAACGGGGTCGCGGGCGTCCATGGGAATTGTGGGGACGCGTCCCTGCCAGGTGGTGTGCGTCTCACCACAAGGCTTTGTGTTGCGAAGGGAAACCGCCACATTTGACGTCATGGTTGCATCTGTCAGAATGGAGACCATGCAGCTGTGACCAGGACCGGGGCTGGAGAGCTAGGCTGTGACCAGATGTCCCAGGGACGCCTCCCCTGTGCTGATGAGGAGCGGTTTGGTGTACGCGCCCTTGTGAGGAAATTTAATGCTTTAGAGGTAGAGGCCGTGGAGGAGGTCGGAGCAGGTGGCATTTCGGGAGATGTACAAGCTTCTGACCTCCTTTGGGGTCCCCCCTTGAAACCTTGGCAAGGACGGCTGATTTGCTGCTGTAGTAGTTGTTTGGCGGGGCGGGGGGAGCCGGGGAAGGAAGAGACGTGTTCAGCGCCCTTTCCACGGGAGGAAGTCCACGTGGGAACGTGCGTGTCGTACCTCTCACGTTGGTGGCTGCAGGCGAGGGCATTCGGCTGAGACTCATCGGGACGCGGGCGGCGGCTGGGAGCCGGGGGAGGACGGGTGAGGGACCGGGCTGGGGGTGCAGGGCCAGGGGCCTCGGAGGAGGTTGCGGTGAAGGAGCTGAGCGGGGGGCGGCACACAAAGATGTGGTCAGGGCCCCGTTGTAACGGTCTAGTCACGCTGCCCCCTTTCCATCATCCCTGTCACCGGAAGGTCGCCACGGAGGCCTTAGGTGCCACTGACCCGGGGAATGGGAATGGGGGCGGGGTTAATGGCAGAAAATGAGGAGAATGGAATGGGACGCTCCTCTGGGCCAGCGAGGAAACAGCAGGCCCAAGTCCCCGGTCCCTTTAGCCAGCAACCAGCCGGGTGACCCCGAGCAAGCCGCCAGCCGGAACCCTACTTTCCGCATCTATCAAACGGGGTTGCCAACATCCACCTTCCCTTCCCAGGCTGTTAGATCAAAGGAAACTGAGAGTGAAATGGCTTCCTCGAGCGCAACGGGCTGTGTTCTGCCGTCGGTCAGAGCCGGCGAGAGCCGGCGGCCGGAGGACTCGCCGCAAAATATCCGTTGGGCGCGACCCCGGGGCAGGCTGACGTTCCCTTTCACGGAGTCGAAGTCGTGCCGCCGTCACCTGTAGGGCAGCCAGAGGCCTTAGACACGGGTCGGCAGACGAGGGTGCAGGGACTGTGCAGGTTGTCACCGCTCGCTCGCTCGCTCGCTCGCTCCCAGGGGGCGCTGCAGGGCCGGCGACCCGCTTTCGGTCTGGGGCTCATCCGGCCTGACTTAGCTCTGTCCGAGGGGGGCCAGGGAGTCGCCACGCACTGACGGGCAGTTCACCAGCGCCGGCCTGTGCCTGCCCGGGGCCGGGGCGTGTTTCCTCGGAGGCCAAAGGGGAAGGGAACTCGGCCGCGTCCCGGGGCCTCCGTGGACGGCGGCGGCACCGCCGCGGTCCCACCTGCGCCTCACTGGGCTGCGTTGCAGGCGCTGCTGGAGGCCATGGTGGACGCCGCGGAGAGCCTGTGCCCCCACGTGCTGAGGGAGGCCCGCCTGCGGCAGGACCTGCTCCAGGCCAGCGCCGAGAAGGTCTCCGTGCCCCGGACCTTCGCCAGGAACGTCCTCCTGGAGCAGTCCGGCGTGGACATCCTCAACAAAATCAGGTGCGTGTGCCCCCGGGTCCCGCGGCCCCGCGGCGGGGGCGGGGGGTGTGGTGTGTCCTGTGGCCGGGACTCTGCGCGGTGTCCCTGTCCGCACTCCCGGGCAGGACAGCCGCAGGTGGGGCGTGTTCCTGAGGAGTGCGCAGCCCTGCTCTCTCAGGTGGCTTGTTTTTCACGGGAGGACATGTGTTTGTAGCCCCACTTTTTCCTGCTGCCAAAACCTGTCTTTTGCTGTCGAAAGCGGCTCATCAAGGACTGAGCTCCGTCCGCCCCCGCCCTCGGAACCGTCGGGGCTCGAGAACGCACAGCGTGTGAGCGCGGCGCGGCCCGTGGCACGGTCCCGCTGGCCTCTGGCGGTGGCTCGGTGACGCTGCCAGTATTCCGACGGGGCTCTGGACGGTGCAGGGCGATTTCTGCTTCAGATCAGCCCCCCGCTTGTCGGGATCTTTATGCCGAGACCAGGGCTGTCGCGGGCCTTTCGGGGAAGCTCAGCCACTCTCCTCCTGTTTCTCGCTTGGGGACTCGCAGGACAAACCCCCACTTCAGGAACGTCGTAAGCTTCCCATTGTAACCGTTTCTGAATCTCGACGTTTAGGCGCAGCACAAATACCAGACCTTTGTTTGAAAAGTCGCGAGTGATGCCAACATGAAATAACGTCGCTGAATGACAGCCTGCAAGAAAAATGAGAGTGAAAATCAAAATAAGCCCCAAATTACGTACAATCTGGAAACCCGCGGCCGGCCCCCTGCCAGCCGAGCGCGGAGCGTGGAGCGCGGAGGCCCCTGCGGCAGCCGCGCCCGGCTCTCTGGGCAGCTGGCCTGTCTGTGGGGGCCTTTTTTTTAAGATAATAGATTTTAGCCTCTTTTTAGCTGAGTTGTAAGACAACGGGAAGGACTTGAGAAATTTAAAGAACACTGCGCTGGTTTGTCGGACCCCATGGACCAGCGTGTGGATGAGCTCCAGCCCTTCCTAGGTGTGTGTCTCTACAGCTTACAGTTTGAAAACTGCTGCTGAAGCCCTGTAAGTACTAAGGAGAAAACTGTATTGACCGCCATCTCTGGGAACAGTGGACCGAACCACCAGCAGGGCCTGCGTGACGTGATGGCTTCGCTGGAGTGTAAGTGGTGTCAGACGGGCTCGCTCCCCTCGAAAACGGGCCGGTTCTGAAGGACAGGAGCAGCGTGCAAGTCCCGGCTCCCGTGGTCGGTTAGAAGTCGCTCACCCCTCCTGGGGGCCTTGTCATGCAGGACCCTGGGCGCCGACGGGATGCGCGCACACATGCACACGCTTGCACACACATGTCACGCACATGCCCCCACACAGGCGCAAACACGTGCAGGTATGCGCACATCCGTGTGCACGGGCGCCCATACCGGTTCAGTCATTTCCACTGAAATTGCGCGGAGGGCCATTCCGCCGCCAGGGAGCGAGCCCGGCGTCGCGCAGCGGAATGCCGGCCAGGCCGAGGCCTTCAATAGGGCTCATTTAGGAACCTTTTTGTGCTGCAACGTGAAACGCAGGAGCCGTCCTTGTCACTCAGAGACGGGGGGGGGGGGGGGGGGGGAAGGGAGGAAAAGAGCGGCTACTGACTCTGCGGTTTCATGAGGAAGTCAAGTTCCCGAACGTGCCTCCGAAGCATCAGAGAAGGTACTTGGCGGCGATTGGATTCCGGCCCCTCTGCAAGTCTGGCCGGGACCCAGCAACCTGTGCTTCCAACCAGAGACCCGGTGAATCTTATCCGCGGACACCTGTGGGATAATGAAGTGTTAGGTAAACCACAGAGCTCCTGAGACTCGTCGGAGAGACAGAACGGAGAGAAGCGTCCCTTTATCTTCTGCCCAGGTGAATTTTTAATGCAGGCATCAAAGCCTCAGCGCTTTCATTACTCCCACGCGCTGCATTGGACACGTTCCTGGGCAGGGAAACTTCCGTGCAAATTCGTGCCTTCAGCTCTGAAACGGTTCTCCCTGTTACACAAAGACCGTTTCAACTTCCGTTTTACAATTAAATAACATCCATTTGGTAAGCCCTTCCCCTGTGCTAAAAACTTCAAAGCTGTTGACTTTAAAATCCAACCTGAGCTTGGGAGGCGATGCTGGAATAGGAGAGAAACGTCGGCAGCACATGGGCCTTCACGTGCACCACACACGGACGTGCGCGTGTGCGTTTATGCAGCGTTTCAGGCTGGGGACACATGTGGAATTTGAATTCGTGGCGACAGCAAATAGCCACAGTGCTCACTATCCTACCAGCTCTCTGGCCGAAACCTCGGAGGCTGAGTTGTCTATGAGTGCACAGTGCCAGCCACTTCCTGTTGTCTGGGCACCTTTGTAAAAGAATTTCTTTTTTTTGTCTAATCCTCACCCAAGGATTTATTTTTATTGATTTTGGAGAGAGAGGAAGAGAGAGAGACGTTGATGTGAGAAAGAAACTCCTGTATGCGCCTGAGTGGACTCGAGCCTGGGATGACGCTCCAACCAGCCGAGCCACGCGGCCAGGGCTGTCTGGGCAGCTTTTTAAAGTCAGGACAAGAGACACTCAAATTGGACATTTTGGCGATGTTTGTTCATAAAAGACAGGACAACCATGGCTGCGTAACTGTTCTTGGGGAAGGCGGTGAGTCAGGGCAGGCGCGGCGGCCCAGCTGCCACGTGACTTGCGGGCAGGGTCCTAGCCGGCGGGGGAGTGCGGCTGAAGCCACCGGCCGGGCTTCGCCCGGGGACGGGACCTGCGTCGTGCGCCGCAGCCCTGTGTGTGTTCGCTTCTGTCAATGGGCGGATTGTTCCCGGCCACACGGGCATGTGGTTCCCATTACATCGGACTTGATCCAGATGTTTCCACTTCTGCCGCTAAGCCGTGAGCCTTGAGAGGGCAGAGGCCGGCCGCGCTGGTAAAGGCCGCCTGTTACCTGTGTGTTTATGGCAGCGCTGAAGGCTTATTTTTGGAAGCCCTCGTCCCTGCGCGCACATCCCCCGTCCGCTCGCCGGCCTGGCCTGCGTGGCGCCCAGTGCGGGCGGCGCCTCCCCTGCCTCCGCTAGCGCGTGCCCTGCCTTTCCTCTCTCCACAGCGAGGTGAAGCTGACAGTGGCCTCCTTCCTGTCCGACCGAATCGTGGACGAAATCCTGGACGCCCTTTCGCACTGCCACCAGAAGCTGGTGAGTGCCAGGCCGCCTGAGCGGCACCCCGTGTCTGTCTGCAGGGACGCGGGGACGCGGGGATGCGGGGCGCCGCTGGCAAGGCGGGTGGGCTCTCTCCCACGGTCTGCGCTTTTGCATCTTTCGGGGTGAAGACCCCAGATGTCCCCCTTCCCCTCCCGTGTCCCTTCTAGGGAGCGTCTGAGACGCTCAGCAGAGGGAATCAGGGGAGAGCGGAAGCGGCGGCATCCGGACGTCCTGTCCGTTTACGATGCTGGCCAGCGTCGGGGAGAGGTGACGGAAGGAGACCGAGATCTAAAAATAAGATGTATTTGTTTATTGTTTATCTATATCATTCACTTTATTTTATTCCCTCCATATGGAGTGGATGGGGGCGACAGTGGCTCACAGCACCGTGCAGGTTCCAGGGGCACAGGTTCACGGCGCGTCGTCTGCGTGCTGTGTGTTGGCCGCCCCAGGTCGGGTCTCCGCCCATCACCATTTAGGCCCCCGCGCCTTCTCCCGCCCCCTAAGACTAAGACTAAGGTTGCTTCCCATGTTTTTCATTTACCTGGGCTCCTGTCCTTGGTTTCTGACACGATTGGAGAGTGGACTCGTCTGGAAAGGGGGGTGGGGAACGTGTGGAGCCCAAAGACAATGTAAGAGCGAAACCACCACATCCTGGGGCCGGACAGCGGCTGGGCTGTCCCGGGGGCAAAGGTCAGCGTCTCCCTGCAGCGACCGGTCCTTCTCTGGGCAGGGCCTTCGTGTCCAGCCCCTCCGGGGGACCGGCTCCCTCACGGTTCTCGGACGCCGGGCGCCGAGGACCAGAAAGCTGCGTGTCTCGCACGTCAGCGAGCCGGCGCGGTAGAAATCTCCTGAGGGGGCCACGACTTTTCTCCAGAGGAAAACGTCAGGCGGACGGGTCGTCGGGGGAGGAGGGAGGACACCAGCACGAGGGGACAGCGACAGCTGCGTCCCCGGAGACACCCAACATGAGTGTTTGGAAAAATGCGCTTCAGGAAAACACGGGAGGCGGCCCTCCCAAACCTGGAAGACAAGCCAGGCCCCCCCCGCCGGCGCCGCTCGGCTGCGGGCTGCGGCCGGCCCGCCAGCGGACGGGGCTGGTCCGAGGCGGTGTTAGCTCAGCAACCAAGGGGGCCGTGCAGAAGCTTCTAGAGCAGTTTCACGTGGCCACCCTCTGCACACGCCGGCTGCGTTTCTGACTTTCTCTACTGATGGCATCTTACCAACATGTTAGCGTGTGGCCCATTGGAAATGTAAAACACTGGTTTATTAACCAAGCATTTGAGAGACGAACTTCTAGTTCGTGCCACAGTGAAGAGCTACGTCGCGGTTCGGAGCTCCTGATTCAGACTTTGTAAATATTTTTTTTAAATAAGCAGAAACAAAGTCAGTAGCGCGTTCTTTACAGAGAAGTTTGCGGATGAGCGCAGCTCCCGAGAGTCTCTCAAAGGCCCGCGGGCGGCGCGGGCACTGGGCCTCGGGCGTCGTGGCGGCACGACGCGGCCCCGCCGAGCGTTGGGATGGCTCGCGCTTTGTCTTTCCCGAAGAACTTAATTCCTCAGAAAGTATTGACTTTCTCTCTTTTTACATTTCACATAGAAAATGTATAAAGAAAGGGCCTTTTCTGTCCGGAAGGTTGTCACGCCTCCCGGTGGATAGAATCGTGTGGTTGTTGTGGATATTGAAGGGCTGAATTAGATCCCACCAGCTTCAGGAAAAGGGGCACGACACCGCTTCAGGAGACCAAAGACATGCCTGTGTTGTGCATGTGTGCGCCCGCGTGGCGAAAATTTTTTTTTCCAAAAAATAAAACCTGAAGACATTTTTTAGGAAAAGGAGATGTCCCTCCTCAGGCAGAACAGTCTGCCCTCTGGAGAAAGATCCCGAAGCGGTGCGTTCGCCCTGCGGGAGTGCGGGGAGAGTGGTCCCCAACCGCAGTCGCCGCGGGCCTTCCCCGGGAGTCCGGCCCCGCGCGTCCCCCGCCGGCGGTTGATTTGTGCTGTGTTAACTCCCCAGACGGAGCACTTCAGCCGGCGGAGCAGGGCCACCGTCGCGCCCGAGGCCCCGGACGCGGAGCTGGCTGACGGGAAGCCCGCGAAGCGCCCCCTGCCGGCGGCGGAGGAGCTCACGGAGGTGGAGCGGCTGGAGGACCTGGACACCTGCATGGTAAGGCTCCCGCCCCGCCCCGCCCCGCCCGGGCCGCTGGGCCTTTCCAAAGTCTTCCTGCCTGTACGTCCAGACAGAGAAAGCTCCCCCAGAGACGGTGCTCTCAGCAAGGGTTGCTCTGCAGAGGCCGTAAACCTGCAGGTCCCCGCGAAGGCCGCTGCCTCACCCTTTCTCTGTAATTTTGTAAAACTTCCCTTAAAGAGAATCCCCACCGCCCCCGTCCCGAAGAAAAGCGGAACATTTCGCTGCATGTAAAACCTGGCCCTGTCTCTGTGGCCACAGTGGGGACATTCCTAAGAGTAACGAGGACAGGGTGACTATGTAACTTGAAAAGGTTGTTTTCGAAGGAGAATATTGTTACATAAAGAAGTCATTAAGAAAATGTGGGAAGGACTTTTCCCGAGTGAAGTGTGTAGGGTGACTCCCTCTTTCTTGATCCCATCGTGTTTTGTCTCTGCGGCTGCTTCTCGTGTTGTTTTGTTTTTTTTGAACACATCTTGGGATAGACATGATTTGCATTTCCTGTGGGTTCCATTCTGTTTCCTCCCGACAGCGTCCCTCCCGCCGCGGGGGGCCTGACGCCTCCCCACTGGCCGCCTCGCCGCCGCGTCTCCCTCTGGCCGCGTCACCGCTGTGTTCGGATTACGGGCGCTTTTTTTTTTTTCCCTCTGAGGACAATTTTACTTCAACCTTTAGTTCATTATTTCAAAATTTGTATTCTCAGCGCAGTTACTTCTCACTTTACCACAAAAACGGTTGCATGTGCCTTTGTATCCCATAGGTGTTTCTCTCTATTCAATCCTTGTATGTTTTACTAAAATACTCATTTTTCAGTAATCCCTCATAATCTGGGAAGGCGCTGGCGAGTCCGGGTTTGGACGGCTCACGTGCCCACACGTGTCTAAGTCAGCCTCTGGTTACAGTAAGTCTGACATGGGCCGCTGCTGAGGAATAGTATCTGTTTTTAACTTCGAAAATCAAGGATCTCACACGGCCGACGTTATATTTCTAGCCTACAAGAAAATGCAATGCTTGAAGTCGTTTCTTATTTATAAACCACTTTGATCTTTTAAAGACTGTGCATAAAATAGCTACGTGCCTTCTAGGTAAAACGCTGTCATACTCAAGGAGCCTGGCCCAGAGAGCCAGAGGTGCCACAGAACCCCAGATTTCAGGTGACGTTCTAGTGTGATTAAAGACGGCCCAGCGCTCTATGCAACTACATCAACTTATGGATATGTCTGGTGCACGTTGAGTGAATTACCAAGGTTTTTTTTTAAACTTGCCTCTCCAGTATGTTGTAAACATATGTTTAATACGTATTTTAAATTCTGTTTACATTTTGAGGCAATAGAAGTCGGACACTCTGAAGTCAAACGGTAATTATTCTAGAAGCTCTTAGGCTGGCCCTAAAAGAAAACGCCCGCATTTTGCTGTGTATAACACGCACCCACGTTTTGTGCGCACAATACACGGGATTATTATATCCATGGTATGTAATCATTATAGGCATGTCTAACATGCACCCTTATTTTCCCCTCAAAAACTTGGGCAAAAAAAAAAAGTGCGTATTATACATGGCCAAATATGGGAAATTACTTGAGTTAAAAATTTTGAAGTAACTACACACCGCGTTCCCGCCGGAGCGCCTCGGTCGCGTGCCAGCCGGAAGGAGCTGGGGAAGCGTCGGCTGGCACGGTGTGTCCTCCTGGGCTTGCGCGCCGGCTGGTTCTGGAGGAGGGAGTGCTGCTTAGGAAGGGCCGGCTTAGCCACCTGCCGGGTTTTACGTTGTATGAACTTAGTGTTCGTTTGACGGATCAGTTTGGGTCTGTTACCTGAAAGAAAGACAAAGGCTGTTCTCTTGAAGGAAAGAGGGTGGAGGAGAGGAATCGCTTTTGAAAATGCAGAGACTGGACCATCGCGGGGACCAACAGGGACGCTCGCCGGTGGCGGGCACCCCGCACGCATGACAGCGTCTTGCTGCCGTGACTCAGGAGGCAGGGCCGGCGGAGGCCCCTCTGAACGGCGCCCTGAGGACGGCCACTGAGGAGATCTTGCCCGGGCTCAGGCGGCCAGGGCGGCCGGCAGGGCCCTTGGGGACAGGAGCACCTGCCGGCTCCGGGGACGGTGGCGGCCTCCCTGGGGCTGAGCGGGCGACGGAGACACAAGGCAGAGCTCGCCGCAAAAACACAAACTCTTACGCGAGCACGTTTTTTGTCATGAAAATCGCTTTTCCTCCTGTTCTAACAAATTTCATCTTTCGTCGTCGTTTTAACGAGGCTGATGAATTGTTAAAGAGGAGAAAACCGGAGCTAAGTTTGCAGTTAGGTTAATGGAAGAGAGGGTGTTTGTGGAGGAAGTGCGTGTCCGCGGATTCCGCGCTGCGGTTATTTTCTGTGCGCTCCCTGTCCAAACGTGGGTCCCGGCCACCCAAGACGGCACCACCCACCCCGGCCGTGGGTCCCCCTCCGAGAGGGAGTCCGTGTCCTGAGCTCGGGGCGCCTGGCCCTCGGCCAGCGGCGCACACTCACGGCCTGTCTGCAGGGCGCGTGCGGTGGCCCGCGCAGCCGCCTTCCGCGGTTACAGCAGCCAGCACTTGTTTCTAGTCACCGACTGCTCCGCGCTTCGAGTTGTGACCCGCACATGGGGCCGTTTAAAACAACGTCTGGGGTGCCGATGTCACAGGGCGAGAGGTTGACTTTGCTTTGGGTTTCTCAATGAGCTTTCCTTGGTGGCATTTGTGTCTTACGTGGCCCACGAAGCGAGGACACCAGGTCGACTGCGCGGCGTGTAGGAAAGTCTCCGACGCACGGGTGCCTGTGTGCACACAGGCCTCCTCGCGGGGAGTTGTGAGCCGACAGGCGGCGCCGGAGCGCGGTCGCAGGCTCTGCTTCGGGAGATGCTGCCGTTTTATTATTACCTGAAGTGCCTGTTTACGGCCCAAGTCCCTGCGACCCTTTCCCTGGAGCGTTTCGAAAGTCACAGATACTCATCCCCAGCCTTCCACTGACAGAGTCAAGACTGTTGACAGATCGGGCGTTTTTTGTGTGTGATGTTCATGACAACTGCTCGCTGCTTTTGTGAGCATCTCTTGAACAGACTAGCGGAGGTTCCGGGCATCTCTTTCTCCCTGTCGGGCACCTCATCTCCCCGTTTTCTTCCCCGCGCCCTGGGAGCTGGGCCTAGGGAGCTGCCGCGCTTGTCCAGGGTGCCCGGGGCACCTGCGCGCAGGCAGCTGGGCGCTGAGCACGCTGTCGCCAGCCTGTGGCGGTCCTAGGGGCTGCTTCTTGACGACTGAATGAAACTTTGAGTTGGATTTATTAGACTGCATCGTCGTATGTAAAATACCTCCTTACTGACGCCAGATACAATTAACATCGAAATAGAAGCACACAGGAAAGGCATGTTGCTGCCCAACCCCGGCGTGAGCCCGCGCAGCCTTTAAACATCGTGGGGAACAACTGTGTCTACGGTGTGACCCGCTTCGCTATTTCCCATTGTTTGAAACGAGCGCGCCCACTGTTGGCCGCCTCGCCGCGTGCTATTCGGGTGGCGACAGTGATTAATGAGCCTTCCTAGGTGCCTCTTATCACTCCAGCGCACGGGCCTCCGTGTTGAGCCGGGACGTGTGTTTACCTGGAGTTGCCGCGGGCGCAGACCACGGGGAGGCAGGCGCTGCCTCACAGAAGGCCTCCCCGCCCGCCTGCAGCCTTGCTCGTCCTCGGCCCCGGGGGTGCGGGGGCTGCAGGCCACAGTCCACGGATGAGTTTCTCCACACCGTTCATGTGTCCCCCCGCAGCCTTCCAAACCCTGGCCGTGCAGGGCTTAGTCCGTGTGCCCGCTGGGGGCCGGGCGGCGTGTGCTCCTCACGCGTCGCCAGCTCCCTAAGCGCAAGAGTTCTGCCCGTTATTTCAATGCGTGTCAGATGAGCGTTACGCGGGGGAGCGGCCGTCGACGCACCGTTCCTTCCCGGGGAAGGGGTGGCGAGAGGCTTGCGTTTTGCAGGACATGTCGCGTGAGGCCTTTCTCCAGTGGCGAAGCAACGATTACTCTCCCTTAACAAATTCAGCCTCAAATTCCAATGTAAAAATTTTAAGTTTTTTTTTAATACAGATTAAAATTCAGCAAGCATACATTTGCCTTGATCAAATGCTATTTTTAAACCAATCACTGCATTTTCAAGTACCCACCGTTACTAAGTGAACTCATCTCTGAACGGTAATTCCAAGAACAGACAGTTATGTCGCGATCTCTTCCAGAATTGGTTGCCGGTGGAGAGCTTCCCATAAAGTAATGCTGCAAAGTGTTAATAATTAAGGAATCTACGTGAAGCGTACGCTTGCATTTATTATACCATCCTTACACCTTTTTAAGTTTTTGTGGTAACTTTGAAAATGTTGAGAGAAACAGGTTCGGGAGTAGGCGTGGGGCGTCTTTGATGAGTTTAGGGGCCGGGGGGGGGCCCCGGTCCGTGAGGAAGCCTTTATCCGTCTGACCTGAGACGGGAAAGGAGGGCGTTGGAGAAGACCTTCCTGAGAGTCAGCACACCTGACGGGAGGGGCCGCCTCTGCCTGTCCGCCCGCCCCCTGTGGAGGGCGTGCTGCCGCGGCGGCAGGTTTCTTGTCTGTGAAGGCCGGTCGTGTTGGGCACAGCGGTTGCCCCCCGGCTCACAGCAGGTTCTGGAGCCCCGGCCCGTGTCAGGCGCTGTTTGGGTCCAGACGAGGACGAGACGGAACCCGGCTGGCCTTCCCTCCCAGGGATGCTCACCTTGTCCCCGTCGCGGGCTCCCTGCCCCGGCACCGGAGGGCGGGCGGCATACCCGCGTCACTGATGTCACTGATCCTCGCAGCCCCGACCAGCTCGTGAGGCGCTGGGAGGCCGCCCACAGGCGCTGTCCGGCCCGGCCCACGGCGCACGGCCCCGCTCTGCTCCTGGGACCGGCCCTGGCCCAGGACCAGAGCCCTGGGGGCTGGCTGATGCCCACGCAGCGCCTGGTCGGCCGCGTGCCTGTGGCGCCCACGCTGTCTCTGTCCCCCAGGCGGGGTTGGTCGATGGCACTTCGCACACATGTAGCAAAAAGGGTAACGTGTCTAAGAGGTTCTGCGATTTCCAGCTGTCGCGGGGCTTCTGCCCACAAGCAGCCTTGAACCACCCTGCTCCGGCCTCGCCCCCGCCCCCTTCCCTGGCTCTGAGGCCTCTAGCTGCTCCTGTGCTTGTGAATGCGGCTCCCGCCCCTCCCCCGCCCTGCTCTTGTAACGCTGTTGCTTGTTTCCTCTTCCATTCATACTCTCTCCCTTTCTTTTTGCTGCATGGAGACCCTCTGCTGCACAAGTGTAAGTATTTGGCGGCTCCGCTGTTCCCGCTGCCCGAGGCTGCACCACCCTGTCTGTGTGCTTCCGCGCCACCTGGCTGTGCCCCAGGACGCTGTCCCGCCGCCGCCGCCCGTGGGCCCTGGACGGAGCAGGCGGCGACGTACGGACAAGGCTGGGTTTCACGGGACGGCTCAGCCAGAAAAGAGGCCACGGATGGCAGACGCCGCGGCTGTGTGCGGCAGCAGGCGGTGCGGCTGCGGCGGGTGTGCGCGCCGGGAGGGGAGCAGCCCGCGTTGCGTCCCCGGGGACGGCCCAGCGACCTAAACGGCCAGTTCTGCTCGTCTCCCAGGGTTATAGGTCATGGGCATCGCGGCCCCTTCTTGTGTTGCGAGAACCTTACTAACCTGCTTCGCAATGGCTTTGGGTGTCTTTTTTTTTTTTTTTTTAACCAGCTTTTTGTTTTGTTTTGTTTTGTTAAACTCAAGGGAAAGGAAAGTAATTAGGATTCTTGAGCTTGGAGTGAGAGGGCTGTTTATTATTCTTTGTGCAAACTTGGTAAAATGAAGAAGTAAGCAACTCCCTCCTATTTTTGTGGTGATAGAAACAATTTAACTCCTGTCTTGTTTTTTTTAAAAAAGTTCGTGTCTAGAAAGTACATGTTAAAAGAGAGTTTAGTGGGGAAAGAAGTGTTGCTTGTGAGGTCCTGGTGCCAGCCCTTTGCTCGGGGGAGAGGCGAGCCTGTTGCTCGTGAGCTCAGGGGGGGCAGCTGTAGATCCGTCATGAGGACCGGATCGGGGCGTGGGGTTCCGGGGCTCCAGGCTCCGGAAGGACGGGGTCCCCACCCTGCAGATTGACAGGTGGCTTGTGATGTCAGAGCGAGACGGAGTCTGTACTTTGGGGTTTCCTTTCTACGGTTGCGTTTGAAAGGATTTGCCACATGGTTCCTCAGAGTCCTGAAGACATGGATTGAAAATTACTTCGCAATGCTCGTCGGACGCGCTTTTAAAGCTGAAGCCGTGCTGTGCGGGCCGGGGGCGGCGGGTGAGCTGTGTCGCGGCCTCCGCTGCGCCCGCCTCCGCTTCAGTGCCGACCCCCGGGGCGGCCCATCGCGACCTGTGATTTCTCCGACCAGAAGACACGGAGGCGCGGACGGACGGGCGTGGGGCAGGCGGAGGAGGACGGAGACACAGGCTGGGAAGACTCGCCCTTTCGTCTTGGCACAAAACGGGAAGAGAATCCCGTCCCACAGATGACGTGGAGCCAGGGGCTTTCCCGGGCGGCTGCGTGTCGCCGCAGGGCCGGCTGGGGACTCGAACCAGCTGGCGCAGAAGCAGGACGACGCGCACACGGGGGCGGGGACCCGGCTCACCCCCGTTTCCTCTCGCGGTGGCTCGCACGTCACGGGGACCCAGGAATTAGACCAAGCACGGCCATGTTCTCTGTAAAACTGTGACGGAAGGAAACATTCTAACGAAAGGAAAGAAAGGTGTGCGGGAAATAAGTCCATCCTTTTCTCTTCACGGCCGCCCTTAAACCCCAGGAGAGGAAGAGACAGAAAGCAGTCAGTTTGTGAGGAGGGAACCGTGTCCCGTGGCTGTGACCTCGCCCCAGGGCGCGCCTGCGGGACCCACAGGGGCGCGAAGAGCCGGGGAGAGGCCCCAAGGGCTGGGAGCGCACGCGCGCCGCGCCGAGCTCCGGGCTTGGCGGCCGTAGAGCGCGCTCTTGGTGCCCAGGGAGCCTGAAGGTCCCGCTGAAGGTCCCGCGCGTGTCTCCGTCCTTCTGTAAAGTTAGGTCGAGCTCAGTGACCCATTACTGATGGGCGCCAGTCCGTAAAGCAGCCCCTCTCTGTATCTTTCGTGTTATTTCCATAGGTTATATACTGTATGGATTCTTATACGTATAATTCTGTGTGTTCCTTTTCACATGTTTAACAAATTGTGACGTGTCAGAAATATCGGTAATTGTCATGTGTTTGTGGCCTGTTATGAAGGGTTCGGTAGGAAACGTGAGGGCAGTTTTTGCCGGGAACACTATAAAATCCAGGAAAAAACTTTGGAGGACACTTCCCACCGTGCGTTTGAAACCTCTGCTCCGTCGCGACCGCCTGAGTGGACGGGTGGGAACTCACACCCCCAGCTGCTCCGGGACCCTTTTCTGAATCACGGCTGCGCACGAAGTGGGAGGAAGGCCGAAGGCGTTTTCCTGCGTAAACGCAGCCTAATTTGGGTCCCTTGTGTCTCCGGAGGAGCGATTGCATTCGGAGATTTTACTGAGGACTGGCCCAGCCGGGCGGCTCCCCGCTTCCGCCAGCCGCAGGGCTGGTCTGGGGAGAGCGGCCGGCGCTGCGCCCCCGCCCCGCCCCTGCGTGGAGCGAGCCCGACGTCCGGCCCGGTCAGCGGCGCTCCCTGCGCAGCCCTGGAAGGACCTCGGGAAAGCCGGCCCGCAGCGGGACCTAGTCGTGCATCCCTTTCCTCTCCGCAATAAATAATAGTCGCAGCCGAAGGATGTTATTAGTAGAACTGGCATAAAACTGTCGACTGTACAGCTGTCTTCCTGGAAGGTCAGCATGAACCAATTCGTTCTTTGAACCAAAGAGTTTATCCACCTTGTGGGTCTTTTTTCTTGTTCTTGTCCTTTCCTTTCCTTTCCTTTCCTTTCCTTTCCCTTCCCTTCCCTTCCCTTCCCTTCCCTTCCCTCCTCCTCCCCTCCCCTCCCCCTCCCCTCCCCTCCCCTCCCCTCCCCTCCTCCCTTCCCTTCTTTCTTAGAAAGGCTTAGATGACAACCTGTTAAATGCAGGGGAAGCCTTTGCGCTGTGGTCCCTTCGTTTATACAAACACCAGTTTCAACCAGTGTCGGCCGGTCAGTCATCGCCGAGACCCACCGTCGGTGTCGGAGGGCGGGCGCTGTGGCCGGAGGGGCGCGGCCGCCTTCCTGTGTCCGTCCCTGGGCCTGCTCCGGGGGCACCGTGTCCGCGCCTCCGCGCCCTCCTTCGAATCTGCGTCACCGGCGACCACAGCCCCTTCCAGCTCTGACGCGTGTGAGACCCTGCGGAGGCCGGAGCGGCGCCCCCCGCAGGCTCGGCAGCCGACAGGACGCTGCGCCGGGGAGCCGCCCTGCCGACGCTCCGGCCATCGTTCGGGTTTTGGCCCCGTGTTTCAAGGGCCTGGCAGGACCGGCGACATCTTCCTGAGAAGTGAGGGCGGATGCGGACCCCGAGCCGTCGCGCGGCTGAGCCCGCAGCGCAAAGATGGAAACCTGGGTGGTGGGAACAGGACGCAAACCCGGCAAACGGCCGCGGTGGCCGACGTGACCTTCAGCTGCTGGCGCCGCCGTCGCTGCGGTAGCAGAGAGGGAATAGTTGTGTTTCTGGTTTTTAGGAACTGACTTCCCAGTCCTTCCATCTCCGCCTTTATAGCCACATGGATACCCTCACGGCAGCGCGGAGCGGATTCTGTGTCATCAGGATGGGGCTGGTTCGGGGTGGGCAGGGAGACACGTTGGCCGGGCCTTCGAGAACCCCCTGCCCTTAGAGACGCGTGGGTCCCGTCTCTCCAGTCGGGCGTCCGAGGGTGCCACCCGTCCCCCAAGGAGGCGCAGCCACCCTGAGCTGGAACAGTGGGTCCCGGGCGCTCCTCCCAGTTCGAGGGCACGTTCCGTGTGAGCGCCTGACTCAGCGCTGTCTGTGTTCTGTCGCTAGATGACCCCCAAGTCCAAGAGGAAGACGATCCACAGCCGGATGCTGCGGCCGGTGTCCAGGGCCTTCGGTGAGTGTCTGAGCCCTCTGCCCACCGGGGCCTCGCCCCTGCGCGGGGCTCTGGACCGGCCGGTGCCGAGAAAGGCAGGTGCCCTGTGGGCGGCTGTCGGCTGCTCCGTGAGGGGCTCCGGCACTTTCAGGACGTTTTTATCTGCCTCTGCAGTGAGCGTGGGTCTCGGGCGTTGCTCTCTTGTAGAAATGGAGTTCGACCTGGACAAGGCGCTGGAAGAGGTGCCGATTCACATCGAGGACCCGCCTTTCCTGTCCAGCCGACCCGACAGGCGGGGCTCCGGCTTCATCGCGGAGCTGCCGTCCGAGGAGGGGAGGAAGCTGGAGCACTTCACCAAGCTGAGGCCCAGGCGCCACAAGAAGCAGCAGCCCACCCAGGCGGCGGTAGGTGGGGGCGGGCGGGGGCATGGGGGGACGGGGAGCCCCGGGCGAGGGGCCTCCGCGAGGGGGCGCACCGCCCGTGCGTGCGACGTTCCTGCAGGAGGGCTCCACTTGGTGCTCGACGGTGCTGGAAAAGCCAGCACCGCAGTGTCCACCTTTTCAGTACAGGGTTGTCCTCGCAAGTCCCTAGCAAAGCCCCTGTCACGTGGCGGAGAAGAGCAGGCCACCTCTGTACAATTTCACAGCATCTGAGTGTAAAAACGTTGACAATAGCCAGCAACGGATGTGTCTGTGATCGGGGGCTGTCGGCAGCGGGCTCTGCCTGCGGGGTGCCCGGCGGCCCTGCCTGCTCCACCGCAGGCGGGGACGGCAGCGTTCGTGCCGGGAGCACGTCTCCCCGGGGTCTCTGGTTCACGGGTCTCCCCTCCCTCAGCCAGACCCCCTGGAGCGGCTTCTTTGACCCGCTGTCTCGCGTCCCGTCCCTGCTCCCACCTCTCCTTTCTGGCTCGTCCCCCCCCAGAGCTGCCCGGCCTGGCCACTCCGCACCTGGTCCCGTGGACACGTGGCGTCGCGCCTGATGTCAGCGGTCACTGGACGAGAAGGCTCGTCCTTCCTGAGCGGCGATTCTGTGGCCTTGGAGTTGTCACGCCTTCGTCCCCTCCCCCCACGGCGTGGCCTTCAGTGGGGCACTCAGGTGGCGCCATCTAACCCGCGGCTCCCACCTCCCGTGACGGCCCCTGCCCTCTGCCGAGCTCCGGACTCGCCCGCCCCCGCACTGGCGTGTCCCCGAGGGCCTGGGGCCAGCGGCTTCCCTGCTGGGGAGGGGGCTGGGGGGACGGGACTTTCTCTCCCTGTAGACCCGCCTTCCCTCCTGACCGCCCCCCGGCCCCGGGAGGTTAGCGCGCTGTGACGTCGTAGAGGAATTTTCCCCTTTCCTTTTAAGTGAGAGAGAGAGCACATGTCAGGTTGGAGAAGGTTCTAGAAGGTCACCACAGAAACAGTTCCCCTGTGGCCCATTCCGCGTGGGGGTCATTCGTGGTCTGACTTGTCTGAGGCATGAGGCGGTGGCCAGGGAAAGAGGGCGGTGTGCACTTTTCTTTACACGTTAGAAAAACAAGAAGGGACGGAGGGGAGGAAGGCGGTGTCCGGCGGAGGAGGGTCCTGCGTGCATCCTGGGGAGGTTGTAGCTTTGCCTGCAGCCGCGCCGGCCTGCAGGGTGGGCGCCCCGGCGCTCCCTCCCGGGGTCTGTCTGCGGCCAGGCTGCGTCCTGGGCGGGGAGTCCGGCCGTGGGTCCGCCCGGGGCCAGCTCTTCCCGAGCCTGGAGCGCTGAGCCCTGGGGTCACAGGGAAAACCCGCTGCTTTAGGACGTCACGGCACTGGCAGTTCTCAGGGCGCTTCCGCGCGGAATGGCTCGGCGAGGCACCCGCAGCCGCCTTGCAGCTGCGCAGGAGGAGGCTGCGCCGCCTTCGGGCCTCGTGGTGGTCGCGGCGAGTGACTTGCTGGTTTCTGTGTCTCCCTAGGACCGAGCAGGCTCCGCCCGCCCTCGGCCCCCTTTCCGAGCTTGAGCTCGACCTGCAGCGACAGAGTCCGCAGGCCCAGCCGGGGCTGCTTCCTTCCCAGCCGCTCTGGTTTTCCGTCAGGGTTTCCCCTCTTTGTGCATCAGTGGGAGGGGCCTGTGACTTTGCTCTTTTTCGTGTTGGGAGAGTCCCTCTGGCTTGGGTCTCAAAATGGCACTGCCTCATGGCATGAGCAGGGAAGGGCCCTCCTCCCTCGCCTCAGAGTCAGAGGCGGAGCTTCGGGCCTCTCCTCGCCCCGGGAAGCAATCGCTGGTCTTCGCACTCGGGGAGCCATGGCCGCTGGGGCGGCGGAAGGCAGCGTGCGGGCCGGGTGCTCCGTGGGCCAGGCACGGTCCCGCACACCCAACGGTGGCGGGTCCGACCCCCGGCCGGGCATGTACCGGAGGCGACCCATCGATGTTTCTCTCTCTCTGCCTCTTCCTCTAAAATCAGTAAAACATGTCCTCAGGTGAGGGTTTAAAGAAAAAGAAACACTCATCTCTTCGCAGCCTGTTGGGTCCGAGCAGCTTCTGAGGCGCCAGCAGCTGCGACCCTCCCCCCGGCCTTGGTTCCTCCCGCCTCCCTCGTTTGTTCCCTCTGCCCTTCTCACGCTTGGACACGTGGCCCCCTCCGGTCTCAGCGGGCGGTCCCCGGGCCGCATCGCCGCCGCGCCGTGAGCAGGCCGTCGGCGGTCAGCGCGGCACGTTTTGGTTTGCAGGTCTGCACTGCGACCGCCGCGCCCCCGGACGGCGAGCAGAACGGCCTCATGGGGCGAGTGGACGAAGGGGTGGATGAATTCTTCACCAAGAAGGTGACCAAAATGTGAGTGCCGAGTCGCCACCGAAAACGCTGCTCCATTCGCACTCACATGGCGAGCGCTACCCTTGCACGGTGCACAGGGAGGCGCCTTTATTTTAGGCAGCGGTGTATCTCTCCAGGGGGATATACTACTCGGATGGTTTGCAAAACGGGCCCCCCGGGCCAGCTACCTCCCTGCAGCTGGGACCTCGCTGGGGAGGCCCGGCCCCAGCCTCGCCCCAGACCTGCCGGCTGAGAACGTCCGCGGGCTCCGGGCCGGGACGAGGGCCGGGTGCTGGTCTGGAAGCGTCCAGAACGCTCAGTCGCCCGCGATCACGGGGGCCGTTCCTGTCTCCGGGCCGTGGCCTCCGACAGCTGAAACCCCTGACTCCTGGATGCTCCCTCCCCAGTGCCACACACGTGAGGGCCCGACGTCACTGGCCCTGGCGCGCTGAGCTTCGGCACCGGCTGTCTGCCTGACGCTGGCCTCGAAGCGGGGCGCGCTGTCCTTGGGAAGATTCTAGTCTCCTGCCCCCCAGGAGGCAACCGAAATGTCATTTGCCCTTGGAAGCCCTCCCTCGGCGGCTCCCCAGCCCCCAGTTCGTCGCTCTTTCTCGACACTTCTCTCTCCGTCCCCGTGCACGTCCGAGGGCACAGGACCCTTGGAGAGCTCGGCTGGGTGGTTGGTTTCCCAGCTCGGGATGGACCAGCAGGTTCTCGATGTCGGAGGTTTACGCAGCACCCACGCAAACAGAGCCCCGGGGGCCGGGGGGGCCCTCTGACCGGTCTGCTTTCCCGCCCTGTGCCCCGTCAGAGGCGGCTCCCCACCCGCCGCGCTGGGTCTTGTTTTCCACCGCAACCCCAACGTGCGTGCCCGGGGCTGTGCGATGCGCCGGCCCGCGGTCTCAGTGCGGTGCCCGTGAGCCACAGGTCCCCCCGCGGGCTCCTTCTTCCTAAACCTCGCTAAGGGGCGTGTAGTTAGTGGGGGGGGTCGACGCCCTGCCCCAGGGGGGCTTCCTCACTGCCGGCGGCCTTTTCGGGGGGCTCCGAACGCGAGCCGGCAGCTCTTTCCAAGGCGCAGAATCCGCTTTCTACAAAGATGCTGCCCTGGGAGGGCTCTGCGATGTCCCCGTACACACGGAGCTGGAGACGTCGGTTTCCGTCAGATAGTGACGAGCGGACGAGGAGCGTTTGTTCCATCTCATTTTGTTATATCCAAACGGGGCGGCCAGCTGGCTGCGTGCGGGGCTGGGCTCACGGCCGACCCTGGGGTAGCATGAAGGGTGTTGGAACATCAGAGTTTGACTTGCTCGTGATTTAAAATGTCAGATGTTCTAGGAAACTTTTGACCAAAAGAAAAGAAAAAAAAAAGAACTTCTTGTTTCTTTCCCTGTTCCCCAGAGGCAGTAATTCTTATTCCTTTAGCTGTTTATTTTTGTATTTTGTCTCCAAATTCCTTAATAACGTGCAGTTTCCTGTTTTCCAGTTTCCGATAGTAGCTATAATTAGCGACTCCCTACTAATGACAGAGGATGGTCATTTAGCTCCCACTGCCACCGGATAGATACCCACAGGCAAGCACGCTCTCACACGCAGGCGCCACACACGTGCCCACGTGCGCACACACACTTGGCTCTTTCCCTCCCGCTCAGCCACGCGGTACCTGCGGGTCTGTCAGCGCCGGATGCTGGCGTCACAGTGACCCTGGAAACTCGTGCGGCCTGTCTTTCCGCTCGGCGGCCTCTCCCGGTGGCGTGACTTGAAAGCAAGGACTCAGCTGTCCCTTTGGGGCGGCGCAGAGAAGGGTGGGACTTCAGCGGTGGTCCAGCGATCGGGGAAGGGCTTTAGAGGGTGACGAGGACACCGCTGGGCACCAGCCAGCCAGGCAGCCGGCCCCGCCGAGTCGGGAGGCAGCCGGCGTGCGGGGCGCCCCTGGCCCTCGGCCAGAGCACTTCGGTGTTCAGCGTGAACGGCCCCTCTCTGCCCCCAGCCCTCCCACCTCCGCTTGGCCTCGCCCGCGGGGGCCTGAGCGCGCCCTCCTGGGGGGTGGGGACGCTGTCCCCCTCCCGCCCCGTGTCCCGCGCACAGCGACTCCCGGTGGCCTCCCAGCGCTTTAGAGTGGCTGCCGTGGCAGCAGCACCCCCCGCCCGCCCCGCGTCCCCCTTTGGGCTGACTCTGGCTGGGACGGGAGTCACAGTAGCTGCAGCAGCGCCCCCTTTGAGTTGCAGGCGAGCGTCGGCGCGAGGCCCCGAGCCCCACGAGCCCGGCGACGGGGGCGATGAGCGGAAGAAGCGGGAGTCTCGGAGGAGCGGCTTCCTCAGCCTGATCAAAGCCCGGTCCAAATCCGAGCGGCCCCCGACGGTCTTGATGGCGGATGAGCCGTCCTCGCCGAAGGGGGTGGCCCGGAGCCCAGCCGCGGACCCGCCCAGGAGGGATCCGAAGCCGGCGGAGCCCAACGGCAGCTCGGAGCGGACGGAGGAGGCGAAGACGCCCGAGAGCCTTGACGAGAGCCCGGGGGACGAGGCGGGGCGGCCGGAGCCCGGTGACGGCAAGGCCAGCCCGCAGGGCAGCCGGCGGTACGGCGTGCAAGTGATGGGCAGTGGGCTGCTGGCCGAGATGAAGGCCAAGCAGGAGCGCCGCGCAGCCTGTGCGCACAAGGTGAGGGCCCGCGGACCCCGTCCCCGCGGGTGGGGTCGCGCAGAGTAGCCAGTCGGTGAAATAAAAGTCCAAAGCCAAAGGCTTTTTCCTAAAAAGCCCCCCGGCATGAGGGCCACATGCCTCCCAGGAGCTGCGGCGTTCCAGGCCGGTTACGGTGGTGCCTGCCCAGGTGCTTCCGGTACCCGTCACGGACCGCGTGGCAGACCGTGGCCCTGGGGGACCCGCAGGCCTGGGGGAAGGCGGGGCGCCCAGTCCCGGAGGCCTCTGGGGTGACGGGAGGCAGAACACGGGAACCGGGCCCCGACTCCGGAAACGGAGGCCGGTGTCCCAGTCCTGCCGCTGAGCGCTCCCCGCTCCAAACCCGCACGTCCCTGGCTCGGGGGAACAAGCAGGCAAGGTGTTCTGTTGCGGTTGATCCAAACCTTGCCCGCCGACCGGTGGTCTGTCTCTGTGAAGAAAAACGTCCCAGTTTAAAAATTGCTGGGTCTCCCCAAATCTGACTCATCGCGTTGTTTATTCTCTGAACCTCTTTTGAAAACACAAGTTGGGATTGTTTCCGCCCCTCGTGGCACGTTCCCCCTGCAGCTCCGTGAGGGGCGGTCGCGGTCGCTGGCCGTCACGTGCCCACGTTTGACCCATAATTGTTCTGAACTCTTCTGAGTGTGCGGAACGAGGTTCTCCAGAGAAAGGGAGGTTGCCTCCCTCTTTTATGGGGGCAGCAGACAAGGACAGTTCACCCCAGTGCACGCTTGGTCCTCGGGAAGTAAACGGTGACCGTGTCCCGGGCAGGGAAGCGTCACCGCGAGACACCTGGGCTGCTCTTCAGGAAGCCCTGCCCCCCACCTGGATGCGCTGACGTCCCTCCGCCCCTTCCGGCCAGACCCCTTCGCCCGTGGCGCGTCCTCGGGGCAGAGCTGACGAGGACCTGGCAGCCCTGTTCTGCTGCTTCCCCCGGGAGGCCCGCGCGGCCGCCGCTGCTCACAGTTCTGAGTCAACACTGACCACAGCGCTGGTGGAAAGGCGTCAGTTTTAATCTGTTTCTTAGAATTGCTTTATGACGGTGAACGTGCTGTTTTCACCAACGAGCGGTTTATTTAATCGCTGTTAATCCTCTTGGAAGAAGGAGGAGCCGGGCTAGAGGGCTTTCTCCAGGTGCCACGGGGTTGGTATTTAGACAGACTCCCAGGGACAAAATTCTTCCGGTTTAGTTGTTGTTCGGGGTCCGTACCGTGGTCTCTTAGTGCCATCTAGTGTCTATTTAAAAAACAATGATAAACACCCTTCGTGCGAGTTTAAAATCTGCATGGCTCAGGGGCACCACTCTGTTAGAAAGAACAGTAGAACAAGAAGAAAAAGTTCTTCAAAAACTAGCTTATACTATCGCCCCCTAAAATTCCATAACTGTATTTTTGTAAAGTGATCACTGCAAGCATCAGCGGCGACTCTACTATCGATAAAAGAAAATATACCTACGTGTATGTACGTCGCCCTCGCCGTCCTCTTGCGTAATCCTCCTTGCACTGCGCACTGCGAATAAACGCACCGAAGAAGGGAGCTGCGAGGTGAACACGTGGCGTCTGTCTCTCAGTAGGACAGGAGGGCGCGGGCGGGGGGCTCCGCTGGCCTGCCGCCCCGGGGCTGCCCTCAGTCGGCGGCGCTGAGCCTCCCCGACTCCACTGTGGCCGCCTCCTTCCGCGTGACGTGCGCGTGTTGTGTCTGTGACGCATTCCGGCCACTTTCTCACCTGGGCGGGTTGGCGCTGAAACGCCACGCCCGTGTCCTCTGGCTCTGTCTCAGGGGCGCCCACGCCCCACCTACTCCGGGCGCCTTCTCCTCGCGTCTGTGCGCTGACACGGCAGAGGTTTGGCTGCTCCCGGGCCTCGAGGTTTGGAGCCCGGCCTGGAGCGGGTCCCGTGAGCTCATGGCGGCAGAGCCCTCGTGGCAGGGAGCAGCGGGCGGGCGGCCGAGCCGCCTAGGAGTTCAGCCAGGGCGACAGGGAGCGTCACCAAGGCCAGGGCCTCCCGGACCCACGTGCCGGTCGCCTGTGGGGGCGTCCCCAGGCACGGGCCGTGCCCTGGGCCCCGAGCCCTGACCGTGGACACGGAGCAGCGTGTGCTCCTGAGAGCTCGAGCCCAAGGGCCCGTGGAGGCGGTCAGGCTCTGCCACGGCGCCGGCCATGGCATTAAAGGGCCCTCTGTGTGCTCCTCTGCTGCCTGCTTTGCTCTTTTCTTACACCTTAAATAACTAGGCACTTCGGGGTGGGGGGCACTTGGATTTTCTAGAAGCTCGGGAACGATACTGTCGCCCAGGAGCCGTCCAGCGTGGCCGTGAGCACCGAGCAACAGGACGGAGGCGGGGCAGGTGAGTCGGGCCGGGGCGCCCCCACCCCCGTTCGGGAAAGCGCCTGCCTGCAGGGGCCGGCCCCGCGGGACGGACGGGGAATGAAGGAGGGCGAGCGCAGGAGCGGGCCTCTGGGCGGGGGCGCAGCCCTCACGCCTCCTCCCGCCCGGCTCTCCGGGGCGCGTCCCCGGCACTGTGGCCTCGGGCCCGGACGGGGCAGCCTTTCCAGTTCCCTGAGGGGAGAAGGCCCGTGGAGGAGAATCTCAGACCGCGGACTTGGTGGGGAGGGGGGCATTTGGGGGACACGGCTGAGGTTTTAAAACGAAGCTGTACGCGGTATACGGAAGCTGGCTCTCTTGCTTGAGGTGAGGTGTGGCCACCCATGGATATCTCGTGTCCCCTGTCCTTCTGGCTTGTCGGGGGCGGTGAAGGAAGAAGACACCGTGGGTGGAAACTTGCACATTCCAAACCCCTTTCGTATGTGACGTTTTAGGCTGTAGCGCCTCCTTGCAGTGTGAGCTGGAATATCAGTGGTATTTCGCGGGCTGCTTTTAGCCGGTCACCTGGTTCAATCACGGCAGCAAGAGGGACTGAGCAGGGCCTGAGGGGGCCGTGCCGAGCCGTCCTCACGAGCCGTCCTGACCTGCGACCTGCGGCTGGAACCCTGGCCGCCTGTCCCCGCAGCTGGGCGGGTCCCGGCGGCCTCAGCTCCTGTGCGGGAGGAGCTGGGCTCCGTGCACGCCGTGGGGACCCGCACCCTGTCCCGCGGGATGCGGGTTATCTGCACAGTACGCGGGGGTCAGATGGGGTGCCGGCCTCCCGCCGCACGTCCGTGGTGACAAGTGACGCTGGCCAGTCAGCACCTGTGCCCGGCCTCCGGCTTCTCGTCATCGGCCTCCTTCCCGTCGGGCCCTAACGCTGCCTTTCCTGCCGCTCCCCTTCAGCGCCGAAGCTGCAGCCTGCCCTCCCGGACACGCGCTTCAGCTTGGCGGCCCCCGAGAAGAGCGCCAGAGCGGACCCCAGAGCGGACCCCAGAGCGGACCCCAGAGCGGACACGGGCTTCCGGGCCCGGAGCGCCTCCAACCCCAAGCCTGCGCTGCAGTCGCCCAAGCCCGGCCTGGCGGCCCGGCCGGCCATCCCGCAGAAGCCGAGGACCCCCTCGCGGCCCGGTAAGGCTGGGCTGGGCGGGCGCGGCACCCACTCGTGTGGCCCAGGGGCTTCCCAGGGCGGCCGGGACGTGGGCTCGGAGGGCCTGCGGGGGTCTGGGAGGGCGGCCAGAGGCTGGGGGATGACCCGGCGGGGGTGGGGGCGGGGGCGGGGGCGGGGGCCTTTGTTCAGCACCGAGGCGCTGGCTCTGACTGTCCTCGCATTCGGGGCTGCGGGCCTTGGGGACAGCCTCAGGCAGAGCCCGGGGAGCGCCCTGGCCTGTGGGCAGGCGGACAGAGCCTTCGGAGGTGGCGGCTGGAGGGTGGGGCCGTCACGGTGACGGCAGAGGCTGCTCTGTGTAGGGCAGGGGGGCAGGGTCTGGTCCGGGCCCCCTCAGAGCACACCCGCTGTGCGCCGGTCGCCTCTGGCCACCTGGAGCGCAGGGCGGAGGTGACCTTGGCCGTTTCACCTGCAAAGCCTCGAATATGTACCGTTTTGCCTTTTACAGAAAAAGTTTGCTGACTTTGTTTGGCAAATCGAGTGACAGAAGAAACGTGACAGTATTCACAATGGGTCAGGCCCTGCCCCGTTCTCTCCTGCAGTGGCCTCTGCTCCCCATTTCCCCCCGGTTTTCTGGGGTCCCCTCCAGCCCCTGGCCCTTGGAGCAGCCCCCTTAGGGCTTGTAATTCTGCTGAGACCTTTCCGCCCACCAGCGGGCGTCGTGGTGGGAAAACAAAGGACCTCCGTTGAGAAGGGGGAGAAGGGGGTCCCTCAGCCTCAGGCCGGGCGTGAGATCCGCTGCGCTCCCCACGCTCGGTTGCAAGAGGCCGGTGGTTTGGTTCATTTGCTGAGTGTGTTCTCAGCACTTCGTATGTGGGGAGCCGTGTTAACAAGCAGATGTTTTTGTGGAGCTCGAGAGTGGAGCAGGCGTTTCCCGCTGCCCTGTCCCATTCCCCCCGCGGTTCTGAGGGACAGTCGGGGTGCAGGCACGTGGGGTGTCTGTCGCCTCCCCTCACGCAGGGCAGCATGTGGGGAAGGGGGCTGGACGTGTGCGGCTGCGGGGGACCCAGAAAAGGCCGTCTTTGGCACACAAGCACATGTCACACAGGCACATGTCGCACAGACACACGTCACACAGACACGTCACACACAGGCACAGGTCACACAGGCACACGTCACACAGGCACACGTCACACAGGCACAGGTCACACACAGGCACAGGTCACACAGGCACAGGTCACACACAGGCACAGGTCACACAGGCACAGGTCACACAGGCACACGTCACACAGGCACAGGTCACACACAGGCACAGGTCACACACAGGCACAGGTCACACAGGCACACGTCACACAGGCACAGGTCACACACAGGCACACGTCACACAGGCACAGGTCACACACAGACACACGTCACACACAGGCACACGTCACCGGCACACACCACACAGGCACATATCGCACAGACACATGTCGCACACAGGCACACGTCATGCACGGACACGTTGCCTCCAGCCCGTTGCTCAGCCTGTCCCTCTGCCGCGTGTGGGCGTTGGTACCTACTGACGGGTGGAAGCACAAAATGTGTTTGCCCAGAAAACCGCGTGATGCCTTTTAAGACCGCGAGCCCCTCTGACCGAGAGCCCCCCCGGCTCTGTCCGCGGGACCCAGCCCGTGTGTTTGCCTCCACAGACGATGCCCCGGACTCTCCGCCCAGCCTTGGGTCCCCCAAAGTCGCGCTGCTTCCTCCCGTGCTGAAGAAAGCCCCCTCGGACAGGGAGAGGGAAGGCCAGGGGAGCCCGCAGCCCGGCCCGAGGACGCTCTCCCAGGAAGGTAGGAGCCGTTTTCTCAGGCCCGCTCTCCCCAGGGAGGCTCGTTCCGGGAGAAAGGAATCGAACCGGCGCCTCGCCAGCGGCTTAGTGTTGACGTCGGCCCCCTCGGGTCAGGAGTGGAACGAGAGCAGCCTCTTCGTTCAGAAACTCGGGTGGCGTTGCGGGGCCCCGGGTCTGACTGGAGGCCCCACGCGGGGAAGGGGAAGCCCGGCCGGGACTCCAGGCCGCGGTGTCGTGTCTTTGGAGCCGGCCCTCGGGGCCCCTGCCCGGCTCCCAGCAGCCTGGGCGGCCTTGGCCGTTCCTGGGTGCCGCCCGTGGGTTTCCAGGTCCGGCTGTTCCCAGGAGAAGCTTCCCCTGGCTGTGGGCGGCTGTGGGGCGCGCGGCGCTCGCTCAGGCACCAGCTCGGACGTGGCCTGTGCTTCGCGGCGTGGCGCCTGCAGGGACGCTCCCAGGCCACTGCCCCACCAGCTTGCTCCCTCTGCCGCGTGCGGCGGCAGCGGAGCGAGGTGACCCTGGCTGGCGCATGCGGCTCCCAGAGGCAGGCCGGGCGCGGGGCCCCGTGGCGGCGTGGCTGGGTGGCCGCCACCCTCTGTCTCTCTGCTCTCATTCTGTCCAACGCACAGTTGACTTGTGGGCTCTGTCTTTCGTGACGGGTGACGTGAGTGTGTCTCAGCGCCCCTCCCAGGAAGAAATTCTAGAGCCGCCGTCACCGCCCTGTCCGGACGGCTCCCCCTGTGGGGCGGTGGCTTCGTTTTATTTCAGATTTGTCTCATTCCTCAGGAGTCTTCAACCCCCTGCCTCTGACATCTTCCTGCCTTGGCCAGTTTTCCCTCTTTCTTTCCCTTTTTCCCCCGACCCGCTCCGGCCGGCTGCCTTTCATCAATGGTGGTCTCGGCGGGGTTGCCGGGGGGGCCCAGATGGCGCGTCTCTGAGCGCCGTCTTTGTGATTCGGAGTCAAGCACAAAAATGACTCCGTGGGCTTCCTCCCCCGCACCCCGCGGATTTATTTTGTGGGTGCACGTTTGGCCCACCTGTCAGCCATCGATGAAAGGAGGCGGGTTTGAGCAGAGCTGACTAACCGCTCCGTCACGTGGAGAAGGCAACGCCGGGGCGGGTGGCGGCTGGCGCCAGAGTCCCTTCCCGCTCGGAGAATGAACTCGGGGCGCGGTGTCCCAGCACGGCCTTGCGAGTCGCTCTGGTGGTGCCGGCCAGAGTGACCCGGGCCGGGGCCTGTCCCTGAGGGCCCTGCTGGGCCACATGGCCCCGCCCCGCCCCCCTTCCCTTCCTGTAAGGGAGCCATGGCCGTGCCTGGAAAGGGGAAGGGGTTGAGGAGGAGAGGGCTTGTCCAAAGCAGCTGAGCCGTGGAAGGACTCAAAAGCAGAGGTCGGAAGGCCGAACACAGAGCAGTTCCTGTGTTTGAACAGCGATGTGTCCTAGACGCCCATGTGATTAAAACAAGGCCCAGAGCGGGCCCGCCGCGTCGCAGGCGGCAGCGCGTGCACGGGCCACTCTTGGTGACAAAGTTGGTGACGGCTGCCTGCCCACTGTCCCCGGCAGCTGGGCAGTGACACCCGTCCTTCCTCCAGGAAGTTGAAATGAAGGGGCTGCTCCCCAGGCGTTTGGGGCAGATGCTGGACACCCCCTCTCCCCCGATAGTTCGGGCCCCGCCCCCCAGGTCAGCGGGGGAGGCTGCCCCTTGCCCGCGGGGATCAGGGACGCGCAGGCGCGGAGTCCTGCTGCGGGGCCCCCTTGGGGGTTGAGCTCGGACCGCAGGGGCCCGTGGGGTCGGGGGACAGCGCGCCGTGTCCCCGGTGGTGGGGCCTTGGCTTCGCCTCGCCCGTCAGCGTCCGGCTCGGCTGCCTGGAAGGAGAGCCCCGACTTCCCTTTTCTCCAAAAAGCGTCCCCGGGGCGCGCGCTCCTGTCTTCCTGTGCGGTATTCACGCTGCTTCCTTCCTTCCTTCCTCCCTCGCCCTGCGCCTCCCCGTGGACTAGCCGGCCCGCCTCCTTTCTGACGCAGGTAAACCGCCGCGGCTCCTCGGGACTCTCCCTCGCGACAGTGATTTGTGTCAACGCGGGGGCCTTCCCTTAGCATCTCTCATTTTGCACGGTGTTTCCAGACTGGTGGCTGTTGGATTCTGTAGACCACGGTCCGCCTGTTCAGAACCAACGCTATCGGTTCCTTGCGTCCTCAGAGGGGTGGGCGAGCCGCTCTTTCATGTGGAATGCTAACACTTTTTAATCTTGGTGTCAGCACGCGGATGTATTTGCCGGTATAAAGGGTAAAATGAATCCCTCTTCCTCAGCGGTGCAAAGAGGAGATTATTTCAAAAGACACCCCGAGCACAGCGCAGACAGGCCGCCCAGCAGAGGAAAGCGGTCTTCGAAGCTGCCCTTCACCCTCACGGAAGAGGAGCTGGATGCAGCGGGGCCCAGGAAGCCGCAGCCAGCACCTGGTCAGAGCCTCCGACGGCCGCCCCGCGCCGCCCCGCGCCGCGGACTGGCACGGACAAACGCGGCTGTAATTGAGCAACCTCCGTCCTGGGGCTGCGAGGCTTCGCGCCGCTGGCTTTTTTTTTCTTCCCTAAATGGCAACAGGATGGTTCTGGCATTTGGGGCAAAAAGTTGACTTAAACCTCTAAAGCGAGACATTCTTAGGAGGATCAAGCTACCTTGAGCAAGGTGACTTGTCCTTTCAAATTCTGGGACCACGCAGGTTTGATTTTGAGTTCGGGGTCATGGCTCTTCTCTCTCTCTCTCTCTCTCTCTCTCTCTCTCGTCTCAGATGTAAACGGGTTGGCTACCCCTTTAGAGACAGCGGGCCAGCAGCCAGCAGCAGCCGGACGCTGTTCGGGAGGGGTCTCTAAGCCCAGCGACCGCGGTGCAGGCTGCGCCGTGCGCACGGCTGTTCCGTGCCCGTTTTATGACCCTCAGTTAGGAAGGGAAACACAGGTGAGCTTCTCCGCCTCTGGGAACAGCGTTGTGTGTTTCCAGCAGCTACTCGAGGACGCCTGTCCTCTGCCCGACACGCAGCGAGTTCCCTACTGTCCTGCTGCCCAGAGGACCGTCCCCGGAGACGTGTCAAATCAGCCTTAGCCCCCGAAGGGGAATTTTAGGACAGTCACTGCTGACTCAGAAGGGAAATGTCTTTCCTGTGACTAATTACACACCAGTTTCCCGGTGAGCAATGCTTTATAAGCGTGACTTGAAAAACATTTTAGAGGAAAGCGTAACATCTTGAAAGAATATATAATACTCTGCTGTGTGAGACTTCCTTAAAGGACCTTGTACTTCGCAAGGAGGCTTTACTGCTTCCCAGCGGAGCTGTGCCGGGCGGCACGTGCGGGAGAACCGGCCGTGGGGCTCAGGCCGCCGGGGCGCGCGCCCCCGCGCAGGGACACCGGGCCGCACCCGCCCGGGCGCCGCTGAGTCCCTCCTCCCCTGTCCGTGGGCTTCCCGTGGGGTGCGTGTGCTTACAAACACGCAGCCATGGTAGCTCTTCTCTCTCCCCCAGGTTTTCTCTGCTATTTTCAAGAAAACCTGTTACCTTTAAGTCATAGGAAAACGATCCAGGCAGACACCTCAGATCCTTATTTGCTGAAGGGAGGCAAAGTGATGTCTGGGAGTCTCTGAAACCCAGAGCTCTGGCTCTATATTGCCCCCTTGTGGTCAGGACACACAGGGTCCCGTAGACAGTTCTAGATTTTGGAAATTGCCATTCGAACTGTTGCAGCAGTTGACTTACGTCACTTTGCTAACAAAGCACCCTGGATGCAACGTGATGTCCCTTCTTCGGTAGCCCCCAAACACACCTCGTCCCACACGCCCACCGAGGGTCCACCCGCACCGCAACCACCCTTTGAGGGGGAAGACAGAGAGAAGCCAAATCTTAGGCAGGCAAGAAACTCCGTGTCTGTCTGAAATTTCTGTCATGACCTCCGGCCTAGAATTCTCATTGTGATGAGCTGCGTCCAGTTTCGATGGGATGACATAGGACCATCTTGTGTTTGCCTTTTTTTGCCTTGATTTTTTAAAAATTCTGCCAGAAACCCAAAAAAGTAATTTTTACAGGAGCTTCAATTACAGCCATTTTACGTATACGATTTTACTCGTGTTTTGTCCGTGCCAATTCCAAGCGCTCACCGCCTTCGCCCCCGACAGCCGCCGCAGTCTGCTTTCTGAATAGTTTCTGGTTAACGAGTAGCACTCGGCAGAGCAGCCCTGCTAAACCCTGGGTGGACTTCACCGTAAACCTTCTAAGAGCAGATTTCTTACCGTCCTCAGTCACGTGCTCATGACACAAAACGAGACTGTTCTCAAAGCACGCTGCCTATTTGATCATGATGATTATGTTTCGATTGTGTGGCTCTTTTAGTGTTGCTGTGACGAGTAAAATGCCTGCTTTTACTAGAAATGTTTGTCACTGCATCTTTTGAATGTCATGGCATTTCCTGTCTTCCTTTCATTGTGTGCTGTGACGTAATTGTCATGTGTGTGTCCTGTTTTCTTGAAGAAAGCAGTTGGTCTTGGCTCGGTGTGCGCTGCGCTGTGCCCGCCCGGCACCGGGCATTTTACTCCGCGGTTCCTTTTCTGTTTCACGTGCTTCCTCCACCCACCGGCCCGCAGCCGGCAAATGTTTGGCTGCGGCTTACCTTCTGGGAGCCAGGGCGCTGTTTCACCAGGTCTGGGTTCTGCTGCCCGCATCCGAGGTCTTCAAAAGAAATTTAGCAGCCGGTTGGCATTTTTGGCTTTGGCCAGAAAGTTTTAAAATCAGGGCCGACTCCTGACTATTATTTTAAGGTCATAGCAATGTTTTCCTTCTAGGAAGTAAGGATGTCATTGGAGCTAAAAATTGAGAGGAACTCAGATTCTCACGTGAATCTCTAGTTCTGAGTGTATACGCATGTTTCAGAAGGTTGAGAATTAGCATAGGTATTTGCATATATATGCGACGCCAGGTCACCTCCCCGCGGGACAGATTTCCTGTTCGAGGCTCTCTCTGGGCTGATCAGCGCCCCTGTAGGAGGGATGCGAGTATTTCTGGAGGATAAATCGCCTGTTTACTTACCCAAGCCTCTTAGAATTTTGACGGTGCCTGTAAATACGGACGCCTGTAGGCACCGGTACAGAGGCGTTCCAGCGCGTTAGCTTGCGCTGGAGAAGAGCAGTAAAAAATCTAATTTTGTTTTTTTCTTCGCTCTGTATAAAGTCAGGCATTAAATGAGGCTGCCTAGGAGAAGGTTCTCTGACTTAGTGAAAAGCCTGAACTCCACACGTACTGTCAAGTGATTTCTAGCTATTCCGGTTTCAGGCGACGTGTCTCACGTCGACAGTCCCTTCAGCGGGAGCCTGGCTGACCCTGCGTCCGCTTGGTGGCAACGGGCACCTGGTCTGAGCCGTCGGATGGCGGCTGCCTCAGGGCTGGAGGCGACCTTGACAAGGGACAGTCCCCCAGAAGCTGTTGGCCCGGCCCGCTGGACCCGCAGGAAGGCGGGCAGCTGGGCGGAGGGGCTGTGGCTCCAGAAGGTGCCCCCCGCATGTGTGTGACCTCAGCCCCCGGTCCCACACACCTCAGTTTTCCCATCTGAGAACAGGGCAGTGTCATTATCGGTCACCCGCCCAGTTGGGAGAGTGCAGCCAATGAGTGAGCCTGTTCCCGGACGAACTTTTAAGGAGGGTCACCGCCATGGCGATCTGCTTGGACAGCCCCCTGGGAAGAAGGTTTCGTTACTCGTCCCAGTGGCTGCCAGGCGAGTTGAGATGCTTGTGTTCGTGCCTGGCACCGGGTCTGCCAGCCCAGGAGCTTGGTAGGTTTTGTTCGAGGCTCCTGTGCCCTCCTGTCCCCACGCCGGAGGGCTCCGAGCCCAGGGCCACCTGCACAGAGGCGAGGACAGCCTGCCTTTCGCAGGGAGGTTGCTGTGTTGGATTTCCCCGCGTGTCACCGTGCCCTGCTGCAATGACCCGGGTCCAGGGCGATCGCAGTTTTTATCTGTGACAGTAACTATTTTATGAAAAAAGATTTTATTTACTTATCTTTAGAAACTGGAGAAGGAAGTGAGAAAGAGAGGGAGAGAAACAGCAATGTGTAGTTGCCTCTCATGCGCCCCCTGCTGGGGACCTGGCCTGCGACGGAGGCGTGTGCCCTGACTGGGAATCGAACCTGCGACCCTTTGGTTCGCAGGCTGGCACTCAACCCACTGAGCTGCACGAGCCACGGCTACAGTAACATTTTTGACTGCATGAATTTCCCCATGTTTAGAAAGTGCTCAGATGTCACATCACATCACATGAGACTGGGGTTCCCACGGAGCTTTGTTATCAGGAAGCACACAGAGCTTTATTAAGAATCAGAGCAAATACGTTCTCTCTGAAGACAAATGGGCGATGTATACGCTGTTTGTCTCTTTCCTTGACACTGGAATGTCGGAAATTTATTTTTGAGTCACTCGATACCAAAGAACAGCTTACTCTGGTTTTTAAAGTGGAACGAATGAAAGTTTCTGGCAGATTTCACTGGTCGTGCTACTCGGAGGTTGGATTGTCGCACAGTGTCTTCGAGGAAGAGACGAAACCTTCCCTGCTCCCTCCTGTTCACACTCGGAAGTCGAGGCCGTAGGCCCCTTCGAGCGTCACTGTCCAGTCCCCTTGGTTCTGTGGCAAAGGGCGGACGGCAGAAAACTAGTTACCGTTGTCCCAGAACCTGGCTTGTGAACAGGTTTCAAACCTTTAATTTTTTTACCCAATTCATGCTAAAAAAAAATATTTATATGTATTCATTGCTTTCGTACCCCCATCTGAGAATTTGCCCAAAGCGTTGGGTGAAAAGAAGTCACGTTTTTTAAAAAATCACTTTCATGATGAGATTTAATGCTTGAGCCTTTTCCGCTTTGGGGGTGATTTCCATTTAAGGTGAATAACTAAACATTTAAACTCCTGTTGCCTGGAGATCAGACTCTGGCCCTGGCAACCAGATCGGCAAGAGAGGTTCTTTATTATGTTTGCATTTCGACTACCAGGTTTCCTGAACTTTCGCTTCCTGAAACCCTGCCTCGGGGACTGAACATTGAGGAGCCGGCCCCTGGCGTGCGCAGCGCAGTGGGGGGTGGGGCATGGCTGCCAGGGCACGCGCGGCTCCTCCAGCCCGCGGTCCAGGTTGGGCCATTGGGACCTGGGCGCGGGGCGGTCACCGCACACAGGTGTGTGGGTTCTGTAGCAGCTCAAGTGCTGTGTGTGCAGTGGGCTGGGCGGATACAGTTCAGGTCACCAGGCCAGCCATGCGGGGCGAGGCGCCGCGCCCGCCCGGCTCTAGCGGCTGTGGCCCGGGAAGAACGTGGGCTCGGGGAGGGGAGGCGTTCAGGCCCGGACCCCGGGTTTCACAGGACCTGCGTGCGGGGCAGCCGTGAGGAGCAGCGCAGTGACAGAGAGGGCCCGATGGAACCCGTGACGGAGGCTCAGCTCCTGCGGTCACGCCCCGGCATCGCCCTGCCAAGTCCCAGGGGAGCCTTCGTGTCCCCTGCAATCAGAGCAGGCCCCCGCGACGGCAGCGCTCGCCCCTGGAGGCTGCTCCCCAGGGGACCGGACAGACCGTGGACCCTTCTCCCGAGATGATTCGCCTCCTCGCGCGTGAAACTGGTTTCCTGAGAGGCGGAAAGGCCAGGGGCTTGCCGGGGCCTCTCCCAGGCCGTGTCCCCAAGCTGACAGGGCCAGCCCTCAGCGGCCTGCAGGGCCCGGGCCCAGGGCGGCCCAGCCGCCCAGCAGCGCCCCCCGGGCTCTCTGCCGCGTCCCCTCGCCGTGCAGGGGCGGCTGTGGCAGTGTGGCGGCCGGTCGCCTGGCCCAGCCGCTTCCAAGCCCTCCTGCTCCCTGGCACCCCCCTCGCTTCCCGCCATCCGTGCCGCCTGGGGTCCCCACCCCGCGTCTCGGCCGCAGCTCTGAGAGGCTCACCCCCTCACAGACTGCGGTTTTGCGTGCTTCCGTGTTTTGTGTGCCGCTGTCGTTGCTGGTTTGTCTAGCGTTTCTGTCTGGAGTATCTGAATGTGTTCAGTGGGGCGTAGTTGCAGGCTGAGCGCCCCGCCCCCCGTGGGGCGGGGTGCTGGTCTCCGCCCTCGCCTGCCGCCCGGCGCCTTTGCCTGGTCCCTCCCGCGTGCCGACCGCCTTCCCTTCTGCTTCCGTTTCAGCGTCGAGGCGGAGCTGGGGCCCGCAGCCCCTGGAACAGCAGGAGCAGAAGCCCCGGTCGCCTGGCAAGGACGGCCTTCCGGGCGGCAGGTCCAGCGACTCCGGGGAGGAGGCCGAGAAGGAGTTCATCTTTGTGTGAGGGCCGCGCCGCCCAGGCCTCACGCACTGCGTCCCTCCTCCCAGGCCTGCTTGTCTCGGTGCCTTTTTCTTTGCCTTTTCCTTCTTGTCTCCTTCTTATTTTTCTTCCTTTTCCTCATCTTCTTTTCCTTCTCCTCCTCCTCTGCCTCCTCCTTTTTAAACAAAACAGATCCATTTATTGGTAATCAAATCACATTTGTTTGGGCATCTCCAGCCCCGGGCATTTAATTTCTAAGCGTTCCTTCGTCTGCCTTCAACGAATGTCCGCAAGCGCCGCTCGAGTTTCCCCGGGGCGGCGGCCGGCCGCCCGCAGGGTGCGTGCCTGGAGGCACACAGCTGACTGGACGTGCGCTCGCCCGAGGACGCCCTCCAGGCGGCAGACAGCGGGTCCTGTCGCGTGCACCTGGGTCAGACCTGCACTTGCCTCGGTAGAGCAGTTTACTCTCGACGTATGCAATTGCACATTGTAATTAGATTAACAGAGCACACTAATGAATCACTTGTAAAAATTATATATTTGAGTCTTGAGTGCGGTTTCCGCCTTCTCCCGCTGGGAACGCCTCCCCCCGGCGTGGACAGCGCCCCCTCTGGCGCCCGGGGGGGACGGGGCCACAGCCGCGTCTGCCCTGAGCCCGGGCTGATGTACATAGTTGGCTGTAATGAGGGTTTACGGATCTTTGTGTTTTTTGATTTCTTTAACCTCTGTCTGCATATTAGCTTTTAATGTGTGATTTTAAGAGAGAATACTTTGACACCTGTAAAAAATCAAAATACTACTCTTTTTAAGACATTTCACAAATATTCACTTACATGACAAGCTGAAGCTATTTTATTCATATGTATATTTATACCAATAAAATGATTTTACAAGTGAAAATCTGACCTGTGCCGTTATGTCTTTTAGTTAAATTTGGCTTCTGGTGATGAACTTTGTATTTGTGTCCAAAATCCAGAGCAATCTAGGTCCCAGGTAAGCCAGCCAACTTATGTACCAAATAAACGCAACGCTCGTTCCGCTCCCTGCCTCGCCTTTGGGAAGAGGACGGGTGTGTCAAAAGGCTTGTTACGGGCCGGTCAGCACCTGTGCCTTACCTCGGGGTCACACCCGGCGTGCGAGCAGGGACTGTGGTGTGGGACCGGGGAGCAGCCCACTGCGCGGGTGCCTGTGGGAAAGAGGAATCACGTGGGTGAGCGTGGACGTGACTGTTGCCCCACCCTGCACATACACACGTGCGCGCGCGCACGCTCGGTGCCACGGGCTCTGGGCGGACGGTTGGCTGCCTCTGCGGAGGGGCCGTGAGGGTGGCAGGCACAAGGCCGTTCTCCTGCACCTGCAGCTCTGCTGTCACAAATGTCCACGGGAACCGCCCCCTCTGATGGCTGTCACAGGAGCAGACGAGGGCAAAGTGGCCTCCATGGGCTAAGAGGCCGTGGGGCGGACATGGCCCCCGAGTGTGGCGCAGCGTGGCAGCGCCTGGGTGCGCGATGAGAAGGGACGGGTTCTGTCTGTGATGCTCGGGAGGCCGCAGAGGAGGCAGCGTTCGTAAGAGGCCTCGCAGTGACACCGCCCTAGCGCAGGGACTTGGTCTGACCCATGGCCCGACCTGTGCAGCCTGTGAGGAGTGGTGGGGGGAGAGAGCGTGCACGGGCCCCATTTTCCTGTGAGGAAGCTACGGTTCCCAGCCCGAGGAGGAGCTGCTCCGCCGTGAGCGGCGTCTCCTGCGAGGCCGGCCAGGAGGGGCGCGCGGGGGTTCAGCGCTGGGCCGGCTGCTGCTGCTCAGGCGCAAGAAGACAGTTTTCCTCTGTCAGGGTGACCCGTGAGACGCCTTCGTGCGTCTACAGCCGACAAGGTAACGCAAGTGGATGGAGAGAGAGAGCTGGGTCAGGGGAATACCGCCAGCGGAGTTCTGGCCTGCCTACTCACGTTTGGTAAAAATAGGGCAAGAGATTAAAGACAGTCACACATGACAAAAGGGCCCATTCACCAAGAAGAAATAAGGATTATAAATCAGTTATCGATCGCCTCGTAACAGTCTCAAGACACATACAATAGAAATGTAAGCAACTACAAGAAGAAGCAAATCCATCATCAGAATTTTAACATTAACTTTGTAATTTTTAAATCAAATAGTCAAAAAAGTTAGTAGAGATAAGTCAGCTTGAACAACAGAATGTCCCATTAGTGAAATGAAGAGGTGTTCGCATATTAAGTGGAGTTACAGAGCGGTGCGGTCTAGCTTTGTGCACGTAAGAAAGGTAGGAAGACGTACACCAACAGCCATCCTTTGTTTTCTCTGGGCGGTAAAATTATGGAGGAATCTTCTCATTTTCTGATCTATATTATTTAAGTGATTTTTAGTGTTCCTGTGACTATGAAACAAACAGGACAAGGTATATATTTTTAAAAAAGAAATTAGCTCTATTTCCAGGATTTTCTTCTGACAAACATCGCCCAATTTCTTTTCGCTGACTTCCTTTGCCCTTCAGAGCCAGTGAAGCATTCACCCACGGCAGCTGCCTTTAGTTCCGAGGTCTGCCAGAGAGTCCACGCGTGTCCCCACGATTGAATGCCCAGCAACTTGGGGGGCGATGCCAAAGGAAGCCTCGTGTGCAGCCCCCGCTGGAAATAACCACCTGACTTTGTGAGAAGATGCTGAGATTCCGACTTGGAGTTTAACGCGTGCGTCAGGGTTCCTTGGCAACGTTTCAAATTATAGGCCGCTGACGTTTCTTGTACAGCCAACCGCCAATTAGGTATGCTAATGAGGAGACCAGGAAATGATGGCAGGCGGAAATGGAGTCAGCCAGGATGAAAAGAGAACCAGCTCATCGCCGCCCTTTTGTTTCAGCCCTCAGTTGCTAAAACTTACCAGAGCGACATACAAATTCTAATCTCTTTTCAAAAGGGTTATTAATAAAAACATGACATGAATTCCCTAAAAGTCTGTTTCTTTTCCAGATTGTCCTTCAGAGAAGCCAATAGTATCCAAATGGTAAAATGACCAAAATATAAGCCACAGGAAACAGAGACAAAGGCTGGGCGGAGGCCCTGATAGCTTCCTTAGAGAGGCTTTTTAAAAAGAGCAGTGCAAAGTACTTCCTTGCTCCAGACCGTTTAAGTCAAAATCCTTGTGAAACGGGTCAACTGCACCCCAAAGTTGCGTAACTCGTCCCTCGTTCATTGTGGTGCTTCGTGTCTGCTGTACTCTGAGGTCCAGGGTAGGGCGGAGGGTCTCAGGTCCTTCCATCCCCAGCCCGGGTGGGGGAACCTTCCAGGCAGACGGACCTTCGTCACGATGCCTCGCAGCTCCTGCTGACCCGGGCGCTGGCTCTCTTCTTAGTCAAGGTTTGGACACTTTTCTCAAAGAGAAACCCCTGCGTGAGAGAATGCAAGGTCCCTGAGGGTGACCTGCCTCGTCCGCTGGGGGGTCTGTGGGGGCTGCCCTGCGCCCCGCCCCGCTCCCCGCACATTCCGTTTCTGCATCATAAGGTGCGAAGGGCCTGCCCCGACGCTTCCAACCCTCTAACCCCGGGCGCTCTCTGGAAAACCCCTGGGGACACACGTTTGGAAGGTGAGTCCAAGGCAAGGGGGACGTTTTCTGAGTTTGACAAGTGAAAGGCTGAAAAGCGTGGACGGCGGACTCCAGAGACGTGCGCCCCCACCCCGGCCCCGGCGCCCGGCAGACAGGCGCTCGCGTGGGCGGGCGGGTGAGGGCCGGGCGCAGGGCGGGGCGGACCGGGCGGGCGGGCTCCAGGCGGCTGCTGCACCGCCCAGGGCTCGGGGGCTCGGGGACGGCTGGGCGACGCCGGCGCCAACCGCCTCGCCAGCCGCTGCAGACGGGCGCTGAGAGCGAGCTGGGGAGGAAAAGACGCCGCGAGGGACGGACTCCGACGAGTCCCGCCCAAGTTCTCGGCCCTTCGCTCCCGCCGCGGCGCCGCGCTCGGGGTCAGCACCATGGACAGCGGCGCTCGCGGCCTCACCGCCGGGAACTGGGACGCCGCCGGCTTCTGGCAGGTCTGGCAGCGCTTCGACGCCGGGGGTGAGTAGAGCCAGCCCCCTGCTCGGGCAGGTGCGGCCCGGCCCGCACCCGTCGGTCTTCCCTGCAGGAACAGGGACGTTGTCTCCCAGCGTCTAACGCAGGGCACAGAGCGCAGGCAGGTTACCAAGGGTCAGGGCGGGAGGAGGGCTGCGTCCCCTTCCCAGCATCTGTGCGTGCGTGTGTGTGACAGACCAGATATGGCATCGCAAACGGCGACATTAAGTAAATTTGAGGCTGGGGGTTGTGTGTGAAATATGGTCGGTTTCACTGTGTGTGTATAACCCCCACTCTCTCAAAGGGAGAATGAACTTGATCAACTTTCAAAAAGACACTGTGCCCACCTCCCCCCAAAAGAAAAACTCTCTGGAAAGAACTTGGAGCTGCCTATCATCTGCCTTGTCTGTATTAATAATTAACCATAAGCAAATATCTAAAATGTGTGATTTGACCCTGCAAACTAGACTCGATACGTACAGCTGTTACATTTTTCCAGGCTTCCCAAATCCTAGCATTGGATTTTATTCTAAAACTTGTGGTTATCTATGGATTGAAATTGTAACTTCCATATGCAAACTTTTAAATGTAAAACAAAAAGCTTCTTTTCTAAATACTCATATGAGCCCAGCACAAAGCATTTTCTCTGGGAAGCGCATTTACTGCTCAAATCCAGGTCTCCTAGAGGTAGATGTAGGCGCGTAGCTATTGGGATAGTACAGTCCCCAAAATCCACGGGGACTTGGTGACCTGTGAGATTACAAACAAATTCAGGTAAACGTTAAGGGGGCGTGTGTTGTCCTGTGCAAGCGACTGGTGTTTGTGTGTATCTTCGTGCATTTAGACACCGGTTCCATAGAAGACAAGAAGCTGGATGCGTTCCTCCGCCAGCTGTTGATGCGATCGGGCACCGACGTAAGTACATGTGTCAGGAGGCATTAATTATGTGTCTCTCGGTGACACACAAGGGGCGTTCAAGTCTTACGCTGATTTGCACCCATTAATCTACTCTGGCTTCTTCCTCGCACACATGCAATTTTTCTCTGTCTCCTAGCAACATGGAAGGACCGAGGCAGGTTTTATAAGTGGTACCGTTGCAGCCTTAGATGTGCCGATAGCTGGCTTTCTGTGTGACATCTGTCACCCACCCTAGGAGCCCATCATCCAAACAAACATCTCTTAGGTTCTGTCTCTGCTAATGGGGTTGAACCTGGCGCCGATGAGGTCACTCACTTTGTTCAAAATGGTGGCACAGATGTTAGGAGCTTTAAGGTCCTGAGTGTTTAGTGCATTTGGTTCTCCTTTGAGAGCGAGCCGCAAACAAACCATTTAAAATCATTTTTCCCCCCAGTATTCATTGAATTAGCAGAGGTTACAGATTTCTTAGGACATGACAACCCAGAAAATAAACCACATCCCGAGTCCAGGTGTAAACATAAGCCAGCCCACCAGTACGCGTGTGCCTTCCCGGCGGAAATCTGGCCTGCGGGCGTAGACGGAGTTTTGGAGATTCCTGTACCAGACAGAGAAGGAACTCAGAGACACGGCCGGCCGCCTGGTGGAGACCCCATCGGGGACGCGAGGAAGGGGAGGAGCTCCGGAGACAATACCTTTACCCTGAACTGTGCGCATCACTCACCCTCAGATGTAACTGTTCTCGGGGAGGAGAACTCAAAGAGGACACCAGGCCTCCGTGTAGGACCCCATGAGGGGAACCCAGGGCTCCCCACCACCGAGGGGCGCAGGGGACGTGTCAGGCGGGGGGTGGGCAGCAGCGGCCCAGGGTGAGATCAGCTGCCAGCTCCGTCCGCTGCCACGCAGACCTCTTGGACTCTCTGTCTGTCTGCCTGCCTGCCTCATACTCTGTCCCTGCTTCCTGTAAGCCCCTCGTTTTCCTGCCCATTTCCGACTGTTCCTCGTCTCTGGGTGTCGCTGTCCCTCGCCCAGCACCCCCGGACTTCCTCGCTGAGCTCTCTGTCTCCGCCCCGCTCTGGTCTCTGTCCGCCCGCCCCCTGGCTTCTCTCTCTCTCTGCCTCTCCCCCCCCCCCCCCCCCGCTCTCTGTTGCTTGTCCTCGCCCTGCCTTTTATGACTTCCCCTCTGTTTCTCTCCATCCCAATGCTCTTCTCTTTCATTCTCTTTCTTTTCTCAGTTTCTCTCCTGTTTCTTTCCTTTCTCTGCCCAGCCCCCTACTCACCGCTGCCAATGCTGAGGCTCACGGCATCCCAGAGCCCATGAGTCGGGTGCCACGTAGTCACACGTGACAGGCATATTTGAGGAAAACAGGAAGAGCCCCACCCCCACCTGGCTGAGTGATTTCTGTCACGCGTGTTCTGTTGGGTGCACGTACGTGATCATCCACCAAACGCACACACAGAACCCATGCGCCGAGGCTGGGGCGGCTTCCCCGTGTGCTCGGGCGGGGTCGCACACAGAAGCCCGCTTGCAGGGAAGCGGGGGCGCGTTGGGGGAGCGGCTTGGCCCGACTGGTCGCGTCAGGGGTGCGGGTCCGGCCCTGTGCGGGGATCTGCGGCCCATGCCTGTGTCGGAACTCATTCTCCGTTGCTGATCGGCCGTCCCCTTCCTTGTAGTAACCCTGTGGTTATTACAATGTCCTGGCAGAGGACGCCGTGGCGCGTGGGAATGGTCATGCGTGGCAGGGACAGCCCGCATCGTCGGTCATTCAACAAGTACTTTATCACCTGGTTTCCTCTTCAATCACGTTCCCCTCTGGTCACACTTTCCTCAGCGAGACCGAGGAGAAGGCCAAGAGAGGGAGCGCTGGCCCCCGCACACTGTCGGCCAGCGGCGCTGGGCTCTTCGCCGGGAGACAGAGTGAAGCCTCCGAGCTCTGGGGGAGGGAGTCCGTGGGTCCCTCACGACACAGAGTTGAGTCACAACCAGACAAGTAGTGACGGTCACGTTCGTGCTTCCAGCGCCCTGGTCTTTGAGCTCCTCTTTGTCGCTGTTTCAGGAGCGGGAGTGCGAAGCCTCAGCCCATCACGACCCTGGGTGGTGGCTCTTTGCTCGGGAGCCACCGTCCCCTCTTGCACAGCACGATGGCCCTCACACGGCTCAGGCGCCTGGTCCCCGGGTCAGGCTACGTCATGAGCATGCTGTGCGCTCTGAGCGGTCGCTCTCCCGGCTACACGCCAGGGTCCCCAGGGGTCTGAATGTGGCTCCGTCTGGCCTGTTGCAGGAAGCAGTCATGGAGGAAAATGTGCAGAGGCTGAGACAACAGTTTACGGCTGCCCACCCCGTCCCGGAAGACGGTCGCGTTCCGATGGAGCAGGTACGACCCGACTGGGCTCCCGGCTGAAAGTCCCTCTGAGGGAGAACGGGCCCCTCACACCTGCCCGGGGGCTTAGGACGCTGTGCCCGGCAGCTGGTCAGGACGACGTCCCCGAAGCCATCCCCTGACCTTTCCCATCTGCTTAGGACCGAAGAGCGCGTGGCCCTCCCACCATTTTCTTCGGGGCGGTCAACATTTACGCCGATTCTATAACGGGGCAATCGACGCGACAGAGCCCCGCAGTCGCTGGGTCCAATATTGGTTTCTTTGACGGGACCTGGTCAAATTCGGCCTTGACATAAGGAAAACATACTGTCAGTTTTAGCTTTTGTAAAAAGTTAAGCACACTCTAAACGAGTGTCAATCTCAGCACCCTCTCAGGGGGGAGGAGGGGAAGATCCCCCCGAAAGGTCACAAGAAGCAGACAGACAGCAGCTGCCTCCACCCCGGCCCAGGCCCGTCCCTGAGCCCCTGCGGAGCCAGGAGCCCGCGGCTGCCGCCGGGGTCTCCCGCCCACGTGACCGTCCTTCCTGCCGCTGGCACAGGTGGTGCCGTCTGGAAAGGATTCCCACATGTAGGTTCGCTTATCCCCACGGTAGCAGCGGAACGTGGGGTGGAACGCGGTCTCTCTGTCTCCAGCAAGGAAGCCGAGCCACCGCGCTTCCTCAGCGTCCTGGCCAGAAGCACAGGGCTGCGCGTGCGAGACCCAGCCCTGCCCCCTGCCCCCTACCGTGCGCCCACCCGCTCCCGGGCCCCGGCCGCGTCGCCGACCGCCCGCTGTGTCTCCCGCTTGTCTAGCTGGCCGGCATGTTCTTGTCTGAAGATGAAAACTTCCTTCTGCTCTTCCGCCGGGAAAGCCCCCTGGGCAGCAGCGTGGAGTTTATGCGGGTGAGTGCGCGGGCGGGGGAGAAGCAGCAGAGGCCTGGACCCCCACCACCGCTCGGCTGGGGCTGCCCCTGGAGGCCCTTGTTGGGGGGCAGGACATCGACCCCGAGCCCCATGCGCTCCCTCGGCGCTCTGGCCCTGGCTGCTCCGCCGCCGGCCAGCGGTCTCCGCCGGGTCTAGACGATGCTGAGGACTGTGCCGGGTGCGGGGCTGCGGGGGGACCTCGGGCCAGGCCGCTGGGGAGCCCCAGGAGCCGCTGCCTTTAGAGGGTGCTGCCTGGACGGCTGGGCTCTGTGGGAAGCTCCTTATGTGGAACCGCTGACCACCGATTCTAGTTTCGAAGGCATCGGTTCACTTCTTGTGAGCCGCCCCCAGACGATCACTGTTGCCAGAGCAAACCTAGAACCCTCCGCAGTGTTGGGCGCGCACGCAGCGCAGTGCGGTTCTCCGAGCGGAGCCGCAGCGGCCGGCGGCCACGTCAGCCCCGAGTTACAGGAGGGTGGCGGATCGTGGCCTCTGTGTGTTTCAGATTTGGCGCCAATACGACGCGGACAGCAGTGGCTTCATTTCGGCCGCTGAGCTCCGGGTGAGTGACGCGGGACCTGCCGCCGTGAGGCGGGGCTTGCCCCGGGAGGAGCTGACGTGTGGGGGTCACGAGTTTAATTCCTGTGCACCCAAGAAGCGCGCAGGTCTGAGTCTGTTACTTTAAATAAAATGTATCCCTGTGTAGAAGGCTTAGACGGTGCCGGGAACATCACTCTCTCTGGGACAGAGACACAGTTGAGGGTGTTTGACCCTGTTTTCGTGCCTGGGGCTATTTTCCGGTCCCCTGAGCTTCCTTCCAGGGACAGACCGTGCTTGGAGCTGTCCTTGCGGAAAGCCCTTCTTCCCTCCTGAAAGCAGAGCAGCCCACACCCTGCAGAGTAGGCTGCGGGGGTCCTTGCGGTTCCGTGGCTCACGCTGGGAAATGTGGCTCTTGTCTCCACGTCGCAGGACTTCCTCCGTGACCTCTTCCTCCACCAGAAGAAGGTCGTTTCCGAGGGGAAGCTGGCGGAGTACACAGAGACGATGGTGAGCGACCGGCCGGTGGGGCTCCGGGGTGGGCTGGGGGGGCTCCGGGCACGTGCCCAGGAGGGGTCGGCGGCCCGAGTGCCCGAGGACGCTCGGCTCTGGAGGACGCCGGCTAAAGTGGAGCTGCTTCGGGCTGCGACTCGGGATGTGCGAACCGAAACATGACAGGCCTTTCAAAGGGGGCGGCGGCGGCATTTGCCGGAGACGGATAAGAACAGCCAGTCGGGACGCACTGATTCCGGCAGAAGCCCGATGCTCTTCTGATGAGGGGACAAAGGCGAGGGGTGTTTGCGAGAAGGGGGCGGGGACAGTGACATCCACAGAAGGAAGCTGTGGAAGCCACGGGTGTCGCTCAGCTAACACAGTGATGTTTATCCTAAACGGTGTTTTTAATTGTGGGCCCCACAGTCGTCTGTCCCATTGCCCTCCTTGCCTGCTCTCTTGGTGTCTTTGCCAACAGGTCTTGGGGACACAGCGTGGCTTGAGGCCCAGCTGTCCAGTTTAGACAAAGAGAGAACCGGGAGGGCAGATAGCAAAGCCCTTCGCGCGCTTCCAGAGTGGATCCCCGCTGCGCCATTTCTCACGGTCGCTTCTCCTGCCTTCCAGATGAGGATCTTCGACAGAAACAGCGACGGCCGGTTGGATCTCAACGACCTGGCCAGGTGAGCGGCTCGGGAGCGGTGTCACAGCTCCCGTGGAGAGAAGGAGGCCTCATCTCGCCCCGGGTCCTTGGGGACAGGAGGAGCTCCTGGGGAGACGGTCCTTTTATTTACGTATGTTCTTACTTCTACAAGTGGATGCAAGGGACCGACTACTAGAGTCTCTTTACTGCAGCCTGAAACTCCTTTTGTATTTCCTACAGGTTGTATTTGTTGTTGGTGGTGGCTGCTGGTTTTTCAATTGAGCGGCTTTCTGAACTAACTCTGTGAAGCTGGGGTCTCTGTCACGCGGGGCCACTGCGGTCTCTGCTTGGTGGGGTAGCCGTTGGTTTGTGACGGAACAGAGATTTTTCTCACACGCCCAGATTGTGCTCGGAAGCACCGAGTCCCCACCAGGCACTGGGCGGCTGGGCCTGAGCCCCGCGCGCTCGGTCACAGGGCAGGATGACAAGCCGCGGAGACAGCGCAGGCTCCTCCCAAGCCTGCGCACAACCCTGGGCGCGGAGGTGCCCTCCGCTCGCCTGGCCTCCGCTCCTAGAAATGCGTTGTAGCTTCCAGGAGCGCCGATGGGTAGCTGGTTCCTCAGCTGTCCCTCTCCAGCTTTTGGGTCGGCCTACTGCTCGCACAGACCCGCTTCCATCACTTTGATCCCCCTGCGTGAGCCAGGATCTTAAACGGTCGCCTCTCATTGTTTCTGTCTTTGCTTTTCCCGCTGGGTGAGTTCAAAAGCAGATGGAATGAAGACGTCCTGGCCCCTGACGTCTCCTCCAGGCCGCGAACAAGGCCAAGTCGGGCAGTGCTCTGGGGCTCCGGCTCCGGCAGAGCTCCGCCCCGTCTTCCCGGCGCAGCAGCGGCTGAGCTGCTGGTTCGCGGGAGGGAGGGATCCCGGTTTTCAAAACGCCGGCAACAGTGGCGACATAAAGCCAGTTCACACGCCACGAAGCCCACTGTTCTTACCAAGATGTCCTCATTTCCCTGAAATAAACATTCCTCAGATTTCTTCAGGGCTTTTGTTAACGTCCAAAGTTTTAAAAAAAAAGGTATGCTGGCCATTTTTTATGTGTGTGTGCATCAGCTTTCTTGTTGCTGTGACGGAGGAGAGAATTTTCATGGCCCGTTACTGTGCTGATTTCCACCAAGATAAAGTTTTAAATGCCTCTCTGTGATGGCTGCTAGCCTCTGTGAAAGTCTGTCCCAGTTAATTTCTTTATTTGTTTGTATAGTATATAAATTCTTTTTCAAGCGCCTATCCTATTCTGCAGAGTGATCTGGAAACTGCCTGTGCTTTCCTCACACGGGAGTTGTGGCTTTGCTTTAACGGGAAGTTGATAGGCTCTCCTGTCGATTAATTTCTTTTTTCCCATCTAGGATTCTGGCTCTGCAGGAGAACTTCCTTCTGCAATTTAAAATGGATGTGAGTAGTGACGCTTCTGTGGGCGGGTCCGCGGCCCCCGCGTGTCCTCGCAGACCCGAGATCCAGGGAGAGAAAGGGCATTCGCTTGCCTTGCCTTTCGGTTGTGCGGAGGCTGGAGGCCGCGTTAGAACGCAGGGTGTCAAGGGCAGGACTCCGGGGTGCGGAGGCGGGCTGCGGCCTGGAGGGGGCGCCACTGCAGCTTCCCGCTGCTGGGCTGACGCTGCCTCCTCCACACGCAGGCTTGCTCCACAGAGGAAAGGAGGAGGGACTTCGAGAAAATCTTCGCTCACTATGACGTCGTAAGTGCGCCCCGCCCGTGGCATCTCTCGAGGGGGAGGGGTCGCACCGCCCGGGGACCCTGCGTGCAGGCGTTTGGGGCGCCCCCCGCTTCTCTGCGCGACTTCCGAGAACTAAGGAAAATGGACAAAGGAATATTTATGGTTGAGAAGAGGATAAATTCACTTTTTTTTTTTTGCCCCTTGGATCCAAACTAAGAAGAGTTTCTCTTTCTTGATCTCCCTCGAGATGAGTGTGCTCAAAAACAAAAGCATCGAGTCCCATTAACAACTGCCTTGAACCCAAGGAAAGAGAGGCCGAGTCAGACCTCCTGGACACAAAAGCGACCTCTCTTACAGGATTAAGTATTTGGTCTTTCGTAGGCACAAAGGGCACAGAGATTCACCTTCCTGGGGACCGGGCGCGGTCCTGCCAGGCGGCGGGGAACAGGAGGAAGTCGGGGAAGCGGGTGCCTGTGGGCCGTGTTCCGGGCGGGACGTGGCACCTGGAGGAGGCCGCGCAGCCAAGAGTGCGTGTGTCGCTGCCGGGGCTGCTCCCTGGGTTTGAGTCACGGCGGACTGGCCCCGTGACCCCGGGCGGGGTGCTGGCCTCCCCGCGCCCCATCCCCCTGGCTGTGGAGCAGGGCGGGCAGGGGCGTAACGCCTGCCTCCCGGGCTGTGACGAGGTTGACGTGACCCGTGATTGTAAAGCTCTCAGCCAAGTGCCCGCGTGGAACAGGTGATGTGTAGCATGTGGTAAATACAGTAAGGACTAGATTTTTTTAAATGATATGTTAAAGATTCCGATGAGGAAACTTTGAAAGGAATAGATGGGTTGTCCTAACTGGCACTTGGAGAAGAAACTGAAATATTTTAATATGTATTATATTTTACAGACATTTTCATAAGATAGGCAAAAAAAAAAAAAAGCGAATACAGACCAAGTAATAATCCTGACATGCTCACTCAGTGTATTAATAGTTTCTTTTGGTTGAAAATACACATTTTTGTAACACTCAAGCCATTGGTACATCATAGAGCAAACCAAAGTAACGGGAACCTGTCTTTCAAAGGGTTAGTGTGACATACGACTAACACTTGTGAACCAAAGCCTGTTTGGGAAGCAGGTCCAGCCAGCACATGTCACGTCAGTGGCATCTGCAAGAGCCACAGAGCCCAAAGCGGCCACTTCCCGTTTAGTTACCAGGGGTAGAGAGGGCGGGGGGCGGGGGGCGGCGTCATTTACAGCACATTCGTTTAAGTCACATGGGACACTCCCACCCCACACAGAGAACGTCGGTTGGAGCCGCCATTTCTGAGCCCGCGCATGGTCCCCAAAGAACCCCGTCCACGCTGGGGTGCCCCGCCTGCTCGCTGGCTCTCCGACGTGGGGAGGTGCCGCGTGGCTGACGGCACGTTTGTCTTTCAGAGCCAGACCGGAGCCCTGGAAGGCCCCGAGGTGGACGGGTTTGTGAAGGACATGATGGAGCTTGTGCAGGTGACCTCGCGGGCCTGGGGACCCGTCGGGCACTGGGGCTGCCACGGCGGTCGATTCCACCGGTTACTCTGGGGACTTGGGGCTGAAGGTTCATGCTGGGGAGAAAATCTAGGGAGGCGGTCTCTTTCACAGCCTTGACCCCCGGATCCCCACGGTCTCCTTCTCCCCCAAGGTCGTTTCTCGTTTCGGTAGGTGAAGCCCCGTGGGAGCCTCTTGTCACCATCGTTGCACTCACCTGGGTCACCCAGGAGGCTCCTGCCACCGCGTGGGCGGCTGCTTTAGTGTCTGAGTACAGAGTCTTTTTCCCTTGGGCTTAGTTAAGGAAATAACAGAACCTTTTAATTTCGTGCAATAAACCCCATACTTGGGGTGCAATCATTTTTTATTTTACTGAGGAGATGAGAAGATAGAGAAGGTAAGGTTGGCGATGGCAGCCCCCCGCCAGGAGCTTTCCAGCCTTCCGTTCTGCGGCGGCCGTGGGGGGCAGCGCGCTGGCTTAGCACAAACAAGATTGTGCGGTTACCAGGACACCCCTTGGCCTCAGCTCGGACCCCCCGAGGCTCCTGTCTTGTGACAAGATAGGACCTCCCTGAGGGAGCAGACACGATAATTTCTGCACGAGGTTTTGTACCACTTGTAGGTAACGCGGCGAGAAAAGTAAACATAGGGATCTGTAGCCGAAACCAGGAAGCGGAGGCGAGACACTCCACGCCCCGCGCGCACGGGGGCGGGGGGCGGGAGAGGCGGAAATGTGAACAGCGACACACTGGGGGGCTAAGGAGACGGGACGCCAGAGACGAGCGGGTTGTCAGCCGGCAGGTGACGAGCGCCCCGCCCTGGGCTCTGCAGCACCATTCTCGGCGCTCGATGCCCCCGCTGCGTGTCCCTTTCGTTGATGACAAGATGGCCAGAGGGGACAAGTCTCAACCTAACGGGCTCCTGGCCCTCACTTAGCACGCAGGCTATTATTATTATTTTTTAATGGTAAAGATGGTGCATACATTATAGAGAAATGTAAAAGTAGAGAAAAGAAAAAGAACCCGAACGTGATCTCTACCCTCCGGCAGCCCTGCCCCGGAGCGGGTTCTTTTCGGTATTTTGCGAGTGGTTGAGGAGGACGCTGCGCTGCGCATGCGTTTCCCAGGGCAGCCTCTGCTTTAGGGACAGAGCGGCAGTTCACCTGCGGTTCTCGGTCAGAAAGTACCGGGCCTGCCCCCTGCTGGTAATCTAGGCTGTTTCCCACGTACGTGACGCAGATCACGCCGCCGCGAGCGCCTCGCTGCGCGCGCTCTTCGGTTTCTGGCCTCGTTGCGGGCGCAGAGCGCCCACCTCGAGGGGCTTGCCCCGTTCAGATGCCCGGGACCCTCTGTCAGAGCCGGCAGAGTTTTGAAGGAAGACCCATGCGTGGGTCCCGTGTCCCCCCTCAGGACCCTTCCCCCGACCCTCCCTCCTCTCTCCGCCCTCGGCGCTGTCCCTGGAAAGCCCATGACTCCCTTCCGACCCTGGCTTGTCCGTCACAGAAGGAAGCCGCCCAGTGTATGTGTGTGTTCTCACGGTGTCGTTGGTGACTTTCTGTGCGGCCATCCTTGGTGATAAACAACTTTTAAGAGTCGCGAGTGGCAAGGAGGTGGTGAAGTGACCCAGGTCCCAGAAGCGCGTTGGGCCGTGCGGCCTGGTGGCGGGAGGACGGGCCAGGCTCTTCCTGGACGCCCTCCCGTCCCCTGTACGCGCTCCTGTGCTGGCGACGTCTGAGGGGGCACTGCGTTTGCCTTGCCGACCGGCCCTGAGAGAGCCCTCGCCTGCCCCTCGTTTGCGCTGCAAAATATGCCAGGGCAGGTGTGTGCGGGGGCGGGGCGCGCTGGGCAGGGCGGCGCCGGGAGAGGCTTTCCGCGCCCCTGCCTCCTGCAGGCAAGCGGAGGCTGACGGGCAGGGAGCGGGCTGAAGCCTTAGGCGGCGAGGCCCCAGCCTCTGCCCGTCACCCTGGTGACTTCAGATGCCGGTGCGGCCGATGCCTAGCGACGCGGAGAGACAGAACACGCCCTCGCTTGGCGCAGTCGGAGAACGGGGCTTTGCTCAATTAAGTGTTCTCAGGGGCTGACAGGAAGTGCAGGCGGGTTCCAGTAAAGGGCGCGTGCCGCCATCGAAGCTGTACGTCTGTCTCCGGGGGTCCGCGGTGGCGCAGGGCCTCGGCGTGGCAGGGGTGACTCTAGGACGGAGCCAGTGGAGAGACGGCTGGGACGCCAGCCTCGCTATCGTGGGTGAGCTGGGGTGTGTGGGACAAAGGCAGGAAGGCGACCTTGTCTCTCACCGACGCGGGCGAGCCCTGCGGAGGCCGGCCGAGCCCTATTTCCAGGATGCGTGGGGGCCAGTGAGTGTTTTCCGGCCACTTATCCCAGGCCAACTCTCACACCGGCCCACGGGACGGATGAGGAGCAGGGCATTTTGACGGAAAGGATGTGACGCTACAGTGTCGTGATCCACACCGTGCTCTGGGGCCTGCCGCCCCGCCCTGGTTTGCGTCCCGGTTCTGATACGGACCCGCTTGCCGATGGATGTGGGCCTTGTCCCGGAGACGCCCCCTTGGAATAGGTTGGGCGTCCTCACTCCATGTAGCGTTCCGCATTGTCGGTCACTCAGCCCCGCCGAGACCAGAGGTGCAGGAACCTCCCACGGGGAGATGGTCGGGTGTCTCCTGTTATCAGTGAGCAGGGCGAAGGCGCGGCCCTCGTTGCCCTCTGTTCCAAGGCAAAATGTCTTCAGCGAAGTTGCTACGGAGGCAGGTTTCCTGTGGGAAGAGATGCTCTGTGCACTGAAGGGACACCCTGAGAGGTGAACTTGTCCTTTGACGGTGCTGGTGGGAGAGGGAGATGGCGGCGCTCCAGGGGGCCCGGCTCCAGGGAGGCCTCTCAGCGCGGGCCCCCCCCCCCGGGCTCGTGAGCGGGAGGGACGGGGCGGGGTGGGCGTTGAAGGGCTGCCGTGGTCTTGCCCGCTGACTTGTCATTTCTGTCGTCCCCAGCCCAGCATCCGCGGGGCGGACCTGGACAAGTTCCGGGAGGTTCTGTTACGTCACTGCGACGTGAACAAGGATGGGAAGATTCAGAAGTCCGAGCTGGCCCTGTGTCTTGGGCTAAAAACCAACCCCTGATCTGCAGCCGCCTGGCCCTTTGTGCTCCGCGTGTTTCTGTGCTCCCGCTGGGACATCGCGCCTGCGCTTCGCTGTGGGGGACATGCGCTCAAACGCACATTTGCTGTGAAGGGCCCTGGGCCCCTCTTTTGAATGACCCTGTGTTTCCCGGCCTCCCCAAAAGCCCCCATGCAGGGTGTATGTTCTTTCCCCTTTGACCTCAGGCTTCGTGTCTCCCCGGAACCTCGGCGAACCTGCCGGTCCTTCTGCGGTGATGGGGGAGGGGGGGCTTGGGGGACAGCGGCGCCCGCCTGGGGCCTGTGCGCCTCCGCGCCTCCCTGCTGAGCCTGAACGCCGTGCGCGTCCCCGCAGCCCTGTGCCGCCTGCAAGTGCATTTTCACCTGGGAATAAACCAGCTGTGAACCAAGATGCACTGGTGGCTGTTTCTGTGTCGTGCCCTTCGATATGTCGTACCCGATGGTTGGCGAGAGGGACTCCATCGCTAGCTCGGGGTGGAGAGGGAGGGCAAGGCCCCCCGGAACGCGCACCGCCTGCCCTCCCCAGTTCTCAGGTGCCCTGACTGCGGTGAAGGAGGGGCTCAGGCCAGCTGCTCGCAAAACCAGGAGGCGCACCCGCCCCGCGCCTCCGGCCGGAATACACTGCGTTCATCCTGCCACGCCGTTAGCCGTGGGATCCCACTCACCACATTCCCTGCAGAGCAGGAACGATGAAAAGAAGGAGCTTGTAGGTTGCCGGCACATTTCAGATGACAGGTGTCGGAACCAATTCATCTCTTGCTGCTCATAAGAGCGGCTTTGTCTCTGGCTCAAGGTGCTTCGGCGTCTGTGATGAGCTGGGAGAATAATGCTGGAGCGTCCTGGCCTTCCTGGTCCTGTGAAGTGACTGGCCGTGTCCTCTGCTCTGCAGCAGGGCTGGCTTGGTCTGTGAGCCCAAGACCCTCAAGTCCCCCATCGTCCTGCTCAGTGGCGCTGCCTTGAGAAGGACCTCCTCACGTTAAGTAACAAGGCAGCTCTCTCTTGTCTGCCCAAATAGAGCGGCCGCTTTCTCTTAGACGTGGAGCAAAAATGGGAATGCAAGTGGTAGAAGAATTGAGAGGACCCTGCTGCTGGTGTGGTGGGGGAGGGGCACGGTTTGCGGGGAGGAACCCACTGGGCACGCACTCTCGGGGTCTTTGTTACAGAGCGGCGGCTCTGAGGCAGCCCTGATCCCCACAGGCACAGTGCCAGTCACCCGCAGGCGGGCGTTCTGCTAATGTCACCGCGGGGCGGAGGGACGGCCAGAGAGCGGCTCTCGGCGGTGCGTCCGGACTGCAGCGCCGGTGAGACGCCCGGCCGAGCTGGCGCACGCAGGGCCGCGCTTGCTGATGGGTCTGGCCGCGGAGGCGCGCAGCCCTCGATGAGATCCCACGGCGCTGTCGCCCGCCGGGGGCCCGTCCCAGCTCTGCGGGGGTTGCTGGACCGGAGCAGACGGACATTCTCAGCAGGAAACCCTTTGAGCCCAGAGCGGACGCGTGAACAAAGCATTGTCGCTGCTGCTTCGCTTTTCCCTCCGGCTGCGATCGGCGGCCTCCGCCCTTACAAAGGCGGTGACTGCGGCCTCGGAAGGAGCCAGGCCGGCCAGCACCCGCCGGGACGCGCCCGACCCCGTGTGGTCTCGGAAGCCAAGCGGGTCGGGCCTGCGTCGTGCTTGGATGCGGGGAACCAGACCAGCCGCCCCCCGCTGCGATTTTAGTTCGGGCACCCCCCCCCCGCCCCCGCTTCCCAGACATGTCAAATGGCTCGCCATTGGCTACAGCTTTTCTCTCCATCAGACGGGCAACCCGCTGGAAGGTGCTATTCGTAATACTCAGCATACGCAAAAGTTTTAACCAGGTGCTCCCCTCTGTGGGCCCTCTGTCCCAGCCCGACCGGCCAGGAGATGTCCCCGCTCCTGTGCCACCACTGTCCCCACACCTGGAAACGTCATCATCAAGCACAGCCCAGAGCTGCCTCCTCCAGGAAGCCGCCCTTGACTCCCCACGGGGAAGCGGTTGTTTTCCATCGGGAAGGTGACAGCTGGCCTAGTGGGAAGCGCACTGGCCCCGCGGGCAGAAGCGCCGCCTGAATCCCAGCTCTGCCAGGGACGCGCTGGCGGTGGCGGGTGTGTTTGTTTCAACCAAGTAGCACAAATGCGTGGCCAGAATAACAGAAACATTTTGTCTCACGGTTCTGGAGGCTGGAAGCCTGAGCTCAAACTGCCGGCAGGGTGGGTGACTCCTGAGAACCGCGAGGGACTCTCCGTTCCATGCTTCTCCCTTAACTTTTGGGGTTCCTGTCTTGGGGCTGCGCCGCCCCATCTCCGCCCTCATCCTCACCTGGCTCCTCTCCGTGTACACGTCTGTCTGTCCAAATTTCCCTGCTCAGAGGGCGGCAGCCATAGGGTCAGGGGCCTGCCCCCCCCCCCCCCCCCCCCCCGGCGCTGTGACCGCGCCCGAATCCCGCCCACACTGACCCGGTTTGCCGAATGCGCCGCCTTCCGAGGCACCGGGGACCCAGGGCTTCTGCGCGTGAGCCTTCGGATGGTACCGCCCGACCCCTGACAGAGGCGTTAGGAAAGCCCCTCTCCTTCTCCCGCCTGTGAGACGGAGACAGACCAGAGAGAACTACTGACCGAGTTCTCAGAAGGACCGACACGCGTGATAGCACGGCCCCGAGGCTCAGCGGACGCGCAGCCGGGTTTCCTCCGCCAGGTTATGACAGCCGAATGTAGGTGGAGCCAGAGAGCAGGGCACGAGAGGGGCAAGACACGCGCGTAACCACGGGCTCCTCCCTGGGGGAAAACGAGGACCGTAAAATGGCTTTCTTCCTTCCGCCGGGTGCCTAGCTAAGCAAGGAGACACGCTGTGAGCAAACGGCTTCCACTGTGGTGGCAGGAGCCCAGGGGCCCAGCCGAAGCAGAGCCCTCGCCTGGCAGGCAGCGTGAGCCGGCCCGCTCCCACAAAAGAAGACATCAGCTTTGGGACATTCTTCCCCAGGATTTTGCCATCCAAAATATTCCAGAAAGAAGTTCTGTTAATCCCAGAACACACGTGCTTGTATATTTCGTGTCACAAAAACATTTATTTCTGTTCTGAATTACGTAATGTTTAGAGGATGAAAGACCTTGCATAACCTTTCAGGGCTTAGTGTCTCTAAAGACCTGCCAAGAGCCCTTGGACAGCTTGACACAAAAACATGTCATTGCATTAAAAAAACAAGCAATCCCCCTGGAGAAGGGGAGGAGGGGCTCTCCGTGTCAGCGTGGCCGCAGGAGGGGCGCTGGGAGCGGGGTTTGTGCAGCAGGAAAGTAAGTTTCATAAAACCACAAAAACATTTAGGAACAAACTGAAGGCCCAAATAGGATGAGGCTGGAAAATCCCGTGCATAGTGTTTGTTGAGTTCTGCGTGTAGGGAAGGGGTGAGGTTCGGACCGAAGACGAGGGAGCTAAGGGGCAATGAGTTGGGTTACCGAGTAGGCAGAGGGAGAAAACTTCTGACCTCCTAACATGTCTTTATTATTATTATTCTTATTATTATTATGAGTTTTTTTTTGTTTTTTGTTTTGCCAAGGAAAATGGTTTTCACTTAGTGTCTCTGTGATTTAAAAACAAAAAGTTTGTTTTTTTCAATAAACTTTCTAAGTTGAAATAATTTTAGATTTATACAAAAGTTGTAAAGATAGAAAGCTCTCCCCCGGCCAAATCACTCAGTTGGTTAGAATGTTGTCCTGATGCACCAAAGTTGTGGGTCGATCCCCAGTCAGGGCACACGCAAGAGTCAACGAATGAATGTATAAATAAATGGAACAGCAAGTTGATGTTACTCTCTCTCTCTTCTCTCTCTCTCTAAAAAAAAAATAAATAAATAAAATCAATAATTAGAAAAAATGTTCAAAAAAAAGAAAGTCCCCCTACACTCCTCACCCAGTTCCCCTTATTGTCACATTTGTGCACTTGTTACAACTAAGGAACTGACGTTGGTACGGCACCGTAAATTGAATGCTAATCTTTGGATTTCATTGGATTTTCCCTACTGTTGTTTTTCTGTTCCAGGATCCGATTCGAAATGGGTGACATTCAGTCATAACGTCATGTGTTTTATGTCATGTGTTTCATGCCTTAGCTGCCTTTGGGCTGTGGCCATGTCTCAGGGTTGCCTTGGTTTTGGTGCCTTTGAGAGCCCTGAGGACTCAGAGTGAGACGTTGTAGCACATTCCTCCAGTGCTGATTTTCTCAGGGTGGGACTGGCATTGTGCGTGCTTGGAATGGTGGAGAAGTGAAACGCCTTCAAAGCTCCCCACTGACGACGCTGCGAACCGCATAAAGGGGCCCTCTCTCCACCCGGAGCTGAGGGCCCGAGAAGGAGCATTCTCAGCCCCGCTCCCTGGGTAGCTTTGCACGGTCCAGTAGCAGAAAGGCTTCCTCTCTGCCTAGTGACAGCAAGTTGTCCTCACCTGCAGCCAACCAGAAGGTGCCGCCGCTTCCAACTCACTTTCCTCCGTTGAAGGGTTCAAAACAACCCCTCCGTGCTTTCTCCTTCCCTCTACGGAAGCACGCCCTTCTCCTTTGATTGCCAGACTGTGGTTTGCCACATTTTGCTTGTTTGGAACAGCAATTGCCCTTCTATCCCCAAATAGACTCATTTGTTGTGCAATAACTTTTGTCACTTAACTTTTAAGGTTGAAAACATTAACGCTGATCGTCCGGCTGAGGTGGTGTTTGCCAGCTGTGTCCCCTGTGAATCACCCCCTGACCCCTGCCTCTCCCGGCTCTGGGTTTGGGCAAGTCCGGGGCGGTAAGCTACACTTGCTCCATGGGGGGGCCTCTATGTAAGGTTTTTGAAATTCTTCTGCTTAGGAAAATTTTTGATATTTATTCAATTATTTACATCCATACAGTTTCTAATGGCAATGTTCTAAACGTCTAATTTTGTCCAATATCTGTTCAACTACCTTTTCAGTTTTCAAAATTTTTTCATTTGTGCCTTCCCCAGTTGCAGGCCTTAATATTTATCTACATTAATTCAAGACATGAACGGTTCTTTTGTAACTTGATTGTCCCTAGTGAACATATTATGTAGTTTATTTTCATCTATTATCTTTTTACACGACTTCGTATTTTCTGCATATCTGTTCCTAACCGTTTGTGTAGGTCTTAAGGGTCTGGCAATGTTTGTTTTAGATAACCAATGAGATTCTCTGAGATCATATAAACTGTTAAATATTGTCCAGTAGTGATTTTCTACCTTTTTCAGCTCATGGTGCACATTAGCTAATTACTGAACTTATGCAGCATACCAAGATACATGCTTTTTGCTGATCTGACAAAAAAAATCAGGTACTTCACACCGGACAGCTATTGTTGTGTCTATTGGCTGTTGTCAATCTATTTGGCACTCTAAAGGGAAAGGGGCCAGTACCGACCAGTCAGGTATTGCATGTTTTAAAAGTTACTGCGGCACATGTGTGTCCTGTAGTGCACCAGTGGAAAATCATTTATTCTAATTTTGTATTTGACCACCTACCTAAATGTTCATTTGCTAATGTCTTTTGGTATTTTCAGTAGAAACATTTTTTTTTTTTTGTAAACTTCTGAGGATGGCCAAAACTCCCTAACAGTTTCAAAAAGTTGTGGAAGAACTTGCCACACTCCAGCCTGAGAACGACACATCTGTCCGTCCCACATGATTGGTACACCAAGCTAATTTTTGGTACATCTTTAAGGTTTTTTTAAGCACTTGTGTGAAGCCCGAGGTATCAACTGCTCACACACCCTTTACCAAATGTTGAGACTGAATTGCTGTTGGCTTACTGGTATATCATGTGTTTCATGTGAACCATACTAGCATGTTTGAATGGATGTTCTGTAGGCAGTACTTTTGAGAAAATCATGCAACCTTATTACACTGCCCCAGTCCCACTAGAAGCTACAAGATTGTATATCTTCCTCTGCTTGTTCTAGCCTCATCACTTAGCCCATTAGGCATTTTAACACAAACGGAAGCTTGCTCCTCCCTACGAGTCTAGCAGCGAGAGACCAAGCTGCTGTTGCTGCTTACAAGCCTACTCCCACGGCTCTGGGTACCGAGACAAATCCCACCCAGCATCTCAAGGTTCCATGAACTGCTGCTTCCCAGCCTTCACTTAAAAAAATCTCACTTATTAGAACCAAATGTTCTGTGCAAGACGCTAAGATTTTACAAGAAGCGACACCAGAGAACTACGCGTAGCTTTTTACAGTGCACACACACTTCTAATGAAGGTTTGAGTGGCTCTGAAAAGAGCCTTTGGTTTGTTTCTTCTCTCTCTAAAGGTTCGAGTTCTTTACTGGACTTCACAACTGAAGAAAACTATTTACCCTTGGCCTTGTGATGGTTTTCGGTCTTTTTGGGCAAGAGCACAGGCTGGATATTTGGCAGGACGCCACCCTGAGCAATGGTCACACCACCCAAGAGCCTATTGAGCTCCTCGTCGTTACGGATGGCCAGCTGCAGGTGGCGCGGAATAATGCGCGTCTTCTTGTTGTCGCGAGACGCGTTGCCCGCCAGCTCCAGGATCTCGGCCGTCAGGTACTCCAGCACGGCCGCCAGGTACACGGGCGCGCCGGCCCCAATGCGCTCAGCATAGTTACCCTTGCGGAGCAAACGGTGGATGCGACCGACCGGGAACTGTAGCTGAGCTCTGAAAGACCGAGACCTGGCCTTCGCACGAGCCTTGCCACCCTGCTTCCCACGTCCAGACATAGCTCAACAACCCACTAGAAAGAACAAGGAACCTGACCAAAGAATACCCAACAGGGGCCTATTTATAGTCTGCCGTAGGTTGTGGCTTGCCACCTGATTGGCTGGGTGGTGCCTGCCTATCCAATCAGAAGACACTTCTGGAATCACCTTATTTACATATACGTCACTACCTACCATCCAATCAGATGTTGGCTGCCCAGCGTGTCCGTTGAGCGCCACCCTATAAATACCAGGCTTTCTGCAACCAGCTGGTGTCTGTTGACATTTGTCTGTTAGAGTTGTTTCAGAAGAGTTTTCGTCATGCCGGAGCTATCTTCAAAGGGCGCTGTTATTTCTAAAAAAGGCTTTAAGAAAGCTGTAATGAAGACGCAGAAGAAGGAGGGAAAGAAGCGCAAGAAGACTCGCAAGGAGAGTTACTCGATTTACATCTACAAGGTGCTGAAGCAGGTTCATCCTGACACGGGCATCTCGGCCAAGGCCATGAGCATCATGAATTCGTTTGTAACCGATATTTTTGAGCGCGTTGCTGCTGAGGCGTCGCGCCTGGCGCACTACAACAAGCGCTCGACCATCACGTCGCGAGAGATCCAGACGGCCGTGCGCCTGCTGCTGCCCGGCGAGCTGGCCAAGCACGCCGTGTCCGAGGGCACCAAGGCCGTCACCAAGTACACTAGTTCCAAATAAAGTTCAAGTGTCACAGGAATTGAACAATGCAAAGGCTCTTTTAAGAGCCATTTATGTTTTCTGGGAAGAGCTGTTTGGTTACATAACTAAACATTGCTCGCTTTCTGTGTAGTGGTACACAACGCCAGCACTGTAAGTCATGAGCTAATCACGTAAAGTTGTGCTTCTAAAGTCAAGTTTCACATCGGTGATTGTGAAAGGTATGTCAGTATTTTTCGTGGAGTCCCAGAGGTTCCCAGTTACCAGAAATGAGACAGGGCAGGCTCCCGAAGGCGTTAACCTGTAGACATATTTTCTGGGGGTTGGTAAGGAACACAGAAGCCTGCCAAGGACATATTTTCTTGTACTGCTTTCAGGGGGCAAGCCTGGAGCTGCGGAGAGATCTGGAATGCCAGGGAAAGCAGGGTGTGTGGACAGTGCTGGTCCTACAAACCAGTTTCTTCTAAACAGCGAGGAGGCCCTAATGGGGGCTGTTCATTTCTGATTTTTTCCTGAAAATCATGTGTGATTCGACCCTAATGTCTCAACACGTACTAGAAATCTGTAAAGTACACCCATTACACGTAACCCTGGTGGGACACAGGAATGCACTCCAGTGGGAAAGGCCGCGCCTATGAGGCCTATTAGTTCAGCCTGTAGAGCAAGACTGGCGCCGCCAATATTGCCCAACGGTAAACTCAAACCCTGCAGAAACATTCTTACACTCAGCAATTAATACTTGAGCCTTACGGGCTTACTTATTCGAAAGTGAACGCTACCCTGGTTCTACTTGAGTTGGTTTTAGATGTAAACCAAGTGAGCGACAAGTAACTGCTGAGTGTGGTAAGGCGTACCCCCACCCACTCCACACTGAAGACCTACAGCCCTTTAAAAAGAAGTAAAAGTGGCTCTTAAAAGAGCCTTTGAGTAAAGCACAGTGATGGCCGAGTCTACTTGGAGCTGGTGTACTTGGTGACGGCCTTGGTGCCCTCGGACACGGCGTGCTTGGCCAGCTCGCCGGGCAGCAGCAGGCGCACGGCCGTCTGGATCTCTCGCGACGTGATGGTCGAGCGCTTGTTGTAGTGCGCCAAGCGCGACGCCTCGGCTGCCAAACGTTCAAATATGTCGTTGACAAACGAATTCATGATGCTCATGGCCTTGGCCGAGATGCCTGTATCAGGATGAACCTGCTTCAGCACCTTGTAGATGTAAATCGAGTAACTCTCCTTGCGAGTCTTCTTGCGCTTCTTTCCCTCCTTCTTCTGCGTCTTAGTTACGGCCTTCTTAAAGCCCTTTTTAGAAATAGCAGGGCCCTTTGAAGTCACCTCTGGCATGACGAAAACTCAACTAAAAACCTCCAAAGAAGAGACGTCAGCAAACACCCGCCAGCCACCAAAAACCTGCTATTTATAGGATGGCGCTCAACTGCCAAGCTGGGCAGCCAATATCTGATTGGGTAATAGGTAGTGACGTATATGTAAATAAGGTAGTTCCAGAAGTGCTTTTTGATTGGATAGGCACTCACCACCCAGCCAATCAGGTGGCAAGTCACAACCTACGGCCGACTATAAGTCTGCCCTTCACCAAACCAAGGTTACCTTTGTGTTATAGGGGAGGTTGTTCATCATGGCAGATGGGGAGCAGGGGAGTAAGGTCCGTGCCAATTCTGGGTCTCGGTCTTTTAGAGCCCAGTTGCAGTTCCCAGTGGGTCGAATCCACCGCCTGCTGCGCAAGGGCAACTATGCCGAGCGCGTCGGGGCCGGCGCGCCCGTGTACCTGGCGGCCGTGCTTGAGTACCTGACGGCCGAGATCCTGGAGCTGGCGGGCAACGCGGCCCGCGACAACAGGAAGACGCGCATCGTCCCGCACCACCTGCAGTTGGCCATCCGCAACGACGAGGAGCTCAACAAGCTGCTGGGTGGTGTGACCATTGCTCAGGGCGGCGTCCTGCCCAACATCCAGGCCGTGCTGCTGCCCAAGAAGACCCAGAGCTACCACTAGAAAGGGTGACGCAACCCCTCTTGTTGGTGAAGCCCGGTGAGGAACCTGAACCTCGAGGGGAGAGAAAAACAAACCAAAGGCTCTTTTCAGAGCCACTAATCATCTCTGAGAAAGAGCTTAGGTAAAATAGCTGAGTTTCTCGACTCCAGTGGCTTTGCTCGTTAGCACCCGACAGCCATCCCGGCAGCTCCTGGCGGAAGCGCCGTTTTCCTTACCAAAGAAGCACGTTCATGTTAGGACTTGTGGCAGCTCACGAAAGTGAAAATGTGGAATGCCTTTCTAGAGCTTGTATTTGAATGAGGATAGGTTTAGACTAAATGAATGGGTTAGAAGTGAGGGGAGGAAGGTAAGTAAATTTGCAGCTTTTGACTTGGCTGGAAAACAGAAAGCAGCCAAATACAGGATTCTTGGACAAAGATGGAATCTTCAAAATCCTCAAAGCGATGCAAAATAAGACAAACGTGCACATCTCTAACAAAATCCCTGAAACACGAACAGTTCAAAATTGTCTCAAAACCTTCTCCATGAAATTATAGCTTAACCTATAGAATTGATGTTTTAAAGTTACAGGACATAATTTTTAGAAACCTGTTAGCACATTTAAGAGAAGTGAAGTATGAGTTCTGGAAAAAAATACAAACAGCTTAATCTGAACCTAGAAACCAGTGAGGACTAAGATAAATTGAAAAAAAACCCGTCAAAAATTAGGCTTTTAAATCTATCCTCTAGACATTTAAGGAAAAGATCAACCTAGAGCTAACAGTTCCAGATTATGAAAAAAGTCATACTTTCGAGGAAATGTGATAAAATCTAAAAGAACAAAGCATGTGCAAGGCAGCACAATATATACCAGATGCATATAAATTATTTGGATTCTTTGTTGTCTTCCATTAGAATGCTATAGTCTAATACCAGGCATTTTAACATTAACAATCTATTTTTTTCAATAAACAAAATTGTTTCTATGCAACACACAAAAATTTATATGTAAATTTCAAATGAGAATAGATAAAATTGTTTCATCTAAAAATGTTAACAAAATCCCCTTTCCAACCCTATCAATAATGTTTTGATTTTAATTAATTTTCAACCTTTTGCTGTTAAAATTTTAACACAAATTTGAGAGGATAGTATGATGAACGCTGATCTGGCACACATAATGAAATATTACTTCAGCTTTAGTCTGCATTTTCTGAAAAAGGATATTCTCTTCTAGAATCATGATATCATTATCATACCTAGGAAAATTACTAAGTCCCTAATACCAAGTCTATTTTCAAATTTCCCTAATTTTCTGAAAAAAAATTTTGTAACTACTTTTTGTTTTTTTTCCAAATTGGAATATTTGCACCAACCTCCTAACGCCCCCCCCCCCAAGTGTGTTAAATTCGCAATTTTCTTCAAGGCCATATGTACCTAATTAGTCCGCGCCCCCGGTGCGCAGCCAAGCAGGGCGCTGCAGGCAGCTCTCGGCCAAGGGGAGGCAGGGCCGGGCGCTGGCCCCCGCCAGGCCAGGAGAATGCGGAGCAGGCAGGGAAAACCTGACTCCCCGATGCTGTCAGCTCAAGGATTTCTAAAGGCCAAAATTGAGGGTTAAGGGTTAGGGGTCAGAAGTCGCTGCCAAGCCGATTAGTTAGTTCCAGCGCGGGCTTTAGTGTTTTCATTTTGTCTGATTCCCGAGGTCAGAACGGACCTCGCCATGTCGAAGAACTAAGGTTCTGCAAAACTTCTCATGATTGTGAGTCAGTGACCTTATCTTTAAAGCAAAAAAGGGAAACTAAACATGCTGTAACCTTTGCTACTGTTAAAGCTATCATGGTTTGGTGCTTAACTAGCTACATTTTTCTATTATCTCAAACAAAGTGTCTTTTTAAACATTTTTCCTGGAACTTGGTGTACAGTCAGGCCTCTAGGGCATAACCAATGTACTTAAAAAAAAAAAAGTCAATACAAGAGAAAGTTTATTTAGAAAGTTTTGGAGGCAGTCAAAATGAGCTGCAGGAGAAACGGGTTTATGGACACAATGTACGGAAGGGTCCCCGCACTCAGGAAAGTGCTCTTGGAGAGAAGGGGCGCGCAGGCGTGCTCCACTGGGCGCGGGGGGTGGGGCCGGGGCCTGCGTGTGAGCGAGCCCTCGTGTTCTCTCTTAATGTTCAACCATACCCTGTGTGGCAACAGAAGTGACTGACACATTTACTCAAGGCCTGCGCCTACGTCTCTAGTAGACTCTACGATCTAACACCTAAACACAGGTACTGGAACTGTCTGTTTCACCTCCATTATTATCGGATGACATTTTGTGATGTATTCAGAAATACGAGTGAAGAAATTTCCCAAGCAGTTATTTATTGCACTGTATATAGGAAAATACCTACAGAAAGAACTAAAAACTGAAATTCAAATAGATGACTGTTAAGACTAGGCGGTAAAACAATGCAATCTGTATACCTACCGATTAATTACCATACATAAAATCTACAGAGGCTCGGGACAAACACAGAAAATGTGTATTACTGTAAAGAAAATTCTAAAGACCTTCAAGAAAATTAACATAAGGTTAGAAGGAATGACATAATTTGATAGTTGAGAGGAATCAAGTTAATGAGAGTCATGTGTTCTTTGAATCAAGCACATGTTCTCTCTCTTTCTCCCTCTCTCTCTGTGTTTGGCAGCTCAGGGTTTCTTTCGCCCAAAAAGAAGTAGAGAAACTGGGAAATGTGGAGAGAAGATCGAGCCAGAAATAAATTACAGAGAAATATGTTTTATTTCTATTTACCTAAAAAACACAATATTATGATGAAACCTAATGGAGACAACGTGCTCAAAACTGTTCTGAGTGAGTGACCTATTGCTTAATTATTAAAAGTCCTCTCTGGCACAGCGTGACATAATCAGCACACACGGACACACGGCGATGCACATGGCTCGATGCTCAGTGATACTCAGAAAGACACCTCATGTGTGTGCCAGTGGATTAAATCCGGAGCAAGACAACAATAGCTGTCTGAGGAGGGAACGTTTCACATAGAGACTTACTAACTTAGAGAACAGGAGGCGGGAGGAGCTCACTGCTAAGGAGTGAGAATAGCTCCCAATAGCAGAGGGGTGGCCTAGAGCAGGTATGGCTCCTGCCAGAGAGGAGGTGAACACCAAGACCTTCCAGACCGTCTTGGGGAGGCACGCGTGCAGTGCGGAGGGCAGAGAAGTCAGTGTGGGTTTCGCATCTGGAGAACTTGCTGGAAATTCAGCCTTCACCGCAGGTGAAGGCGGCTGAAGACAGGAAGCCCAGAGCCCAGGGGAGGGGTGTGCGAGGAGAGAGGGCTGGACGGGTTCAGCTCGGGAGGGGGTTTAGGCCGAGAGGGCGTCTGAGGACAGACGGCTGGGTACGCCCACTACAGATGCCAGAGGGAAGACGAGGGTTCCTCAAAGGTTCACAAAAAACCCACCGATGAGGCGCAGAAGCAGCCGGGCCTGAATGGCGCGTGACCAGTGAGCAGGTCGCTCAGGAGTGAGTGGCGCCAGCTGTCAGCCACGGACACACAGGACCCGGGAAGTGGCCACTTCAGGTGCCGGCACGGAGAACAGGCTCTGCCGCGCTCGGCTTGTTGCAGGTGGGCTCAGGAGAGGTTAGGAGGTGAGGACACAGATCTCAGGCAAGCATGAGCCTTCTGAAGTGCTTTGCTACACAAAGGACCGGGATCACAAAGTCAATTGCCGCGGAAAACGCAGGCCTTTGGGCAAGTAGCTGTAGCTGAAAGGCTCCAGCAACCGCCGTGATGGAACTGTGTTATGTCTACAGTTTGTGAGAGGCGCCGCCTATGAAACAGGAGAAGGGGGAAGAGAGGACGAGGCATGTCCCTTCCTCACGAACAGGGCACCGGCCGAGGGACGGCACGGGCGGCAGGGCGTGTGTGATGCACAATCCCTGCGAAGGGACTCGGATGCCGCTGGACGGAAGGTGGGGGAAGATGTAAGTGAGCTCTTCCGGGCGGGAACCGTGAGGAAGTGTTAATGAGCTTGGTCTACGTGTCAATGAAACCACAAAGGTATAGTTAAAATTAAACCATTGAGCCGATAAAGTTTACCCATTTCGTAACATTGGGGCTAAAGGTTGGCGGTAATTATTTACCCTTCGAGGACTTAAAAGCTGGGGAGCTTGGAGGCACGCGTGAGAGGAAGGAGGGCAAGCGCTCTGCCCCCTTCAGGTGAGCCCGAGGCCCGTGGCCCGCTGCGCCACACGCCGTGCAGGGAACGGGCCTTCTCCCTGCAGAGAGAGGCGGATTTGCCGCTTTGGGGTAGAGAATGTGCGGGTGAGGAAGAGAACCTGTCTTTCCTGAAATAATTCTGAAAAGCGAGAGAGGACATCACCTTTTCCTAAAAGGAGTAAGAGCCCCAGAACCCCAGGGAGCCGCGCCGCCCGAGGCGGGCGCCGCAGAGAGTCGCCGTTCTCTACGGCGACAGCAGGCCCAGCGGCTGTTTCGCACTCTGCTTTCACCGGGGAGCACCCCCAGGCTCGGGAGCCAGGCTGGATGGCCCGCAGCTTGAGAGTGACCTGGTGGGCCTGGTTTTATCAGTTGTTGCTTTTTTAAAGCGCTGGTCACCTCTGGGCTGAGACAGTGAAGGGAAAGGTTGAATCTGGCAAAGGAAGGGTCCCATTCGGGCTACGAGGTCATCACAGTTACAGAACTTCCCACCTGTGTGGCTCTGGGAGGTAATTAATGAGTAAAGAGTTCGGGGCAGAGGAATTTTGTTTTTGTAATCCTTACCTGAGGACATAATTTTAAAATTGATTTTATAGTGAGAGGGAGAAAGAGAGAGAGAGAGAGAGAAAGAGAAACATTCGTGTGAGCCAGACACATCCATCGGTTGCCTCCCGTAGGCACCGCGGCCGGGGGTCACACCCACAACCCAGGTGTGCGCCCCGATCGGAGATCGAGCCTGCAGCCTCTGGGTGTACGGGACGCTGCCGCCGCCCGCTGAGCCACCGGCCGGGGCTGGGGCCGAGGACTGCGACGGCGGCCCCAGGGGCCGCGCCCGGGGGGAGCCGTGTGGCGCCGGCATCAGGCAGAGGCAGCGTGTGCACCGTTAGCAGCTCTGCAGGACGCCTTCGGGAGGTGCCTCCCGCAGGGGCACGGCACCCGGAGGGGAGCAGAGGCGTCCGCCCGCGGTCCGTCCCGGCCACGGGCGCCGACAGGAGACGGGCGCCAGAGCAGCGGGCCCGACGCCTTTGCTGGCTCCCCTCATCCGCCTGGTCTCCGGGGAAACAGGCAAGACCGACAACTTTCAGATCTGTGTCTCCACCTGGGCCCTCCGTCCCACGCCACAGATTCACAGACACGGCGTCTGCTTGGAGACCTTCCCTTCTGGGTCTAACAGGCGCCCGGACCGCAGTGTGTCCAAAAGGAAACCCTTGTTTTTTTTCTGGAAACCTGCTCCACGGCCACTCATTTTCTCTCCCCCGAGAACAATCCCAGTGCCTCGCCTGCTCAAGGCATAAATGTAGAAAACCCCAATGGTTCCCACCTTGTGTCTCCGTCCACCTCATTGACAATTCGTCTTGGCTCTGTCCCCAAGAGAGACCCCGGCCTGGTCCTTGGCTCCGTGCCCAGCGCAGACCCCGACTCCTGCACAGCTGGACACAGCCGACTCTTCCTGAGTCTCCCGGCTCCCATTCTGTCCGTCACAGACCACGCACCACACGGTAGCCTGGGTAAGTCGAGTCCTCTTCCTGGGCCGGGACCCTGCCCAGCGCAGCCCCTCCCCACCACTTGGACGCGCCCGCCCCCCCCCCCTCCTTGTGCGCCGCGTCGGCTGGCGCTGGCTGTGGTGCCCGGAGAGCTCCTGCTCAGAGCAGCTGCCTCCCCGCCACCGCCACTGCAGCTCGGCCGCCGCTTTCTCCCACAACCAGGCGAAGTCGCCGTGGCGCAGTAGTGGCTGTCGTTGGGCGATGCCAGTCGCTGGCCATGGTAGCCGCTCCTCTGATCTCCTTCACAGCAAATGCTGCCTCCCCTCACTCTCTTCATCTTGTGTCCTTTCCGGTGGCTTCATAGGAGTCACCAGAACAGTGGGGGTTGGCAGCGGAAGGCGGCGGGAGACAAAGCAGATGTGGGTGGAAGAGGCTGGGACCAGAAAGCCGGCTTCTGCCCTCGCAAGTCTAGAGGGGGGCAGTTTCATGGGAACCAAGTCCTTCAGCCATCAGTGCGGGCGAGCCAGCTCCGGAGGCAGGTGTCCTGGCTGCTCCCCAGCTCAGCAAACATGCAGTGAGTCCATGAATGAACAGTCTGGTAGCCAGTGACCTCGTGGGCACAGGGTCAGCTGACAAGCCCAGCCTGGGAAAGTCCTCCTCTTAAATCGCTCCTTCCACTCAGCTTATTCAGGGAAGGTGCAGACAGCCGAAGCAAGCAGGTGACCCTCACAGCCCAGTACGCCGTGCCTTCACTAAGCAAGCAAGGGCACCTGGCGGCTTCAGAGCTCACACGCACAGGCGGTCCTTCCGCTGAGAGTGAAAAGCATAGAGCATCCCAAAGACAAAGATACTCGCCTTTGTATTAGTAAAAGTAGCACTCCACAGAGAGGACGTGGAAAGGGTTTATTCTACCAGCAAGTCAGCCTCTGCCCCACTCCCCTCTCCGTCCGCTGACCCTGTAACTTCTCTGATCGTTTCCAGAGTAAAAAGCCCATCGGTCCCCTCAGACTCCACGTTGTCTCGTAACTGACAGTCCAGTCCGATGAAGTGCCCAGAGCTCCACACTTGGTCTAACAGGCCCCGCCCCAGTCCCAGGTCACGGAGTCATTGGCTTATGCCTCTGGCTTTTCTTTACATCTGTAGGCATGTCTCCTTTTCTCTGTGGAGCCCTGTGTTTAGTAAGCTGCTTCCTGTACAGGGTCCGGCAGAAGGAAGGCCTGCTCGAGTGCGGTTGGTAGGGTAAGGAAATGGGTGTAATGATTTATAGTTTTAATTTGAACATTTCACCAAAACTGTCGCTTGGTGTGTTTGAGTGTAACACTGTTATGTTGCAGAACCACATGCCTATGGTTTTGTAATAAAAGATTTGGTAATAAAAAAAAAAAAAATAGGGGGCGTTATTTGTGCCATGCCCTGCATTTTATTTAGTATGCCTAGCATTTAATTCAGGCCATTGAATCCATTGGAATCTTCCGGGTGAAATGTCAAAGGAAACCATCAAGCTCTCACATCCAGTTCCTGCTGCCGTCAGTTGAGAGAGGAACACACAGAGCGGCGAGGCCGCACAGGCGCCCAGGGACAGAGTCGGGACGACAAACCGGGTCCCCCGAACCCTCTGGTCTGGCGCTTTTCTTACCAGACGTTTCCTCCACGTTCTCAGAAGGGCCGGGTCGTGGCCCGCGCGCTACGGGGCAGTCCTCTTGCTCGGCGTTCACTCGTGCATCCCGTTACTTCGGCAGGCCGACGCCGGACCTGGAGGGGCGGGCCAAATGTCCACCAGAGCGGAAGCCATGGCCACCAGGGGCGAGCACTCTGGGGGCACCAATGTGTGTGTGGTGTCACCGCCGGCTGCGACCAAAGGTAAAACCGTGCCCTGGTCGTGGAGAAAACTGGGACCTGGGTCACCTCCACTCGCTCACAGGGGTGTCCAACCTGTGGCCTGTGGGCCACACGCAGCCCAGGGTGGCTATGAATGGGGCCCAACGTAAAGTCGTAAATTTACTTAAAACACTATGTGATTTTTTTGTGATAACATGTTGCGATGTATTTAATGTGTGGCCCAAGACAATTCTTCCAGTGTGGCCCAGAGACGCCAAAAGGCTGGACACCCCACAGCAGCTTCTTGCTCCCACCAGTTGCCAAGAATTCTATATAGCTATCAAGGATTTTTTTTTTTAAAAAAAGATTTCATTTATTTATGTTTAGACAGAGGCGCCAGGAGGGAGAAAGAGAGGGGAGGAACATTAATGTACAGTTGCCTCTCAAGCACCTCCCACTGGGGACCTGGTCTGCAACCCAGGCACGTGCCCTGACTGGGAATCGAACCGGTGACCCTTTGGTTTGCAGGCCAGTGCCCAGTCCACTGAGCCACACAACCCAGGGCAGCTGTTGAGAATTTTTACTGAGAATTATTTCATTTCTTGCAATAGCCCTGGAAGGTATATAAAGCAGATGTCCAGATGTTATTTATAGGTGAAGGGAAAAGTTTCCTAGAGCAGATGCTAACTAGACAATGTGGAATCCTATCTTGGCTTCTCTGATTCTAAGTCATTAACTTTCTCCAGGATGTAGGATTTTTCTACGACAATACCTTTAAAAAGAGACAAATTAAGATGGGGTGCTCTGTTATGGTCCGCATTTTAGCCTGTAAGTCTCCTGGGAAGAGAGCAGGCCTTAAGGAAAAGAGGGTTCCCGTCCTCCTAGCTGTCAAAGCAGACTCAGGGCACATTCATCCTCATCCTCGGTCTGCCAACGGCCAGGGGCCATCCAGGCTCTTGGGCTGGGGCGAACTGCCTCGGCTCCCTGTCTGCAAGCTGGGAGCGCCTGGCTTTGTGTCTCTAAGATCACACTCGTTTCTAAATACCCAGGAGTCTATGGGACTGCACCGTTGGCCAAATTCTCCTGTCTTAGCTCCTTCCCTCTCAAAACAGCAACATAGAAAATTCCTGCCTAGGAATTTCCCATGAGATGTCAGACTCCCAGAGTTTGCGATCTTGACTTTGCCAGTTATGAGCTGTGTGACCTTGGGCTACTTACTTAAACTTTCTGTGTCTCAGTTTCGTTGTTTGTAAAAATGAAATGACTGTCATAGTGCCTATGCCACATGATCTCCGTGGGGACGAAGTCAGTCCACATGTGGAAAACACTTGGCACAACGCCTGGCGAGTGGCACACGATGCACAGGCGCCCGGTGCCGTTGTCCCCTGCCGCCCGCTGTCCCCTCCTCCTGGCAGCCCTGCAGCGAAGGTGCCCCTGGCATCGCCTCCCTTTCACAGGAGCGAGAACTCACATGTAGGCAGGTTGAATAGCTCCCTGGAGGCAGCCAGGCACGGGGCCGGGAGGTGCGGATCCATCCGGGGTGGGGGGTGGTCTGGTAGTGAGCTGTGCGTCTTTGATCTGGGGACAGTGAAGGACAGTGTCATTGCCAGTGTCTTCCAGTGCTCAAGAAGAATGAAAAAATAAAGCTTAGAGTGTACGAAGTAAGCCAACAGGAAAATAGGAAAGAACAGTGCGCTGTAGAGGAGAAAAAAAACCAGTGGGGAAACATGTCACTTCAGAATCCAAATGAAAGGAGCAGCTGCCAGACAAATGATCCTACAGAAAATCAAACCAGCGACCAGGAGCAGAGGCTGGAAAAGTCACGGAAAACAGAGAGAGGCAAGACAGTGGATTGAAAGGGGATGGGTATGAATAGGGAGAGAAAACAAAATTGTCCAAGAGTAAATAAAGCCACTTACTTAAACATCGTGTTCACTGGGTCTCGAACTTCCAGGAAAGTAGATGGGAAAAATGAAATAGAGAGCTCAAGGTAGAAGGACTGTGAACTCAAGTCATGAAGGAAATGGAAGGGAAAAATATGTACAAGAGCTGATTCTTTGAGAGCAAGATGCTGTTCCCAGCCGCACAAGACGCGGTTCGCTGCTCAAAGGACTCAGGCCGAGAGAGTCACTGCGAGTGAACGTGGGGCCAGAGGCCGTAGGAGCCTGTGAAACGTCTGAGGTGCTAATGGTGGGGAGAGTCGATCAGGCACATGGTTTTCTGTGAAAATATTTAGAAATTTGAATTAAGAAAAGCTGTACCTGTCAAAATGTGTAGGAAGTGGAGGAAGTTGTCGACAGGTGTCCCTTTTACTTATGACAAAGTCCTGGCCGCTCCCCTGGAGAGGCTGAGCCAGGGGCACTCCCAGTGCTGACGCGCTCCCCTGGCGCCTCTCCATGGCGCTGTGCGCCCTGACCTTCTGGGGTCACGCTGGTGCCCCAGGCTCAGGGCCAGGGACGGCTGCCCACGGGTCACTGGCATTTCCTGTCTGAGCGCAGATGACAGTGTCAAGGTGAAGTCTAAGAACTTCGGACGCCCAGCCTCGCCTCCCTTTCCAGCCTCCTCTCCCGCCAGCCCCCACATGTATTCACCTGCACTGTCCCCTGGGTGTAAATGCCACCAAAGACACCCCAGCAGGGCACGTGGGAGCCGCCTCTCGCACCTTCTCTCTCGGGTCACCTGCTTGCTCGCGCTCTCGGGCAGCCCACCGCCGCCGCTGGCAGCCCCCCTTCTGAATCTGCCGCCTCCCATTCCCACGCTTGTCAGCACAGCCCCCGGCGCTGCCTGGAAAATGCTGCCCAGGGCTCGCCAGGCCGGGCTCCCGGTCTGTAGTCGCCCCCTCGGCACGGGCTCTGGGGGAGCCATGGGCCCCTAACTCCCAGGGCAGCAGGTGTCTGCCAAACGCAGCGGCCCCGGCTCCCGCTGTCCTGCCGCGTCACAGGCAGCCCGCAACCGTCCCCCTGTTCCAGCCTCAGGAACTGGGGGAGAGAAGAGGACCCCGATGATCAGACCTCCTGTGCCCCTCATCTCAGGCTTTTGTTCGGTCCGACACGGGCTGGCCTTCCTGTTGCACTTCTGCAATTTTGCTATGAACGCCCAAAACACGGCCTTGAACATCACCTTGCCTGCCATGGTGAACGCCTCCGCCCCGCCCTGCCCGGCCAACACGTCGGACGCCCGTGACGCCTGCAACGAGACCCTCCTGGGACGCCGGGCTGCAGTGAGTGTGGCGAGACGCCGGGCCCCTGGTGGGACTCCGCCGGCTTGACCGCGAAGGTCCTTATGGGGCATCTCCTCTGCTCGGGGGACTGCAGGTCACAGGAACGTGACCCACAGCGAAGGGGATTGTGTCTTGGCTCAGTGCCTCTGAGTGTGACGCAGGACTAAGTTAGAATGAAGGAAACAGAGTTTGCCGATGCGTAGACACGCGTTCTTCGCCACGAAGCAGGTTTAATAGCCTCCCACCTACTTTCCGTGTCCTCCTTTGTCTTGTCTTGACTGACTTGCCTAGGGCGCCCCCTTTCCCCACAGGTTCTTTGATGCTGTAATCGGACAGTTCCCTGGGTACCTGGGGAAACGGGCAGAATGGAGGGACGGCAGAGAGGGCGAAAGAAAAGAGAATCGTTTTTTTCTCGTTTGTTTGTTTTTGTTGTTGTTGTGTGTGTGTGTGTGTGTGTGTGTGTGTGTGTGTTTGGCCTCTCAAGTCCTCACAATAGAAGTCATCAACTCCCTAGTCAAAGACACACAGGGACGGCCTCTCTGTCATCCAGGATCCTGTGTACGACTGGAGTCCTTACATCCAGGGGGTCATCCTCGGCTCCTTCAACTATGGCTCGTTCTTGGCTTCGATCCCCAGTGGCTATGTGGCTGGAATTTTTGGAGCCAAGTACTTGATTGGCACTGGCCTGTTTGTCTCCTCCGTCCTGAACTTCTTCGTCCCATGGGCGGCTGACACCGGGGTGGCTTTGCTCATTGTCCTTCGGGCTGTCCAAGGCGTAAGCCAGGTACCAAGGTGCTTTCCCAGTGTGAGGGCGACATTGGCCCTGAAGTACCTCAGGCAGCTGAAAGCGGAACTTGTCCTTTGCAGGGTATGATAGTATCGAGTCAGTATGTGATCTGGATAAACTGGGCTCCCCCACTGGAAAGGAACCAGCTCATCTCCATCTCTGCCTCGGGTAATCGACTCCGTCACTGCCCCCGTGTGTGCGCTGTTTAGGAGCGTCCGGCGATGGCCTGTCACCGGAAGCAGGACCTACGTCCCCGTCCTCTGTGTCCCTACTCAAAAGCACTGCTCTAAACGGTCCTTCTTAATCCTAACTGCCCATTAACGGGGCAGCAAAATTCTTGGAGGTGCTTTGTCTGTGTTACTTTATCTTAAAACTCATTATTTTTATTTCCCATTCAAGGAAAATTGAGACACAGGTACGCTAATGAGTTGCCCAGGGTCCCCAGAAGCGAGTAAAGGAGCAGGGTGGGAGCTCGAGAATGTGGCTCGCAGCCCGGAGCTCCCGCCTCCGCGCTGCAGGCGAGGTCGCCTGCAGGACGCACACGGGCCCCGCCTGACAGGGCCTTCTCACTCGTGTTCAGGCTCCATGCTGGGCTCCTGCACCGTCCTCCTTGCCGGCGGGTTCCTCTGTGAGACGCTAGGCTGGACTTCTGTCTTCTACATCTTCGGTGAGTGTATGCTTTTGTAACCTCAGAGTTGTCTTTTGTGGCAGCGAGCGCCGGGCAGCGTTGCTGCAATACGTGTCACCTGTGATGAGCCACATCCTAAGGGGGACGGATATTTCTGTAACTAGGGTTGCTCAGGTCCAGAGCTAATCACGGTGCGCACTTTGCAACATGGCTGCCGAGTTTCGCGGCCTGAGTGTGCAGCTGGAGCAGCTGACCAAGGGGGCGCGCTCCGCTCCTGCGCGCGGTCCACAGTGAGCACGCCGCGTGCCGGGGGAGCTTCTCTCCTGAGGTGCTGGAAATGCTGCCTGCTGCGACTCTGTGCTTAGGCGTGCTTCTGTATGCAACGCCGCCTTTTGTGTTTCTCTTACGATGACTATAATGAGACACTTGTGGGTGTGTGCCCTCGTCACAAGTAAAGTGCTGACCAGGGTAGAGAGGAGAGGCTGTGGGTTGGGGTGGCCCCCCGCCACCCCCCCGACACACAGGCTCTGCGGAAAGTTTCCAGAAACACATGAGGGCTCGGAGGCCACAGGGCTTGCCCTCCCCGCCTGCCTTTATCAGCCTGGGCGGGACTGCCCGGTGGCTTTCGGCTGATGCCTGTGTCTGGCGGACCCTGAAACATGCTCAGAAAGCCCATCAGCGGACTGCCTGACTGTGGGGGCCCGGCACGTCCGGCTGGGGCGTCCGTCACAGGACGGCGCTCTCGGGGGCACACCTGCACGGCACGTGCAGCGCCCTCGAAGGCTCTGCCCTGGAAGCTTCAGGAGGGCGTGTGCACCCGTCACTCGGGCGGCGAGGCCGGCCCCCTCGCACGTGCCTCTGAGACACGGGAAGCAGTTTATACACACTGCAAAGTCACTGAACATCGTGGAATCTACACCAGCGCCCTCTGTTCTTAGTGGGCAACTGTGTGACGGTTCCTGCCCAGCCCTTCCCACTTGATTTTAAGTTCCTTGATGGCAAGATGGTGTCTTTGGATGCTGATGTTCTCACAATGTGACGACGTGCCTGGCCGGCGGTGGCGAGTCCGTGTCTGGGAAGGAAGGTGTCTATGACAAGCTCACGAGTGAAGGGGACTCAGGGCTCTAAGCGTTGGAAGAGGAAATGTCCCGATGAATTATGTGCCCACTGCCTGCTCATAAGGTTTGGGGGGCCAACACTGGAAGAAAGCACAGGTGACAGAAACTCTCCGTGCTGAGGAAGAGCCTCACTCCGCGTCGCCCAGCGTCGTGGCAGAGCAGCAGTGGTGCGGGGCTGCGGCCGGCTCTGCGAGGCCAGCAGCAGACGCGAGCAGGCGCCCCGCAGGGAGGCACGTGGCAGACGCCCGCCCAGCTGGGCGAGGGCTGCCTGGACCTCCGCCACGAGGGCACGTTGGAGTACAAGGGGCAAACACAGTGGGCTCTGAGCCTCTTCCAGGTCATTGGCCAAAGCAAGGGATGGGACCGACACCAAAATCAAATGGCAGGGACATGCCCTCCCCCTGTGACGGGGCAGCACAGGGTGCAAATGCAGGGAGGGGTGCTGGGGCCAGCCTCCTGACAACCGCAGGGACCATCTCGGATCTGAGCGCGGCACCAATGGGGCCTCTTGCAGGTGGAACTGGCTGCGCCTGTGCGTGTCTCTGGTTCTCGCTTGTGTATGAGGACCCCGCGCACCACCCGTTCATCAGCGCTGGAGAGAGGGACTATATCGTGCACTCGCTGGCTCAGCAGGTGCTTCACTGCCCTCCCTGCCACCTCCCTGAGTCTGTGCGGGTGTCCCGGGGAGAGAGTGTGTCAGGCGGGGATGTTGTTATCTGCTTTTTTTTTTTTTTTTAGGACCATGTGCCATCCCTGTCCCTTCCCATTAAGGCGATGATCAAATCTCTGCCTCTCTGGAGCATTATGCTCTCCATCTTCTGTGTGTTTTGGCATGCTTATGTCATATTGACATACACACCAATGTACCTCCACACTGTGCTTGAACTTGACTTCAAAGATGTAAGTACAGAGAGACTGCATCTGTCCTTCTGCCCGAACCCTTCGTTACATAGGTTTTTGGAGGGGAAGTGAGTGGGAAAGAGAGGGAGACTGACATTGGTTGGTCGCCTCTTGTGCGCCCCCTGACCGGGGACCAACCCGCCTGTGACTCAGGCACGTGCCCCGACTGGGAACTAAACCAGGGACCTTTGGCTTTGTAGCACTCACACCAGCCAGGGTTCCTCTCGCTCTTCTTTCCACCAGATCAGGGGGTAGGCCTAGGGCCTTCGATTAGGAAATGCAGCCAGTGCCCCTTGAATTTGATTCCTGTCGTTGTGGCCTGCTGCTTCCTGAGCTGGGTGATTCCGGGTCAGTTTGCCATTCGAAGGTTGACCCAGGAAAAATTCTACGTTTAACCCAATCAGCATTTGCAAACGGCACACTCTGCTGATGGCGCACAGAACAAAGTACGAACAGGACACATTCAGGTTGTGACAGAGAGTCACAAACGACATACGCTAAAAGTGAGACATTAATAATGGGACCGAAGTCCCCTCTAGGACTTAGAGCAAACACATATGGAGAGTGTTCTGTGAGGGACCCCTGGATTCGAGTCAGACGCAGAGAGCGGGCCGCGCAGACGTGCGCAGCCGTGACTTCTTCACTAAACACACAGGCTCTGTGGTCAGCTGGCAGGTGCCTTTCAGTTCAAGTCAGATGGATGTCTCAAAAGTGACAAGAGAGGACATCAGCAACAGTTCACAAGGTCACCAAATCATTGCCACATTCTCACCTTTGCACTCAAAACGCAGTGTTCTCATGCTGACCAGGCTCCTCTGGCGACAGCATGCCCACCGGACCAGAGAGTGAGCTTAGCAGAGGGAGAGTCTGCGGTGCACACAGGCAGACGGTGGGTGCTGGATCAGAAGGCCCCGGGCCAGGTGGCCGGGGGCCTTCCCCGAGGATGGGGAAGGTCGGGTGCAGGGTGCCGGCTGCAGGTGCCAGTGCGTCAGAGCACCTATGGGGTGTGGCCTGGTGAGCCCCCGACCCTCAGAGGCCACACGAGGAGGCAACGGTGGGACAGTGATTGGAGAGACAAGCTGAGACCAGGTGTTCCCAGCTTGGGAAGCCCAGGCCCAGCACACTTTCTCAGGACGATGCATTCCCATGATGGCGTGGAGTCTCCTTGCCGGTAAACTGAACAGCTTGGCCTACAGGACGGTTAGGTCCTTTCCCACTGGTCTCCTTTTCCTTTTAATTTAGAGGTTGACTGAGAAGGACCGAGCTCAACATTTAAAAACTATACAAAAAGGAAGAGTGACCAATTTTCCTCTGGTTTCCATTCCCAATCAGTCCTGTTCTCCGAGTCCATTCTTCAGGGCACCCTTTTTACTAAATCCTTACACATTCTGCCATTTCTGAAAATGCAAGCCTGTGCAAGTGTGTGTTTATTTTCTCAACTCTTCTAACACAAAGGGGACGTGTAGGTGCAGCTGTTCCTTACACACCGGAGCATGGGGCCCTTCCATGTCAGGGAGCAGAGAGCCTCACTGAGCCAAGTGTGGGTGGGCTCTGAGCCGGCCCCACGGTTGTGCAGCTGTTGACGCCTGCACGCCTGGGTCAAGGGGGGCGCAGTACCGGTGTTCGTGTTCATCGTCACCCTCTGTAGGGCGAGAGTCTGACTCTCCCCTCACCCCGTGGACCACATCGAAAAGCTGATTCTTGCCAGCCTGACCCATGAGCAGAGGCACCTCACGGTGCTGGTATTGGTGTGAAGCAGAGTACATTTTAATACATTTCAGAACCACTTCGTGGTGTTTTTGTTTCTCTGTCTTTTGTCCATTTTTTTTTTCTACTGGGCTTTATTCTTTTAGGCATCTATTTCTAGGTGATCGTTGTATATGGAGAGAGAATTAGTCATTCTTTTTTCCCCGAACTGAACTACGTGCATATTTTTCTTCATAATTTATATTGGCTCATCCAGGGGTGTGGAGTTTGTATTAAAGGCAAAGTGTAGATAAAGGCCACGGTGTAGCCAGGGCACGTATGGCCGCTCTGTGTCGTGGGGGGGTTGGGGTGCACCTCACCTCCTCTCTGGTCCTCAGAGCGGATTCCTGTCGGCCATGGTATTGGGCGCCACCTACATCTACTCCATCCTCGTGGGCATGCTGGCCGACACCCTCCTCTCCAGAAAAATCCTCTCCCTCATTGTCCTCAGGAGGCTGTTCACAGCCATAGGTGAGGATGTGGGTGGACGCTGGGGCGGGAGGGGAAGCTCGGGGCAGCTCCTCCTCTCTGTCTGTCCTGCCCAGGGGTCTCCCTCGCAATCGGGTTCTCCGTGTTCCTGCCCTGGGTCAGCGACAGTCTTAGTGTCACCATGGCCTTCCTGGTACTGAGCTTCACCTCCTTCAGCTTCTGCCAAGTAGGGTCCTTTGTCAACTTCATGGACCTTGCTCCTCGGTAAGAGCCCCTTTGCCTTGGCGTCACTCACAGGAGCTCAGTCTGGTCCGGTGTCTCTGAACCTGCTGTGACCACGGGTCATGCCCTGAGGGCCACAGGGTGGAGGTCACTGGAAACGTCAGCACCTGCCTTACCCCAGGTGACTCCAGGGAGGGCCCAAAGCTCATCAGCCACTGAGGACTTAGCTCTTCCAGGTGGAAGGGGAGGTCGGCGCCACACGGCCATGTCTCTCTCTGCTGGGACCCAGCAGCGCCCGGGGTGAGGTCACTGCCCGGCCTCCAGCACCCCACAGGGCGCGCTGCTGTGGGGTTAGTCAGGCTGGAGGGCACGGGCGGCACGGGCGACATTCAGCTCCGGTGCAGGTACCAGGCGCGACCCCGACTTCCCGCGTGGCTCCAGGGCTGCTCTCCCAGCCAGTGGGACGCAGTCCTTCCTCCCTTGAGACGCGTGGGAGGTGCCTCATCTCCAGAGAGCCCACGCCTCACCCCGGGAGGGCGCTGGTATTCCTCAAGCAAGGCTGCCAGGTCAGGCTTCACAGCAGGAGCCGAAGGAACAAATAAACCGGTTCCCATCATCAATCAATGCACTTTGCACGAACAACAGTGACAATTTAGAACAGGTCACCACTTGGGGGTCAGACCCTCACACAGGGTGACAGCGACCACTCACCAGCCCATCTTACTCAGGTTTGACAGAGGGTCAGCACAAGTCTAGGCCGCCCCGGAGAGAAGCGGGGGACTTCAGTGGGTCAGATGAGAGGAACCTGTGCTTCCACGGGGACCCGCCTCTGCCTCTCATCCTCTCGCTCTCTCAGGTACACAGGCGTCCTCAAGGGGCTGTCACAGTTTTTTAGTCAACTGTCCGGAGTCCTCGCCCCCACCGTTTCTGGATTCCTCATCAGCCAGGTGAGCCCAGACATGCTGGTGAAAGGATCCCCAAGGGGCCTCCAAGGGTCGCCAGGGAGAAGCCAGAGCAAGGGGGATATCTGTTCCCTCCCGGTTGCGACTCGCCCCGTCTGGGGTGCAGAGTGAGGGAGAGTGCGCGATCTCATGACTTGTGTGGCGACATCACGGCATCTCTTGTGGAGAGTGGCCGACCGCTGTGGATTGCTGGGGTGTGAGGGGCATTTCTTGACACCTGGAAAGTTCCAAGGGATCTAGGGAGAGGCGGTCGCTCTGTGCAGGAGCCCAGTGATTGTGTGCACAGTGAAGGAGCGAAAGGCTGGGCGGCTGAGCGAAGGCGGAGGGAAGGGGCAGCCGCCACCCGGCGACCCTCTCTCTGATCGGCTTTGCTTACACGCTGCGTGTATGCCCGGGCAGCGTCCCGTTCTGGGACACGCATGTAAAGCTGTCGGGACAAGTGGTCTGGCACCTTAGCACTGAGCACTGTGGGTGTCGATTTCCCGTGAGGCGGGACCGGCACGACACTCACAGTCTTTAAGGTCCCTGGGGTTTCCCCAGAAGGAAGTCCAGAAAAGGGAGACTAACAAGGAAAGGGGTTCTTTGGACATCACGTCCTTTGCCATTTGAAGCCTCAATTCCCTTCCGGCCTCTAACTAACAGATTGTCAGTAAACGGTTGTTTAGAGTGGAGATCCTCAAGCTGACCTTGTCTCCCTGGTCACGCACTCATTCCCTCATTCTGCAAATAAGCATCAACGCTGCCCCGAGTGAATGAAACAAAACTTCCTGCCCTTTGGAACCTGGATTATAGAAGAGAAACGGGTTGAAAACTGATGGAATTTGTAACGTGGGTGGCACAGTGCGGGCCGGTGACTGTCAGGGGAGTGACACCTGAGAAGGAAAGGGGCCCGTGAGGGGTCGGGCCCCGTCTGACATAGGTCGGGCCGGGAAGGGCTCGGGGAGACGCCCCGCCGGGGAAAGGCCGGCACCCCGGGTGTGCCTGCCCGTCGCCAGGCGCCCTGGGCCCCTGGGGCGGATCCGGGCTGCTGGCCGGAGGGTGTGCGCCGCGGCCTTCCTGGACCAGGAGGGACGGGGGCGTGAAGGCCGTGGATGACCTGTCGCTCCCTGCCTGCAGGATTCGGAATCTGGCTGGAGGAACATCTTCCTGCTCTCAGCAGTCATCAACATTCCCGGCCTGCTCTTCTTCCTCGCCTTCAGCCGCGTGGAAGTGCAGGACTGGGCCAGAGACCAGCCGCTCACCCGCCTGTGAGCTGCGCGTGAGGCCTGGGGCCGCGGGGCTGCGGGCCCGTGGACTGTCCCCTGCGGGCGGAGAGGACAGTCTGAAGCGCACAAAATGTCGTTGAAAGAAATGGAAGAAGATTGAAACGAGCGGAAAAGCATCTCGTGGGCACGGATTGGAAGGTCTGACACGGTTCGAACGGCAGGACCCCTGCAACCAACACACAGAGGCAACGCCTTGTCTGTCAGCATCGCAGCCAAACTGCTGTGCAGGCATAGCTAACGAGGAAGTAACTTTTAGTATTTGGAAAACAGAAAGAACCAGCCGTGTTTCAAATGACAAAGTCGTAAAATTACAGTCATCTTCCTCAGTTTATTCAGCCCCGTGAAATTGATTCTTGTTGACCTTGATCTTTGTGAGAAGTTTTTTGACACCACTGATTTTCCCACTAGGCTTCCGTACACTCTTACGCAGCAGCTCGGTGGTGTAAGGTGGAAATTATCAGCGCCTTACACTCTAGAGTGTTCATTGGCTGCATTTCCTGAATTTATCTGGAGATAAAATACTTTTGCAGGAACATTAAAAGCAGAAGTTCAACTGACAAAACTTAAAGTGATGACATTTAAAAATGGCCATCATCAGAGATCTGATGACGAGGTATTTATTGCGATTGACAGGGAAATTTGCTTATTTCTGACATAATATTTTCAGGCGATTGGCATTACGACTGATAACATTATATCAGGACATATCAGAATTTTAAGAATTTAATAAAATTTCTAGAACACAAAATATGTACCTATACAGACACAATGTAAAGAAGGCTTAGAATTGCTTGTGTTTTCGCAATGGCTCCCATGTAATAGAACCTGTCAGGCAAGCCTAACCAGTGCACTATTTCCCTTTTGATAAGGAGAGAGCGCAAATCCTTTGAGGGTCTTTGGATACCAAAAAAGATCAAATAGGTTTTAATACACTTCATCGAATAGGATTTTTGGCCTTTGTGAAACAAGACTTATTTATGTAACCAAAGTGACAACAATTTCACAGGCAAATACACAAAATTACATAGTTATGAGCAAACCCAAAGACCTGGTATACACAGGAAATCTGGCAAACTGTAGAATTCTTGGTGTGCTTTTTGGGGCAGCTTGCTTTAAGGTAAAAATTATAATCTTTCATCAAGGGCACACCAATAATCCAAGAAACTTTTGTCCTTCCAGTAATGAAAAACTAAGTTCCAATCTTACATAAGTATACTACTGATATTAAAGCTTAGTTTTAAAACATTTATAACAATTTAATTTTAGCCAACTTGACCACACAAGGTAAAATTCTTTTTTTCCTCCCGTTTCCAACTTTGGTTTAATTTGACCTTTTAAGAAAGAGAAAACCAAACTTTAATTTTGTACCAGCTTGCTTTAGATACTGAAAACTCATTAACTGAATTACATTGATTTTAATATTCACCACTCCCGATGATACATAAAATTCCTTTCCAAAGATTCCTTTTCCTCCAAGCTTCTACAACTTTCCTTTTCAACAAAAATGTACCTCCATTTTGTATACCTTTTTTAAAAACCGAAAACATACATCCCACTTCTTTTAGCACATGCAGATGCTCAGGACAATTCTGTTCCTAATACCCTGACCTTCTATAATCTCTTCAAGCATTTCGAGGGGCACGGGCAAGGTGGGGGTCGGTGAAGGCAGGTGGGCTTCCACCGGCTCCGGAGCCGCCTCTGGCCGAGCCGCAGCCCGACTGTGGTAGGAGGACCCCGAATGTGCCGAGGGGGCGGGGCTCTATCCGAAGGGGATGCATGCTGGGATTTTGTTCCAAGTTTTTCCTGCGCTTTCACCGTTAGGGAGTCCCTAAGGCTGGCCCTTATATTATTTGTATCCGATTTTTGTGTTTAAATTTGGCCTTCCCATTGGTGATGAAATTTTTCTCATCATCCGGCCCGTGGCCCACGTTCCTCAGTACTCGTGGCGCAGCAAACCAGAGAGTGGGGCCGAGGGGACGGTCTCTCAGCCGTCGCGCTCCCTGTGCGGCACCCCCTGAGCTCCTGTCCCCCAGCCCAGGGTGCGGAAGGCAGGCTACAAGGGAGAAACGGCAGCCGGTAAACAGAAAGGAGACCCGGACAGGGGCTAGTCACCCTATTGTGAACCCTGAGCAGATAAAAAAGAGACCTACTCAGAAGGGCTCCTCGTGGGTGACGGAGTTACAGAAAACACAACCAGCAAACCGAAAAAATAGCCTAGCAGCCCTGTCTAAACAGGGACCTTCCCACACAGAAAGGACACTTGGCGGAGTGGCCTGTCTGTACTTTATGAACCTGCTTCCGTAAGGCAGTTTCTGGAATCCTATTTCAGCCAATAGGACTGAGGCTTTCCGCCTACGATCCGAGCCGTGCAGCTCGGGCCAATCAGAGTGGCTCTATTCCAACCAATCAGGAACTGCCTTTTGGGCCAATGAAACTTTAAGGATTTGGCATCTCAAGGCAGACCAATCAGGGGCCAGGGGCGGGGACTTCTCGCTATATATTCCAGCTCCCCGTGGGTTCAGGAGTGCAGTTTGTTGCTTTGTTTTGTTGGGATGTGCTGGTTGGAGTGAAGCCGTGGAGGTGCTCCGCTTGTTCGGTGTACGGCAGGGCCAGCAGGTGCAAGGTTGTTTTCCGGGCAGGTCCCAGGTCCCAGGTCCCAGGGTTCCCTCCCGGGCTTTTCGGTTGTCATAACTGTTCTGGGTTATAACTGAGGGTTTTTCCTGTGAAGTTTCCTTCACACCGCAAGGTGGGGCGTAACTGTACTGAGGGCCAGCTGCAAAGGTGGCTTCACACCATCGTGTGTCTTGTAGAGACATGTTGGTGGGTGCCTAGTGGCTTCCTTTCTGATGCTTTCTGGACCGGCTTTCATTTGGGGGAGTTGTGCTTACCTGGGCACGGTAAGTGCGTGGGTTCTTTACGTGCGCGCCTGGTGTGGAGCAACTTCCCCCTCAGGAGTTAGTGGCCTTTGCTGCGCTGTAATGGGGGTCATGAGATGTCCCAGCCACGGTGAGACTAAAGTCCTGCAGAAGCAGCCCCTGGCGTCATCTAGGTTTCCAGGTAGGTACTAGGAGGGTCTTGGCCAAATAGTCTGTCTAAAATGGGTCTTTGGTTTTGGAGAAAGGTTAAATAGAATTTCCGACCCAGCGTTGGGCTCCTTGTGAGCCCCATATGGAGTGACTAGGTACCTCAGGAAACGTCGTTGCTGCGTGACCTGCCTTGAACGGTTTACGGCTCTCGCGAGATTTTCCCTTCCAGAGACAAAAGACGAAACCTGGGGATGCACAAGCGAAGTCATTAATATTGTGGTTAATCAGTTCTTCGCTAGTTTTTATTCTGACTGGTGATAAGCCATGGGTCAAAATAAGAGTTGGAACAACCTGTGGTTCTGGATCTGCGTGAGGACAGTTACCAGAGCCAGAAAGGTTTGTCAGTCATGCGCGGAGGCTTCTGCGTGAGATGCAAACATCCGAGCGTGGCGTGGCGGGCAGGGTGGAAACGTGGCGTGGGTCGGTGAGGGGCCGGTGTGCTCGGCAGATAAGGGAGCGGGCGTTTTGAGTCTTGTTGAAAGTGCTGTTAGGGAACTAGAGTTGGAAATAGGGAGCGCCCACGAGTCCCTGAAATCACGGCCGGCGCGAGGCTCAGGGCAGCCCGTCCAACATGTTCGATTTCCAGAAGTTGGACGGGACTGGAGAATTCTAACTAAAGCCTTACGCTCTGCGCCCGAGTAAGGGTAACAGTACACATGTGTACAAATTCCTAATGTTTTCAAAATAATAAGTGACTTGAACAATCTAAAACGCAAGGGAGTGGCCAGCGAGGCCTAGCCCTGTCACAGAGACCACTGTTTCTGGAACTAGGTCACTGTGGCAGGGGTAACGTAGAAGGCCGTGCCTGGGAACGGTCAGTATTTGGGGTGGCCAGCGGCCAGGTCTGGACGTGCAGGCAGAGGCGGGCTACTTGGAGGTGTCCGCGGCTTCCCTTCCTGGCCACACGCAGCAGGAGGTCGGAGACAGGTGTGCTGGGCCGAGTCTCAGCGGGAGGCGTGCCTCCGGGAGCCACTCCCCTCGACGTGGCTGCGCAGGGGTTCTAGAGAGGCACCTGGAGAGCGCCTTTCCAGTGATGCTGCAGGGAATTCGCGGGCAGGTGACGTTTCCAGCAGGTGGTCTCCAGGCGGACTGTGTGAGGTGCGGGGCCACGCTTGTCAAGAGTGAATAATGAGCTCTGACTGGTGTGAATCAGTGTACTGAACGCTGGCCTGCAAACCAAATGGTCGCTGGTTCGATTCCCAGTCAGGGCACAGGCCTGGGTTGTGGGCCAGGTCCCCAGTAGGGGGCGCGTGAGAGGCAACCGCACATGGATGTTTCTCTCCCCTTTTCTCCCTCCCTTTACCTCTGTCTAAAAATAAATAAATACAGTGTTTTTTAAGAAATGAGTGAAAAATGATAAACTGGAAAAGACTGATCATTCCACAAAATCAAAATTAAATTTCCAATTAACATATACTTGTCAAAGCCCTGGTAAAATTATAATAGAACATCAGAATGTTCAATGATAACTGCTTGGAGATATGCAAAAATGAATAGATATAACAATAATAGGAAACTAGTGTTTAACTAAACTTCAGTGTGTAAATCGGCCAAAGAGAAACAAACACAACTTAGAGGGTCTGAATAAAGTACCGTGGCTGACACCACCGCTGCGTCCAACCTTGGAAATGGAGGGTGAGACTTTGCTAAAGCCTGTTACGTGCTTGTTCACGAGGTCAACTGCAATAATTTCCATACGAAAATATTTGAGTGAACTCCCCTACTTATCAACGGCTGGGTGTATTCTCTTCACTTGCACAAAATTTATAAATGAAGACCAGGACATGTTTAGTTCCAGATCCAGACGCCTGCCATTTCCAATTAGCAACCCTGAGTATAGAGGCGTCTCAGTGAATCATTTGCTGCGCCACTGTGCAAATTCTCAGACCCGACAATGCTGAGCTAATTTATTTTTAAATGATACTATCATTTCATCACCATGATCACATCACACCACGATTCAGATCATTTCTTTTAATACATTTGCTAACTGGTTGTTTAATGTGGAAAAATTTGTTTCTGTATTAATAGGTTAATCAGACACCTTAAGGTTGATCGGGAAACTTTGCCTGAATTTATTGTTCCTATAACTTTCCAGTCTTTGCGATGTTAATAGCCATTGGGCACAACACCTGGTTTGCAAAATGGGGATGTGCTACATCGCTCAGTTCTTAAGCATCAACCGAAATTCCTCCAGGAGACATTTTTCCTCATGTTTGCTGCCGGCGAGGTTTAGGGAAGCAAGGGAGGCACAGTGACAGGTGCTCTTTGGAACTCGAGCAGACCCTCTGTCTCTGTCATTTATTTGAAAGCCACTCTAGCTGGGGTTGCTTTGAAGGCAGCTCTTGCCAGGTATGTTAGTGAATCCTCACACCTTCTAGAATATGACCCTATGAGAGCATTTGCCAGGGGTCTTCATTCCCACCCCTTTGACTTTGAGCTACCGCCTTCTCCAGCAGCTTCCCTCCTCACCCAAGGCCCTTCCCCTCCCTTGCAGACGTCCCTTCCCTCGAGGCTCCCACGTTCCTGCCTTGCGCCCCAAGACCTCCACAACGCTTGGGAACAGGGCACCTCCATCAGGATGTGAGATGCTTTCAGGCCCCGCAAGGTCCCCCTCCTCCCTGAAATTGCACTGCCCCCCCCCCCCCCCCCGTTCCCCACTCAGCCAGCAATGTCACAGGCGGCTCAGAGCTGAGCCTCCACCCGCACGGCTCCTGTGTCCCTGGTTTCAAAGTCTGTCCGTTACCCAGTCGCTTCTTACCTTCAGAGGCGTGTGCCTTGCCATTCCTTAGCCCAGTCCTGAACGTCTGCTTTAGCGAATATGAGGTAGAAAAGTATGCTTGTCACGTTAATAGCTGCCATCAGCAAGAAGATTTTAAACCAGGAGTCGGGGTCCTGAGGGAAGAAAGTGCAAAGTGATTACAAACGATTGGGCTGCTTGTTGTGTTAGTAACATTTAAAATATTAAAATTAAAACAGGCTCAAGGCAGGTCCTTTAACAAGGAAAAACACAGAAAGAAGGCAGAACAGGTCAGGATTTCATGGTCAAGAGGTAATCAGGGTTTGTCTCCCTGCTTAGGGAGCCGTATGTGTCTCCACATAATCTTTCACTTGTAAAATGACGTGGTAGAGTGCGTGCTCACAAACGCTTACGGTTTCAGCTACAAATGTATGATACGGGCAGGCCCCGCACAAGGAGATCAGAGTCCGCAACGGCTCCTGGTCCCCCGATCTGGCCAGTTAGAACTTGAATTCTCTGACGCTTCAGAGAAGACTTTTTTTTTTCAGCCTTTTAAATGTCCTTTTAAAAGAGAATCGGTGCCCAAATTACTCTTCCGTTAATGGAAGCAGAAGCCATGCCAATCCTCCTTTTCAGCTGTATTTAATCTGCATTTTTAATTTCAGTTTTATGTTCGAATTGCCAGAGGTTTTTTGGGGGGTGTCAAATCTTATGTTTCTTATTTATATTTCCAATCCCCTCTTTTACTATTTCTTTTTTAAATTTTGTTTGTTTGTAGAGAGAGAGGGGGAGGGAGGGAGGAGAGAAACATCCCTGCGTGGTTGCCTCTTGCACACGCCCTACTAGGGACCTGGCCCACAACCCAGGCCTGCGCCCTGACTGGGAATCGAGCCGTCAACCCTTTGGTTTGCAGGCTGGTGCTCAATCCACTGAGCTGTGCCAGCCAGGGCTCTTTTACTTCTTTAAACCTATGCAGACATTGCCAGTGTCTCGGAGAACCAGGTTCTGTGATGTTCTTATTTCTTCTCTTATGCCACCCTATTTCTTTGAGTGTTTTGTGATTTTCGATTAATTGTGAAATCATGTTTGCTGAAACTTTACGTGTGAGGAAATGGTGGAGTGTGAATTAAGGGTGCATTTCTCCAGAAACATTTTATTTGCTGCTTCTGGGCACCTGTGGACCACGTAACATTCCTTCCTTGGCGTGTGGTGTTGGGAACCCAGAGAGTGCATTTGGGCCCCTGTGAAAACTGGGTTATTTCAAATGTTCAGAGGAGCCTCTCTTCTGTGTTCCTGTCCCTCTGAGGCTGAGGCTGGACAGACAGGCTTGCTCCCTGGTTGGGGACAGGCGCGGTCACCTGCCAGTGCTGGGAGCTGCCCAGTGGCTCTAAGCGAATTCAGAGGGAGGACGGGTTGGCGGGCGGGGGGGGGCCTGGGCTCTGCTGCGCCGAGGAGGCGGCCGCTCCTTGGCGAGGAACCTCCGTGGTCACAGCGACGGGCTGCCTCTCTGGCGCCATCAGCACATAGAGCCTGACGATGGTGGGTCCCTCTCGGGGTGGGGGGACTAGCCGTCGTACAGCAAACCCTCTTCTCAGCTTAAGCCGTGGGCCAAGGAGCACTTGGCAGAAGTGCCGCTCTCGGTTTTCTCCCAAACGAACCAAGTTTCCACGTGAGCTGCGTGATGCGGGTGGCGTGAGGGCGAGACCCTTGGGGATTACAGATTGACACCAGCATCTCCACAGCGACTCCTGTCCCTGAGGGGTTTTCGGGCATTCTCTCGCCCCCTCTGTCCGCTACGGCTGCAGCTCTTGACCACCCAGGACGGGCGCGTTCCCGCGCCTGGGTGCTCCTTACCTGGTTAAGCATTATTCCGGTCAGGGTGGAAGAAATTAGGCCTCCTACCATTGCGATTAGAACTGTAACTCCTTTAAGAAACCCATAATATCTGCACAAAAAAAAGAATGACAAAAAAGAATGACAATACACAAATGTAAAGTATTTTAAATCTTAACCCTCATTTAATTTACGATGAGGTTTAAGAAAGATAACTTTTCCATTTCTACCCTAATTCCATTGGAGTCGCAGACGAGAGTGTGGCTATCGGGACCTTTCTGGTCGCACTGCACGGTCAGGGCGGCTTTAGCAGGAAGTGAGGCAACGACACAGAACAGGAGGCCGTGGCGGAGAGAAAGTCCCCGGGTGGGAAGCCGGCCAGCACAGCTGAGAAACCTGGAGGGCGCCGTGTAGGGGCTTGGCAAGTGGTTCAGGGAGGGCACAGAGTTGAGGGACCCCGTTCCGCTGGTCTGCTCCAGTCCCAGGGCCACAGCCCCCGGAGGCTCCGCGGGAGAGCAGGAGCCAGGCCGCAGCCTCAGCAGGGAGCCCCAGGGGAGGGACAGGTAAAGCAGCAGCAGGTCCCTGAGTCACGTAGTGCAAGGACATGCCCTTTGGGAGCAGAATCAGTGTCAGGTCAAGAACTTGCCTCGCTGGGGGACGGAGGGTCTCAGCCCTCCCTGCCCGACAGAGGCCACCAGGGGAGGTGCTGTGTGTTCAGGTCCCTTTTCCGAGAGGAAGGGCTCCTGACCTGTGTCGCTGCCCCGGGTCAGCTCCACTGCTACTCTGCCTTCCCGGGCTGGGAGTGCGAGGGCGTGGGGAGTCTGTGTGTCCGTGCGTGGGTCCTTCGTCAGAGGTGTCACGTCTGGACGTAGGGTGCCCGGGTGTCACTAGGCGGAAGGGTGAGTTGTCTCTCTGGGGAGCCGGAGAGTAAGTGCATCATGTGTTGCTAGGTATCAGCAGTCCCGGGTGCAGATCGGGGCAAAACTGCCGATTGTCCCCAGTGTTTATCGTCCCCTTTTCATGCGAGCAGGAAAAGTCTGGGGTTTGGGTGGGAGTAGGGCCACTTATGCCTTATGGAAACCCTTCTTGTTTCACCCCATACAAGTGCTGAAAATTTATTTTATGACTCTGTGTGTGTGTGTTTTGAGAGACTTTTCAATTTCACCTACATGGTCCGATTTATGGGCATAAAGTTCTTCATAATCTATTATTTTCTTTGTTATGGGGTAACAGGGGTGTCCAACCTTTTGGCGTCTCTAGGCCACACTGGAAGAAGAGTCATCTTGGGCCATGCATTAAATACACAAATAATGAAAACTGATGAACAAAAGAAATGATTTTAAGTAAGTTTACAATTTCTTTGTTGGGCCGCATGCATAGCCCTCCCGGGCCACGGGGTGGACACCGCTCTCAGGTTGGATGACGGTAACGCCCCCGTTTTCTTACCGATCATTTTTCTTATATGTCTCTTGATAAGTCTTCATTTCATTAATTTTATTAATTTTCAAGGAACCTACTTTTGACATTGTTGGTTTTACATGTCATTTTTTTCTTATTCTTTTATCATTTCTTTCCTTTTACTTTCTTTGGGTTTAACTTGCTTTTCCCTAGTTACTTGCCACAGAAACATGATTATTGATTATAAGACTTAACTATCTTTCAATATATAACTATGTTCTGAGTGATTTCAGTCGTTTGAAATAAACTGCTGTGTGCTTTAGGACCCAGCATGCTGTCTTTAAAGCCTGCAGTGTCTGATCTGTTTTTCTTTATTTATCATTTCCTCTATTACATTGTCCTTTTGCCTTTATTTCAGTAGAGAGTAACCTAAAATTTTGATGGTTTAATCTTTTTTTCTATTTATTGTTTTTCTGATGTATGAGACTTAAAATGATCATCATTCTAGTTTTTTGTTCTATATTTCTTTTTAAATTCACTCTGGATTTCTTTTTCAGCAATTGTTTGAAAAAATCATTCCCTTTACACTTGACCATCCTTCAGTATTTACCTTAGAGATTAAAACATATGTTTCTGATTTCTCTTAGTCTAGTATAATTAATATTTTTTTCAAATTCCCACAATGAAAGCACCTTAGAACACTTAAATTCATTTATACCCTCTCCTCTTCTGTGTATTGCTGTACTTCTTCCTTCCATATATTTTACACCCTAAAAGGTATCGTTTTTGTTTTGGGGATTGGGGAATTCTTTGATTGGGCCTGACAGTTTCCTGCTCCATCGGTGTACTTGTCCCCAGCCCTCTGTTCCCCTCCTGGGTCCCCTGTACTTCTGCCCAAGAGCATCCCAGTTAACAGCCCTCTCCCGTGCACAACAGTGGCCGATGGATTCTGTTGGCCTGAAGACATTTCTGTGTTAATACTTGAAGGAGATTTTTGCCCAACACAGGCCTCTAGGTTGACGGCGGGTCTTTATCTGTTTACTTCTGCACGTGAGGGACCGGCTCCCGGCCTCCCCTGCTCCTGCTGCGGGGGCAGCTGTCAGCCTCGTCCTGCTTCTTGAGCATCGCGTGTCTTTTCTACGAGGCCCCCTGCCTGCTCTTGCCCCCACTGGTCACTGTTTCCCTAGGAGAGTCAAGGGGCGGTCGTCTTTGCATTCGCCCTACTGTGTGTTCCTTAACCATGACAGCTTTAATGACGAGGTTCTCCTTCCGGGTCCAGAGTCTTTGCTGTGGCTGCGGGACAGCGTCTGACCTGTTGGGGCTGAAAAACGGACTTTCCTTCCCCAGTCAGAGAGGCCGACGCAGGCGCGTGCCCACGGCCTCAGGGGCCGCACTGGCTCCTCTGGAAACCGCTGGCCCGGGACAGAGAAGGGGAGAGCGTCCCACCCCACTCTCAGGGCGCCCGGGCCCCGGGCGGCAGGTGTGCGACGTGCGGATGGAAGCGGCCCGCGCTCCTGCGGGGCAGCTTGCAGGATGGCTCTGCCCGCTCTCTCGCTGCTTGTCGTCCGCTGCGCCAGCCCGCGGAACAGGCGGCCTAGACGAGTGACCCGCCGCCGAGGCCGACTTTCGGGCTGGCCGATGAGGTGCCGTGGCGTGACGCGGCCAGTGGAGCCTGGAGAAGGTGTTGCTGTCTGAGCCACGTTCCGTCTGCGCCGAGCCCACAGTACTGCACGGTCATTAAGATCCCTTTGGGGGCCTCCCCGTGAGACAGTGAGAGGGAGGGCGGCGGCGTCACAGATCCTCTCAGACGCTGGGCTCCGCCTTTGCCGCCCCAGGAGAGGGCGGCCGCTCCACTCCCGGGCTTTGTCTCACGCAGCGATCCATCTGCTCAACTGTGTCCTCACAAAGCCACAGCTGCCATCTCCTCCTCTTCCCTCCGGACCCTCCTGCTCAGATGTTGTGACCTTGTCCCCCTCCTCTTCATTGCGGCGAGGCCACAGTTCCCCAAGTAGTCGGTTTAGACACTCACCCCGAGGGAATTCTCTTCAATAGTCAAGGGAGGGATACGATTAGCCACGTCCTTGCTTAAATCAGTTTTGTCTCCATCCCATTAATAAAAAAAGAGCTTAACCACTGCAAATTTATATGGTTGTGATGTAACACGTGTGTGTCCTGACGTCTGAGGGTGAACCATCTTAAGAGACGAGGGATTTCTTCCGAACCTGTGTCTGCATGTGTGTCCCTGCTGACCTGCAGTGACCTGGAAGCGAGGCCACCCTGGCCGGGTCCTGGGTTACCCGAGCCAGTGCTGGCGGATGGTCCACAAGCTGCTGGACCCTGTGCTGCCGATGTGGCCGGGGCGGCCAGGGCTGCCGCGAGTTAGCCTCGCGGGCGGGCGCTTCTGGGTGAGCGCCTCCTGTTTGTTACCTGCCAGGTAACGTCGTGTGAGTTCATTTCCCTGCTGTGTCATGGGTATGACAGGCCCATAAAAAAAATACTCCGTAAGTGGTAGCTCCTTATAATTTCCTTTACCTGTTTTTCTCTACATTCTTAACCTGCCTGTGTTTCACGGTGCGCACGGCTCAGTTGGCTTGTGCGTTCTCTAGCGAATGATCCTTTCATGTCTGTATACGATCCCAAGTAACCGGAACACATGCGAGGTGTTTTAGGAGGGCCTTGGAATTGAGTAAAGCAAAGAGATACTTGGCCTTGTTACCCTGGCGCTCACCTCGCGTAGATCTGAGGGGCCAGATACTGTACGGGTTTGGGGCAGAGCGGGTGGTTATTGGTCAGTTTTGCCTCTCTCCCCAGAGCCACCGCGTTACAGAACGTCGGACAGTCCGGTTCCTGTGGGGCCTGCGTGCTCAAGAGGGCTCGTCCCGTGAGGCAAACGTGGGATGTGCCCCTGCGGCCGGGCAGGTGGCTGGCTGCGTCCATCAGTCACAGTCATGTCTAAATAGTGGCCTCACAGGAGGAGGGCCGCAGGGTTCTGCCAAACAGATCTGGAGTAAAATCCTGGGTAAGATCCCGACTCACGGTGAGCTCTTAGGCTCACAAGTACCTGAACCTCAGTTTCCTCCGTCATAAATACTCCCCACGGAGGTGTTGTCCTGAGGCTCAATGACCCAGACACACGCCTGTGATACCTGTAGGAACGAAGTAGCTAACGGCGAGAGCGTCAGAACGTTGGCAAGCCGGCCACGAACCCGAAGGTGGCTGAAACCTCACAACGCCCCGGGGAGCCCAGATGCAGCAAAGGATGAGGTATGTAAGGCCCTACCTGGGAGCGATATCCAGGGGGTTGATCATCAAGCCGGCCATGCAGAAGCCGGCGGTGGCACTCGCAAGCGTCAGGCCGACGACGGAGCTGAGAGGGCTGACGCTCGGGTGCAGCACGCTCACGGCTAAGAGGGCGGGCGGCAGCAGTCCTGCGGGCGTCCAGGCCGGTCAGGTGCGGCGGGGGGGCGGGGGCGCCCCGAAGGCCCTGAACGGCCTTGGCGGTTACTCACCGAGCGTGGTGAAGAGTTTTCGGATGGTGACCAGGCGGAGGATCTTCCTGGCCAGGAAGAAGTCTGCCGCGTGCCCCGCCAGGATGCTGAGGACCCAGGACAGCAGGTGGGGGAGGGCCGACAGCAGTCCGTTCTGAGGAGGAAGTGTCGTGAGCGTGCGTGCGAGCGCCAGCCACGGCCGCCCCGAAGCTCGGAGCCCGAGCGGCGGACTGCCCGCCCAGAGACCGTCGGCCGGCGCCCCCGCGTGTCTGCTGGGGCTCGACTCCCCGAGAGAGAGGGCAGCTCTGGGTCAGAAGCCGTGGTCACCAGCTGTCTATTTTTTGTTATTGGCATCGTGGAACCCGATGTGGCCGGGTGGGTCATCAGAGCGAGACTGTGCCAGGAATGGGAAGCGCCGGGCGTGGCAGCCGGTCGCGGGCGTGGAGGATGAGTGGGACCGCCAGCCGGGGCGGCCTCTGGGCCAGCTCCTGTCGGCCCGCGCAACAGCCCCACGGTGTCGTGGGACACAGGGCCGAGCCAGAGAGAGCGGGCTCTGGCTGTGCCACTAGCCCCGGGCTGGTGGCTGCGGGCTCATTACAGAAGTGCCAGGCCCAGGCTCCACTTCTCCCAGAGTCGTCTTCCTGGGTATTATGACATCAAACAACAGTAGGTTCCAGGCCTCCATGACTCGTCAGGTCGGACAGACAGTGGGGCTGCCGGTCCTTCCTCAGCCAGACCCGAGTCACGGGGTTACGGCACAGGGGAGGCCTCCCCCCGGGGAGGGCCGCCGAGAGCCGGGCAGGTGACGTTCAGGGGGTGCTCCCAGTCCAAGGAGGGACCGGTGCTGTTGAGTCTGAGGTGACACCTCCTATAGGAGTGGGAGGCGGGGCATATGTGGGAACAGGGCCGGGCGCGCCTCCGCATTCGTCCTGGGGGACATTGACAGAAAAGCTGGGCCCGTGGGCCTCCCCGGGCATCACATCAGCAACACGGGGCGGGGTGGGCAAGAGCTCGAACCGGCGTCGCGCGGGACGGAGAAGTGAGCAGGGTCCGCCATCAGGTGCAGAGGCGGGCGGACAGCGCACTCACCTCTCTCATCTCGATGTGGAGCTTGGAGCTGATGAACGTCGGCATGTACAGGAAAGCGATGGTATTTGTCCAGGAGAACGCAAAGCCGCTGAGGGAAATGGCCCAGACTGGGAGAGACGTGAGCATGGCCGTGACGGGCACAGACTTCCCGCCTGAGCTGACCTGGGAAGGACCCGTCACTCGCTCACACATCAGCACGAGCCAGAGGGCGCGCCCCGCAGCCTAGAACCTGGGGCGTGGGGCCCCGCGGCCCACCTGCTCGGCCAGGGAGGACCGGAGGAGGTCCTTCTCGTGCAGGCTGATGCACGGGTGCTCCTCCGGGTCGTCGTAAAACAGGACGAACCAGAGCAGGCTGAGGGCACAGCCACCAGCGCCTGTCAAAACAGGACAAGGTAGAATTGGAATTGGAAGTGGGTCTCGCCCAAACTGGTACTTTTCATGCTCGGTGTGAGATCATGAAAAATGGCCTTTCTTTTCTGAAACTCTGCAGAAGGTCCTACACTTTGGCTAGTCCTCCGTATCCACAGCTGCCTCTCCCCACAGAAGGGCATTTACAGATGGCGGGGGGGGGGGGAGAACGCCCTCTGGCCTCCCCCGCTCTCCTCGCCCCGAACCCCTCTGCTCTGCTCATGACCGCAGGCCGCCTGGCTCTCGGCCCGTCTCTGCCGACTCCTAGTGCCCCACCGTGAGCCTCCAGCTGGGCCTCGGCTGTGCTCCCAGTGGGGGCCCAGGCCTAGGGCTGCCCCCATCCTAGCAGACTCCTCCAGATCCTTGGTCCTTTGTGAGTTGTCTTATGTTAATGAGCTGATCCCAGGGACTCCCCTGTTAGGGTGGGGATGTGCAGCGTTCACCAGTCAGCCTTCACGAAATGAGTCGGTTGACCAAGTGCCCATCATGTAGCAGGCGCTGCTCTAGGTACAGGGGACACAGCAGTGATTGGAACTTACACACACTCTGCCTTCCAGAATGTACTTTCTAATAGATGAGAAATGGAGAGAATGAAGCAAGTAAACAAGCGAGGGGTCTAAAGTGTCAGCGCCAGGCGCCGTGGAGAGGCGAGACAGGCGAGGGAGGAGTGCCAGCGCCAGGGGTCGCTGGGATGTGAGCGTGGGGCAAGGGCAGTGTGGGCAGGCGGGGGCCGCGAGCCTGCAGCGCCGCGTTAAAGGCCGGCGGCCCTCCGCCCAGGAGCGTGCCCAGCATCCTGAGCACAGCGCCTCATTTGCGATAGGAAATCAAGGACTGTTGACTCTCTTTCCTGCTTGAACTTCATCACTTTAAATATCGTGAACTTCCTGTGAGTTACTATATTATATGCGGTTTTTATTTTTAATTTTTGTTTTCTTAATTCTGAAGACAGGGATTTCACAGAAAAGAGACTCACCAAAAATGTAGAAGACCATGGGCCAGCCCAGGGACTGAGAGACGAATCCGGTCACCAGCAGGGCGACGGAGGGTCCCAGCAAGGTTCCTAATCAGGGGGACAGAGAGCGGTAGAGTGAGGGCCGGCGTCGGAAAGCAGAGAGGGGGCAGCCGTGTGGCAGCGAGGAACAGTCGCCAGCGGAATGAGCTTGTAGAGCGTGGCGCTGATCAGGAGAGGAGAAAATGTGCACTCCTTTTTTCTGGTGTGTGAGCTAAGCAGGCCCCTCCCCGCTCCTAGACAGTCCCTGCGCTTTGACAGGAAGGAGCCGGGCCGAAGGTTTCTAAAGCCCCGACGGTCCAGAACGCACACTTCTCAGGGCCCTGGGGCAGATCGTGACCCCACACGCGAGATGACCGTGGGGGACACACCCGACGTCCTTACCTGATAGACTCACGGAGGTAAGTCGGTTTCGTTCCAGTGGAGGAGCCCACTTGATCCACACCATGTGCTGAGCCACCTGCACTGTACCCTGCAAGGACAGCAATGGGGGACTTTGCTCCCTGACACTCTCTCTGAGTCGAAAGCCTGTTCCGCTTTCACGCGACCCTCATACCTGGCTGAGTCCCTGGAAGAAGCGGCAGGCGATGACCAAGGACTCCCCCGCCTCTGCGGCCAGGGGTGTGCACAGGCTGAGCAGGGAGCTGAGGAGCAAGGCTGAGCCTACCACCTTCTTCACGGGACAGATACCGGCCAGGTAGCCCATGGGGATGTGGATGAGGGGCATGCCGTACATGATGGCGCTCAGGATGATGCCCTGGGTTTGGGGGCTCCAGTTGTACACGGGGTTCTGCAAGGAGAACGGAGATGCCTTGTCACGTGGCGTGTTCGGGGACGTGGGGAAGCGGGTCTCCCCGCCGACCCGTGTAAAGGAGCCTCCTCGCCCGCTAGTCTCTCGCGGGACCTCCTTTATTCCCCGATGACAAGGCTGTCTGGGTGCAGCTGCATCTTGCGACTGGTATCCTCAACTAGAATATACAGTCCTTGGGGTCCAAGGCACTGCCCGGCCCCCGGCACGGTCACAGTGGAGACCTTTGCTGCTTGTCCCTCTCCTTTTCATTTTAGGTATAATTGACGTATAACATTATATTAGGAGCAGGCATGCAAAATAATGATGTGATATTTGTGTATATTGTGAAATGATCACCACAGTAAGGCTCCTTACCACCTGTCACCAATATACTTACAGAAATTGTTTTCCTGGGATGAGAACTTTAAAAATTGACTCCTCTATCAACTTTCAGTACACAATACTGTCGGTAACTACGAAGAATCATAGCCGAGACCAATGTCGATGAACTGACCGCCCATGTTTTCTTCTAAAAGTTTTATGTTTAGTCTTACATCAAATCTTTGATGTATTAGATTTTATTTTGGGGGATGGTGTAAGGTAGGAATACGGTGTCATTCTTTAGCATGTGGCTCTCCAGTTTTCCCAGTGCCATTTATTGAAGAGACTGTCCTTTCACCGTTGTATATTGTTGGCTTCTCTGTCATAAATGAATTGTCCACATATATGCGGGTTTCTTTCTGGGCTCTTTGTTCTGTTCCATTGATCTATGTGTCTGTTTTTATGCCAGTACCACACTGCTTTGATGACAATAGCTTTGTAATATTGGTGCAGATCAGGAAGCATGATGCCTCCAGTTTTGTCCTTTCATTCAAGGTCACTTTGGCTATTTGGGGTCTTCCGTGGTGCCATACAAATTTCAGGATTGCTTGTTCTACTTCCGGTCTGGGTCCTAGGGCAGGAGAGGGCAGTGGAGAGCCCTGTGGGGACCGCTCCTCGGCTCGCCCAGCTGCGTGGCGCTTGGGCACAGGAGCTGCGCGAGTTTTCCCAGCTTTGTGCCTTGCTGGCCGGTGTCTCGGGTGCCGGCCTTCAGTTGGGTGTCCAGTGTGGGGCTCACATGCTTTGCTCCCCAGAGAGGGGCACCAGCTCTGAGTCCCTCCGGACTGGGGGTTGCATTGCTAGGGGTGGTCTATAGCTTTTGAAACTGGTGCATTCTGGGGTGTTCTGTTAGGGTTTGTTTTCAGTCTCTTTCTTTCAGCCTGGGAAGCTCCTATTGACCCACGGCCAAGCTCACTGACCCTTCCCAGCTGGGTTGCAACTACGTGTGAGCCCAGCAAGGTGGAGTGTGTGTGTGATAGTTGCCTTGATTGCTACTATGTCTTTTTTACTCTTTCGTACACTTTTCATCTTTCTGCCGACATTCCCTGTCTGGTGTTCTGTGTCGCCAGCATTTCCCATTAGCATCCTTCACAGAGTAGTTACAGTTACTGTAGTCGGTTGTCTGGGGTTTCCTACATGTCCGGCGTATCTAAGCCTGGTTCTGCTGAGCGTATTAAAAAAGTCAAGGCACAATATACTGCATATAGAGTGTTATTTTATGTAAAAAGGGGCAAAAATAAGAAAGCATGTTCATATTTGCCTGTGCATTCATAAAGGAACACGGGAAAAGTGGAGTAAAAAGTTTTTTTCCGTCACCCTCTGCATTTTTGCCTGTACTACGTCTCCTGACGGGTAACCCACTCAATACCTGCTGGAGGTAAAATTAATAAAACATATAAAGGGACTGTGCGTTCAGAAACTTAAATAGGATAGATGCGCCTTGACTTCCACTTCTGGTTTAAAATGCTTTTCCTGTTTTCTCGAGACCAAACTTCCTGACTCGAAAGAGGCCTGGCCTGGTGTTGCTATCCTTTGTCACACAGACAAGCCCCCAGGGCAGAGCCCCCCACGGACAGGGAGGCGCACAGCGCAGGGTGGTGCACCACGCGGCTCCAGCTTCTGCCCTGCCTGCAGGGTCCCTCCAATCACAGTACCGCCCCCCACACACATCATTTAGCAACGCGGGACCCTCAACGCCCAGTGAGGGTACTGCTCGCGGTCTACCTTTACGTTATCCAGGGGCGCGGCCAGGGAGGCGTTGGGCGCGCCGCGGGGCTCCGAGCGGTTCACCATGGCGACCATCGTGAGGCTGAGGCACACGCGCTGGGACAGCAGGGCCACGTTGCAGAAGTGCAGCAGGAGCGCCAGGCCGGTGCGCAGGGAGCAGAGGGTGGGCGCTGCGGGCGGAGCAGAGACCGTCCCCGTGAACGCAGCTCCGGGGGACCCACGGCGACATGCGCTTCTCCCTTAAGGAAGGGCCACTCAGAAATGGGGGACCCTCGATATGATTGTGAAATCTTATTGTCCTTAAAGACCTTTGAGAAATTATGACACAATAGGAAGATGTGTGACTGATGTAATAATGCCACACCCCCTAAAATGTAATCCCATCTAGAATGTCCCAGAAAATTAATCCTCCAAGTACGTTGGCTCATGTATATTTTAAAGGGACTGTTTGAAAAATATGCTGGTTGCTCTGTCTGGTGTGGCTCCGCGGACGGAGTGACGGCTTGCGAACCAAAGGGTCTCCTGTTAATTGTCAGTCCGGGCACAGGCCTAGGTTAGGGGCCAGGTCCCCAGCAGGAGGCGTGCGAGAGGCAACCATGCACTGATGTTTCCCTCTCTCAGAATTAAAAAACAAACAAAAAGCACTTTAAAAAAATATCCTGGTTACTCTTGGAACTAGGGACCCTAAATAACGACAAAGACTTCACTCAAGTAAACAGCTGTATTCTCCAACGTTCGTAGTTTGGTAGAGAAACGGACTTGAGGAAGGTTCAGGCTGGAGCATAGAGGGGGGAGGAGGGCCCGGGAAGCAGGAAAACAAACAGGCTTTTGAATAAATGCACTAGTGCCACTCAGGGGAGGAAAGAAAAGCCTTCTCACAAGCGGCAGTTTCCCTAGAGAAATAGAAACACATGCCCGCCGACAGACTTGTGATGAAGCGTTTGGAGCGGCCTTATTCAAAACAGCTGACTGTTCGGAATCAATGAACCTGCCGCAGGACAGCAATATAGTGGGTGTTACTCAGAAGTAAAACGGGGGGAGACACTGAGACACTGAACAATCTGGGTGAATCGCAACAAAAATGACTTCTAAAGAAATTGAGCTACAATGGAGCCTGCGAAGGGAATTCCAAAGTGCTTGGGACTGCGTGACAGACTTCACATCAAACTCGGGGACAGTCAGAGCAAAATGCACAACCCTCAATATATTCATCAGTAAAAGAGGAGAACTCAAAGACTTGGAAAGTTAAAAAAGGAACAAACCTAAAGAACCTAAAAGGAAGAAAATGTTGAGCATAGGGCAGACATCAATGATATAGACATATATAAATATAATTTTATTTGTTTATCAGCTTTATAGGTTGATATGTTTTACTGTTCATATAGAAACCTGAGCACAGATGATGTGGATGATCTAAAACTATCAAAGTTGTACCAGGAGAAATATGGAATTCAGTAGGCCCCTGACCTGCACATAAATCTAAAGGGCCCACCGCCCACTGCCCAGCTCCCCTCTGGGCACCTGTCCCTCACGCCACAGACGTGACCCTAAGCCAGCAGTGCTGATTCCTCACAGCTCTCCCCGGCCTTGCTCAGGACGAGCTGGTCTAGGAAAAATGTGTGGTGGATGCGCAGCCGCTGATGTCCGAGGACGCCCGAGGATGCAGCGACTCGCGGACCCTGCCCCGGTCCCACTGCGGAGCCTCGAGGCGGAGCACAGCTGGCACGGCTCCTTCGGCGCCCTCCTCCCGCCGTCCAGCGGACAGTGTTCAGGAGCCACTGAGGGGAGTGTGGGCAGCCAGCGTGCGCGGAGCCTTTTTATCTGGGGCTTTCTAACGGACACCCCTGCGAGGCTGGCTCCTCACCTCCTCCCCTGAGCATGCCTGAGACTGTTATGCGCTTTCATGGGAAACCCTTTCACCTGGAATCCCGGGTGTCCTCTTTAGGGAGAGAGCCTATGTGAGGGGCAGAGAGGACCTACCTTTCCGGGGAGGGGACGGGTGGTCCATTTGCTCAACGGCGGTCTGGCTCCTGCACCTCCTGCCAGAAGGTTCGCCCTCCGTCCTCTGCAGGTGCAAAACAGGCCACGTCAGCGGGACCCCAGGAGGATCGGCCCCCCGCCCCGGGTTCCTCTCTGGCTTAAACGGTGCATCTAAGGGCGCTCACTCGTCACGCCAGGACCCACGCAGCTCCATCGGGTGCTGCCCTCGACATTGGACTCTATAGCTTTCTCATTGTTGATTAAACATATACAGAAAACCTGACAATGAGAGGCAACAGACAACGGCCCCGCCAACCCATGGTTCTGCTTCTGGTGAGACTATCCCTGGAAAGCGAAAGAGAAATAGAGATTTGACCAAGCAAAACAAAACAAGGACTTCACAGCCAATAGGGAATCTCAGAAGGGGTCGAAGGCAGAAGGGTGTTGGGAAAGGCCAGGAACGTGGAGGTACCAGAAGACATGAAGGACATCAGGAAGGAAGGCAGGTAAAATGAATTCCTTTCTTTTCTTATGTATTAGCAGAGCTGCAAGACCTGCACCCTAATGTCACCCTCACGAGAGAGTCACCGCACTCTCCCTGCGCATCCCCTCCCACCCCCTGCCCTGGACAGAGCAGCTGATTTGGGGTCGGGGAGGCGGGGCAGTGGCTGGAAGGAAGACAAAGCCACCTGAAACCGGAGAGTCCTTTCATCGAGTTCAGCACCAAACCGTGCCTGCTGCACACCCGCTGGTAGGCACCTCGAGATTTCACCACATCAGCTTATATGACTCACCCAGATGCTCAGAAGACACATAAATTTCTTAAGATTGGACTTACAAAGTATTTCCAAGTGAGCGGTTTTAGCTGCCACTGTCACTCATTGGAACATCTTCTAGGGCTGCTGGTTATGTCAGCACACGCATCACGCACACACCGACCTGCCCTCCCCCTCCACAAACCACAGACACGGCGCCCCCAGACTCACACGCACGGGACGGCACACACGCCCCGCCTCGTGTGTGTCCGCACAGCAGTCCGCCTCACTCTCATCCCTAAAAATATGCTTTTCCCTTTCCCTTGTGAAAAACCTGTGAAAGCAGATTTTTTAAAGCAACATGCCCCCAGTTGCTAAAAGCCTTTGGTAAGGTCTCTACCAGAGAAGGCCCCCTCGCTGTGGAGAGTCCTTTTTCTTTAATGAGGAGCATCTGAGACCAAGACTAACCTGATTCAGGACAGAAAGCGATTCCTCCCTCCCCGTGAACGCTTTCCTCTCAGTGTTTAAAAATGTCGGATTTCTGGGCTGTTTGTTTTAGCCCTGTAAATCCTTCACCAAATCCTTTGACCTCATGAGGTCAAAGTTAAAATTTAATTTTTAACTGCATTTTCACCTTAGCCTTTAATCTTTGGAGGAGGAGTATGAGTCTTAAAATCATCCCATGGCCAGTAATTTCATGACGACGATAGACAGGAGCTCCGGCCTCCTTCCCTGCGAGGAGGTGGAGGCTGCCCGCCCCGAAGTGCTCCCAGGGGGTTTCTGGGGACAGCCCTGGGCCTCGGAAGCTTTCTCAGGGCCTCTAACTGCCCTGTGAGCTTCCCTCCTCCCTCCCTCCATCTTCCCTTCCCTTTCTGCCTTCCTGGGATGGAGAGCTGCCCCGCCCCAGCTCCACCTGACCCCCCCTCCCGGCCCCTTTCTGAGATCCCTAAGTGAGACTTCTTGTCACCTCACTTCCTCTGAGTAAGAGTGACCACAACTTCCATGAAAGCAACCCCAGGGTGTCCCCCTCCCTGCGGTGGGAGCTTGAATGCTGAGGGAGCCCCTGCTGACCCCCGTGGCTGGCCCGTGTCTCCTCGTTCAGCCGGCCATGGCCTGAATATCCTCAATTTACTTAACCAGCTACAGGGCCCGCAGCAGACCGCGTTCTCCCCCAGTCCAACCGCCGGATGAGAATGAGCCCGGGCGCCGGCCGGACCGCCGCCTGGGGAGACCCAGAGGCGAGCAGGAGCCGGCGGAGCCGGCCTCGCCGCGCGGGCGCTCCAGCCCAGAGTAACTAGGGCACAATGTAAGCGTGTCGGCTGAGGCCGTTCAGTGTGCATTCATATGGGTGCAGGAAGAGAGAATGGATACAGTTGGTAAAAAATAATAACGACCGGTTGAATATAGGAACAGGTTCTACCAGAATTTACTTCGGAGGGAGTGAGTGCCTTGACAGATATTTGCATTATTTGGCATTGAACTTCGTCATGGACCTCAAAAAGAAAAGGCAGAAAAAGGCAAGGAACAATAGAAAAACATTCACAAGAATCAAATCGTAAGTAAACAATGTTGTGGCAATTAATGGAGGAAAACTAAATCATGTAGTAGGTGGCATGTATTGAGATAGCTGGTTAAGTGGATGAAAAATTATGTTGAAGCTGCATGACATGTTTTAAATCAAAATAAAGTCAAGGCGTCATAGAGTAATAGGGCATTTTGTCAAACTGAAACTGCCACTGATTTTAAGATGAATTATTTTTTGTTCCACTGAGAGTCCACTGACCAACTAATGGGTAAATCAAGCTCAGTAGATCCCAAACCAAACTGAGTTCCCGTCCCAAACATGCTCCATCCAAGTTCCTTCCCCACTCAGCTGATGCGATTATCCTGGATTTCTCTCTCTCCTGCCCTCTGCCCCGTCTCCAGTGGGAACACACTGCTCCAGCTGCTTCTCACCAGGGCGTGGCTCTCTGGGAAGAGCCCCACCGCCGCCTGCTGCGCTTCTGCGGCGGCGCCAGCGGGCCCCTGCCTCCTGTCTGCGCCCAGGGCGGTCCGGCGCGCTCCCGCCGCGCCCCCGCGGACGGTCACCACGCGGCTCAAACTCCTTCATGTGGCTCTGCGGGTCTCAGATTAAAAACCCGGGTCTCTATAGCGGCCGACAGGAAATATATAACTTTTGCTTTGGAATTTTAATTTCTCGGGAATAAACCCTGCGAAAAATAATAATTCCGGCTGTAGACGTGTGTTACGTGAAAGGGTGTTCATCTATATTTTATGTATGTGTATTTTACATATACACACACACCCCTATATATATTCATTCATTCCGCTTCTCTCTTCTCCACCTTGTTAAAGAGACAGGCGCCTATGCATCATTTTCACACATTTTTTGTCAGTACGAGAAAATCTGGGACCTGGGGTCAGCTGCTACCCAGGAAGGACCCTTGGGGACGGCAGACCCCGGGGATTCTCTGTTGCCCCAGGCTTGAACTCTTCAAACGGCTCACCTTGGGGAAGTCCCAGAAGAATGCGCCTTGGGAGGGGTGACACCCGCCCTCCCTGCAGCTGCACCCACCGCTCTGCCTGACCTGCCTGCTCAGGTGCATCCTCTTGTCCTAAGAAAATAGCCAGTGATTTTACCAGCAGACTGGGCGCACTTGGGAATAAACAGGAATTGTGATTCTGGGCCAGCATGTTACAGCAAACACAATAGGTAAGTGCAACAAACAAAGAGAGGAACGCTACTTTGTGGAGAAAAAGTAGGAAGTCGGGGGGGTGTTGCAGGGAAGCCCCCGCTCAGGGCGAGGAGAGGGCGGCTGTGTGCGAGGGGCCTCCGCCCGCCGGGGTGGACGGCTGACGGCTCTTCTCATGGGGCCTGCAACGGACGCCCCCGGCGTGTGCATGCGGGCCCCTCTGGCCGATGGACTTCATCCTCAGGGAGGTTTCCCTTCGTTAATTTTCACAGTTTTCTAGGTCAGATGTCTTTATGTGGCGTTTGCTGTATTTTATGGTATCTTTACTGACTCTAGTTGTTTGAAAACGTTATTTAAAAAAGCGAGACTATAATGAAGCACGGCAGTATAGTACTATTGTGGCTTTTTTCTCTGTGTGTGTGTGTTTCCCTTTAAATTTTGGTAGCTTGTCCCTTTTTGAAATACATGGACCCTACTGTTACAGGTGAACCTGAACTTCACTCTGTGCTTCCCCTGCCCTGCTCTCCTTTCCTCTCTCACACACAGAAACACAACTAGGACTAAAACATCTCACATAAATATAGCGAGGTTTCTCCCTGTTTTTCTATTTGTACCCCCTAGAGGTGTGTTCATAAACTATATAAAATAATGCTTTGGGTTATTTCTAAATTTGTATGTGAGGGGAGACTCAAAAAAACCCAGAATTATCCTCTGGAGGGCGGGTCCCTTGTAGGACGGGCTTCCCCCGCGAGGTGAGTGTTCTGGGGACCCATCTGGATCAGCGCACCCGCTGCCTTTGCTGTGAGAGGCTGCGTTCAGCTTCAGTGGGTTTTTTTTTTTTGACGACTCTTTCAAGGATTTTGCCCATTGCACGGCAGGCGATGTACAGCGCACCTGCCCGCACCGCGCTGAGGGGTGCGCATTCCTGACCAAAAACAGCGTGACCCTCCCTATTCACCTGCTCTCATCCCGAGCGACTTTCTTTGTTTCCCGGATGAAAAAAGTCCTCAACGGGAAATATTTTGCTGCTGTGGAAGAGGTGAAGCAAACCACGGCAGAAGCGCTAAAAGGCACGAAAATCCCAGAAACTGTTTCCAACAGCCGAAAAAAGGCCTCGACAGGTGCAAGGCATCAGGTGGAGAGCGCTCTGGAGGTGCCTGCGGCTTAAACATGTAAGAATACACAATTTTTCATAAGTATTCCGTTTTTCTGTCCCCATCCCCCGCGGACATGCTGTCACGCAGCGTGGCCCACTCTGTAACTCAGTTTGGGGAATACACAGCTTGCGTTTGGGGCACCCACGTGGCCCCGGGCGCCGCACGCGCCGCGTCTCTGGGTTTTCGAGTGTTCCCACCGATGGAAACATCCTCCCGTGCCTGAGGCTGGGAGGCCGGGCCTCGTCCCCCCCCCTCACCCCGCACTCGCACCCAGGCTGTCCCCCTGGGCGCGGGGAATCAGAATCCAGTTCGGGGGACGAGGTCCGGTTCTGCGAGCTCGCGGGCTTCAGCTCCCGCCCCGCGCGCGGAAGCCCCGGCTCAGGTCGCACCCGTGGAGAGCCAGCCCCCTCGGTGGAACCTGGACGCTTACACCTCCGGGGCCTACGCCTGGGGGGCCAGGCGCTGAAATGACGAATTCAGGGGGGAGTTGGGGCTGGTGGACCACAGCCACTGTCTTACACGCAGTGGTTGCCTGCCGCCCCCAGCTCCTTCAGGTGCTTTCCGAAGGGGAGGAGGGAGGGGAAGAGGGATTCGTTCCACCTGCGCGTTGGGAGGTGCAGCCCGGCTGATGCAGCCATCGGGCAGGGCCGCCCAAGCGATAAATAATCAACCCTTCAGAAGTCAAATGTCACGGGAAGTATTTCTAACCCTGAACTGCTACCTAAGTCTGCCCGAGTCCCGCTCCAGCAACCTTCAGGGTCCCACTGGAACGGACGGAGTTGGCACAGGGAAAAGATGAGCGGTCAGGTATGGAGCTGCAGGCAGTCCTTATTTATATTCAGACATCACCTAAGTTGTGGTTAAGTACTAACATAAATCAGACATCGGTTCTTTCAGTTTCCCTTACCACATAGTCTTGGGGTTTTAAAGCCCCACTTAGTTTTACCTCTATGCTGAACTTTATTTCTATTACTCTTAGTCCGTATTTCTAACGGAGCATTTCAGTCCTAAAGCTTATACTGCTAAAGCACACTCGGCAAAGGGTATTTGCGGAAGCCTTGCGGAAGCCCTCGGTTACCCGTCTGGCACATTTTCACTCATAATTCCTGATATAATACCAGCACCCTATTTCTCTATAATACTTATTTAATTGTTTCCTAATAGCATTCCTAGATTCCTTTGTTCTGCAACACTAGGCGGGGGGTGAGGGGGTCGTGACCGTGCCAAGGCCTCTAGGAAGCTCAATTCCTGCCACCTGACACGTTTTCCAGTTTTCACTACCGTTCTTTCTCCGTCCACGGACGCCCCTGTGTAAGGCAATGGTTCGACAGTGGTTTCAGGCACCCATATTTACATTCCCCGTTTTCCTCGGGCTTTATTTACCCCGGGGCTTCCCGTGTTTCCTCCCCGCCTGGGGGCTGCCCGATAGCCCGCAGGCTTGGGTGATTTTGTGGCTTGTACGAGGGCCTGCAGTTCCTGCCCTCTCATTTTCTTACAGACTTCTTTAAATGGGGTACAGGGCTTAGCGGTCAATTCTTTTCTCCCCTGTCCTATTTGTCTCATTCCCTGGAATTCCCGCAACACCATACAAAGGGGCTGCTCTATGAGCAATCAGGCGTACCCCCACAAGGGGGATTCTAACCCTAAGTAAACAGGAAAGTCCCAAGAGTCGAGCTTCTGGACATCTGCCTTGCGATTGTCCACGTCCCTCTGTGACCTTGTCAGAGAGCAGGGCTAGGTCGGCTCCCGGCACAAGTCCCATCATGTAACGTGGTCTCCCAATTTAATTTTTAACTTCCCTTTGAGGTGTTCATGCGTGGTTGGTTCTTGCGTGCTTCTTGGTAGAAACAGACTCAAGATGTCTCTGTGCGTGGAAAAATTTCAACTTTGCTTCATGTCTACAATCAACTTTTAAACACTTGAATATAGGCAGCACTATATCCTTGACTGAGACTTCTTAAATACCCACCTTCTTAAAAAGTCTAGATGTTTTCCTTCAGAAAAAGGTTGCTTTTCAAGTGGCTGTGTTTTGGCGATGAGAATCCTTAGAGGACTGAGTGCCCGCGTCTCCCTTGGTATCATCACCCCTGCAGGCTGCGGACAGGCCGGGGAGCGCGCGGCGGGCGTGGGCTCGGGGTCCGGGCGGCGTTTCCTGCCTCCGGTGCCCACGTTGCGTTGCCCACAGCCTGCTGTTCCTCGTTGTGAGAGCAGGCCGGGCCCTCAGGCGGGCACTCTGTCCCAAACCCCATGGCGCCCGGTAGTGACGCAGGTGAGTCGGGGGCAGCTGCGAAGCTGTCCCATCGGGGGAACCTTAGCCCTGAAACGGGAGACTTGCCCGGGTGCCACGGTCGCCTCGTGGAGCCCATGCGCCGCATCACGTCGGCTCTGAATGCCTGGCCCTCGCCCTGATTCCGGCAGGCCCTTCCTGCTCCAGGGTCGAGTCAGGCTCCTGCTCGGTGTCACCAGCCCCGTGACAAAGGGAGTCCAGCTGGTCATCCAGCTTGTACTGGAAACTGTCTCTGTGATTTTGCCTTCTGTTGCTCGTCCCTGGCTGAGCACAGAGGCGGGTCTCTGGTTACCTCCACGATGCATTCAGTGACGAGTTCAGCTGCTGTCCCCCTGCCTCTTCACACGGGGCCCAGGAGGGCAGAGCAGCTCCCGCCGCGGACACGGCCAGTCTGATGGCAGAGGGCAGAGAGAAAATAGGGGAAGTTTCTGGCTAAAAGCAGTACTTGTCCTGTTGGCTCAGCATGCATTGGTAGAAGTGAGTCACGCGAACAGTGTCGATGGTAACGAGATGGAATTATAAACCTTCGCGTAGGTGGGAGGCGAGGATGCGCAGGCGCGCCCTCTGCGGCTCGTGCGGGTGGACGCGGGGTCGGGAGAGCTGGGCTGCTTGAGCCACGGCTGCGCCCTGCACCGTCCCACCAGGCCCTCCCACCACAAAGCCGGCAGCTCCGATCTGCTGCTTACCTCACGTGTGAGCACTTTTTTCTTTTTTCTTTCTTTCTTTTTTTTTTAATTCCAATGACTAAGTGTGTGTTGTTTATTCACTTCTTATGCGTGTCTAGTTTTGAGAGTGTGTTGTTACTTCCTTTTGTCTGTTATTGCTTATGTTGTTTTGTCTGCAGATTTAGCACAGGTTTTGTGGCCTCGCGACTGTCACTCGTGGTGGACCATCGGCGCTCCCGCTGTGGAAGGGCGCCAGGCGAGCCCATGGCAAACGGGGGTCGGTGTGAGGGCGTTCTCAGCGGCTGGAGGCGGGTGAAGCTCCCGCCCGAGAGACCGCACTTACGTCGTCTCTCGTCCCTCTTGAGAGAAGCCAGTGTAACGTTTCCTCGTATCCCTCCAGCAATTTTAAAAATATCTTTTCTTTTTAACAAAAAGTATTGCATGTTGCATTTAAAAAAATACATTAATGTGCCTATTTTTCTTCTTATCGCTATTTCAAATAAATTTGAGAAACAGGAAAAACTGCCCAGTAGCCATCAATCTAACACAACAAATATTTTCAATCATATGTATTTATTTCTCTGTTGGTTCTTTTTTATTCCACTTTTTTAAAAAAAATTTGATTGGCAATCCCAGTGCAGATAAAATTCAAGGCGAGTACTTTGAGATGCTGCTTTTTCTCTGTCACCAAACTTCGGGAGCACAGGGGGCTTCGCCGTTGTTTTCCGTTGTGTTCACCATTCACAGTGCTGTTCCGCATGTGCGCTTTGTGTCCGGCCCTTTGCTGAGACTGAAAAGGAAAGATGGTCACCGCCCCCTAGAAGGTGCCATTCAGGTGGAGCAGGAAAAGGCGCAGGACTTTACAGAAGGGGGCCAGGACTGGGCAGGGCGACTGCCTCCGCCTGGGAGTGTTTTTAAAGGCCCCTGGGAGGGCGGGGGGGGGGGGTCAGGGTGGGTTTGCACAAGAGTTTCCAGGTGGGAAGGCACGTATCTTGCAGGAGGGACATGGGAGACTGCTGGCTGGGGAATGGGGGAGGGACGGGGTGTATGTGGTGGCTTGTGCCAAGTCCTGGGGTTTGGTGCATTCCGGCGGCAGGTCCTCAGGACACGTGGGACGAGGACAGGCAAGAAGACACAAGTCTGGGAACAGGAGGCCAGCAAGGGGGGCAGGGAAGAGAAATGACAACACTGAGATCAAAGCGTGAGGAGGGGGAGGGTGGCGGATGCTGGGCAATCCTTCCCAAGGGCAGCGGGGCAGTGACCCGGGAAGCGCTGAGCCAGCAGCAGTGACACACTCGGCGCCACATCTCCTGGTGGAAAACAAAGCGTCAGGGGTGGAGGGAAGCCCAGGCACAGGGAAGGGTGCCTCAGCCAGGAGGCCGACAGGAGCTCCTCTCCGCTGGCTGGGTGAGCCCAGGTCCTCCCCTGCGGTTGCCCCAGACGTCTCAGGGCGCTGGGAGCTTCTCGCCTGCCTGGGGCAGCGGCGAGCGCGCCCGGAGCCCCTCGGCGCGGGCAGGCAACCCGGGAGCCAGGACGGACCAACGCCTGCGGGGGGTCGTGGTGCCCATGAGGACCTTAGGAAAACAGGGAGTTCCAATGGCCACTTTCGACCTTGAAGCGGACCTCTCTGGTGTGTGATTCGCCTCCTCCGTCTTGCCCCACAGGCCTTCGGTGTCCTCCCCGTGCCGATGGTCATCTCCTGTGCCCGCGCCTCTGCCACCTCCCTCCGGAGCTCAGTACGCGCCCACCTTGGGAAGTACCCCCACGGCCTGCACACTGCTCAGGGCACAAGCTCCGATTCCGCCTTCTCTCCCCGATGCCCAGGGAGCCCCGCCGTACCCTCTCCCCCTGGTGGTTCATCTCCTGGAATTTCACCAGGACACGGAGATCCCTGTTTTGCCTGATGGAAATAATCCTAACCCAAATAATTTAAAAACGGTCTATTTAATTTTAGCATGCGAGCTTTAATAGAATTTAACCATATAAATAAACATCCAAGTTTCACAGTATATAAAAATAATAAAAATGTTAATTCTTCGGATTACAGATTTCGAACCCCGCCCCGTGCGGAGCTCGGTAACACGGCTGCGGCTCTCAGGCGGTCCTCGCTGTGTCCGTAATCATCCCGTGGAAGTTCTTCTCAGTGATTAGTTTCACGTAGATTTTTATTCGCCTGGTACTTTCCAAAGAGGGAAGCTCAAAGGCAGCAGGAACTGGCGTTTCGAGCCTGTCCTGCAGCTGCCAGCCCTGGCTGAGCGCGAGGAACTCCGGGGAGTGTCGAAGTCAGCGGTGCCTGGGTGCTGGCCCAGACCGCGCACTTGGGGGCCCCTGGCGGGGCCCCCGGGTGCATGTGCGAGGCTCCCCGGAAAACTCCACACGCACCCCAGAGTCGGGAACTGCTGAGTCGGTGGCGGAGAATACAGAGGGAGATCGAAGTGAGAGGGGGCGGAGAGGTTGCCGGCCGGTCCCCGTCTGCTTGCGCTCCGCGTCCTCAGAGGCCGGCGAGGCTCCTGTCTTTGGCCCAGTCCTGGATGTCCGCCCGCCCGAACGCGAGGTAAAAAAGCAGCCCGCACACGTTGATGGCGGCAGACAGGAAGAAGACATTCCTCCACCCGGACACCGAATCCTGGGGACAAAGAGCGGAATTGCCAGTCTCAGCAGTGCCGTCCCCGCCGGCCCTCCAGACCCTCCGACTGGTGCGCGGCAGCGCTGACCGCAGGGAACGGAGGGGCCAACATGCGGTGACCGCCTACCTCAGGCTATCAGAGGAGGTTCCGCGAGCCTTGGAAACAAAACGACTCCCAAATGCACACTGGGTTCTGGGTTGGGATGGATTTTTCTTTAAAGTGAAATAAACTAACCTACCCTGGTTTTGTGGATTTGGGACCTCAGCATTCATGAAAATACCTCATTGTCGGTGCTTGCTGGTCCCCTCGGACACTGTGCGTCCCTGTGCCCGAAACAATACCTGCTGCTGGCACCTGGTCAGTAAGTGGGCCCCACCTGGCTGATGAGGAAGCCGGTGGCGGTGGAGGAGATGATCCCCGCGACGAGCCCGAACCCCCGCGCGACGCCCATGAGGAAGCTGGCGTACCTGCGGAGACGACGCCGGGCGGGTTTGCAGGCAGCCGCGTCCTTCTTAGGAAGACAGCTTTTCCGCAGCTCAGCTTGGACGCACTCCCGCTCCCACGGCGAAGCTGTGCTGCCTGGCGCTGCGTCTCCGTGAACTAAGACACCCAGGGCAGCGTCCCGAGCGCCACCCGGACACCGCCTGCTGCCGAGTCAGCCACTGGGGGCTGCTCCACCCTTCGGGCGCCCAGGCGCCCTGCAGCAGTTGGTGGGGTGGACAGAGCCCAGACTCGGGACAAGCTGCCTGGGCTTCAATCCTGGCTCTGTCTTTGGGTGGTGCTGGGCGTGTCGCCTGACCTCCTGAGCCTCAGCATTTGCCCCCCTGCTGCTTGGGTGCGGGGACAGCCGCCTTGTGTGGCTGTGAGGACCGCGTGTGCGGCCACGCGAGAAACCGCCGTGTCCCCTGAGGGTCCAGCTGTCGGTGAGCGTGTACGCTGGTGGGAGGGGAGGCTCCCAGTACCCGGGGGCCTTTCCCTGAACAGCAGCTCCGGCTCTGCTGCGGAGGCTGGGGGCGCTCTTGGTCTAAAAACGCCTCAGCTTATGGCCTCATGCTCACATTTCTAGTCATTTGTCACTATTCTGCCACTGTATTTTAAATGTCGTCAACGCGAGGGCCGGGAGGCAGGGAACTAGCAGGCGGGGACGTTACCTGGGGGCGATGTCCAAGCTGTTGACGATGAACCCCGCGTCACACAGGTTGCTGGTCCCAGGAATTAGTATCAGCAAAGCTATGGTGGCCGTGTGGCTGGAAGCCACGAAGGGCAGGGCCACGGCACAGAGGGACGGGAGGAGCAGCCCTGGACAGGAAGGAACCACGTCAGGACCCGCTCAGACCATGCGCAGAAAGGGGGCTGTCCCTGAGCCCACGCGCCTGTCCTCACCCAGGGATGAGAAGAGTTTTCGTACGGTGACCAATCTGAGGAGTTTCCTGGACAGAAGGAAATCGGCCAGCTGACCCCCCAGTATCGTGCACGTCGAGGCAGCGACAAAGGGCAGAGAGGATAAGACGCCGCTCTGGAGGGAAGACACGGATCCGGTGAGGACCGAGGGGCACAGGGCACCGATGTCACGGGCCACCGCCAGCCTGGCGCCCGGTGGTCCGAGCTGTGGTGAGGGGGTGAGCATCGCCGTCGGGGGCGGGGGGCGCACCGCCTCACGCTGTCTCCGGAGACAGTGATGCTCAGTCCTATGGGAACCTGAGGGATTAGGACTCGAGTGCGGCCGTGCAGCGCAGCGGCTAGGATCACACTCTGCAGCCGCTCTTCCCCGAGCAGCCACACTGCCCAGGCCAGCTGCCCCGTTGTCTGTCTTGCTGCTGCACCCTGCATGGGGACCTTTACGGCGCCTCTCCTAAGGCCGCTGTGAGGGTTAATGGTTGCAGACAAGGCCAGAATGGAACGGGAAGGGATGGAAATACTTCTCCCACGGCCACGATCATTTCACGTGGTGGTGAAGCGCACTCACCTCTCTGATGTTGACATGCAGCACAGAATGAATGTACGTCGGCAGGTACGTGATGATGATGGTGCAGAGCCAGAAATGGCTGAAAAACCCCATGAAAATGGCCCACAGTGGCAGGCAGCGGACCATGGCCTTTACGGGCACAGACCGTCGACAGGAAGTGGGCTGAAAGGAAGTAGCCAATCAGCGTGGGGGCGGGGGGGCTTTGAACAGGCCAGAGGGGCCCCTTCCGGGAGCCCCGCACCACCCTGCGGCCTCTGTGTGGCCCTAGGCAGAGGGGACCCCGGTACCTGCTGAGCCAGCGAGGACACGATGTGATCCTTCTCCCTGACGCTGATGCACGGGTGCCGCACGGGGTCATCGTAAATCACCGTGAACCACAGGAGACAGCACACACAGCCGATGCCGCCTGGAAGCCGGGACCCTGTTAGTCTGCAGGCAGCTTTGTGAACTGGGGGGGTTCCCTCTGACGTGCCCCCCCCCCAACACACCCAGTTCACGGTCACTCCATCTCGAGGACCTCAAGTGCCCACTTCTTTATGTCGATTCTTCTACGAATCTCCTTTTAACTAAAGCTCTCCCAGCACCGTCTCTGAAACAGAGGCTCGGCGGTCAGCCTTGAGCCCTCTGGAGACAGCAGGAGCGCGAGCGAGTGTCCCGTGGCCCAGTGGACTAATCCCTCCGAGGACTCGGCGCTCACAGTGCCACGTGCCATCAGCGGCAGATGTTAACTCACACCTTACTGTCTCGTTTTGGATGACCCGAATAGTCAGGACTGAGGAAGAGTGCCATCCAACGCACACGGAGTGGCCTGCATAAAATCTGCGTGGCGAGGAGCAGCCTCTAACACATTTGCAAAAGACCGTGCATGTGTGCCAAACAGCACACTGGCAACGGGTTTCCGGAAGAAATACTTCTTGATGGTCCTCGATTTGCATCCTTGGACCCAAGAGACCTGGGATCAGCATCGTTAATGAGAGAGCCGTCCGGGCCCGAACCACATTCAATGACACCATTCGGTTGTAACAACAGAAGAGAAACTCGAGTCATTGCTGAGACTGGTCATTGGAAGAAGGTTCTATGTTAAAAGATTGCGGGGACTCGTGTTCTTTAAATTCCCCCTAATGACTGGATCCATCCACTCTTTTATTTGTAACAGGTAAGTCAGGAGCTATGATGGTCTATGTTACGGAACGGATTCCGTGACCGGAGCATTTCACAGTCTAGTGGAGACAAAGAAGTTGAAATAGATAACCAGACACCAGCACGGCCTGGTGAGAAGAGGCGCACCGAGGGCAGGGCGGCTGACCGACAGGACCAGTCCCGGAAGTCCCACAGGAAGGTGCGTTCACATGGGGGTTCACCAGATCCCCCCCGTGGAGAACAGGCGAAGGGCATCTGGCAGAAAGAAGAATCGTCCTGAAATACGAGGCCGCTCTGACGGTGTAGGCACCAGCGCTGTGTCTCCGCCACGTGTAGGAGGCCCGGCACGGCAGACGGCGGTGGAGACTTTACAGAGCCGTCCTCGGTTTCTCCAAAGCCGGCGACACGCCGTGCCTGGCCAGACTAGAGCGAGAGAGCTACCAGCCCTCACAGTCTTCGTCGCCTTCCGTTTGACAGAGGACCCTTGCTGTCATGCGGGAAGAGTGTGGCTGAACGCTTGGGACAGGGACACATCGGGAGGGAAGGTGACTCACCAAAGATGTAGAAGATGAAAGGCCAGCCCAAGGCCTGTGAGATTAGTCCCCCCACACAGAGGATGATGAAGGACCCAAACGCTGCCCCTGAAGAGAGGAGGGAGAAAAACACCTATGAACGTCGCGAAGGCTGAGACCCAGGTGCCTCTCTCCCTGGACAGCGTCCCGACAGGGAGGTGGCAGACGTGTGATTGCTGGGTGACGAGAGTCTTACCCCTCAGATCTCCCCAATAAAGTCATGCAAAGGAAATGAGAACTAATAACAGTAACAGTAACAACAACAACGAGCCCCCAACACTTCAGCGGCTCCCTGACAGCGGCCGGACCGAATCCACACCCGCCTGTGTTTCCTCCTAACCAGCTATGTTCCGGTCCAGTGTTGGGGACGCACTGGAAAGGCAGCATGTTGGGGACAGACAAGGAAAGGCTCACAACTAAGTTACAGGCCCTGCTCCCAAGGTGGGGCCAGGCCAGTTGGAGAGAAAAGAGGGAACAAAGTTCACTGGCCCGAGTACAGATCCTGGAGTCTGAGCGTGATTTACATAGACCTGTGGTAAGAAACGCATTTTACACAGCGACGCAATACACACACAAACACAAAACGACACGCACGCACCCCTCGAACAAGTCTCAAGACTCAGAACTTAGCCTTACCATGCGCAATACACGCCCATTCCATTCTGTTCCATTCCATTCCATTCCATCCATTTCTAAATACTGGCTTTGACCACCTAACTGACTTTATGATCCTGCCAATGGGTCCCAATGTGAAGAGAGGATGCAAATTATAAGTGTAATAAACTACAATGCTCTCTGAAAGCAAACAGGGGGAGAACAGCGATGGCGGGCTTGGGAATTGTTTGCACAGCTAAGCCGGAGGGTGGCTGGCATTTGGTACTGGAAGCTGGAGGCACAGGGCTTTTCAGGAAACCCAGCAGAGCTCCGGAAGCTGAGCGCTGAGCGCTGCGGGTTGCCTGCGCGCACTGGGGCGTGATGGGGCGTGATGGGGCGGGCCCTTGGCAGCCTCCCGGAGCTGCCTGTGACCCGGCCAGCAGGAGGACCATCTGCCTCTGCGCTGGCGCTGGCAGGAGAGGAACAGGCTGAACATTGAGCGGCAGGGGAGCAGACAGGGCCAGCTGGGCTCTGGGGAGGGAGCGTGGCTTGGTGGGCGGAGGCGGCTGGAGGAGAGGCAGCTGGCAGAGCGGGCAGAGCAGCGGGACACACACACACTGAGGGGCCTGACTCTGCACCCGAGGGCCGCCTTGGAGTCAAAGTCGGCAGGGGGCGCCTATTCTATTCTCTGCTATTCTCTTCCATTCTCTTCCATTTCTAAATACTGGTTTTGACCACCTAACTGATTTTATGATCCTGCCAGTGGGTCTCAATGTGAACGGAAGAGAGGATGAAGAATATAAATGTAATAAACTACAATGAGCCTGGGGAGGCTGGAAGGCAGCCGGGTTCTGGCCTCCAAGGGCGCGCCCTCAGGGCGTCAGGCGGGCACGGCAGGGAGGAAGCGTCCCTTCTTAGTGAGATGCTGCACTTTGTCCAGCGTGGTGACAGGGCGCACTGTGTGTTGGGGTGGAAGGAGGGAGCCCACGGCAGGGGCTCAGACTGTGGTCCTACCTCCTGCCGCCTTTTGCCGGTGGCTGTGGGGCTACTCACGCTCTGCTTACTGCCACTCCTTCCTTTGTGAAGGGAAGTCAGACACAGTACGCACAGTGCACACGGGAGGGCTGTGAGGGTTTGCTCGAGCCCCCTCCTGAGATGTTTAAATTCTGCCTTCCAGCCTTTCTCTCCTTTCTGCTCTGAATTCCAACCTGAATTCTCACTTCTGTGTCATTGCTAAAGGGTGTTTATACTGTTACTTGATCTTTTCCCACTTACACAGTTGCTCCAAGCTCTACACTGGCTGCCCCCGCGATGCTTTGCCAGTCACAAGGGCCTCTCCGAGCCTCCGTGACTTCCAGCTCAGATGGATCTTCCTTGTCTGCTATGTAACCGTGTTGTTGAATTTGGGGGACGCCCTTTATCCCTCTCCCCCAAACCGTCCCACGTGTCACAGGGGCGACGTGGGAGGGTGAAGGGCAGGGCATGGCTGCGGCCCGCGGAGGAATCCCTACCTGACCCCGCGATGCTGGTGAGCTTGCTCCGCTCCAGCGGGGGCGCCCACTTCGCCCAAATGGTAAACTGACCCGTCCAGGCCATTCCCTGAAATGAGAATCGTGAAGCCCTTGGGTCGCGCGTGGGATGCGGGAAGCTGTCCCCGCCGCTGGGAGAAAGCACCTGGGTACCTGGGCCATGCCCTGGACTGTGCGAACCACGATCAGCAAAGCCACTCCGAGGTCGGCGGCCCACGGCGTGAGGAGGGTGAGCAGGGAGGAGATGAGCAAGCCGGCACCCAGCATCTGCTTCGCTCCGAATATCCCCGCCAGGTACCCGCTCGGGATCAGCGTCACGATGATCCCGTAGCTGATGGAGCTGAAGATGACGCCCTGGGTCGCAGGGCTCCACACGTACTCGGAGGTCTGGGGGGAAGGGAGTCTTTGCTGAGAAAGCCCGTGCCCCAGCCAGAGCTGCTGGGGTGGGGCAGGGCCCTGCAGCAAAATGTCAACGTCGGTTTTTCTCTACTTTTTATCCAGCGGAAATACTCCACCTTTTCCATTTACCCCATTAGACCCCGAATTCACTCCTTTCCCAGGGAGAAACAGCAGAGGAAGTGAAAGAGAAAACAGACAAAGGAACGATTCTGCCCACAGATGGTAGGGAGATGAAAATGGAGAGCAGACAGAGGGAGGGTTCATCTGCGAGGGAGCCTCCTTCAACTATTTTGCATCTGGTCAAAGTCAGGTGACATGTTGACTCTCATTTCAAAGAGGGAGGGAGCCGCAGCTTTCCTGAGCTCTCGTGGAAATCAGTGCCTACAATCAGGTTTAGGAGCGATCCTCTGTCTTGCAGGGCGGACTTCCTAACACTGGTTTTATGTATTAACAAGGTCACATGCTGTTTGGGTAGCCCACTACATAAGAAGTCATCACGTTATAAATTGAAGGAAAGAGCCAAAAGGTGTGAAATATATTTCATCCACTTAAATAACGCAGGCTCTGTGATCTGTGTCAGAATTCCCGTTGGAGGATGAATTTCAGTGGCACAGGGACTTGGAGAGGAGGGAAGGACACTTTGTTTGGGACGGTCCCAGGAAGGCAGCAGTATTTGAACTATCCTTTGAAGAATGACTACGGTTTGTATTTTTTTAAAAAAGGGAAAATTTACTCCCATTGAAGGACACAGAAAAGCAGGCTTCCAGCGTTTGAAGTGCGACCAAAGGATCAGAAGTGGACTTTCCTGTGGCGCAGGGGACCGTGCTGAGAAGTGGTCCGCGCTCCAAGGAGCGCAGCGCGACTCGGGCAACGGGCAGGCCTCCCGATTCTCGAGCCCCGGGGGGCGGAGTGGGATGACTGGGAGGGAGGGGGTCGTGAATAAGCTGGGCCCGGGGAACGAGCTCATGAAATACGAGGGTGGCAAGACGTTACAGCTAGTGCAGAGGAGAATTCAAAGGACCACAGAAAGTAACGCTGGAAAATATTTTAAGTGCATGGCAAAACCGGCCCATTCAGCTGAGGGGCAAATGCGGAAGTGTCGCTGGTTTTCCACAGGACAGACTCAGCCGCAGAGCTTGGCACAGAGCCCTCGGCGTCACCATCTGTCAGTGCAATTTAGAGCGTAAAGCGACCGGAAGACACACAAAGGTGCGGCCCCACGCGGAGTCGGGCGGAAGGATGCGCTTAGACGGGCCTACATTTTCCTGGAGGACGCACCGCAATTTGTTCCTTTTTAGAAGCTTTCACATTTTTTTGCCTGTATTCCTCCATCTTGTAATTATAAGGACCTCAGTGACAGATTATTTTTTATCATAGAGTTCATCCAGGGCTCAGAGAAAGATAATTTCAGTTCCGAAAAGTTTGTTATCGAACATTCACACTTCTCCGTCCACGGAACGGCCGTCAGGGTCCCCCCTCCCCCTGGCGACCACCCCACCCTCCCGACCGGGGCCTCCCCCTGGTGCTCACCTCTGCGCCGAGCTCCTGGCGGGCCCTGCCCGCGTCCTTGAGCGCGTCCGCCCGAGGCCCGTCCGCAGAGGCGTTGGCTGCAGCCGGCTGCTGAGTGCCGTTGACCATAGCGATGACGGCGATGCTCAGACTCACGCGCTGCGTGATCATGGCGAAGTTCGACAGGTGCATGACCACGGCCAGGCCGCAGCGCAAGGAGCAGAGGTGCGGGCCTGGGGGAGGGCGGGAGGGCGCAGGGAGGCCAGATGAGCTGCGCCTCCCACTGAGAGCGCGGCAGTCCTGCGCCCGCCCCGGTGCCCGAGACCGCCGCCCTCCTGAGTCCCCGTCTGCAGTTGGCGTCAGGCCGGTGAATCTCGGGCCTTATAATCGAGTGAAACAACAAAGGGAAGCAGACGATAAACACAGGAATGGCTCAGTGAAGGCATTATGTCACATGGAGTGACCCCAGGGGAGATGGCAGAGCGGGACACGGAACACTTCTCCCAGTGGCAGGCCCGGGGTCCCGTCCGGTGTGCCTACCCGTTGACCAAAAATGTTGGCAGTTTATACTAGGCAGCTGCCTTTGAATGGAGCTAATCAAACACCCAGGACCTTCTTTTAAAGTTTCTGAGGACGGAGCGGAACTGAGCACTTCCACTAAATCTAGTGTAACGTTCACCTGGACTTGCCTTCGCATGTGTTCAGCTTTTTCAGAAAATTAACGTGGAGAACCATCTCCACCGAGTTTGTCGGTGACAAGGTGCTGGAGGAGCATTCAGTATGTTACAAGAGCAATGTTATTTTTTTTAAGTCTCATGACGTGGAACAAGGGGCCGCTATTGAAGGTTTCCCTGTGAATTTAGGGGGTTGGCGGGGAGAGAGAGAGAGAGAGAATTTGTATATTTGGAGAACTTGGACTAAGGAGAAGCAGGCGAGAAACTATGAGGAAAGAGATGAAAGTATGATGAAAGAAACCCCTTGACCGGCCAGCTGGCTCAGGGATGGATACAAAAGAATCACTTCCTGCGGACTGGAGCCTCCCAAGCTCAGGGGCAGAGCTCCCTACCCAGCGGGGACTGCAGCGCAGCCTGGGGTCATCCCTTCCCCCGTCCCAGGGTTCACTGGTCGCTGGCTTGGTTTCTGATGGGTGACTCAGCAGGGCTCCAAGGCCGGAGCAGCAGGTGGTGGGGCGGGGGCGGGGCCGACCCCCTGCCGGGGAGCAGGGACTGGAATGAGTCCCGGCGCCGCCTCTGCTCCTCCGCCAGGCAGCTGCAGACAAGGCAGGCGGCTGTACCTTTCCTGGGGGACGGTTTCTCGTCCATGTGGCTCCTCTGGGAAGTGTCACCGCGCGTGGAGGCAGAGGTTCCCTCAGCCCCGAATCTCTGTCACCACGACAGGCCTTGATCTATGGGAGAAAAACAATGCAGAGCACAGCGCGCGGGTCACTTTCTGTGCTTATTAAAGTTATTGCACATAAATTTAACAAGACCCACCCATGCCCAGAGGGGAGTTGATAGCCTACAGCCTTCGAGAGAAGAGGTGTAAGGAAGGGCACAGGTGAAGCATTTTGCCCCCAAATCCTGTTTGCAGTATTAGCTGTCGCCACGTAACATTAGAGAGACGTGAACCTGACAATAAGGTCTGTGAGTCCATATTCACAGATGGTCATTATGGGCTTTATTAAAATAATGCTCTCGGTAGCATATGGAGATGACTCTGCCCTTGTGTGCCACGCAGGCGCTGAGCCTGTGTTTCCACATGAACATCCATCCCCGGGGAGACCCAGACTCGCGCAGTGGCCACATCATGCTTCATGATTTTCTGCATTTACCAAGTGTTCTTTTTGCACACTTAGTCGTACACATACTCCGAAGCGGCTGAGTGCCTTGGAAGAACAGTAATTAGGCTTCGTTACCATGGTCAGCATAGATTCCCGCTTGCCGTGTGTGTCTGGAATCCGGGGAGTAAGATCTCCCCACTCAAGCTTTGAAGTTTTGTGTTTTGATTCCGATGAACCCAAACAGATGCCCACTCGCTAACGAGACCAGGCCGGAACCAGGGAGCTTGGCGCTGGTCTTGCCTGGAAGGCGCTTGGTCCTCCAGGCCCCAGGGGAAGCTGGTCAGCCCACCCCTTGCACCGGGATCCTGGCTGAGCAACTGGAAAGACGCCTGGCGGACCTGGACTCAGACCGTTTTCACGTCCCTTGTTCTGTTAGGTCGCAGACGTGGCGGAAGGCAGCTCTCGGCCTGGGCCTGCAGCCACAGAAACGTGCACTTTGTAAAGCTTTCCCACCGCCCTCTGCACATCTGCACGCCGAGCTTGGCAGCTGAAGGGACTCAGCAGGTCTCCGGCCAGCGCTCACTCCGCCCACGGGAAGGCTGCTGGGCACCAGCTCAGACAAGCGCCCGGGGCTGCAGCGCCGACTGAGCCTGCACGGGCCTCCCAGCGCCCGGCCTGGCTCCCCTGCCACCATGGCTTCTGCTCCGTGTGCGCGCTTGCAGCACAGGCGTGTTGTGAGCCCATAGGTAGCTTCACTCTGAGGTATTCTACACAGGAAGGGACAGCATTTTAAACTGTTTCAGTGTAGGAGGAAATTTCACGATGAAACTACTTTCAAGCTGAGCTTTTTGAATTCTGAAAAAAGTTAAAATGGCAACTCCTCTTTCTTGCTTTCTTGGTTAGCGAAATTGCATCACACGCCATCCCATCTGCTCCCTTTCCCCTCCCATCGGCTGCCGCCCTCGCTTTCGCTTTTATGGTGTCAAACGCCCCTTTGAATTCTGTCGCCGCGGCTAATTTGGCTTGTTGATTCCGTTTCCTTTGGATGAGACCAGTACAGTAAGTGGGCGGACATCCCCGACCATCCAAACCAGGGTCTTTCTGCGAGGCAGCAGGTTTTCCCAGAATAATCGGAGAAGGGCGAACTTGTGGGGTCTGCGTGCCGCCCTGACTGAGGCGCGCGCACACAGCGGGGCGAGGCTTGCCCGCGGCAAACGTGGCCCCGGACGGCCCGCTCCGCAGGGACACCTGCCCCGCAGGGACGCTTGCGGAACACAGAGGACCCCGCAGCCACGGCTGTGAGAGGACAGGGAAAAAATGGGAGTGAAATTAAGGTAAAGGAAAATTCCTTATTAGAAAAGTCTTTTGATGCGATAAAGAGTTGCATTTGATGTGAAATTCATAATCTAGACATACCGTTTGTGCACAAATAAGATTCGTTCTCCTCCCTGTGGCCTCGCACACATGATTTTTCTATTACGGTCTTTCTCTTGCCCTTGGGCCCCCCAGGAGTCAGCCTGCCTTGCGTCACCCCTGTGAGTGAGTCCCCGGTCTGTCACCCTTGTGAGTGAGTCCCTGGTCCATGCAGAGTAAACATCAATGGGGTTGAAAGAGCCCGAGCCTGCACTTCAAAGGGCCCGGTCTCTGCTATTCTGGGAACGAGGTCAGAGAAAACCAGAGCAGGTTCCGTAAGCTCCCAGGCTTTACCTGTTTACAGGAAAAACGGGGGCGGGGGGGTGCCCTGCCTAGGACTGCGGGGACGGGGAAGCAGAGGCGCGCGGCCTGCCTCCTCCCGTCTTACATGTGAAATGTGACTGACAGTAACAGCCACAGTGACAATAGTCACAGTGTTGGCTTCTCTCGGAGCACAAAATAGAGGCTTACGGCAAACAGAGTTCCATCAAAAGGCTTCTGGTCATTACATTGGTGTTCAACTTTTAAAATTGGGTTCCTGTGGACTGGAACCCACGCAAGGGAGGAGGAAGGGACGCACGTGACTCAAACACCAGAGAATGCGGGAAGATGGGACGTTGTCCATGTTAGTGGGCCTGCCTGCCTCTCAGGAGATCGGTGGCTCTTTCGGCGGCTTGTTTATGCCCCCTATGGTTTCGTTTATGAATTTAAACACGGAACAAAGGGCCCTCAGCGCGCGCCATGGGTGATCCTAGAAGGCAGGGCTGTGCCAAACAGAAGGTGCAGCGGGGCGCTGCCCGTGGGCGCCCACAGACCAGCTCCTCAGGGACCCCCTCCTGGGACCGCCTCGGCCCCGCCACCCCGGCCCCGGGCGAGCCCCGCTGTGCCGTCTGCTGGGTGCCTCCTGCCGGCGCCCCTGCCAGGCGCCTTCTACATGCACCCCGTCCCCTGGCCTGCACTGCTACGCACAGCTTGGCGCGCGTTCTCCTTTGCTTGAGAGACAACTCCAAACCCACCGAGACATCTGAAGACTCTTCTGTCGCAGTCACGTTCCCCAATCCCGAGCCTCGGTAGCTCAGATCCTGTGTTTTAATCCACAGTCTGCCCACTGCGGCACGGTGTCCCAGGGGCCACCCAGAACCCTCAGGGCAGCCACCGTGGTCCCCAGTGTCCCTGGCACTGTTGGCCCCCAAGCCCTGCTCGAGGGTCTTGAGTGAATCGATTACCTCTTTTTAGAAAGACTTCATGTCGGACCCAGAAACCATTCCCAGGCGGGGGTCCTTAGGCTGCCGTCCGGGCTCCTTCCCTGGACCCGCCCCCTCCCGCTGACGATCTCAGGTCCATTCGCAGTTATCGTCCGACCCAGAGAGGAGAGAGCCACGACCCTTCACCATGAAACCCGTCCCCGGGCCCTCGCGCCGAGGCCGCCTCGAGGTGCTGTCCGTCCTTCTCCCCTTTCAAAGGCTCCTGTAGTTTCGCAAAGGCAAACAAGGGCCACGTGGCAGGCAGGCAGCAACGGGTTGGAGGGCCGAGCCGGGCTCTGCGGCTTAATATTTAACCTCCCTCTCACGGGCTCGTGTCTGGAGTGCGTGGCTCGGAAGATGGCTCCACATCCGTCTGCTCTGAGCTGTGCGCACAGCCGGAAAGGGCGACGGGGCTCTCCTGCAGGGTGGTGAGCTGCGGGCTGGCGAGGCCAGGCCACCTTCGCGTCCTCGCGTTCCCAGCGGCCCTGGGACCAGTCACGTAGCCTCTTTGGACGGGTATCCCCATCGGCACAGAGGGCTATGATGCTGGACTCATGGGGTCGTTGGCAAATTAAATGGGGTGCCCGTGCTGACTGCAGGGGGTCTCCCCCAGTGAGAAACCCCCTCAGAAGGCTCCGTGCAGCCAGCGTGTCTCTCCTAGGAAACGGGCACTTGGGCAACTGTACTCTCTCCCCAGGAGGCTTCCCCCCACCGAACCCCGCCTCCGCTGGACACTTGATTCCTGAACTTGCGTCCAATTTGCGACTCTTAAAGTGTGGACTGTGGTTGCTGCTGGGCTTTCCCACCTCGACTCTCGATCCTTGTAAAGCCCGGCCGGCCAGCCGGCCCTTCCGGCTTTATTCACTTCAAACTGCCCTGGCGGAGTTTCCCAGTCCCGGTCAGTCCCGCCACGCCCCACCCAGCACCTTCGTTTAGCTTCTCGGTTCCTCTGCATTAGTCTCTGTTGCTGCTGTGATAAATGAGCGCGGACTTACTGGCTTTACACGTTTTTGCAGTTCTGCAGGTCAGCGGCTACGGGCGAAGGTGCTGGCAGCCCACGCCCTCCCTGGAGGTGCGAGTGGAGATGCCCGGCCCCCTCTAGCCCCGAGGTGCCTGCTCTCCTGGGCTCGCGGCCCCTTTGGTTACCCTCAGCCCTTTCCTTGCGCTGTGAGCCTCCTGCCCCGCTCCTTATCCCTGTAATTATATTGGGCTCCCTCAGGAAGTCCAGCACAGTCTTCCCATCTCAAAGTCCTTAACATAGTCCCATAGGTCACTTGCCCCTGCACCAGGTTCCCCGGGTCAGGGCGTGGGGCCCACACCCTCCCCTTTTGAGGAGCGAGTAAGCGGGGAGACTTGAAGCTACATCGCCTTCCTTGCTCCACATGTAAACCCTGGTTATTACTTATCAGAAAGTCCCACGCGCCTGATCAGCCAAGGACAGTAGCTAAAAAGAGGACAACGGAGGACGATCTTTGCCTCGTCCGCCCAGAAGGTGTGGCACTTTCTAGTTTGCAGGAAGGCGCAGCATGACCACGCAGGGGCCCTGGTAGGAGAAGGAGCCAAGGGTGGACCCCCAGAAGGGCGCCGTGGGCGGCAGGGAGAGTCACGCCCTCTCTGTTCTTCAGCGGGTGACGTTCGTGTAACGAGCACAACTCTGCGCCTGGATTCTGCGCGCCCCTGCAGGCCCCCCCGTGGCCTGAGAGTCGCTGTGCCCGTGGCTCTGAGCGCGGGATCTGGCCTTGTGTGTGTGCTCCACACACACGAGTCTGCTGAGCGGGTGGATGGGGGGCCGGGGTCACACGCCACCGGGAGCTGCCATTCCTGGGGCCGGTCCGAGCGCCTCGGGCCCGTCATGATGCTTACAACTCAGTGAGCTATGCACTGAGAGAACGCACGTCTGTAACATAAATACCGAGCGGAATGTAGCCCAAAAGGTCAGAGATTCTTTAAAAAATTAGGTCTCTCTGGGCTGGTCTTAACAGCTCTTTCCAGTCAGAGTAGTTCAATTCCACTCTTGTTGTTGTTGTTGTTGTTGTTGTTGAGAATTTACTGTGTCCCAGATGGGGCGCTAGCTTCAGAGAACAGCCGTTTGCCTCAGACCTGACCCCTGACTCCCCGAGTGCAGAGTCCACAGAGCGGACGGCACCCAGAGATCGGAAAGTGGCGGCAGCAAACAGCTCAATGAGGCCCCCGCCACGATGGGGGTGCCAGAGGGAGGCGTCCGCGGGAAGCGGGGCTGTGGCCTGTCCTCACCGGTGGTGGGAAGGATGGGGTGCCGTGGGGAGAGACCTTCCCAGAGGAGCAGAGCCTTGCGTGGGGATGAGGGCTGTTCAGCAGGAGAGCGGGTAAAGCACACACTGTGCGAAGGGAGTTTGGTGAACTGACCAGGGGTGTGAGAAGCATGAAAAAAAACCCCAATTGCTTTTCGCAATAGCAGAGGTAACCAGTCAGGAACGGAAAGCACGGTTTTTTATTGTTCTCTAGCAATGGCTGGGGAACTGGTAAGTTGGTTAAAAAAACAAACAAACCTATAGAACTAAACAAAAACCCAACACATTTAACCTATTCACATAGAATTGTGTGTGTGTAAATGCACATTTATCTTGCGTGCATTTGTAGACATGCACATACATGTATGTATACATGTATACATACAGACACACACACAGACATGTGAGACCTCCGGCCCCCCCAGCCCACTGAGACCATTAGCACCGCGAGCAATTCACATGCACAATACATTCAAGAAGGGCTGTCTTAGGGCAGCGGAGGAACACGTCGAGGAATTTTCTCAGCACGCAGAACAGAAAGACAAAGAAAACCGTACCTGAAAACGCTCTTAAGAGTCAGAGGTTGTAGACAGAGGGTTCTGTCTGTCCCTCCAGCAGCCCGATCCAGAGAGCAGAGTAGAAATATTTGAAGAGATAACTGCTGAGCTTTTTTTGGAATCAACAAAGACATCGATTTTTCAACTCCCGAGCGCACTGCACGTCCTGGGCAGAGCAGACAGGGGCGGCCCGTGCCTCTTCTGGGCTCTGGCTTCCGGTTGAGGCTCTTCTCCATCGTCCCACCTGCTGTGCGGATGCAAAGTTGTTCCTTTTGTGGAGAAAATGTTACCTTTGCGTGGTAAACTTTAAGAGTATCTTAAAATTCTAGCGGAAGCTGCACTTGACCTTGGGGTGGGCCTTCTTTGCCTCTTCCTGCCGTTCAGGGTCTGACCCCCAGGGCTGGGGCTAGAATGGAAACTGGCCCTGGTCCCTTCCCTGTGGTGCCTGGCGCGTCAGAGCTAGAGGCCCACCCAGAGCCCCAAGCCTCGTAGAAATACCTTGTGTTCTCGTCCGCGGATCCCCTTGGAAATTCTTCTCTGGGGACGGAGGGCAACGTTTGGTGCCTGCTCGAGGACTGGGGATCTCGGGCCGGCACGACCTTCATTTACCACTGTCGTTCTGCTTCCATGCCACTTTGCAGCCAGATGCGCGGTGCTTTCCGGTGCCCGGTGACATGAGCTCTGCGGTTCAGCTCGACTTAGTCCCCACGCTGCAGGGCCGCCGCGGCCCACTGCTTGGGGACAGAAACCTAGTTCCGTTCTGGAGTTTCTGCTTAGGGGTGTGTTCGCAGAGGCATGTCCTCGCGTTCAATCCTCCAACCAGACCACCCGCGGAGGCTGTGCTTCTAAAGGTATAAACCTGATCAAGCCCGCGCCTGCTTATGACGTTTGAACAAACCCCGGTCACTTCTTTCCCCGACTAGATTATCTGTAACTACAGAGTAGTTCTGGCATGTACACAGGCTCCTCCTCAGATCTCTAGGTTTTTCTTTTTAAAATTCATGCACATTGTGTATATGACTGAATGGGATAAAAACAAACAACATGTTCCCCAACTGCTGTGTGAAATCGACACTTCAGAAAAACGGTTTGCCATTTCCCGGGGGCCTGGCGCGCTGCGTGTGTCCAGACGCCTGTGCTGACGAAGTGCCGGACCCGCAGCCGAAGGTCATGCTCCTGGGTGTTACGTAAGTGGCTTCGTGGCCTGCTCTTGCTGACCCCTCACCCAGATTCCCCGCTGTTCCCTGGCTTGGAATTTTGTTTCTTTAAAAATTTTTTTAAAATATTGATTTGAGAGAGAGAGAGAGACAGCTATTTGCGAGACCCGGGCTCCTCCCCCAGTGGGCACCGGGCCACCAAGGCAGGCCCGGAAGATGCCTCTGGGCCTGGCTCCAGGCCTGGGGCGGAAGCAGGGGAGGGGGTGGCCCCACGCACTTCTTCCTCTCTGGGTCCTCTCCCACCCCCGTCTCCAGGCAACGCCGCAGCCATAAGTCTCCGTGAGGTGAAACTTCATCTCAGTCGGCGGAGCTGTGGTCTCAAAGTGGTGCAGTCAAAGCCCATTTCTTTTTTCTCTCTGTCGCCACGGGAAGAATGCAACAGAGTAAATAGAGTCCCAGCTTTCTGGCTGAAGGGCGTCTCAGAAAAGAGCCCCGAGATGGAAAGTGCCTGTCGGGGAGGCGCCGGGGACAGCGGCCCCCGGCCGCGCGGAAGGGTGTGGCCGCGCCCCCGGCCTGCGGCGCGGTCCGCCGTCGAACGCACGCCCCAGAGTGCAGACGTGAGCTGTGGACACACGACGCCGTGGACCCCGGCTGACCGGGGGCGGGGGCCACACACGCGAGAGAAATCTGGAAAGTCCTGGAGACTGAGGTGACCCGCAGAAAACCGGGGGAATGTTACCACACCTGGGATCGAACGGGGCCGCATGTTTGCTAAGGAAAAAGTAGCAATATTCCCAATAGTATTTAGAGAAGACCCCAGGTCTCATGAAATGTTATTTGAATGACGAGGGCACAAGCCAGAAGTACGGGCCTGTGAAGAACGGGGGAAGCGGCAACATCTCAAAAGGAAAAGGTCATCGACAGATGCCAAAATGGACTCAGATGACTTGGATGCTCAAACTTTCCAGCAAGACTTAAAGCAGCTCTTTTAAAAAGGCTCCAACAAACACTTGCAAATAATCTTGAAATGACTGAAAAGATAGAATGTCTAGCAAAGAAAAAGAAGATATAAAGAGGAGCAGATGAAAATTTCAGAATTAAAAAAGACAATGTAACAGTCCCTGCCGTGCTCATGGCGGATGCAGCCCGAGACCCCCCAGTGGGTGCCTGAGACCACGGGTGATGCCAAACCCTGTACAGATGAGGTTTTTCCTGATATACAGGCCCATGATGAAGTTAAGTTTATAAATTAGGTGCAGGAAGAGATTAACCACAGTAGCTAATATTAAAATAGAACAATTATAACAGCACACTGTAACAGAAGTTACACTCGTATAAACGGGCTCGCTCTTTCTCCGCGCCCAGTAATGTTCATATTTTTCAGTTCAGACCTACCCGTGAGTCTGCATGACCGTCTCTCCCTTGCAGCGAAGGGCGTGGTGTCGCTGGTGTCGGGGAGTCCCTCGCTGAAGTCCTTGAAGCAGCTCCCTGCTTTCTGGTGCCACTCATTGCTGCCGATGGAGTGGGTTTTCTCGCCTTTTACTCACAAATTAACACCTTTTCCCTCTTAACTAAGCACCTAACACACGAGGCCAGAGTTGCTGCGGTTTGGGGAACGACAGGCAAGCGAGCATGAATTTCTTTTTTCTTTTTCATCATTTCACGAATAAAAAATTCATTCTTAGCCTATGCAGATCTTAGCAATTTTTTCCTTCCCTTATGACACAGAGAACGGCCACCTTTTCACCAAAGGAAGCGCGTCCTGGCTTCTCTTTGGCACGTTCCGACCGCCTGCCCGCGTCACCGCTCTCACACCCCGGGGACGTTATGAAGGAAACTAAGAATTACTTGTTTGTTTATTTTGTGCTTTAGACTCAACATACAAGTGAAATCCTATGGTATTTGTATCTCTCTGTCTGACTTATTTCACTGAGCGTGATACAGTCTGGGTCTGGCGATGTTCTCACAAATGGTAAGAGTTCATTTTCTTTTATTGGGTAAAAAAAGCGAAGGGATTAAGAAATACGAATTGGAAGTTACAAAATAGTCCCAGGGGAGTGAAGCAAAGGGAGCGCAGTCAACAACAGGCCTGGTGCCGTCTGGGCACTAGAGTTTACACTGTAAATAACGTGATTGTCTAACCAATATGCCGCGCACCTGAAACTAATATAGAATAATACTGGCTGTCGACTGTAATTTAAAAACACGAGGGTTCCCGGGACACAAGCAGCTCCATACCTGGTAGTGGATCTGGTCGCAGTGACGCTGTGACGGAGGGGCAGGGAGTGTGCCCAGCCGCAGACGCGGTCCCCAGGCTGGTTCACTTCTGGGGCGAGACGGAGCCGGACGGCTCCGCTTCCTCCTCTGCTCACAAGCAGCAGGCAATTCAAAACGGATGAATTGCTTATTTCTGGAATTTTCCGTTTCAGACTTTTGGACTGGGATTGGCCTCAGGTGAAACAGTGGGAAGTGAAGCCGTGGATAACGGGGACTCCTGAACCCCTCCCCAAGAAAATCTCGCTGGATCGCTCAACAGCAGAAAGTGCTGACAGAGGAAAGGCGTCCTCGCTGGACCAGGGACTCCGGGGCTCATTCCTCCCCTGCACCCCGCCCCGTCTGTGTGCTGGCTGCCTCAGGAGCCGGGGTGTCCTGACCGGGGGCTGGGTCTGCCGCGGCAGGACGCGCCAGCGCGTAAGGAGCCTGGGCGGCTGACTGGCAGCGCTGCGAGCACCCACAGGGCTCAGGGCTGACCTGCGGCTCCGTTTGGGGCGGGAAGACAGGAGCCCGGTCCCCACTTCTGCCTCCAGCCTGAGCGGCTGGGCCAGCGGGACTGAGGCTGGGCCTTGACCCCCGGCCTTCCTTCCGCCTGCGTCCACAACCTGGAACCCTGAACCATGCACGTGTGTATTGCCTAAGCACACCTTTGCCGTGCACCGATCGTGTGTGTCCCTGCGGCTCCATTTGCGGCAAGGTCTTGTTTTGAGGTGGTAATGTGCTCCCCTCTCCCCATTTAGTAGTAAGTCTAGATTGGGTGGGACAGGCCTTTTGCTCTTACTGTAAACTGCGGAGGCTAAGTGTGGACCCCACGGTGTTTTCCCCAGGGGGCACCGGCCCTGGGGTGTCACGTGGCTCCCAGGCCCCAGCTGGGTGGTGAGTGGCCATGTGCTGTCCTCATCTGTGGCTCTGCTACTCAGTATCTGAATCCTGCAGACCGACCCTGAGAGGAAAACGAGACCCGGCCACAGGACAGAGGGGACACGACCATCACCAGCCTTTTCTCACCCCCCCCCCGCCCCCGCTCACAGTAGCTGTGAAAGAAAAAGCGACCTAAAAAAAGCAAAAAAAAACAAAACCCAACAACCCCACATCCGTCCAGAGGCGGATGGGTCCCCAGGGGGCTGGTGGCAAAAGCAGAAAGATCTCCGGCCAGAGCCCGTGAACTGTGCAGCTCCTGACTTGAGACGCTCCGTGCCGGGGCACAAGGTTGTTCATTGCGGCACTTGACTGTCCCCTTCGCTCCCGGCTGCAAAAGACGGGACCTTCCTCCTGCTCCTCCCCTCCCGTTCTGCGCCTGCTGAGTGGAAAGATAAACTTGGTTTCCTGGTTTCCGCCCCGCCCCTCCCAGGGCCCCGCCCCCACCGCAGTTTCACTTCCCCGCCGAGTTCGTCCGTTTGTCCATCCGCCCGGGACTCCGGCGAGAGCGCGCGGTCTGTGGTGGCCGAGGTAGGGGCCTCCGGGGAGGGACGTGGTACCTGGGTGTGTGGACGGGAGTGGCGGCCCCCGGCGGGAGCGGGCTCGCCTCTAAGGACAGGGCCGCGGGCACGCTGAAATGCCAGGCCCTGCCTTGTTGCCCTTTCGCTTTCACCAAACTCCAAGCTGCACACACCCCAGAGCACCCCGGGGGGAGGTGCATGGAGGCCGGCACAGCCCCGCGGGACCTCCGAAGGGCAGGTCCGGTCCCCGAGGGCACAGACCCCCAGCCATGGAAGGGGTAAGGGGCTAGTGTGTTCCCGGGAAAACCACCAGCCATGGAAGGGAAGTCCCCGGAAGGCATTCCCTGGCTCCCGGACGCTGGTCTTGCTCTTTAGAGGGAAGTCGCCTATCCAGTAACTTCAGTGAGTTCCTCCTATTATTTTCACCATTGTCAGTTCAAGGAAGGTCGCTCCCTAAACTGCCTCGCGCGTCCCGCCCCTCCCGCCCCTCCCGGGGTAGCAGGGCTGGGCCCCCAAGGGCGCCACTTCCGCTCTCCCGTTTCCGCTGGGTCCTCACTGGTGCCCGTGAGGGGTCCCGCTTTCCCCATGGGCTTCCACTCCCCCGGCCCTTGAATTTCCAGTCGCCTTGAATTTCTCCTGGGACACCAGTCCTGGCCTGGAGGACAGATGGCGCCTGTCCAGCCCTCCACGACCAGCCCCTCCCTGCCCAGCTCGGTCCAGTCCCTCTCAGGCTGGGAAAGCCTCAGAGGACACGCCGGTTCTCCTGGGGGGCTCATTTGCCTTCACGGTGCCCCGGCTGGGTGGTTGGGTCTCCACTGAGACCGATCACCTGGTACCTTTGTTCTCTGTGGGGTGGGAGTGGGGTGGAGAGGCTGGGGTGGGGCTGGGTTCCAGGCGGGTCAGCCTGGACTGCCTCGGTGGAATCCTTCACTAACAACCCAGTTACGCTAATGCTCCAATGAAACAGCTCTGGAACTAATCACTCGCGACGTTCCTTAGAGCAGGGACGAGCTTTGCAGAGCCTCCCTGAGCTCCGAGCTGTGGCCCCGCTTGCTCCCTGGCTCCCGCAGAACTTCGCAGGGACAGTTTGTCCCCTCTCGGGTTCTGAGAAGCCACCTGTGGCTGCTAGACCGGTGGGAGGGAAAACCTGAATTTTAAAGTCTACGTTATCTTAATAAATTCAGGGGGCCACATGTGATGGTTGCGACCACCTCCCCCAGCACAGCGACATTTTTTGCATCTTCTAAACTCCAGTCCATTTCTTCCCCCCGGCGGGGAGACCGCGAGACCCGTGGGGGCCAGTGGCAGCCCAGGCGCTGCGCAGAAGCTCTGGCGAGGTATTTCCTTTGCGGCAAAGAAGTCCTCGCTGGGTGTCCCTGGCCATAGACCCTGTGTTGGGGACCTTCAGGAAGAGCCATGGCGTCAGCCACAAGCAGCAAGAAGATGAGGGAGGAGGCCACCTGCTCCATCTGCCTGAACCTCATGGCCGAACCCATGAGCATCAGCTGCGGACACAGCTACTGCCAGGCCTGCATCCTGCACTTCCTGGACAACCAGCCCCTCCTGCTGCCACGGCCGGTGGTCTCGTGCCCCCAGTGCCGCGCCCCGTTCCAGCGAGGCAGCCTGCGGCCCAACAAGCAGCTGGGCAGCCTCATCGAAGCCCTCAGGGAGATGGACTGCGACATGTCCTGTGAGGAGCACGGGGAGCGGCTCCAGCTGTTCTGCGAGGACGAGGGCCAGCTCATCTGCTGGCGCTGCGAGCGGGCCCCTCAGCACCGAGGGCACAGCACGGTGCTCGTGGAGGACGCGTGCCCTGGCTACAAGGTGGGTGCCGGCGGCCGCTGCGCGCCGAGGCCCCGCGCCCTGCAGCCCAGAGCCCGAGGCCGCCACCCTGCCGTGTAGCCTTCCTCGGCCATCCTCCCGAAAACTGGGCTAGGGTAGGCTGGGTCCTCCCTGAATCCAGTCCCGGCCGTCCTTCCCGACCTTCAGCAGTACGCTCGACTCTCCTCGTGTCCACGGTGGCTGTGGTAACACGATAACACGTCCTGGCTCTAGGATGCCGGATGGTAGTTTATTGCTTCCCTTGTGTATCTAATGAGACACGGCAACGTGCTGGCCCAACGTGGGCATGTCCGAAAGCACAGGGGACAGAGACGCCACTTTTTAGGCGTCCTCAGTCCAGCAGGGAAGACAAACCAGCGGAAGAGCTGCGTGGCGTCCCCAGGTTTGGGTGCTACAGGGTGCAGGCGGTATCTGGGGAGCCTTCCAGAAATGCCTCCTGACAGGACACAGAAGCTAATGCATGTGCAAGTGTGGAGAAAAGACAGGGCGCACCGGGCCAGGGGGCCAGGGGGCCAGGGGACCAGGGGCGGCCGCACAGCCAGAGGCAGGGGACGGGATGGTGGGGGAGCGGAAAGGCAAGGAAGGGCTCCGTACAGATTCAGCGTCATGCTAATCATCTTGGTGGCCTGGGATCCTCCCCCAGGTGCCTAATTGAAGAGTCGCCCAATTGAATAGACTTTACGCCCCCTATTTTTCTTGTAGGAAAAGCTCCAGAAGGCCGTGACAAGATTGAGGCAACTGGGAGAGGAATGCATGAACCAGAACGCATTCACGAGGAAGCAAATAGCCAAATGGCATGTAAGAATGCGGGTTCTCTGTCTCCAGCCGTTTTCTGGCCTAGAACCGGGTGTCGGGGATAATCGGGCAAAGAGCAGTGGCCGTCTCACTAGAGTCGACCCAACAGGTGAAACCTCAGCGAGAAACCGTGTTTGTTTTTAAGCCCTTCGTTGGCTGCATTACGGGAACTCCCCGCCTCCCACCTTCCCGCAGCAGTTGGCCAGCAGTTCCCGACGCCTGTCGGGAGGAGTGGAATCCCTGTGCCTCTTTTCCGAGAGCCACCCCTCACCGGCTCTCCGATTCTCAGAAGAGGTGTGGGGGCCTCTTGACCGTGACACGTTGCCCACAGCGCAAGGTGCAGCTCCCAGCGGAGCGCATCGCTCCAGGCCGAGACCCCTAATTACTCAAACTCACGAGTCTGGTCAGGGAAACCTGCTGGTCTGTGCGGAGGACAGGATCGTTGGCTACAAGGGCCTGTAACCACAGACCGTGGGTCTTGACCATTTCCACGGCTGCCCAGCCCCATGGCCGGAGAGGCATTGCTTTACGGTCGTGCTTATGTAAGAGGACAGCTGTCTGTGACCCCATGGGACCGTAGCCGTTGTGTTTTGCAGGGGCCCCTTCCTACCTCTGCCCTGACCCTTTGTGTGCGAATACTAGACTTGGGCTCTCAGTGGACACTCTCACTGCCCTCGTTTCTGGGACCTCGGCAGAGGGGAGGGTCCGAATCGCGCAGTGTGCGTGGAAGCACCGTTGATGGCCGTCTGCCCCGAACACCCGCCGCGAGGACGGGCAGTAAGGGGCACCCAGTGCGAGGCTGGAGGAGCCGCTAAGGGGCATTGCGGTTCTTTATCTCCCCAGATGAAAGCCGAGTCCACAGGGTGTATATCTGGTTTCGGTCAGTCTTACACATGAGGACGACGAAGGGGACCCTGGGCCGGTGGATGAATATTTCTCAGTTAACCACAGTGAAGCCCCGCCGCCCCCGCCCTGCTTGCTGGACATCAGGCCTGTCCGAAGCCTGGGCTGAGTCCACTCTTGGGGCAGCGTTCATTCTGAGCTTTCGCTTCATGAAATTGCCTCAGACTAACCTTCTTCCATCCCTCGTAACACCTCGTTTTAATCTTTGTAACTCAGCGATGTCCAGTCCCTGCGCTGTAGGAATTTTTAAAACATGCAATTCCTGACCGTTCAGTCAGGGGCACTGACCTCTTTTTCCTCTTAGGTGGTCAAGGTAGAAAAAATGGCAACAGCCAACACAACAATACACGTGTGGTGTGAATGCCCTGTCCTGAACTGAAAATATATAGGTCACATAATAGAGCTGCATCTTTTTGGTCGTATGGCATAATGTGGCATCTGACTGGTTAATTCTTGGTATCAGAAATAACTTTATAAAAATATAGGTACCTGATATTTAAATTTTTTTTATTGATTTTAAAGCAAGTGCAGAAGGGAAAGGGAAAGGGAAAAAGAAGCACTGAGTAGTTGTTCCACGTATGGGTGCTTTCACTGGTTGGTTTCTGTATGTGTCCTGACGGGATCCGACCCACAGCCTTGGTGCTTTGGGACAGTGCTCTCACCAACGGAGCTCCCTGGCCAGGACGGGTACCTGATTTTTTAAAAAGTCACTTTAGAGCAAAATGGGTAGAAATTACTACTGTTGTTATTTTGTAGACCAATCAAAATTACACCTATTTTTGTCACATCAGCAAAAAATGTAACGTATTTTTGGCGTGCCGCAGGATTTCAGTGATTAGTTTCCATGTGCCATGAGGTGAAAGAGGTTGAAAATCGCTGTTGTAACCGATACGTTTGACCTGGGGTCCCAGTTCCGCGTGATTCAATTATCTGGCGTCCCGTCCCGCATCTCGCCGGCGAGTCCGGAAGTTCGCGGGGCCGCCCCGCGACGGTGCCTCCCAGGTGTGACCGCAGGGGGCGCTGGAGGCCTCGCCCGGCGCCGCGGCTCCCGGGCAGGCGGTGTCACGGCGGGTGAGCACACTTTCTTTTGTATGTGCCTGTGCAGTAGAAATATAAATAACGAAAATTACCATTTTAGCCTTTCTAAGTGCACAGTGCAGTGGCATTAAGTCCTAATAAGTTGAACAACCATCGCCCTCACCCACTTCCAGAACTTTTCATCTTGCAAAACGGAAACACTGTCCCCGTTGCCCCTTCCCTCAGCCCCTGGTCACCCCCACTTTGCTTTCTGTCTCTGTGACGTCGGCTGTTCCAGGTCCCTCCCGTAGGTGGAATCACATACTGTCTGTCTGTCTGTAAGTGTCTTGTTTAACTTATACTGGCCTCGAGGCTCGTCCATGATTTAGCCTGTCGGAACCTACTCCTTCCGGCTGAATAGCACCCCATCACGTCCACAGGCCCCCCACCTTGTGTATCAGTTCATCCAGGGATGGACCGTGGGGTCGGTTCCACCTTCTGAGCATCCTTTCTCGACCCCAGGAGAAGATAAATATTAAGAGGCAGAAGATCCAGTCTGACTTCAAGAATCTGCAGAGCTTCCTGAAAGAGGAGGAGAGGTCTTACCTGTGGAGGCTGGAGAGGGAGAAGGAGCAGACCCTGGGGAGGCTCACGGACAGCGAGGCCAAGCTGAGGCAGAAGAGCCAGCAGCTGGAGAGCCACATCCTGGAGCTGGAGGAGAGGTGCCAGGGCTCCGCGCAGAAGCTGCTGCAGGTGGGGCTGTGCACTCGGAGGGTGGGGGGAGAGGCGACGGCCCCCCGGCCTCGCTCACAAGGGGCTCTTTAGGGCGGGGAATCTAAAGTGATGCTTCTCTCAGCTGCAGATGGGAATCTGCAAGGCGGCCTCTGATCGTCTACGGGGCCCCTTGAAGTGAATCGGAAAACTGCCCCCTGCTGGGGGGATGCGGGGGGCGGGGGGCGCTCCTCGGCCAGACACCAGATGGCCTCTGCGCCGCATGCACAGAACCCTGACCGTCAGACAGTGTCTGGAGAAGCTGGTCCGGGGGAGCAGGAGGGGCGCCAAGGTGCGCGATGAGCTTTGCCCGAGGGGTCCAGGGCGCGTGCCCAGCCCGCTTCCGGCCGCAGGGAGGTGGGCCGCGCCTGCGGCTGCGCGCTTCACGCAGGACCGGAGGTCACGCGGTCAGGCTGGCAGTGTCTCACGGCCGCTCCACCCCGTGTGACGCCTGTGGCCGCCGCCCCTGTGCCAGTCCAGGCGCTGCGCACGCCTCCCCCTCCGCCGCTGAGAGGCTGACACGCGGTCGCTCACAGCGTTCACGCTGGGGGACGCGAGGCCAGTGAAGGTGGGCCTTGCCCGCAGCAGCGGGGGGCAGCTCCCCTCGGGCCTCAGCAGGAAGGGAGTGGGCTCGGAGTCCGAGGAGCGTCCTGCGTGCCGGCCACGCCAGGGGTCGAGTGGGGGGTGGGGAGCGCTGCCCGGGTGTCATCCACGTCTTGAGGTGGAGGCCACTCCCTGGGAGGGACAGAGTGGACCCACGAGTGCAGGTGTTCCCACACCCACCTGTGCCTTTGTTTCTCTGCAGGATGTGAAGGCCACTGTGAGCAGGTGAGTGCTGAGTGCGCGAAGAGGGAGGGAGGAGGGGCGCGCAGCTGGGACGCTCTGCTGAGTCTCGGCCTCTGCTTGTCCCAGGAGTCAGGCGGTGCAGCTGGACGCCCCGGAGGCCCTGTCCTTGGAGGTGCACACCTCGTGCGACGTCCCGAAGCTTTACTTCGATGTGAAGAAGCTGTTAAGGAGCTACCAAGGTATGGGAAGGCATGGCGCCCGGCGCTGAGGGTGCAGTGGCTCGGTTCGGTCCTCCCATTGCGCCCCGGGACCAATGTGGTGACTTCTGCTTTGTGTTTCCCAAAACGGAGCCTCGCAGAATGACCTGCCTGAGCTCTCACCGCTGGTCCGAAACATGCCTCACCCTTAAACCCTGTTCTTGGCAACAACAAATCATGTCTCTTTCCCCCCGGCAGTCAGCGTGGTTCTGGATCCCGACACGGCGCATCGTGAGCTCATTGTGTCTGAGGACCAGAGACAAGTGACTCGGGGCTGCCCCCAGGAAAATCTGGACATGTCGCCTAGGAGGTTCACCGCCGCACCCTGCATCCTGGGCTCCGGGAGCTTCACCTCAGGGCGGCACTACTTCGAGGTGGACGTGGGAGAAGGGACAGGGTGGGACCTCGGCGTCTGCATGGAAAGCGTGCGGAGGGACGCGGGCCTGAGGCAGGAGCCCCAGGCCGGCTTCTGGGCCCTCCGGCTGTGCGCCAAGGACGGCTACGTGGCGCTGACCTGGCCCCGCACGCCCCTGTACCTGGAGGAGCAGCCCCTGGTGGTGGGGGTTCTGCTGGACTGTGAGGCCGGAGCCGTGTCCTTCTACAACATGACCACGGGCGCCCACATCTTCACCTTCCCCAAGGCCGCCTTCTCCGACGTGCTGCGGCCCTATTTCCAGGTCTACCCGTACTCCCCCCTGTTCCTGCCGCCGCCGGGGGAGTGAGGCGGGCGCGGCGCCCTGGGCGGAGCCGGCACAGAGAAGCTGCGCGAAGCCCTGTGAGCAGGGCTTCGCGGTCTTCCCCGCTGACTCCCTGCGCAGTGCCGGGCCCTTTGTTAGTGGGTCCTTGATAAATCCGCCTGGAGAGAAGGGCTATGAGGACTGAGAGCGCCACCTATGGGCAGGCTGGGCCTTGGCCTCTGTCTGCAGCCCCCTGCAGCGGAGTCAGAGCTTGGGTTTCCGCGAGTCCGAGTCCGGGGCTGACGCCCAGGTCAGGAGGTCCGCGTGCTCCCACTGTTTTTTTAACTCTCGCTCGAGGACATGCTTGTTGACGTGTTTTTAGAGAAAGGGGAAGGGAAGGGGGGAGAGGGAGGGAAACATCAGTCGGTTGCCTGTTGGATGTGCCCCACCCAAGGGCTGCACCCACAACCCAGGCACGTGCCCTGCCCAGGGATCGCACCTGCCATTTTTGGGATTTACTTCCGCTTTACAGTGTGACCCTCCAGCCGACTGAGCCGCTCCGCCAGGGCCGGCCAGGGTGCTCGACGCAGTGGGAACTCGTGTGCGGAGCAGCGGCCGCCGGCGTTCCTGCTCACTGCGCGAAAGGGCAGCAGAACCGGAGCTGCGGTGAGTCTGGTGGCTGCCGACACGTCGGTCACTCTGAGCCCCGGCCCTGGGAGACAGAGTGAGTGCAGAGGCCGTCGGACGGCTGAGCTCTGCCCAGACCATCGCCAAGCACAGACTGAGAGCGGGCGGAGGACTGGCCGGCGGGGAGGCTGGAGGGAGGAGGACCGGGACAGGCCTCCGTCCTGCGAAAGGAGTGGACATTTTCCAGAACGTGCGAGTGCCCGCTCTCCTGGGACGTTTTCACATCTCAGTAAATAGGCGTTGCTGGCATGATGGCTGGTGGTCCCGACGCCGCCTGAGGTAGGAGCAGATCTCGCAGGGTAGGGGTTTGGTCCCACCCACCTCAGGCGCCGGTCACAAGCCCAGGTCATCACCTTGCGAACCTGACGGCTAAATATTGAGGTCCCCATGACGCCCTCTTCAGAGTCATCATTTGCTAGAACAGCTCACAGATCGCAGAGAAATGCGTTGTTTAGTGGTCTGTCATACACTAAAGGGTATGATAAAGGAGACAGAGGAGCAACCAGACAAAAAGACACACAAGATGAGAGCCAGAAGGGGCCCCCGCAGGAGGCGTCCGCCCCTGTGGCGCTGGGAGTGCCAGCCTCCCGGCACGTGCTGGGTCCACGAGCAGCAGCTCAGTCTTACACTTTCGGGATTTTACTGGCGGCTCCATCATGTGGGCATGGCCAACCATTAACTTAATCTGCAGTTCCTCCTGCCTCCCCAGAGGGTGGGGCTGGGGCTCAGTGTCCCAGACTTCTAATCCCATTAGTCTTTCTGGTGACCAGCCCCTGTCCAGGAGACCAGAGTGGCCCCATTAGGAAAAAAGATCCCTCATCAGCCCGGAAATCCAAGGGACGTGGAAGCTCTGTGTCAGGAGTTTTGGTCAAAGACGTGTTTATTAGAAGAAAACATGCTTCCTGTGCTTTTACCACTCAGGGTATTTCCAGGGACTCAGGACCTCCGTGCCAGGAACTGGGGGCAGAGGCCTATATGTATATTTTCCAGTACCGTGTATCATGTTAATAAACTTGTTTTTCCTCTTACGAATCTACCTTTTGTTAGCCTAATTTACAGGGCTCGAGTTGGAGAACTTAAGTGGGTAGAGGAAAAATATTTTTCCTTCCCCAGCGCAAGGGCAGTGTTACTTGTCCTCTGTCCTCCTCGTCCCAGCACCGACCCGCCTCCACAGCCTCAGACCCACTGGCGGGCTGAGGGACCCCCGCCCCTTGCGCAGGGGAAGCCGCAGGCCTGGTCCGGCGCCGCCGAGCCCCACCTCCAGGCGTCTGGCCGGTCAGGGCTGGACTCTGCCCATCGGCAGGGCCTGCGGTGCTCGCTCAGAGGGGCCCCTGTGTCCTCAAACGCTTAGGCGGCTGAACAAGACAGGATGATGATAAAAGAAATCACCAATTCAGGAAAAGGAATCCAAACTTTCAGTTGGATTGGTCCAAACAGTACTGTCCTGATTGGTCGGCAAGATGCAAATGAAGCTACTGCCGTACAGACACGATTGGACAGCGCAGGTCTCAGCCCATTGGTCAAGTTACAATCCCGGGAACTTCATCAGGTTCAGACCAGCTGGCGGGAGCCCAGGAGGCGGGCGGGCGGCTCGGCCCGTGGGTCTCTCCGGAGGCGCGGGCATGCGTGAGAGGCCTCTGCCAGCCGCAGCTGCTGCACGCCGGGTATGGATTTCACCTCCATTAACCACGAAGGGCCCTTTTTACCAGCATATTTCCTCGAGGTTCTCAGTGCCTAATACAGTAGTTTTGTCGACCCCAGGAGTGAATATGTCTGGTAAGAAGGACTCTTGGTGGCTAACTGGGCTCGTTTATGAACAGTCGCAGGCATTGCTAAACAGGGACCTGCCATGCTCTCCGAGCTTCCGGGGAAGCTGCGCCGAGCTGCCAGCCTCCCGCCCTGGGTTCCTGCCCTCTGAGCGGACCCCAGAAAGGAAAGCAGCCGATGGGCGAAAGACCGTCCTTGGCTGAGCCGGGCGTTGCCCTGGTGTCCTCATTTGCATCTCTGCTGGCCAATGAGAGGTGCTCCTCTCCTGCCAATCATACGGGAAGATTTGGAGTGCTGATTGGCATAGAAACGGACCAGTCGGGGGCGGTTGGCAGGCCCTCGCCTCCTCGTCTTAGCCAGCCTCACCTCGGCCTCACCGGGCGTGCTCGTGAGCTTCCACGGAAGGCTGCTCTTTCCGGGCTCCAGCTTCAACTGGAAGCAGTCCCACTGGAACTGGGCTGAACCCCAACACTGGGGGGAGGGGGATGGGGGCCGGCACTTCCCAGTCTCTCACAGCTCTTCTGTCGCGTGCCGTCTCATAGCTGTGCGTTTTCACTGTTAAGTTCTCTTTACCGAATAAAGGTCCTTCACTCCAAATCGGGGTCTCCTGTTGTTGAACGGGAGCTGATGACCCTCTGTCGATGGCTCAGAGTGGATGTGTAGTCAATGTCTGTTGGACGAGTGAATGAGTCCCTAGTCTAAGGCCTTTCATTCTTAAGCCTTCTGCCAGGGGTTGAGACCTTGTCTTTTTGTCGGTGTGTAGAGGGTAGGGGTCAGCACCCAGGACAGACACACTGGGGTTGGGCACAGTGTTTGAAGTTTAAGTGTCAGCGTGCTCTGCAGTGCGTCTAGGCCCTGGCCCTGCCTATGGCATTATGGCTTGCCCATGTCGCATGTTTATGTCATCCATGTCTCCTAGGGTCCATAGTTGTGTGGAATGTCTTCCTACACTTAGCGTTCACAGGTCACCTTTTAAGAAAGCTTATTCCTAACCCTATTGTTTTGTCCCCTCCTTTTTCCTGCCATCGACGTCCCAAGTGTTCCTCTCATCGTCTATCCACAGACATCCTCCATGTTTTCTCGGGTATTTTAACGTCAGAAGCACAAATCCTTCCGTGGAAATGCCTGTTGTGATCAACTAAGAAACCTAAGCAAAGAACAGTGTACCAGGTACACCTTCTACAAATTCGTATTATACATATGGAAAGAAATGTAAACACCATTATACTGTGTAGTTATTAGGCAAACACAGTGAGCAGTGTTATAAATACACTCAATGTGACCTTTATACACTTCACATATTATAGTTCTGTTTTCACCAGCTGCTACGAACTACCTGGACATCTGGCATGAGCCATTTTATTGTATTGTTTATCTGCTGAAGGGTTAGAAGACCTTGTCTTTAAGGACACTTAAGAGGAACATATCCAAGTTTTAATGACTGTACAGGGACAGCCTGGACAGATGAAACCTCAAGTGAGGGAGGGTGGAGAATGATGTAGCGCAGGCGGGAGTCGCCTGATGCTCACAGGCAAATACCCCCAGAAGCCTCTTCTGTAAAAGGTGCTCAAGAACGTACGTCTCCAGGAGATCCTTGGGAATCCTCCAGGGAAACGTAAGTTTTCTGAGTTCAGCTGATAAGGTGGGAGCTGTCCGTATTTCAGACCAGCTACGGCCTCTGTGAATCATGCCCTGATCCAAACTATTTCACAAACCTTCAAGTCGGTTGAAACCTAAACGTTTCATGTTTGATAACAAGAGTAAAAAAACACACATAGGACACCCGTATGTTTTCTTTGGATAACAGTAGAGTATGAGAGAAAAAATCATTTGCTTGGGGGCTATTTAATATTTAGCCTAACAAACCTAGTCAACACAGAAATCTGCTGATTATATACTATTGGGTTGGTCAAAAAGTTCATATGAGTTTTCCCATAAAATAAAAGATGCTTTTATCATTTTTACCGAGAGCTTAATTGATTTGGAATTTTTGAGTATGTCAGCTGTCTCTCACGTGGTATAATGTTGATCGTTCTTAATTAACATCTCTTTGGTCGCTATCAACTTCAACGGGGCCGCCCAACTGTGGAGCGTCATCCAGCAAGATCTCCAGCACGAAACTTCACAAATCACTTTTGACACATTTGATCAGTCTCAGCACCTTTTCCATACACTGCACAAATTTTTTCTTGCATTTTTAACCTTTCTTGAAATACTGAAGCATAATATGCCAAAAGTGTTGCATGTTTTCTTCCATCTTCAATATTAAAGTGGCTACTCAAAAATTCACCAATTTGAATACTTTTTTTTAATGCACGCTGATGTGGCAGCTCTCGCAATACAACCTAACTAAATTGTTTTGAATGAAGTTAAAGGCAACGAAGCACTCTTGGAGCCATCTTAGGGGAAAAAACCAAGCAAACTTTTTGGCCAACCCAATTGTTCTATTAAAGTAGAAATATGCTTTAGAGAAAAAGGGGGCGTTTGAGCTATGAAAAGTAAAATGCAAAATTGAACATGTAGTACGACAAACTTATGGGAAATGTACTCACGGAGCTACAAAAATTAGAATGTAATACAGAAAACTAAACAGAGACTCATTTTGTTCTGAATTCAAAAACTCTTTTTGAGCGGATAACCCTTTTTTCTTAAGAGGTCAGCCGCGGTGGACAGGACGGCGGCCAGAGGCTGGCCGCGGGCTCCCTCTGCTGGGCAAACCTGGCACACGCGGGGAAGTCCTCGTTCCGGAATTGCTTCTCTCCCTGTGCTAGGTGAGTGCTTCCCCTCGGGCTTCCATACTTGCCCCTCTCGAAGCCCCGCACCCCGCTTCGCGGTGTCACCCTGTTTACCTTGCAGTCTGGAGTTATTTGTCAGCTCTCATCTCCCGGAAGGCTCCCTTTCCCCTCAAATCTCACTCTGACTTCGACCTTTTGGAAACCTTCGCGGTTTCTATCCCGGAGCAGGCTCTCGGGGCACTGGGCGCAGGCGGGTGGAGGTATGGGGTGGGAGACAGGTGTGGGCCGGAGAAGGGGTGCCGAGAGGAGGGAACCCGACGTCCTGGGAAGGAAATGCCACTCCACAGCCTGGAGGCAGGAATGCTCACAGCTCCGGGCTCGCGGTTGTGGAGCGCAAGGCAACCCCGCAACGAGGTGAAATCGCCGACAAGCAATCATTCAACGATATTATGACGCCCCGGAAGGAACAGGAGTGGCTCCTTGAGGAATAAGTCGCCCGGCTTCCCGGGTTCTCAGCCTGTCAGGAGGGGAGGAAAGAACCCCGAGATACCAGAGGCCTGCATGCTCCCTGCCCCGTTCGAAAACAGGAAGAAGTCTCTGTGAGGAGGCCCTGGGAACCCCAGCTTCAGGACTGGACCCCTCGATGTCTTCCTTCAATCGAACATTCAAGGATATTCTATTTTAAGAGGTGACGGAGGCCCTGGTTGGAATTGCATACGCAAAGACCCTGGCGTTCATTTGAAACTGACATTGCATGTCCGGATGACTTCCCACACAGGAGAATGGGGAGCTATCCCTTAGAAGCCAAGCTCCATGATGGTTTTTAATCAAGGGCGTTCTAAGGTCAAAAGTGGAAGTTTGGGGTTAGGGGGTCACAGGTGAGGCCGATCAGTCAGTTCTTGTGCAAGACCCCCCGGGGTTTCCTTAGACCGATTAACGTAGTTCTTGTCATCTTGTCCGCGGTCCTCCTAACTGGGGTTGGGTGATCTCACCAGGCTGAGGACTCAAGATCACGCGGACATTCCATGATTGTGTGTCAGTGACATTAAAGCTAAAGGCAGAAGCTAAACATCTTGTAATCATTGTTTGTAATTAAAATATTTAATATTCAAAATTCTATATATCTAATAAGTTATATATAATATATAAATGAAAAGACATCATAGACCAAAAAAAAAAAAAAAAGGAAAAAAATGCCCAAATTAGAAAACTATCTGCAGCATGGGTGATAAATATAAGGTAAATTTTTTTTTATTATATAAAAAATCGCAATGAGACAAGAGAAAGACAGACTAACCAATGAATAATTGAGCAAAAGACCCAAGTCTTTTCCCAGAAGTGATTATTCAAATGGTTAATGCACCTAAGAAAGGAAGTGACCATGTGAAATGATTTTACACAAATTAATGAGACCACACGTCGATTGCTGGAAGGAGGGGCGCTCTTTTCAGGGTGCGTCAGCAGCATCCAGCTGGAATGTCAGAGGCGCTGTGACCTCGCATTGCCAGCACGGGAACGCCCCATCTGTTGTACCCCTGTCAGCAGCGGGAAATGGAAACGCCAGTGCTAATCAAGGGCTCAATACGCTGTCCTGCTTCACGTGAAGGAACTTTCTAAAAGATTATCTCGCCTGAAAAGACTTTCTAAAGGTTTTAAGAAAAAAAAGCAACATGCAGAAAAGTGTGCATAATAATATCACCATTTTGTAAATAACTCCAACTCGACAACAAGACAACCGTGCACGTGTACGGGTGGGTGTCCAGAATGTGGGGATGGGGGCTGGCGATGTGAAATGCCTGGGTGGCAAAAGTTAGGGTTTGGAGGGAGCCGTGCAAAACCATGGGAAGAACAAAAAGACCCTCGAATAAAGAGCTCCTGACTACTAAACGATTTGTATGCACGTATGTAAAAATAGCCTTACAACTACTTGAACTATGGTAAGTAAAAGGGATTAAACCTGGCTTATCATATACTATTTTCTCCTTGGGTGTGGAAAAAAAAAAAGACATTACACTCTGAATCCCAGAATTGAAATTTCTATAGCTTAAAGGGACAATGCTGCGAGTGTCGCCAACAATTTAATGTGGTGTAGTGTGCCACCGGGGTTGAAAACGCTGCACCCGATGAAATACGACCTAGTGAAGAGAGTGAGAATTTCAAGCATTACCCAATCAGGGCCGCTGTGTTTCTATAAACAGGAAAACCAGGTAAGGGTTTTGAGATCTGGCTCTGGGGCTCCATTGCAGCCAAGCACCTTTGTCCTCACCCCGACCTAGTGGACAGCCCGCAGGTCCACGTGGGGTCAGGCGCCGCACCGACAAGAGCACCGGGTACGGTCATGCTCAGCCCCGGGGTTCTGAAGGAGGCCCACCTGCTCAACAGTAACCTGTGTGCCGTCCAGGTCAGTGACTCCCGCCACGGCGAAGGACAGCTCGCCTGGAGGCGGGTGTTAAGCCACAGGTTTCACTGGTTTCTCCCAAAGCATTCCCCACGTTCCTAAGGCTGCTGCAACCAATGCCGCACACACAGCACTCCCGGCCTGGGCTGAAGGTAGTCTCCTTCGATGACTAGTTTGGACTGGGGGAGTTCATCTAAACAGACGAGGGGTCCCCAATGGGAATTTTAATTATTGGCAGTTCTGATGTGGAAGAGATTATCATGTAAGAGGGGGGTAAAAAATACCCACAGGCCAGAACCTTGTGTACTTAAAAGCTCCTTTCCAAGAGATGTTGGTGGCTCTTAAAAGAGCCGTTGGGTTCTTGGAACAAGGTTCCAACAGGAACTCCTACTTTTTCTTGGGTGCTGCCTTCTTGGGCTTGGCAGCGGTCTTTGGCTTGGTCACCTTAGCCTTGGCCGCTTTGGGTTTCACAGCCTTGCTTTTGGCGGGACTCTTAGCTACTTTCTTGGGCTTCACAGCCTTGGGCTTCTTAGGGCTCTTGGAGGGCTTCTTGGCCACTGCCGGTTTTCTGGCCTTCTTTGGCGTTTTGACAGCTTTTTTAGCAGCCGCGACAGTGGTCTTCTTAGGTTTCTTGGAGGCGCCTGTTGCTTTGGGTTTCGCCGCCCCCTTGGCGGCGCTGGGCTTGGCCTCGCCGGAGGCCGCCTTCTTGTTGAGCTTGAACGAGCCCGAGGCGCCGGTGCCCTTGGTCTGCACCAGGGTGCCCTTGCTCACCAGGCTCTTGAGGCCCAGCTTGATGCGGCTGTTGTTCTTGTCCACGTCGTAGCCCGCGGCCGCCAGCGCCTTCTTGAGCGCGGCCAGCGACACGCCGCTGCGCTCCTTGGAGGTGGAGACAGCCTGGACCAACAGCTCGGAAACAGAGGGTCCCGCGGGCTTCTTCTTGGCGGCTGCCGCGGCCTTCGCCGGCTTCTTCGCTTTCTTGCCGGCTGCAGGCTTCTCCGGGGCAGTGGAGGCAGACGGAACAGGGACTGGTGGCGCGGTCTCGGACATAGCGACAGCAGTAAAGAAATATGTCAATTCGAGAAACCTGACTGGCAGGAAAACGCTGCAGTCCCGGGCGCCTCGTATTTATAAGGCAGGGCCGCTCTGTGATTGGTGCGCGCGGCAGCCGCGCCCCCTGCCGCCGCGGGCGCGCCTTGCTCCTCCGCGGCTCCGAAAGCCGCCCGGGCTCCCTGGCCTCGGGTTCCAGGTCTCTGTCTCGCGCCCAGGCTCTAGGACAGTATCCTGTCACTACCGAGAAAAAAAAAAATACAAGAAAAAAATACAGGGGAAGGCCGGGCCCTGCCGCCCATCAACGTCACGGCGCGCTACCGTTTTTCCTTTTCTCTTTTTTTAAAGCTCTTTTCATGGGTTGGGGTGGGGTCCTTTTGTAAATGAGGCGGTCACATGAGTCCCAAGGGCTTCACCTGAAACTTCGCCTAGAGGAAGCGTTCTTAGGGACATTGTAATCCGGCAAAAAAAAGTATAAGGGACGGTTTGGAATTGCTGGGAGGGGAGAACAAAGAGCGGGGTGTGGGCTCACTTCTCATCAATACCATTGCTTTTCCCCGCGACGCCGAACGTAGGCATGACCGGCATTTGGTCAAAAGAGAATCAGAGAGAACACCAGAGCTCGCTAACACCGCAACTAACGCTCAGGTTGGACGTGGAGACAACCTGATGTACAACGTTTTTGTAATTACGACTTATTTTTGCAGTCCAATACACTTCACGACTGTCCTACGCCTTTTAATCCTTACAACGTACTCCAAACAGATGCTAACGTGTATGACCAGGGTTTGCTGTCAGCAATGTTTATTCAAAAGATTTGCGAAACTCAAAACCGAGCATCCGAGTCATTACCGAAGCACAGTACCCCTACGGGCACTGTGCGGGGGTTTGAGAGCGTGACATTTAGAGCGTGATATTTAGAGCAAGTTTCCTCGTCTTTTTTTTGTGGCTTCGGAAGCACTTAAATTCACTAGCAATACTAGCAAGCAAACCGCCCCCCAGCGGCAAGAGAGGAAGACGGTGACGTCACGTTCCCGCGCTGGGCTGCGGTTCTCAAACAAGTCCGCCGGGCCGGTAGCTGGGTTCTCCTGGTTTCTTCAGCGACGCCAAAGCTCATTAGTTGAGGGAGTTCGCTAATACCACGGTACCGAATACTTCGCCTCTATCCTCTCTAACCACTTTTTCCTCCCTCGCATTTTCTGGGGACTTTATGTTTTTAAAATGCATCACGAAATTGCTGACTCAGAATTTGAAAGAGGACAATTGGGACCACGTGTCTTAGTTTGAAGGACAGTCAAATATAGTGACAGGTTTAAATCTTCAAGATTGGAGGGTTTCTCATGTGAATATTGTTAGAAAGGTGTAGGTACATATTTGAGGTAATAAACAAGGCATCGAATCAAATGCAGCCTTTAAAAACAAAAACACTAGATTGAAAAGTTTCTTATAAAAATACTGGGTTTTGCCTCTTGTAAGTCCCTTAGTCAGGAAGCCTATAAATCAACAAATGAGGGACGCTAGGTCTGCTTTCTTAATGGCTGCTCGGCATAATGGACTCAACCAAATTGTAAAATCTGATCTACTTTATCGCAGTATAAAAGAGCCACATTCACGTCCTTCAAGGTACAAAAAATTTTTAATAACTATGGTGTCTTCGAAATCTTAAGTAGTCATCCCTAGGGTCTGGCATCCAGTGATTGGGTCAGCAGCTAGCTCTCTGTTTAGCCTTGATGCTCGACAGCGTCACAGTGACAGCCTGCCCCGGGCAAACTGCTCTAGGACTCAGGAAACGCGAATTTCAGAAAATTGGAAGTGTAGGACTCAGACAATAAACCTCTAAGAAATGGGCCTGATTACAGGGAATATTTCTCTGAGCCACTGTGATTTACTTGAGATTATGTCTTGTAGTTTACAAAGAAGTCCCTCAGTCAACCGGGGTGTCCAATCTTACGGTATCTCTAGGCCACATGGGAAAAAATGTCTTTGGCTATACATTAAACACTGCAACACGAGAGCGCGCGCGCACACGCACACACAACCTAAAAATGTTTTAGGTAAAACTACAACTTTGTATTGGGCTGAATTCAGGGCCACCCAAGGCTGACTGCAGGTTGGACACCCCCTTGGAAAACGGATCTCGTTATTCAAAAGGTTATAGAAATTTGTCACGTGATTCTGGGTCTGCAGTAGGTAGTGTGGACAGTATGTAATACAGGTATTACATACAGGTATTGCTGGGTGGCAATATTCCCTCCAGACACCATCCCTAAGAACTAAAATATAACAGAATTGACAAACTATGGTACCACTGAGCCTAATGCTTTCAGTTGTACTAGAATATAATGCTCAACGCATTGCATTCGGAATATGATAATTGGAAGGGCTAAGGAAGAGAACAAAAGTAAAAAATTGGAACAGCCAATGAAAAACGGGGTTAGTCAATGGAACATGGGGGTAGTCAATAAAACTGCACGGTTGTGCGAAATATTAAAGATGCACCAATCAGAGCCTGTAACGTCATAGCTTCACATTTCTCTCATCCAATCACTACACCTCAGGTCCAATAAATAAGAGCGGAGCTTCTGGACGACAAAGTTAGCTCCCGTGTTTGGTGTCTACTGTCTATTCCTTAACATGGCTCGTACCAAGCAGACGGCGCGCAAGTCGACGGGCGGCAAGGCGCCGCGCAAGCAGCTGGCCACCAAGGCGGCCCGCAAGAGCGCGCCGGCCACGGGCGGCGTGAAGAAGCCGCACCGCTACCGGCCCGGCACGGTGGCGCTGCGCGAGATCCGGCGCTACCAGAAGTCGACCGAGCTGCTGATCCGCAAGCTGCCGTTCCAGCGGCTGGTGCGCGAGATCGCGCAGGACTTCAAGACGGACCTGCGCTTCCAGAGCTCGGCCGTCATGGCGCTGCAGGAGGCGTGCGAGGCGTACCTGGTGGGCCTGTTCGAGGACACCAACCTGTGCGCCATCCACGCCAAGCGCGTCACCATCATGCCCAAGGACATCCAGCTGGCGCGCCGCATCCGCGGGGAGAGGGCCTAAGGTTCAAGATCACCTACTCATTCTCCCAATGGCTCTTTTCAGAGCCACCCACGTTTTTAAGGAGAGCTGGAAGGACGTAGTACTTCGCAGTTAAAATACACTTAGCGCTTGAGTGTGTAATGACTTATATAAATACCTGGTGAGTCGAACAAGCTGCCCTTTAAAACAACACAAAGTCAATAGGAAGCAAGTGAAGGAGTGAGAGAGAAGACAACGTATTGCAATAGTTGCTACCGTCTCAAGTAAAACATTACACCCGTCTGTCATTTACTACAAACTGCTCGACTTTTATTTCTACCTTTGATCTTTGTATTTTTATGGTTACCAAGCCTTGCCCTGGAATTATCCTTTTGCTTTTTTATGTATTCCTCCTGCCTATAAGTTTTGGGAATCTTGAGTTGACTCAGCCTACTTTCTCTTAAATAGTTAAAATTAAGAAAAACCAACCAATGCGTTTTCAAGCTGGGCTCTGACCCCTCCTTACCCGCCAGTTCCCGGGCTTGGAGGAGGGGTTAAGGGAGGGGATATGACGTCACATCTCCCGCCTGAGCGCTGTCCAATCTCTACGGCTGCTGGGAGAGGGGGCGGTTAAGGGAGAAAGGTGATTATATAAGAACCGGCTCTCTACTGCGTTGTCAGTTGCTTTTAGTTCTCTGCTTGCAAAGCAATGTCTGGACGCGGGAAAGGCGGCAAGGGCCTCGGGAAGGGCGGCGCCAAGCGCCACCGCAAGGTGCTGCGCGACAACATCCAGGGCATCACCAAGCCCGCCATCCGGCGCCTGGCGCGGCGCGGCGGCGTGAAGCGCATCTCCGGGCTCATCTACGAGGAGACGCGCGGGGTGCTGAAGGTCTTCCTGGAGAACGTGATCCGGGACGCCGTCACCTACACGGAGCACGCCAAGCGCAAGACGGTCACGGCCATGGACGTGGTCTACGCGCTCAAGCGCCAGGGCCGCACCCTCTACGGCTTCGGCGGCTGAGGCGCCCACTTACCCACCTGATATTGTCTTCATTAAAGGCCCTTTTAAGGGCCGCCCACTCCTTCGGAAGAGCTGTGCGCGCCTTTCGCGCTCTGGTGGTCCTGCAAACGGCATTACTGGGTTTGATGGCAGCGGGGTCTTAACCTTTAAGTAGTAGCCGCAGACCGGGTGGTGGTCACTTCAGGACAGGCCTCAGTGCGCAGGGACCCACGAGCTGGGCACCTCGGCCCATGGGGAGGGAGCCGGCGCTTCTGAAGGTGATCGGCTGCAGGAAGCAAAGGAGAGGTCCTTGCCAGTTCCGGACTGTCACTGGAAAACAAAGCCCCGGAGTCCCTAGTGTTTTTTCCCCCCTGACAGGGACTTCTTGCCATTTGTCCACTGTGAAAGGACGCGGAACCCTGGGAGCGCCGCGGACCTGTTTCAGGGGATTCAGTAAATATTTCTGCGACTGAACGGGTGCGAGGGTGCAGCTAGCCTCTCCCGGGAGGCGAAATCGATCACATTTTCAGTAAAAATGTGAGTGTTTTTGGTATATTTACTCTGGGGGACGTCACGAAGGATGGACATACTTTGGACTTACCCGTATCCCCCCCCCCCCCCCGCCAGGCTTCGGGCTGCGTGTCGCCGCTTCCCGTCCCCCAACCAACCAGGTGGGTGTAGATATAGATGTAATTAATCGGTCTTGCTTACGTCCATTCTTAGGTCGGGCCCCTCCTTAAACCTGACACTAAGCAGTTTCCTCATGACATTGAGTAAACCAACGATTTTCAAGCCCCGTATCTAGAATTTTAAGCGGCTGGGGACGGAGCAGATGGGGCAGGTCGCGATGGGCACTCGGCGCGGGTCCACGAGACGCCGGCGTCAGTAGCCCGAGCGACTGCCGCAGCGGCGGCGGGGGAGACGGCAGCGAGGCCCAGGGGAGCAGCTGCTCGGGGGGCGGCGCGGAGCCGGGACCGTGGAGGGGCCGAGCGTCTGC